TATTAGCTTAGATTAAATAGTAGGAATAGGCTCTATAATATACTAAGAATATTAATATTAATAATATTTAAGATAATCAACTTATAAAGAACTTTCTTATTACTATTAATAGTATTAATAAAGTTAGTAGTATCTTTATTTAGATCTATATAAATACTCTTAACTAAAAAGAGTTGATTTTAAATAGCTATATACTTACTTACTAACTTTAATAATAGCTTATAATAATAATAATAATTAAGAGATTAACTAAGAGATTATTTAATATAATAATAAAGCTTACTTAAAGATTAATAAAGTAACTAATACTTTAAGATAAGGCTTCTAATAATAAGAGATCTACCTACTCTTATAGGATAAAGTATAATAAGAATTAGTATTAAATCCTCTATCTAGAGAAGAAGCCAGCCTATATACTACTCTTTATCTAAAGAAAGCTAGAAAGAGTGCTACAGAAGATTATAGAGATAGATTAGTTATAGAAGTAATATTAGAACTTAATTAGAATGATTAAAAAGTTGCTAGTAAAGCTACTACTAGCTAATTAGAGATCTAATAAGATTAGATAAATTAGAAGTGCCTATATCTAGATAATTTTAGTTAAGAAGGCCTCTTAGAGAGTCTTCTTAAATATTATAGTAAGCTTCTTTATTATTATAATATACTTATTAAAGAATAACTTTATCTATAATATTAATACTATCTATTATATTATTAACTTAAAGAAGAAGCTTATTAAGAATATATATTGACTAGTAACTAATATTATTAATATAGATAATATTATAATATTATACTATAGTATAGAAGAGATGATGATAGAGATTAATATCTCTATTAGTCTAGCCCTCTTTAAGCTAAAGAATATTATTATTACTAAAGGCTTCTATATTAATCTAGTCTTCTATAGAGTAATAAGAGAGGTAGAATACTAATAGAATAATAATAACTATAGTATTACTAAGAGCTCTATATTAAGACTAGTAGTCTTTTTAACTAAATAAATTAAGAGCTATATTATAATTAACTTCTATTAAAGTTAAGAATAGACTAATAAATAGTAATTAGATAAAGTTACTAATATAGCCTTATTATAAAAGCCTAGCCTAGAAAGTAAGATAAGATATAATACCTAGTATAGAAGAATAGAGCATCTTAATAATAAAGCTCTAAATTATTTATCTACTAATATTAAAGAAGTTATAATTACTAATAAGTCTAATCAGCCTTACTAAATATATATTAAAGCTAAGATAAAATAATAAGTCTTAAGAAGGCTAAGTAGTTGACTAGTAGAATATCTATTTAGTTAAATCTATCTAGACCTCTTTATAATACCAAACTGTCTTAATAGTTTAATAGTAGCTCTAATTATTAAAGATAAATTCTTAGACTTAAAAGTTATATACCCTCTATTAAATAAGAAGAAGTACACTCTTTTTAAAACTCTTTATAATTACTATAGCCTAATAGACTAGTAATAAGGTCTCTAGATTTAATAAGATTATAGTAATAATAAACCAGCTCTTAATACTAATACTATTAAGAAGTAGAAATAATATAAAGAAATTATATAGGAACTATTACTAATATATATATATTAATCTAATAGCTATACTAAGTAATCTAAGGAGGTGATATAGATAAAGACTAATATAATACTATTTAATACTAGTCTACTAATTAATCTAGCTAGTAAGGCCTATAAAGTAGTGACCTATCTTTATAATAGATCTTCTTATTAAGCTAATAGCTAGAAGTTACTAAAAGAGACTATTAAATAGTAGTGTTAGAAGAATAAGTACTAGATCTTAAATAGCTTAAACTAGCTAGATCTTAGCTATATTAAAGAGTATAGTTTAAAGGTATATTATCTTAAAGATAAATACTATAATACTATAATATTAACTAAGGTTAAATATCAATCCTATACTAAGATTAGATATCTTATTAGCTATAAAAACATAAATATTTAATAGATCTAGATCTCTAAGAAGAGAAAGGTTATTCTATTAAGAGATATAATCTTTAAAGAAGGGTTCTTCTTTAAAAAGAAGAATTATAATAGATCTAAAGAGAGATTAACTATATTTACACTACTAGTAAAGGTCTATAAGCTATTAAAATTAATAGAGAGAGAGCCTAAAGAGACTGATAATAAGATCACCAGCCTCTCTAGTCTAATAGATAGACTACTTAAAGCTACTAGGGAGGGAGATCAGTTTTAATAGGCTAAAGTAATTAAAAAGGCTGGTCTAGTATAAGAGAGGCTTAAAGAGATTATTATCACCTACCTAACTTCTTATTAAAGTAAAGAGCCAGTCTAAGAACTAGTTATAATAGGACTAATAGAGGGCTCTAAATCTACAACCCTTAGTCTAATAACTTTAGAAACTTTATTAAAGAGAGAGAATAGTATTCTAGAGGTATTAGAAAATTTTTAGAAAGATTTCTTAAGTTCTATACTAATTAGATGATTAGCTTAAAATTATAAGCTAATAAACTATATATAGTAGTTAAGAGAATAAGAGAAGCTCTTTAGAAGGTAATAGTAAGTAGTTAATAGAATAATTCTAGAGGACTATTATAGTATTAATATAGTCTATACTAGCTTTTAAGCTAAAGTAGTCCCTATTAAATAAGAGCCTTAATAGTCTCTTTAACTATATTAAAATAACCTATTATTAGAGCTAAGAAATATTAAGAAGGCTATTAATAGCCTCTATAGTTAATATTAGCTTAAGGCTATATAGAAGGAGGTTAAGAATATCTAAGATAATAAGATATTAAAGATAATAGATTATTATAAAGCTAAGAGCTAGATAGTTATATTATTAAAGTAGATATTTACCTATAAGTTTAATAGTAAAGAATATATTAAGAGATTTAAAACTAGGATCTATATTTAAGAAGACTAATAGCTACTAAATAATTAGAATATCTATATTACTATATTAGTAGGAAGATCTTTCTAAATTCTTATAGCTACTACTATAAGATTTAGGCTTAAGATAAAGTAATTAGATATAATTAATACCTTTATTAATACCTATCTTAATAAGAAGGTATTTATAGAACTCCTACTATACTTTAAATAGACTGGTAAGATTACTTATTTAATTAGAGTACTATATAGCCTATAGATATTACTACTATTATAATAGAAGCTTCTCTTAATAGTTCTTATTAAAATAGGATTTATCTAATTAATAGAAGAGCTATACCTCTTTTATAATAACTCTATTCTAATATTCTTCTATATTAATAATATTATCTACCTTTATTATAAGAAGGATAAAGCTAAAGAAGAGGCCTTTAAAGAGATCTTAACCTATTAATTTAAAATAAGAGATCTAGAGAATATTAAGTAGTTCTTAGAAATAAGAGTTATTTAAAGTGCTAATTAGAGCTAGATCTAAATCTTATAAGAAGATAAGATTACTAATCTTATTATTAGATATAAGCTTAATAATATAACTAAAGAGCTAGTCATCTCTATATTAGTTAAGAAGATTATAAAGTTAGATAAGTAAGTAATCTTATTAGAGATTTATATTTATTAATAAAAGATAGGATCTTTAATCTATCTTAATATTATTATAAGGCTAGATATTACTAAAGTAGTTATTATTCTTACCTATTTTCTTATAAACCCTCTATTTAAAGTAATAAAGAAGGTAGATAGAGTTATTTACTACCTCTTAAGAATAAAGAAGCTAGATATTCTATTTAATAGAAATAACTTAAATCTCTTACTTAAAGTCTATATTAATACTTTATTTAAAGATAATTTAAAGAACTAGAAGTCCTTTTAGGGATATCTTATAATATTATTTAAAAGTATTATTAATTAGAAAGTAGTTAAGTAAAATATTATTACTATCTTATCTACTAAAGTAGAGTTATTTACTCTTATAAGCTCTTTTTAAGAGACTATTACTACTATATAGTTCTTTAAGAAAATAATATTATAACTATTAGATTAATTTATTATTTATTATAATAACTATTAAATTATTTATCTAGTTAAAAATAAGAATCTATAGCTTAAAATAACTCTAAGATATATTAATATCTACTATTATTAAATTTAATAAGAGATTTAAAAAAAGATAGTAAAGATAGAATATCTAGTTATTAATTAAATATCTATTAATAGGCTAATTAAAATCCTTCTAATTAATAAGTACTAAAAGTTTATTAAGTAGTTAGATCTTTATATCTATTCTATTACTATCTTAAAAGATAATTAGAACTAATAAAAAGAATAGTAGTCTTTAATTATACTAAATAAAAAGAACTTCTTAGAATCTAAAGGTACTAAGAAGTTTAAAAATCTAACTAGAAATTAAATCTAGACCTTCTATTAAAAAAGATAGATATCCTATTACTAAATTACTAGAACTACTTATAGAAAGTACTATATTATTATTTTCTATATATCTCTTTCTATTATTATTTAAATAAGAGTTAATAATAAGAAGAGATAGTTCTTATAGGACCTTCTATCTAATATATATCTATACTAATATCTAATATATAGTTAAAAAGACTAGAAGTAACTAATTAGTCTTTAATATTAAGTAAAATTATTAATTTCCTATTTAAGATATAGAAATAGCTTTAGATCTTCTGAAATCCTAGATTCTAGAGATCTAAAGAGGTATATCAAAAAGGGCTGATCTACTAAGAACAACCCTAGGGTAAATTTAGTATGTAGAGCTGTCTCTACCTAACCACACCGTCCTTTAGGGCCACCTCTAAGGGCCAGCGGCCCCTCTGGCGGCCTTCCCCTTTTCTCCCTTAGAATTAGACACCTCAACGAATAGAATTCGATTGATCCGACCCTTAGTTGACACTTTTAAGCTTAAACCGACACAAAACTTAGTGTAATACAGCGTCTATTTGAGTGGTGATTGTACGATCTAGAGAAACAAACACAAAAAGAAAAGGGGAGAAATGATGACAGGAAATGAGAGAGAAGAAGTGCACGTATTTATTTACATCTTCTTGTTTCCCTTCTTGGGCATCCTTGCGACCCAGTACAGAAGCATCGCCCCAACAATATTGACACCAATGTACACCCACATCAACCCAAAGTTGCGCCAGCGATCGCCGTATTCCGACCCCATGCCAGCCAGGAACACGTTGGTGTCCTTCATCTTGCAATAGCTGCAGTCGCTCGTCGCCTCGGGGTCCTTCAAGTAGCCCCCAGCCCGCGAGACGTAGTCCGCCATGTACTCGCCGCAGCTCTTGCCATCAGGAGGGCTCACCATCGTCCATTCGTTGTCGGCGCAGGTCACCTCCACGTTGGCGATGCCGGTCGACATGACGGCTGAGATCCAGTACGACAGAGGCGAGACCCTGTACAGAAAGATCCAGAATCCCGGCATCACCTTCGCGGGGGCGAGCACGCCACAGAAGAAGAAGGCCATCATGAAGAGCATATTGGCGACGTTGGCGCCCGCATCGGCCGTGGCCGCGAAGGAGACGCACAGATGGGCAAAAGTAGACGTGTACAGCAGGAATTGCCAAAAGAGCAGCCACATGAGACCGCCTCGCTCCGCAGACTGGCCGGCGGCATCGGCATTCTTGAAGAAGCCAACAGGAAAATATATGACGACAAACATGAAAACCGAAGCAAAGGTATACCAGGGGATCTCTGAGATGATCTGACTGAGCATGAAGACTTTCCAAGAGTAGGTCTTGGCTGGGCGCTCGCGGACCTCGTACAAGTTGCGCTGGAGGATGAACTGCGGGAGTTGTTGATTCACCAATTGCCCGAAGATGGTAGCGAGCTCGAAGATCGCGATCATCTGGTTTCGAAGACCTTGGATGCTCAACGGTGCATTGAGGAAGACGAGACCGACGAAAAGAGCCGAGCCGATACTGACGCCAAGCTTTGAATAAATGTAGGAAGGGGTACGCCAGGACTGCTGGAAGACCCTTTGCGTGACAACGACGAACTGGTCCCAGAGCGGTGCTGCAAACTCGCGGTACGACCCGGGATCGTCCCTCTCGTCGATTGACGGCCGTCCAATGCCGTGGGACCTCAGCCGGGCCAACTCGTCTTGCACGGCATGATACTCTGGGCTAGACCGCCAGGTTTCGTGCCAATCCACTTCAGAGTGAGAACCCGGAGCAGCGCCGATGGCTTCGAGCATCCATTCGGCTGGATTAGCCCCGGTCGGGCAAGCGGGGGCTCCGTTCCGCTCAAAATAGCCGGTGAGGGTTTTGGAATTGTCTCCAATATCGCCTAAGATGAACATACCTTGTGAGCTAAAAGAACGAAGGAGGCGAGTGTGGAACAGACAAGGAGACATACCAAAGTAAACTGTACGACCTTCATCGGCAAGAAGCAGCAGGCGGTCGAACCGTTGAAACAGCATGGCAGATGGCTGATGGATGGTACACAAGATGGATTGACCAGCCTTGGAAAGCTTTTCCAAGAGATCCAGGATGGCCCAGCTTGATTGCGAGTCCAGGCCAGAGGTTGGTTCATCCACGAACAGCAGCAGGGGAGGCTTCGCAGCCAGCTCAACACCGATTGTGAGGCGTTTGCGCTGTTCGACATTCAGGCCCTCGCCCAGAATGCCAACAACAGCATCAGCAAACTCCTGCATGTCCAAGAGTCGAATTACCTCGTCGACGTAAGCCAACTTATCTGCTCTCGGCGTCTTGGCAGGCTGTCGAAGAAGCGCAGAGAAAATGAGAGCCTATAAGCTCGAGGGCATCAGCAAATCGAAGCATGCTGGGCACTGTTTGGTTCTTACCTCGCGGACAGTGCTAGTTTCGAGATGCAGATCTTGCTGCTGGGCGTATCCGGTCTTGCGCTGGAAGCTCTCATCTCGTATCTTACCATCGACAAGCATCTCGCCGGTGATCACGCCAACACCCCCACGACGATCCGCCAAACAGTCCAGAAGCGTGGTTTTGCCAGCACCAGACACGCCCATCAATGCCGTGAGGGTCCCGGGCTTCACCCATCCATCGACATTGTTCAGGATCCGCCTGGACTTTCCCTTGATCTTGAGATCATAGCAGACGTTGTTCCAGTGAAAGATGCTAGTGGAACCCTTGAAAGCACCTGAGCCGCTCGAGATAGAGCCCTCGCCTCGGTCGATGACAGCAACGGGTCCTGTCAGCGACTTTTCCACATCGCTTGCGCTCCTCGTAGAAACCCGTGGCACGAAGCCTTTACGAAAGACCAGCACCTCTCCTTTGGACTTCTTTGCCAAGATGTACTCGCTGGCGACAAAGTAGACAACGTGGTTGAAAATTGCCATTGCGATGATAATCCCGATGTTGCGCCACTTATGACTGTGGAAGTAGCTGTATGCTGAATTGATATAAGCCTCTCCAGAGACCTGAAGCTGTCCTGGAAGGGCCCCCACAACATCGCATGCTACACTCGGAGAGCCTGGAGTGGCATAGTCTGGGATGTAGGAGGAGCAAGTGAAGTTGCGACCATGAAATTCGTTGACCATGAGAGATTCGTACCCGTATCCAACTGGATTAAGGTAGTTGATCCACCGACACCAAGGCAACATGTAATCGACGGGAACAACAAACCCCGTGAAAATGATCAAGGCAAGAATCATAATTGAAGCTGGAACCATAGCTTGCTGCTCAGTTCGGGAGATTGAAGCACTGTTGTCGTCAGCATATGAAGGTATTCGTTATTTACCAAGACGTTACTTACACGGATCTGAAGACTCCGGACATGGCCAGGACAATTAGAAAAACAGTGAGAAGGTAGAAGAAGAACGGTCCAGGTGCACGGTGCAGGTTGGTCATAAAGTAGAACACCAAGTTGAAGGAGATGACGTTGAGCACCTTCAAGGGGAGGTCAACCAAAACGGAGGCGTAGCTCTCCGCAGAGGGATGATAGAAGCCATAGCGAGACTGTTTCTCAACGATTGGTCGATGGGCATAAAGTGTCATAATCTCGAGCATGGATGCAAAGGCGTTGAACAGGATCGCCATGAATAAGACGACGGTACGGCCGTAGAAGGACTCAGTATCCGACTTGAGATTGAAGAACAAGGATGACAAGATGAGAGCCATCACGGTGTTGGCGATCATCATTCCCACCGTCAGGCCCGGGTCCGCAACGAAGCGCCTGTAGCCTCGCCAAAAGCACAGCTGGACTTGCTGGTTATACGTGAGGGTGTATGGCGACTTCAGGCGCTGGCCCCGGGCTTGGTGAGACCTCTTCAGCGATCGAAACTGGATTGCATCCGGGCCATCGATAGGGTGTTGTTTCTTATACTCGTCAATCTCGATTTGTAGAGCCGTGAATTCGCGGCTCTCTTGCCAGGCCTTGGCGAAGTCTTCGGCAGTTCTGGGCGGATTGCAACCCTTACGCGGGATGCGCTCCGCGGGGAATGTCATGGAGGTGAGGAAGTCGGGAGTGGTTTGCCGCTCTGGGCATTCATATCCCAGATTGACAAAGTATTCCTTTGCTTTCGATGCAGGACCAAAGTAGATTTGATGGCCCTCATAGAGTACTAAGGTCTTGTCGAACTGATCAAAGGCGGTCTGAGGAGCCTGGTACATAGAAACAGCACAAGTCTGCCCGAACAGCTCTGACTGAAGTCTCAATGTCTTACAGAACTCAATAGCATTGGCAGAGTCCAAGCCACGGGTCGAGCTACGGACCGATGTCAGTCTGTGAAGGAGCAAGACACATCCCAATCGTTACTTACTTGTCCCAGCACTGGAACGGTGCGCCAGACAGCGTGGCTTCCGCAATGGTCACGCGCTTTCGTTCACCTCCTGAAACTCCTCTCTCAAACTCATTGCCGACTTTGGTGTTGATGGTGTGACTGATGCCATACATTGCCATGACGACGTCTCGGCGATGATCACAGTATCTTTAAGAAGAGGCAATCAGTATACACCTCAAAGCATATGAACTGTAAAGAAACGCAAATGGCTCTTACTCGTTACGATTGAGGTTCTCTGGTAGATCTCGCTGGCACCGCGCCCGGGAGGCGAAGGTCAGAGTCTCTCCAACTGTGAGATGCGGAAAGTGCACATCAACCTCTGCGGTATAAATGGCATCGCCTCGGTGGTGTGTGTGCATCTCCTGAGGCGAGAGCCCTTCGTAGTTGAAATAGGAACCGTCGTTGACGTATATGCCATTAGTCTCGCCCGAGATCGTCTTGAGGAATGTTGAACAACCAGACCCCGGTGGACCCAGCACGGCCAACATCTCCCCAGGGCGGAGTACCCCGTCGAAGCCTCTCAGGATATCTATGCGTGTCTGCCCGGCCTTGTGATTGATCAACCGTCGGGCCATGCCTGGCAAGGCTAGCCAGATGTTGCCAACATCCTTTTGAAAGTCCGTGGGAGTGCCATACCCAAACACATTCAGGTTCTGAAAACAGAGACCGAGTGTACGAGAACGCTGGCCCCGTCGATTGGCAACATTGGCGATGTTTTGAGCCCAGGCTCGTGCGTTGAACTTCTCGCTGAGTGGATTCAAGGGCGAGTTTGGATCACTACTTCCAAATATGGGCTCGGTCTGTCCGGAAAACCCAGCCTTGCTGGACTCACGTGTGTATTGACGAGCTAATTGTTGGACATTGGAGAGTCGCTTGTCCATTGCTTCGGTGTTCTCGGCGCCTTCATCCCCGATATTCGTGCGTGAATTTGTTGCAGATTGTCCTGGACCAAGCAGTGCAGCACCATTGACTTGGGTACTGTCTATTTGAGCTGACATGTTCGATAATTATTCTTGGAAGATCACCCGAAACAGGATGCTTCGTGGTGTAAACATAATGAGAACGAAAGATGTAGAAGAAGGAAACGAAGACATTGAAATACTCCTAGATAATGTAACCAATTTTAAATATTTCTCTTTTCTCCATATCTGATTGTCGGCCGAAGGTGTTGATCTCCTGAGCAGAGGTGTTATCACCGCCCCGGACCGCTCATCACCGCTTACAGCCGTTGTGGGTCTGACTCCATGCCAAGCCCGCCCTTCGGCCGGTTCTCATGCCAAACCCCAGAGATTAGGAGACAGCCAACAGCTTACAATTTCGAGACTTGGACTAACCCTCGAGGGATTTTGGTAACTCTTCTCCTCGTCTGCGGTTCTCGCATTCTTCACTTTGTTTGATCGATTGACGACAACATATGCGCTCAGAAGACGATTACACACAATTGCCTTGAACAATGACGTTATAGAATCTTGTGTTATCGTCGGTTCCAGCTCGGAGTTATCGATTTTCTTTACGCCATGGACCTAGAAGGAATAGAAGACATATTCGTGCTTGGTTTCTTAAGGTTCATACCTCCTGCGCGCACAGGCCATCGCACTGCCTGAACTCACTAGATTATCGCAACCATGTGTGTTCCCCTTTTCGCCACTTTTTCATTCTTCCAGACCCCTGGTTCAGCCGTAGAATGGTCTTCAGAGAGGAAAACGGAAGATGGAGCCCTCATATGGATTGTTGGACATGCCAGCTCTAAGGAGGTGAGTTCGTACATTGGCATTAGTTTCGTTGGAACTCGAGACCTTTGACACTGTGCCCTGTTGCTTAACGTGTTTTCTCGATTCATCCGGAACCTTATCCACCGCATGGCCCCGATGGCAGTTGTAAGAAAGGCGTAATTGGCCATGATGACTGGAGTGTGTCTGGTTGCACTACCCAGAGTGAAAATGTTGCTTGCGACAAGGCCGGCCGAGTTGATGAGCCCGATAGACCTAGATCTCACGCGACCGCTCGACCTGCTCATCCTTCCCATCGAAACCAGCACCCTTGGTCTGCTCCGCCAGCGCACTCTCGAGAGCATCAGACTCAAAGTGGCCCTTCTTTGCCCACTGTGTCCCCGCCACGATGGCGCCAGTCTTGTAGAAGATGGCGTCGATCTGCTCCAGCCTCCTGCCGGTGGTCTCCGGGTAGAAGAGGTAGATGAAGGGAATGAAGGCAAAGTTGAAGACGGTGAAGATCAGGTAGCCCTTCCACCCCTGGGACGACATGGTGCTGGGCGTCATCATGACAGTGGCGAAGTTCCAGAGCCAATTGGAGGATGTGGTCACGGCATTACCCTTACTACGTAAGTGTAGAGGCAAAATTTCGGCACAGTATAACCATGGCACGGCGAGATAACCGATGGCGAAGAAGGTGTAGTACAGGAAGAAGGCGATGACGACAACGATGGATGCGCCATAGGACCCGGAGCGGATCCCGAGAGCCATGGTCAGGAAGCAGACTCCCATGCCGAAAGCGCCAATCATGAGGCAGCCACGCTTACCAACACGGTGAATGATGAAAGGAGGAATAACTGCCGATGCCATGTACCCTTTTTAGGGTTAGCTTTTATCATTTTTGAGCTTCGAGGGAGGGGTTGTACTCACACAGTCCGTTGAAGCCGGACAGCAAGAGGGAGAGGTTGTGCGAGAGACCGACGGAAGTTTCGAACAGATAGGAAATGTAATAACCAATCGAACAAACACCACTTAACATAACCATTGCCATCAATGACCAACCTAGGGCAACGCGACGGAAGTTTTGTGTCTCCTTGTGGTTCTTGAAAATCTCAAACCAGCTCACAGAGTTGGCCACGGCCTCGAGCTCGATGGCCTGGTTGATCAGCTTGATCTCGGTCTGAACCTCAGCATCCTGCGGATCGGTGACGCCGTGCATCTTGAGAAGGTTATCGACAGCCTCGCTCGGATGATTGTGGGCCATGAGCCAGCGAGGAGACTCGGGCATGAAGGGGACGATGATCAGCAAGACGACGGCAAATATCATCTGCGCAGCAACCGCGAAGCGCCACTCGAACTGGCCTCCAACATAGGAAAAACCATAGTTCATCCAGTACGAGACACTGGCACCGAAGCAGACAAGCAGATATTGGAACGATCCAAACAACTCGCGAGTCTTGGCGGGTAGGGTCTCGGCTTGCCTACCCAAGCCAGTCAGCTCCCGGACCAAAGCATACATGCGGCAGAAAAGAAGATCGCGTACCAGATAGGGATGATAGACGTGTTGAGGCCAGTGCCGATGCCGCTAATTACACGGCCGACCATGAATTGGGGCTGCCCAAAGGCGGCGGTCTGAAGCACAGCGCCGATGATGATGAGAACTGTTCCGATCATGATGGGTTTCTTTCGGCCGATATATTCACTGAACACGAAGCTAACAAGACACCCTTGCGAGTTGTTAGTGCTTGTGTCCGATCAGATCGACTAGTGGACTTGGCTTCTTACCGCCAAGACAGCCAAGCTCGTAAATGCTTGTGATGAAACCTTGCATGAACGTCGAGGGATGATTCATCTGGACCAACCAGTCATCGGCGATGAGAACACCGCTCATAAAGCCTTGGTCGTAGCCATAGAGCAGGTAGGAGATACCACAGGTGAAGGTGAATGCCACCCGCAGGGAGAGGCCTGTGAGAGCCATGGTGATGGGACTGATAGTGATAGTTCCGAGAGAGTGCAGATACTGAATCACTGATGGCTGTCAGATCGTCGTCCTCGTGCCAATCTTTCAATGTGTTTGGAAGGACATTCCCTGTCTGGGTTCGATTCCACGTTTGCAGCTCAGGTTCTTAAATGTCGCGTCGCCAAGCATCGCGAGCCCCATGGGGAAAAGGTTCAAGTGACTACATGTCCAGGATGGTACCAGCGAATGGCTGTTGTGTTTGTGGAGATGTTCAACGCTTAGTGCACCCGATAGCCGATCGGTAGTGGTGATCTTGAGACTGTCACCAACGGCGCGCAATTCCCTCCCGGCTCAACCGCGAGACGAGGAACCAAAACGACGCTGTTGGGCTGACATGTCTGATCGCCAGCAAGCTACTATTCTGTGGATGGATCGAGCGCACCTCCCGGTAGCTAAAGACCGTCGCTTACGCTAAGCCGGAGGAAGCAAAGTTTGAGAAGGAAATACTCTCAAATTGCGAGAAGTATGTACTGCACAGCCACTGGTGGATCTCGAACTCGCGTTCCACTCTGCGCAAAATAGCTGCAAATCGCAGGATCACCAGACTGAGCCCGTCGGATCCTTGTGAGTGGAGTCCTCCGCCGACGGCAGTCTACATGAGAGCAACCATGGCATCTTATAATAACCAGAAAACGACTTTAAATTACGCTCTTTTTCCCGGTTGTTTTGCTAGCGCTCTCCCACATAAATCTGCAGGCACAGGGGCCATTTCCTTAACAGCCTGTTTAGAATCCTCTCGCTAAGCACCAAAAGAACCCTGTACACTAACATTGCAAGGTACATGGCTGTTAGTGCACAACCCAGTATGCCGAAGAAGGCTCTGAGCGCAGCGAAGGGCCTCTGAGGCGGAGACCCTGGAGCCCGAGAGGAACGAGGGCGGAACGGGTCCCATTTTACGAACGCGAGCCCTGCGAGCAGTGAGGGCTACTACAACCCCATTCCCTAAAGCCTGCGTTGCAGGCAGTCCCCTAGTTGCATTAACGCTGATGAACCAGACAGTATCTATTCAGATTCAAGGCTCTCATCGTGAATGGTTGACAATGGCATCTACCAAGAAAGCGGAAAGGCCTCCTTTTGACGAACTACCCCTCGATAAGGATGGTCCGCCGGGCAATGCCTGGGGTCTTTATGGGCCCAACGATGAGCTCGGAGCCTTGAACATGCTGACGCCAGAGACTGTTGTCGCGGCTGCGCAGGAGATCAAGACGGGCGAACGGGTATCGCTGGACTGGCATCTGAACAAGCCTTCACGGCCCAGTTTCGATAGGCCGCCTTTCGAAGTGAAGCTGCGGAACAACCCCGGACGAGCAATCAACGATGATGAGCTGCATTTCAACACCCAGTGTAGCACACAGTGGGATGGTTTCCGGCATTTTGGTAAGTTGAGAGAGCTTGGGATGCGTGGCCATGTTAAAAATAGCTAATCAACGTGAATAAGGCTTCCAAGGCGTGAAGCGGTTTTACGGAAATCGCACTCAGGATGACGTTGACAATACTGACGTTCTTGGAATTGATGGTAAGACTATGGAGATTGGAGCTCAAGATACATTGTGGCACTGACTCCCGGTCTATGCAGTTTGGGCGGAGAACGGCGGCGTTGTTGGTAGAGGTGCTCTGTTAGACTATGTATCGTTCTGCAACCGCCATTCCATTACCGTCGACCCCTTCAGCAGCAGTTCTATACCCCTAGAGCACATTAAACAGATGGTCTTGGAACAGGACATTACCTTCCAAGCAGGAGACATCCTCGTGCTACGGGTTGGATTCACTGCGGCATACAATGCACTCGACCCTATTAAGCAAGATGCCTTGGCACAGCGTCCAACGCCTGACTTCTTGGGAGTGGAGCCGACATCAGATATGCTGCGGTGGCTCTGGGACAGTGGCTTCGCAGCTGTTGTTAGCGACTCTCCGAGCTTTGAGCGGGCACCAGTGGAAGGTCTCTGGACCGGCGCGGAGATAGAGGATCACATCGACGGTGGTGGTCTGCTACACCAGGTGCTGATAGGTGGCTGGGGTATGCCCATCGGGGAGATGTTTGACTTGGAGAAACTAAGTGAGACTTGTCAGAGGCTCAACAGATGGCATTTCTTCATGTCAAGCGTGCCACTGAAGGTCCCAGGTGGTGTCGCGAGCCCTCCGAACGCGGTTGCAATCTTTTAGTGCATTGCCTTGTGGTCATGATGATCGTCTAGAGTTAATCTTGTCAAGAGTCAGCTAAGATTTTATCTAACTCTGGATCTGGTTCTGGGCGAGAACAAGCCGATCTCTTTCGTACTGTTTCTGACCCGACCTGATGTTGCCCATGCGCAATTGGCACATTCCTATAAGAACTTGCAAGATAACTGTGAGACTAGTTTCACGGTTCTTGAGGCACCCCGCTTGGTGCTGCAGGATCCTTCTTTCGTGCCATCACCCACATGAACTCCGCGTCAAAGTCTGGTTCGTCCTCCTCCAGCTTTCCATCTCCTGCCTGCAATATCTCCACCTGCAACAACTCGAATCCAACCTCTTTCAACAGCGCCTGATTTCCATCCACGTCGTAGCTGCTCCAGAACATGCCATACCCGAGGAACTCGCCATGGATCTCTTCCTCGTCGAGGGTCGCGAGATTGAACACGAAGACACCTCCGGGCTTTAGCCAGCCATGAATCTTGATGAGCATATCCTTGAGCTTCGCCCGCGGGAGGTGAAACAGGGCGTAGAAGCTAGTGACCCCATGGAAGCTCTCGGGCTCGAAGGTGAGCGTTGTCATGTCGCCCGCGATGAGCGTAGCCTCGGGGCAGCGGGCCTTGGCCATCTCGACCTGCCTGGCCGAGATGTCATTTGCGACCACGTGAGCGCCATGGTCGAGAAGCAACTTCAAGATAGGAATGCCCGGGCCGCAGCCGAGCTCTAGAATCGAAGGGGATGGTTCCAGCTGCTCAAGGAGCTTCTTGGTGTACCGCTCACGCGGTGACTTCTGACTCTCGACCCACTGCAGATACCATTCTGCAATGTTGTCGTAGGCGTACTCCACAATGCCCTCAGGTGCATCAGACATTGTTTGGTCTTATCGCTTCAACGGACGGTGGTCCTCGGGCGGCGATTGTTAAGTTGATTGTGAATCTTATGTAGGGGTGTTGGAAGTAAGTAGGTACTTAGAGGATGTGGATGCCTAGCCAGTAATTCGCGCTTATGCGAAGCATGAATTTGTCGCGCGACTCGTCCATAGCTCCGTTAAGCTACGCTAAGCCCGACTCACGCCGCGCCGATATTGCCAAATCTGGTGGCTTTCGCTGAGCTTACATGGCTACCTGCTAACATCATCATCGATGAGTGTTTATAGAATTGGGTGTACTGCATCGGACAGCACGGGCACTTGTCCTCTCGCTTTCACGTAAACGGTTTTCGTATTTCATCTCGTCTGCACATCTTGTCTGCACATGTATACTCGAACCCAGCCAGAGCCACATTCATCTTGTGAGCTGTTTTGCTTGTAGTAATTATGTTTTTTTTTCGTGGGTATCATATCTATATGTCTTTGAGAGCGCGCTTGGTGCCAACTGGGCAGTACTTCGCCGCCGCCTCTGTCGCTGCGTGGATGTGCTCTTCGTCATCAGGATATCCAACATGCAAAGCCATTGCGAGACCACTCCCCAGATGCACCCCCATGTGGCAGTGAAGCATCCAGAGTCCTGGGTTGTCCGCGCGAAACCGAATGACTACGTGGCCCCTTCTAGGCACCCTGACAGTGTCCTTTCGAAGAGGGGATGCCAGGTTCAAGCCAGCAGGAGGTGCGCCGCCAGTGAAAGGGTCATAACTGCCCCAGCCTCCTCGGCCGTCCGACATATACGAGGACAAGACGTAGAAGGAGTGGCCGTGCAGATGGAAAGGGTGTGATCCGTCGTCCAGGTTGTTGATGACCAGCTCGACCCATGGGGCTGTCTCGGGGCTGCTGGGCACAAATGGTACGAACTGGTTCTCATCCCAGGCCGACCTATTCATCGACGCGATGGGCGGTGTCTGGGGAGCCCAAGACGTGTGGTTGATGAAGCCCTTTGGCTCGTTCTCGAACTTGACCAGTATCTGGGACTTGGCATAGACCACGAATGTGTGTTGTGCTGCTGCTGGTACGGCGGAGCTTGCGCTTGTCTCGGAGGAAGTGAGAGTTGAAAGATCCACGATACGCCGCAAATCCGCTGACGGTGGAGAGTTATATTCCTCAGCTTTATACACCTTCTTCGTAACAGGGAATGACTGGTTTGCCGTCAGAGAAGGGTTAGTATAGCCGAAGTTTCTGGGAATCCTCATTAGTCAATCATACCAACCAAGAAGTTATTGAGACTTACTCAGGATCCAAAGCGATGAAGAGTCTTGTGGGCGCCCTTGAAACAGTATTCGAGACGACCACATCAACTCTCTCTCCGGGATATAGCACACCGATACCGTCTCCCTCAGCCAGAGCAACTGGATGGCCACCATCGATAGTAATTGGGCTCATGCTTGCATCCCCAACATGCAGGCTTACCCCTGCGAGAGAGCCGGTATTAACAATTCTCCATCGAGTTGGTTTGGAAATCTCATGCGAAGTCAGAGCCAAGTCGGAGTAGCTCGCTGTTGTGCACTCGATCGGATGCGCTGGCACAGCCAGACTGCAGTCAAAGCGACCTTTGCCATTGATGATCATTGAATCAGGGACTGGCTCCTGCCCAAAGTGCTCATACCCAGAGTACCATCTTTGAGTGTCGTTTGCGGACGCATGAAACCAGTCCCCGACCATGAGCAGCATCTCCCCCTCATACTCGATGGGTCGAGGCTCATTCCGAGACTGCGGCTTGTGTATGATCAAACCACCAAAAAGCCCGTCAGCTCGGTGGCCCATGGCATGGCCATGCCACCAGAAAGTTCCAGCTTCTTCATCGCCAATCTTCACTCGATATGTGAACCTTTCACCGGGAGGTATTGGGCACTGCGTGATGCCGACCGCGCCGTCCATCAGATTTTGACCGAGGAGTTTCAAGCCGTGCCAATGTAGCGAAATGGATTCATCCTCGAGACCATTGGACACATCCACCACGATCTCATCGCCGGATCTCGCCTCAATCGTGGGTCCAGGAAACTCGCCATTGACCAGATACACTCGCTTCTTCACTCCATCCGGGCTTCGAAAATCTGCGGTGATATTCCAATGAAGGGTTATGGTCTTTGTATCCCGGTGTATATGATCCTCCGGATGAAGTTCGATGCCCAGAGTCGACTCCTGATGGTGAAACTCCTTGAAGATGGAAGGGAGCGTGCTCCATTTGCTCTTGGCCCAGAACTCCCAGCTTTCTGGTGACGATACAATGAGAACAAGGCCTGAACCGATAAGAACCAATAGTATCGTGATGAAGAACACGATAGAGGTCCGCCCAAGGATTTTAGGCGCCATCGTGCGGCGCATGATGTTGTTGTACCTGGAGCATAGGTGTCCTGGCGACGTCGCCGGAGCTTAAGCCATGTAGCTGTTTCTTCTTCGCAATGCGCAGAACACACAACGATACTGCTTCACGCAGAAGGCCAATTGAGGGAACTTTTGCAAACCGTTTTCAGCTTCGTGGAGATGACCCGGGCACTCGGGATGGATGCGGGAAAAGTCCCGACAAGAATCACTTCAGAACTCAGGCTCCTCACTGACTAGCCACATCAAGCTACCCGTCAGCTGGCCCATGCTGCTGCGCCGCGGTATCTCTCGAACTCTTTGAGGGAATTGAGATTGCTGGTGTGGTGTTTTTGTCCCGAAGAGGCAGCTAACTAGGCAATGTCACGTCCACGCTGCCGTTTGCCAAGCACTGATTGGCTCCTGGCTTGGCGTCGAGCAAGGGTGTTCCCGACACAACGCCCTCGGCCCGCACACGAGCAACTGTCACTTTTTCTCATGACCCATGGGTCGCCGGCGAATGTTCTGTAATGTCTTCCTCCTGATAAGTCGGGCTGCGTCCTTAGCTGCTCGGAAATGATTCCACAGATCATGTCTCAGACCCCGCACGCCAGGGCATGGCATGAAACCACCCGACTGATTGGACCGTCCTTCTAGAACTTGAATAACTTCTAATGCAGGACACAGTCCCACGTGCTGTGAGCCTCAATATTGCGTCTGAAAGGACTGATGGAGCGGGGAACGTGGTGAGCCACCCACCCGGCGGCACAGCGATGTATGTAAGGAGCATGGCTGCCGCCGATCTCGTCCACTCTGCTCCAACAGCCAGACAGCCAGACAGACTTCTTCCCAAGCACCCAGACTGTACGAGAGTCGACATTGCTGCAGAAGTTCAATCATCTAATCCTGCACTGTAGTAGCTGCTATAATGGCTGTCCTCTCCAAGCTTGCGTCGGTCGCTTCCGTCGTCCCGGTCCTCATCGGACTGGTCCACGCCGGCTCCCTTGCCGACATCGACCATGTCGTCCTCTTCATGCAAGGTGTGCACGTCCTGCTTGTAACTCACGCAGCCTTTGAGACCTTGGCAACTAACACGGGGCCGCAGAGAACCGTGCTTTTGACCACTACTTTGGCACCATGGCCGGTGTCCGTGGCTTCTCGGACCCCAACGTCCAGGTCAACGGCAACCGGACGGTCTGGCAGCAGACGGTCGACGACACCAAGTACCTCAAGCCTTGGTACCTCAACTACCTGGGCGGCGACTGGCTCAATGCTACGCAGTGCATGAACGCCGGCAGCAACGGCTGGAACGCGAACCAGCTGGCCATGAACCACGGCGCCAACGACATGTGGGCCATCAAGAACACGCCGTGGAGCTGGGGTCACTTCCGCAGGAGTGACATTCCGGTACACTTTGACATCGCCGAGGGGTGGACCATCGGAGATATGTATCAGGTCAGCAATGATGCTCTCCGTATGAGGCTGTGGAAGACCACCTATTGACAGCAAGTAGGAATCCGTGATCGCATCCACCAACCCGAACCGCGTCACTTGGGTTTCGGGCAGCATCAATGCCCCCGGCTCTCCCCAGAACAAGTCCGAGGGTGGGTACCCGTACATCGACAACAACGAGACTCCCGGCTGCGACAAGGACGGTATCAACTGCTACCCGCTCAAGTGGAAGACCGCCGGCGACATCTACTCGGCGCAGAACGTCACCTGGCAGGTCTACCAGGACGCCGACAACTTCGACGACAACCCGTTCGCCTGGTTCGGCCAGTTCCAGACCGCGCCCCAGGGCTCCGACATGCACAGCCGCGGCATGCAAGGGCTCACCCTCAACACCTTCTACGAGCAGGCCGCCAACGGCACCCTGCCCGCGGTGTCGTACATCGTCGGCCCGGCCCAGCTGTCGGAGCACCCGCAGTACTCGCCCCGCGACGGCGTCTGGCTGCAGAAGAAGATCGTCGAGGCGGTCATGAGCTCGCCCGCCTACGCCCGCACGGCCCTCATCATCTCGTACGACGAGACCGGCGGCTTCGGCGACCACGTCACGCCCTACCACGCCCCCGACGGCACGCCCGGTGAGTGGATCCAGGACCCTTGGGCCGGCCTCGGCCGCGTCCCCACGGGGCCCGGCTTCCGCGTGCCCTTCTTCATCGTCTCGCCCTGGACGCGCGGCGGCAAGGTCTTCACCGAGCACGCCGACCACAACTCGCAGCTGCTCTTCGTCGAGAAGTGGCAGGCCGCCAAGGGCCGCGACGTGCGCACCGACGAGATGCCCGCCTGGCGCCGCGAGCACATGTCGGACCTCGTCGCCGCCTTCGACTTTGACAACCCGGACCTCAGCCTGCCGCAGATCTCGTACGCCATCCCGCCCCACCAGACCAACGGCCAGCTCGACGGCGCCGCCTACTGCACCTCCAAGTACCCCGTGCAGCGCCCGCCGGTCCCCTACTCCGGCCAGCCCGGCGCCGTCGAGGACGTGCCGGCCCTGTCGGAGGAGGGCTTCAAGGAGATGCGCGGCATGCTCACCGAGGGCCGCTACCTCGTCCTCGAGTCCGGCGCCGCCGCGCTGGCCAACCCGCGCAACGACTCCGCCCGCGCCGTCACCTCGGCCGCCACGCAGAAGCACGACGACAAGGCCCAGCGCTGGGTCGCGCACGCCGACGTGATCGGCGGCGACATGTTCCGCTTCAGCAGCGCCCTCGACGGCAGGTGGCTCGCGCCCAACGGCAAGATGATCTCGGACAAGAGCAAGGCCGGCAGCTTCCAGGTCGCCTACGCCCCTAGCAAGGGCTACTCGCTCAAGAGCAAGTGCGGTGTGTGGCTGTCAGCCGGCCAGGACGGTAAGATCGCGTGGGCTCACGAGGCGGCGTACTGGAAGGCGTACAGTGTCACGTACAAGAACTAGGCAGGATGCAAAGTAGACGATAAAGTGGACATGGAACACACGCTCTGAAGAAGTACGTCGAACACATCCAAATAGTGTCGCAACTTGCGGGAAGGGCCGCTTTCTTGGCCGCTTTCTTGGCCACCAATTTACTGGAGATCTAGTTCAAAAATGCACCGAGGCATGCGCGAGCATGCAAGCATGCTGTGCAGGGTCCATCAAGCAGCACCATGGTCCATCATGTCTCAATTGAGCCCCCAGAAGTTGATGCTAAAATTGAGTCCCTGCGTCACGTCCCTGTGTGGCGTTGGGCGATCACCCGGGACAGGCGAATTGAGATGTCACCGCCATCAGCATGATGTCATAAACCCGGAGCTCCAACGACATACCAAACCAGCAGTCTGACCACACTCCCCAAGCTGCACCGTATCGTAGCTAGACAGTAAAACCATTGCCTACGAAAAAGAAGCCTAATCGTCACTCATCATTGAAATCCGTACCAGAGAAACCATCGCAATCGCACACATACGCTTGCAAATATCGCCATATCAAGAAGCAATACGTCATGCAGCGCCTCTTCTGGAGCCTCCGGGCACTCCCGACAACGTTCGTCACTCCTCTACGATTCTCGCGACCAGCTCTCCAAACCATACCCGTCCGTGCCTTTGGCAGCGAGCGCTCCGCCCCCAAAGCAGCCGAGAAGGCCTCCGCGCAGTCAGGCGGCTCCCGCTCCAAGGACGCAGTCGAGGCCGAGACCGGCACGGGCCCGCAGGGCGGCACCGTCCCAGACGGCCTGGCGACGGGCGACGCGCGCGGTCGCACCGGCGGCGGCGAGCCCCTCAAGAGCTCCGAGCACGCGCCGCCGCAGCCCAAGATCTTCAACGCGCAGGTCTCGATCGACAGGAAGAACGACATGACGGACGAGCAGCAGGCCGAGGTGGAGGCGCACAATCGTGACTTTGAGAGCAAGCACGACAGGGCCGAGTCCGCGGCGGAGGATAAGGTGGACAAGAAGTTCTGGCAAGGAGGGGGCAACAGGTCAGAGGAGAAGATGTGATGCAAAGGTGGAGGTTTTCAGAAGATTTCCTGCTTCTCATTGGCAGGTGTTTCGATCTCAGCTGTTTCTGAACTAAAATCCTCGCTTGAAGATTATTAATTAAGCTTCTTTCATCTATCTGCTGATCTCATACTTCTCTGACCGCCTTAATAGGCGTGCTGTCTTACATTCTGAGTGGCTTAGGAAACTAGATATTTAGCTTTACATTGCAATTCAGGGGAGAATATAGATGCTTGATCATACTCAATCTATCTGTGTAGAGTTTCCTCTCTAAAATCTTGTTCACATGCAAGCTTTGGATGCCACGCCCTTCTACTTGATAACTTGTGCTGTTGGGATAACAGCTTTGGAATCTGCCAGACATGTATTTTCAACAGACAATGTAGACTTGATCTTAATAGCCTCTTTAACACACATTTCAGGTGCTAAAGAACCACGTGTTTGCCGCCTGAAGTAACGCACGAGCCTCTAAATCTATTGACGCAAGTGAATCACTGCTTTCTAGTTTGCACGCGTGACTGTCTCGAGTTGCAAACACTCTCCTGTTTGACGAGTGATTGGGCGCGTTACCCACATCAACCAGCCTAATTACCCTCGCTGTCTTTGATCTTCTGTCAATTCTTCTTCACTCTTACAACTTCTTCTGTTTGACTTCCTTTCCACATCTTCTGATTCCCCAGAATCAGCAGCACAACTGCCTGAGCTGAATTCAAGTTTGTGTGATTCTTTATTCTCACCTTCTTCCTTTTCACGTTCTTCCACATCGTCAACAAGGTCAGTTATCCCTCCCACTAACTCCCATTCTCAACAAGAGTGCTGGTGTTCCGGTGTATTCCTGATACGCTCTACTAACACAATATCTAGCGCCTATAGGTACCTTCTTTCCGAGTCCTTCCGTCCTGTTATAAACGGCTTCTGAAAGATCATAGAAATGGAAAATTCGCAATTCAGTGGCGGCAGTGCTGACAGCAAGTTGGCCGGTCCATTTCAAGATGGGATGAAAATTGTCATCCACAGAACTGCCACCGCCGTCGTCCTTTGTCCTGGCGGAAACAGCTTCACTGTCCCTGGTGGGAGTAGCATTGTTCTTTCAGGAGGGAGCGCCACCCTAAGCTGTGGTGCCGTTGTCTGCGATAACGGTGGCAATGGCACCACTGTCACCCTGGGTGGCGGTGTGTTTGTCCTCCGAGACCCCGGAACCCTTGCCGCACCCACCGGTGCCAATATCTCGGTACCCTCATACTTCTGGGGGCAGAGGGAGTAAGTTCACTGCATTGAGATTCCAGTCATCGATGTTGTTATTGACCTGTTCAAAAGGAGGAAGACGTTCCCCCTAAAAGCTGGCACGAGCATTTCGGTAGTTGGCGCGCCGTCTCCGCGCCTCGACGGTGTCCTTCGTTCCGCCTCTGTACTAGCTCAGCCGTGGACCGTGCCTGCTGGCGGCACCATCATCCTTGAAGAGATCGCGGTCCCATACGGCAACGGCAGCGTCATCATCGGCGAGGGCGGCTGTGCCGCCCCTGCCGGCAGCGTCGTCCTGGGTGGGCCCGTGATGGTCGCCAGTCCGGGCCTGGCCGCGGGAGCCATCATCCCCGAGAAAACCACGTTCGGCCAAGCCACCATATTCCCGCAGGACACGTCCCTCCCCGGCGGCACGACCTTCTCTGGCGGAATCCACTTCCCCGAGGGCACCATCTTCCCAGGTCTCACAGTATTCCCCGCTGGCACCCGCTTCTCGGCGGGTGTCACCCTGCCTGATGGGCAGGTCGTCGAGAAGGAAGAGAAGAAGGAGGAGCAGCGCATAATGCCCTGGCTTAGGTGACTCCGTTTCGCCTTTGTTGGCCCCTTCCTTTGCCACTGTTTAGACTGGCGTTTTGTTTCTACCAAATATGAAATATGAAAAGGATTGTTCTACACGGCTGTCACGGCTCTTCTAGCTAGCACGTAGTTGTTTTAGACATTGATGCTCTCTGCTATCTCCGTGACACATTAGGACCTGACGGAGGAGGTCTATGCAGTGATCTTCCGAGACAACAGATTTCCTCATTAGTTCTCGCTTGCGTCTTCTCCAACGAGTGGCTGAAGTTCAGTTCAGCGGAGCTTCTTGCCAGGCAGTTAACGTACCGACATGCTCCCACACCACCTCAGCCGGGTTCTGGAAACTGTCGATGTGGCCGTAGTGATCCCGCCAGATATACTTGCGGGTTATGTCTAGGCAGTGAAGTTGGTGAAAAATTTCGACCGTTGCATAATAATGGCCGTCGATGCCCTTGGTGGGCTTTATTGTCGAGTCGAACCTCTGCAGCGTTTCGTGGTCTGCCAAGATCATCGCGTCTATGGCGGTGTCGAAATGCTAAGTCACAGCATATCCGCACGACTCAAACGAGAACACACAAAAAAGAAATAGTCCCACATACGGTCTACCAACTTCTTCCACGCCTCATCCAGCTCTCTCCGAGGCGCACCTTTGTATACGGACTTTGAGCCCAGCTCGGCGTCGAATCGCAGCGGGGAGAATGTTGCTAACTGTTCTAGAGGATCTTTCATCCTCGGTCGCTCATTATCAGTCCATGACCTTGTCTCTTAGGCGAGACGACAAAGTTCGGTGGAGGAGAGTAAAGAAAAAGAGGATGCTCAAACTGACTGTATACATTCGCTCACCACAGTCAGGACCGGGCCGGAAGCATTGTCCCCTGAATGACAGTATGTCGAAAGCCTGTGCAACCACCCGAACAACACATATGCGAGGGTTTCTTTTTGGCTAAAGGTATCATTCTGCAGGTTTTGGAGACCAAGCTGCGCTTGAGCAAATCAATCGGCAGATAGCGCATCCCCTTGTATTGGACCGTCAAAAGCCCACATGTCCCAGCAACCCGACGAGCCGCGCCTCACCCAGTTGCCGAAAGTGCTTCGCAGCACCCTCGCCCTGCATCCGGAGGAAATCAGAGTTGCTGATATGCCAAGGAAGGATGGCACGAAGGACGGCATCGACGTCGGCCAACTTGTCGACCCCCTTTATCGTGCTCGGCCGCTTCACCTCCAATCTTGCCAGCTCGTCCTCCCACATCTTAGCTACGCTCCACTAGATCGCATCACTGTTGGCAGGGAGAGGAGAGGGGAAGCGACCCTCGAGCTTCGCCTGCCGAAGCGTTGCATCCTCGGAGCTCTCATCCCCCGACCAGCCCCGAAGCTGACCTCCTGCTCCATCAAAGGAGCGGAGAAACTCGTACGCGGGATGCAGGATGGCGGCGAAGTCATAATCAAGAAGCGCCGTGATGCGATGCGAGAACGCGTCATACAGGAGGTTGTTGGTAGCTAGATAGGGCGAATTAAATCAGCACTGAGGTTTGTCCAAAGCACACTGGGCAAGGGGCGGTGAAGGATAAAGATTATGCAGAGATGTCATACTAAAGTCGGCATGCACGATGACCCTGTCGGACTTGAAGGCGAGGGCAGCAAACTGGGCAGGCAAGCCGCGTTCGATAAAAGCGTCTAGGCGTTCTCGGACACCATTGGCGCGCCAGCCTTGAATGTATGGGTTCGCATCCGCCCGTTGGATTGCCGTGTGCAGGCGACCCCGGTAGGAGTCTTCGAAGGAGCCCCAAGGGCCGGAACCAACGCTAGGCATGCCAGCACTCACAATACGCCCTTGACCATCAAAAGTTGCACCACCCCAGCCGGTGATGCCCTCGGGGAGTTTGTAGTCCTGCAGGGCTTTGAGTATCTCAGCCATCTGCGTGACGATTCCAAGCTTCTGTTCCAGGCTCATGGCTCCGAAATCCTCGTTGACGGGTGCCCCGCGCATGCGCTCCTGGAGGATCCAGCCCAGAGAACCCGCAGTGCTTGCACTTCCCCAGGCAAACACACGAGGTACCACGGCCGGCTCGACGTGGCGGAGGGCAGCTGAGGCGAGGTTGAGGATGGCTACTTCATTCTCGACCCGCGTGGCCGAGTGCATGCCTTCGGCGTCCGGGTTGCTAATGCGCAGGATCAAGTCGCGTGTACCCACAGGGATACCAACAGAGCCTGGCTGCGGCTGCGGCTCCGGCTGTGGCTGCTGTTGCCGCAACTGCCCGTCGCTGTGCTCAGTCTTGACATCCTCCGGCGAGGTGAGAGGACGGGAGAGCGTGATGCTGTAGACGAAGTTGTTGTATTTGAAGGGGCATTCTGGATCGTACTGGATTGGCACATAGGTTGTCTTCTCCAGATCCTGTTTTCCCCAAGTCATTATCAGTCTTAAAGTGCTTCAGAGTAGCACGCCAACCAAGGGCGGAGGGGAGCGAAGGAGGCGCCTACCTCACCCGAAAGGCCCAGATGCTCAGCTAGGATCTTCTCTCGGATAAAGTCGAGACGCGCTTGATAGCTCTCATGGTTGTGGGAGACTGCCGCCAACTGCCGCCATCTTAACGGGTTAGTGTCTGGGTAAGGAGTTCGGAGACAGTTAAGCGGCGGTGGAGCAGGCAGATTTGGTGCATCAATGTGGTGCTTGTCTAGCGAGTAAATAGTGGGGCTGCCAGGCGGGAGTTCTGGGACCAGACTACTAAACTACCTTAGGTAGCAATCTCCATCCAAGCTATCTTGGCGAGGTCAGCAGGCCTTGCCTGTAACTACTTCAAGGCCAAAGAGCCGCATTGAGCGCCGGGCGATGCACAAACTCTAACATTTGATTGAACATCACCAAGCCGAGAGCTCCGTGTGTCCAAATGATATCTACACAACCACGGATATCTTCTGAAACAAGCCATATCAACAGTACACGGCAAGGTCCTCTAGTTGAGCATGTGGTCTTTGACTCCAAATGCTCTAGCAATTATCAGGAAGCGGAACGGCTGCTTTCATGGTTGGGCACTACTTGGGGTTTCACTACGCTCCAGCAGTCCAGCCAGTCACAGACATGGGCAAGAAACTGTGCCGTGTTGCACCTCTGTCGATCTCCTCACTGACGTTCTCCGCCTCTTGTGTCAAGATCAATGGCAATTCTCGAGGTATACACACCTCCTCTACCATGGCGAATGTCTTCGATTTTCCGAACGGCAATAGCCTACCTGTGGTTACCCTTTGCAATCGAGCCACGGAAACTTGTCGAGTACAGATTTGCCACTACGCCTTTCGTGCTCACAGATATCTCAACATCGCACCACCTGTAAAACGCAGGGAAAAGCAATCATGCCCCTTAACACTTTTATCGAAATACAAAGCAAAGGATGATTTACCAATACAACCAGTCCGCACCATCATCCCTGGTGGCACCAGGATCCCTGGCGGCACCATAATCCCCGAGGATGCGGTCCTCCCCGGCGGCACCATCTTTCCCGGCGGCACCAAGTTCCCCGGCGGCACTCTCCTCCCGGTGGGCACCGTCCTGCCCGTCGGCACCGGCTTCCGGGCAGGAGTCTACCTGCCCGGCAAGCAGGTGGCCGAGAAGGAGATGGAGAAGGACGAGGACGAGGAGGACGAGGACGAGGACGAGAAGAAGGTGAAGAAGGAGAAGGACATCAAGCCCGAGCCCGAGTAATTTTTCGTCTCTGTAGCTTCTTCTTTTCTCTTTTTTTCCTTTTCTTTTTTGTTCTCTCTTTTTTTCCTGTTTTTCCTTCTTCTTTCTCTCTCTCTTGCTTTTCTTTCCTTCGTTTTTGCTAAAATAATAAAATACTTTGACTCCCGCTTCTTTGGCAATATGCCTCTGTTCTTATGTGCCAATGTGTGTGACAAGATGGCCATAACTCATCGATTTTAGGCAGTGGGATAACCCAAACAGATGGTACTTGCATCTTGTTCAAATTTTATCTCAACGATCTGTTGTATCTATCAAGTCTTGCTGGTTTGGTCTTCTGAAGCTGAAGGGGCGTTGAGATGTGGCGGCCAAACCACACACGCTACATGCATGCCTGCCATGGCCGAGTTAGGTATTGCGGCGAGTTCATTATATGTTTGTCTAATAGAATAAAAGATTCCTCTATTTATGCATGGCTAGTTCTTTTCAAATTGGCACTGGGTAGAATTACCATAAGCTCTACCAGGGCCCATTCCCTCTTTCTAAACTACAAAGTGTAGCGGAAGTCGGGGTGGCGGTCACCCTTGGCTCCCTGCTGAATCAGCCTTTCCCTCTCTTCAATGCTCATGGCATCACGCTGCTTGTTGATACGGCGCAGGAGATACCACATCAAAGCATAGCCGCAGCCACCGACAAACATGGTGGACATCGAGACCGCACCACCGACCAGGTAACGGCCATCAGGAGCAACAAATCTGTAAATCTGACCAGCCTATTGTATGTTGTTAAAAATAATGCCCCTGTTCTTCTCTCTCAACCTTGTAAGACATTAGGTGAGCACTTACCATAATACCAGAGCTGTTGCCAATGGTCTGCTGGAGACCGATAGCCGTGGCACGCTTGAAATAACCAGCATTGCTGTTGCTAACCCAGGTGACATTGAGGCCGACAACAATGTAAATACCAGTAGCAGTGAAGAAAGTAGCAAGGTAGAGGGGGCCAGTTGACTTCATGTTCAGCCCCAGCATCATTGCATACCCAACAACCGTGATCAGGGCAGCTGGCACCATGAAGACAGCACGCCTATTGAGGCGGTCAGAGAAGTATGAAACCACCAGATAGATGAAAGAAGCCCAAAAATATATCGGCGCTGTCAGAGCCTGAGATTTAAGGCTGCTGTAACCAAAACCTTTGATAATGAGAGGCAGGAAAGTGCCGAAACCAAAGGAACAGGTGTTGGCGCAGAACTGGCAGATGGAGGAGAGCCAAACTTTGGGGTCCTTGAAGGCCAGCTTGACCTCGTGCTTGTCAAAGACCTCGGACTCTCCCGCGTAAATCTTGACCTGCTCGGCGCGGACACGCATCAGGGCCTTGTCGTCCTCCTTGAGCCACCAAGCGACCTCGAAGTTGTCGGGGAGGAGGAAGAGGGCCAGAATACCAACGACGATGGAGATGACACCCTCGACGAGGAAGAGCCAGCGCCAGCCAGCGAGACCCTTGGCGCCGTGGAGACTAGTCAGGCCATAGGCGAGCAGGCCGCCGAAGGCACCAGACAGAGCGGCGGCAACGAAGAGGTAGGAAACGCGGCGAGCCTGCTCTGAGGGCTTGTAGAAGGTGCTCAGGTAGAGAGTCAGGCATGGGAAGAGACCAGACTCAAAAGCACCGAGCAGGAGACGGGTGGCGAGCAGACCGGCATAGTTCTGCACAAAGGCGGAGCCAACAACAGTGGCGCTCCAGGCAAGGATGAAGAAGGGAATCAGGCGACTGGGGCGGGCCTTCTTGAGGACCAGAGAGGCAGGGATTTCGAAGGCGATGTAGGTGACTAAGCACAGACACAACATGTCAGTCGATATACAGGCTGGAATGGGTGTTGTGGCTTCAAACATACCATAGAAGACAGTGACGGCAACATTGAGCTTGCCCGAATCCAGATGCAGATCCTCGGTCATGCCAGCAATAGCAGCGTTACCGATGTTGCTTCGGTCGAGATAGGCGACCAGGAAGAACAGAACCATGAGCGGCGCAAGCCAGGTGTCGAGCTTGCGGACCAGCTTCTTCTCGGCCTGGTGGTCGATCTCGAGGTCAGACGCGGACATGTTGGCTCGCGGCGACTCAACGTCTGGCGTCTCTTTGATGTCGTGAACGTCCATCTTCTCGGCCATGACTAGTGCGATTGGGGGTTTTCCTGGATAGGAAGATCGAGAAAAGATTCTCTGACTTGGCAGATCCTGACAAAAGGAAATCGAGGATGCCTGCTTCCGGATGCAACCCAAAGAGTGAATATGGTCGATCTGCTCAACGTTTCCGCACGAGTTGCGATCCCCAGAATCGTCCAGGTTGCAACATTGGACAAGATCTTATATCACAGAATGGAGGTGACCCCATGGGCACTCTTGGTGATCAGTATTCACGCTAGTTTCGTTCTGACCCCTACTTGCCTATCTCTGCAATTCCCGACGGTCGGCAAATTTGCCCCTGGGTCCATCTAGTTAGTGCCGGGAATCCTTGCCCAGGTCGAATCGGCCGACGAGTGTGGCCGTTTTAGGACAGAAACCCCAAAATCGCTCCACCCGTATCATCGCTATCAAGCCGTGGATCCCTCGAGTCATGAAAAGAGGCACGGAAATAGCGGGGAGAAACGACCTAAGAACACTTGGCGTCGGCTTTTTGAACCGATGTGACCATCTTTAGCTTGCTAGGGGAGACGTGAGTCGGTCAAAAGACCATTCGGTCCAGTCTCCTCCACCACCTTGCCTCTGTCCGATCTCGAGATATCACCGTGTTCGACTTATTGATAGCTGTCACTCCCTTGTTCCAGTTTCTCCACAGAACTCTCATAAACCGTTGCCATCCCCGAATTACCGATCACGACCCCCAGAGTCCGCACTACACAGCAGACTATACAGCTCAGGCCATTGTAAGCAGAAATGAGTGGCTTGGTGCGGAGACGAGATGAAGGCGAGGAGGATCGCGAGGCTATTGCTCCCCGAAAGAAGAGAGGCCGACACGCCGCGGTATGTGCTGCATATCCCCAGCTCATTCCAATCTCGTAGCATGCTTCTAATCTTGAGCAGGCTTGTGATTCGTGCCATCGAAGAAAGCAAAAGGCAAGTATACATTTCCCTCTCGGCAATAGGCAATATCCTCACCTTGGTCCAGAGCCCGTTGCTTGCGGGGGTTGGTTCTCTATCTGATCTCATCTCATCCCTCATCCATTGGCTGTATTCTGGGGATCAACTCTGAGCCGCATTGTCTAATTGGCTACACTCCAAGATGTCGTACTAACTCCATGTAGTGCGATGGGAGCCGTCCTTGCTTCAACTGCAACCGTCGGGGAGTGGGAGCAAGCTGCGCTTATACCAATCTGAGCTCTTCACACACCCCGAGACTCTCTTCCGGTGCCGGCCATGACCAGAAAGTCGAGCCGCCCCCACCACCTCCGCCTATCAGGGGCCCTGCATCATCGCCGGCCAATGCAGTGATAACCCCCATCTCACTCAGCATCGAGGCAGATGCAGCAGAAGGTGGTGGCCGCGCCCAATCGATGAGCGACAAGGGTGTCACCCCCAAGACGAGCCGGCAGAACTCCGGCGATGGTCAGACCGTGTCCGACCCGCCTGAGTACGCCGTGGGAGATCTCTTCAAGAGTCGCGATGCCCCGTCCTTCTTCGGGTCGTCTTACTTTGGGCCGCAGGCCGCGGCCAAAATCATCCAAGCACCACCTCCCGAGTTGTCGATGGGTATATGCCCCAAAGCCCAAGCCAGCTTTGCCCACTCGTTTAGAGATGAAGGCGGCCCATTCTCTCAGATTTGGGACCTGCTGGGTATCTTGCCACGAAAGAAGTCGACAGTCGATCGGCTTACCGAGACCTTTCTGCGCGAGCTGAACTGGACCATTGATGCAGTCAATGCCGACGACTTTCGGAAAAAGTACGAGATCTTCTGGGGTCGCAAGTTTGGCTTCGATGAGCTCGCCACCACTGATCTACGATGGCTAGCGTTGCTCTTCATAGTCCTGGCTATGGGCGTGCTCCTTGACTGTCCTAAGCCCCGGAATAAGGAGGTCCAGCGAGAAGTGCTCGATACGTCGCAGCGCTTCTACTGGGCAGCTCGACGTGCCATCGTCATCGCGCCAACCTTCTACGGCGAGTCTACTGATCTCGTACGCGCTGGTGTTCTCACCACGCGCTACCTCATCTACACGCGCCGTGTCCCGGAGTCATGGCTCACGACCAGCTTTGCCATGCGCATGGCACAGGCTCAGGGCATGCACATCGATGGAGAGAGGTGGCGACTCCCTCGCAAGGAAACCGAGACCCGAAGGCGTCTCTGGAGTCATCTTTACAGGCTTGACAAGACCATTGCTCTCGCACTGGGCCGACCTTTTGCCATTGTCGACACACAATGCCTGGTCAAGCAGGCTTCGAATGTGTGGCTCGACGATATGGACGAGGAGGAAGCTGCCAATGTCCCGGAAGCTCCACTGAGCGAGCCCACGTTATCGGTCTGCAATCGGCTCGCGCACGATCTCGCCATCATCGTCGGCAAGATCCAGGAGCGCTGCTTCGGGCTGTTTACCGTTTCCTACGACACTGTATTGCAACTTGACCAAGAAATCGTGCACTGGGAGTCAGTCTTGCCGCCCTACTTCAGGCTCAACAACCCGGATCTCTCACTAGATGCCGAACGGCCGTTCCTCGTGTGGAACAGGCTGCACCTCCACAGCATGTATCACTTCGCCAGAGTGACGCTGCACCGGCCTTTCCTGCTGCGCCAGTCCATCACCAACCGTTACAAGCACAGCCAAGACATCTGCATTGCCTCTGCATGTGCAGATCTCGAGATGAGACTGAAGTACTTCAGCCAACCGCTGACAGATCGACTCAAGTGGACTCTTGGGTCTCATCATCTGTTCAACAGCGCTCTTGTGCTCGGCATCATTGCCGTTCGAGATCCAACTTCACGGCGTTCACTTGCGATCCTCGAAGATCTGGCTGCCTACTGTGAGATGCAGCGCAATGACGTCTGGGTGAACGAGTTTGCCCTCGCCGAGATCAAGATCGTGGAGCTCTGCCTCAAAAAAGCGAAGCAGCTGCGCACGTCGGGTCCATCAACGGGAGCTGCAGGGCCCGTCGCGCCACACAATCAGCAGCAGCCAATGTCTGGACCGTCAACACCGCACCCCAATCAAACTTTTGTGCCTGAGCCGGCGGAGCCAAGCATGGTCTCCGAAGGGCAAGTGTTGGATCCCCTGTCTGTGAACTTTGGGCTTCAGGGGGGCTACGGGATGCCAAATAATCCGATGATGTGGGACGATGCTGCTTTCTTCTTCCCCGAGTCGTCGGATATCTTGCAGTGGGAGCACGTATTGAACTCGATCACTCATGACCACATCCCTGCCTAGGACATGGGATGAACATCAACGACAAGTTAGTTAGTGTAGCAGTATATAACCTAGCGATGTCTTTATGATGCTCCCCTCGAAACGTTGGCCATCTCCCAGTCCAGCTGCAATGCTTTCAATCTGACTGCATCCCAGAGTTGCAGAGCTACCCAATGAAACTCATTGAAGATGGTCAAGAAGAAGTCAATATGTCTATAATAATGCTATCGATGCTATGCCAAAGTCTAAGCCGTCCCGTTGCTTCCGTTAACGCCGTTTGCATGCACTCCGTTGCCGTTCACCTTCTTCCCACTGCTCTCATAAACAACCTTGTTCACCAGGCTGCCCACACCGTGCGACACCACGATCCTCAGGTCGTCGTTGGGCTGTAGGAAGACGGGCGGCGTCCTGCTGACGCCGATGCCGTGAGGGGTGCCGGTCATGATGACGGTGCCGGGGGCCAGCGTCGTGCCCTGGGACAGGTACGAGACGATCTCGGCGATGCTGAAGATCATGTCGTCGCCGCGGCCCTCCTGCATGACCTCGCCGTTGAGCACGGTCTTGATCTCGATCACGCTCGGGTCCGGGATGCTCTTGGTCGAGACGATGCAGGGGCCGAGGGGCGCGAAGCCGTCGAAGCCCTTGCCGAACCCCCACTGCGCGCCGTGGAACTGGTGCTTGCGCGCCGTCACGTCGTTGGAGCTCGTGTAGCCGAGGACGTAAGACAGGGCGTCCGCGCGCGGCACGTTGCGCGCCTCGCGGCCGATGACGACGGCCAGCTCGGCCTCGTAGTCGGCCTGGCCGTCGGTGGCCTGCTCCGGGATGACGAGCGGGGCGTTGGGGTGGCCGAGGCAGGTCGCGGGCTTGAAGAAGAGCGTCGGGTGGTCGGGCAGCTCGAGGTTCATCTCGCGGGCGTGGTTGCGGTAGTTGAGGCCGATGCAGCGGATGGTGCCGACCTCGTCGGCCGTTAGGGGCGCGAGCAGCCGCCCGACGGTCAGGACCTTGTCCGTTGGCTCGGCGGAAAGGTCGAGGGCGGAGGAGCCGGTGAAGACGCGCACGGAGACCGGCTGGTCCAGGGCCAGGGCGGCGCCGACTGGTACGGAGTTTGTTAGTCCTAGGTTCTGATGCTACTAGGAGCAAGTTGTTGGTGTGACACTTACTGTCTAGAGCGTTATCCTCCGGCTCGCCGACATACTCGCGGTCATCCTCCTTTGCGACAAACCGAACCAGTCGATTCCAGCGCTGGGGATGAGTGTTAGCTTTGGATCGATAGACCGCTCTCGCAGCTATTTGGTTATCTTACTGTCGAAACCATGGTCTAAATAATGAACTGAAATGTGTTATACAGAAAGACAAGCGTGCTAGACAGCAAAATGCGACAACAGGTGACGGTCTACGGCGTTATCTCAGGACCATTTGGAATACACAAGTGATCGGACAGAGAGGCTTATCAGTCATAGAGAATATGTACGATTCTCTATTTCCCGTCAAGACTCAAAGACAAAATAATGCCCAAGGAGAGGCAAGGGAAATCCTCCATGTTTCGGGTTGAACTCTCCCGATGCCTTATTCCCGACACCTTCTCCTTTTCCCGACACGATCGGCGCTGGATTTGCCATCACTGCTGTCGGCTTTTGTCTCTGCCAAGCTAGCGATCCACCCAGCAAGGGGAAACACGCGACTCAAGTGGAGATCTTGATAAAGAAAAGGGTTTATTACCGGGCCTTGCCTTTGCATATTGCGGAGTGCCAGATCCCCGGGTTTTATCATCAAACTTTTAGGTAACAATAAAGGCTGAGGAACACTTTTGTCTGGTGGAACCTCAGCGCCAGGAACGGATCCGAAGCCTAGAACCCCCTTAATCATGGAGAAGAGGCCCGACGACTCCATAGCCACGGGGAGGAGGCGCTGGCAAAGATTGTCTAGTCTGGTCGGGAAATGTGACGCGTGATCTCGAGCCTCAGAGATAGCCCTGAAGACTACCAGATAGCCTAGCAGGGCTGGACTTTGCCACGCTCACGCCGCGTCCCAGCAGGACGGATCTCCTACTGAACACGAAAGATCTTTTAGCCAGACCCCAAAAGTCGGCGCGGCTTAAGAACATCGGCATTTTGGTCCATGACACTGATAAGCTTCACAAGAATCATCGGAGTCAAGTCTGCAATTAGTGGCTTTTATCGTACCATAGCACTACCCTACCTAGGTAGGTAATCAGCGCCACGATTATCAGAATATTGATTTATCACGATTCCAGTGGCATTTGCTCATGACATTCGCTCGAGATAGAGCTTGCAGTTTGTCAACTATGACTTCTAGGTGATGTAATGATCGACGGTGCGTGTGGCGGACCAGCCATGAACACGACGCATGACAGAAAGGACGGGTGCATTGCGACACTTAATCTTAGCCCGTACACTGCATGCAAGTAATTTCGAATCCTTCTAGAATCATGACATTTGTACCCGTGCGCACGCCTTAGCATCGGGGAAACACATGTACACCCATCTGAGCCCAGCATCCTCATCTCCAATACCAGACATACCATGCCTACTCCAGCCAAGCTCGTGCCCACAGCAGTCTCGGCCCTCCGCGTGAGCAGGCACCCGATCCCGGCCCACGCCCGCATCCCCAACACCAGCATCCAGAACAAGCCCGTGCTCATCTACCACGGCGCCTTCCCGGCCGGCGACGCCACCACGGCGTCGGGCATCGAGGCCCACCTCTCCGCCGTCGGCGTGGTGGCCCCGCAGTGGTGCTACACCATGTACAGCACGACGCACTTCCACTCCACCACCCACGAGGTCCTCTGTATCAGCCGGGGCCGGGCGCGCCTCTGCCTCGGGGGCGAGGACAACCCGGGCCGCGTGGAGCCCGTGGTCGGCCGCGGGGACGTCTTGGTGCTCCCCGCCGGCGTGGGCCACCGCCTGCTCGAGGACATGGGAGGGTTCGAGATGGTCGGCAGCTATCCCGTCGGGTGCAGCTGGGATATGTGCTACGGGAAGGAGGGCGAGGAGGGCAAGGTGCAGGGGATCAAGGACATCCCGTGGTTCAGTGCAGATCCTATCTATGGCGAGAAGGGACCTGCGATGGACCTCTGAATCTTCTTGTCTTGTCAATGGTTTCGATCGTCCGAAAAAGAGCATGAAGGAGTCGCTGTCGTCAGCGGACGATGCCCCACCTCTGGGCTTCCTTCAGGTTTCATCGCGGAAGCCTAGTCTTGTCCTCCCACTTTGAATTCTTCTAAAAAGACCCAACCACGACTTTCGACTTCAATACATCATCTGCTAGCCGAACCATGACACAGCCTCTCTACGTCTTAGTCTATCCCTCGCGTCTCTTCGCCGCGCACTGGTCCTTGTGGGCACCCCGCATCGAAGCGAGCGGTCAAGAGTCGGTCGTCGGTGACCGCATTCACGTCACAGGAGACCGGCTCAACGGTTTCCAGTATGAATACATACAGAACTATAATGTCGACAAAGATGAGAGGAACCCCAAGGCTTTCCCTATCGGTCGAATCAAGACCAGTCACTTAGAGCACGGTGAACAAAGCACTGCCAGCAGTGACGGCGAGACGCACGAACTTAAAGCTATCAACGCATTCGATAGAGCATGTCAGGAGGTTGAGGCTCCTGGGCCGAGTTTGAACAAGGTTTCAATTGGCGATAATGCTGAGATACCCGGCCCGCCCAGGAGAAGGAGCGAGGTCAAAGACTGTCAGTGGTGGATTAAGCAGGCCGTGGCAAATCTGGTCGAGGCCAACATACTCCTGCCTCTGAGCCCAGAGGAGGGGAAGGATGATCCTGTGAAGCGAGTGTCAGAATTGCCAAAACACTGAATGCTCACAAGAGGCGCAATTGCGGCAAATACAGATTCCAGAACTACATAGTCAACTCTCGCACCGGTTCTAAGTAACCTAAAGTTCGTTGAGCAAACGCCTCTATTTCCTCCTCACACCTCACAAGCTGACCCTCACCTGCGTTCAAACAACTGACTGGTAGCTGTTGTATAGCCTAGTGTTCAATATTGAAAGACGCAATGTCGTACCTAAACGCACGCAAGTTATTGGAATAACCTATGTGCTAGGAAGGACTTCTCAACTTGATTTAATCGTTGCCAGTCACAAGGTCTGGTGCCAAAGTTTCGGTGCCTAGGTAGCCCACATTGACATACATATGAGGGCGGATGCAACTTGGAGGACTTTTCTTCTTCAAGATACTACCTAATAACTAGATAATTAAATAAGTTGAGCTCGCCAAACATACCCAAACATAATCCCGCAGACCAAAACGTAAAATATCATACATCGTACATGGAAGAAACAAAACATCCCAACTTGATTGACAAAGGAAAAGGACATTGAATCATGCGAGTACTTCATTTAGCCGCCGAGGCCGAGAAGACCGCCGCCAGACTTCTTCTTCCCCCCCTTTCCGGTAAGAGAGTCAGTGACACTACCCAAGCCAAGTCCCTGAAGGATCTGCTTCACGCCGAGGCCGCCGAGAAGGTTGTCGACAAGACCACCAAGACCGAGACCGCTCAAGAGTCTTCCGACTAGGCCCAGCACACCGTTCAGCAGGAGACCGACGGCAGCAAGGATCTGGAACAGCGGCTCGCTAAGAAGGTTCCAGAGAGGATTGAGCTCCTTCTTGGCGTGAGGCATGCCCTCGATCTTCTTCTTGGCGTTCTCGATGGTCTTGGTGACGGTGCCAGTGAGTTCCTTGAGGAGGTCGGCGAGGTGGTATTCCTCGGGGCTGGCCTCGCGGGAAGCAGTCCTGGACTTGGCGTTGGCCTGGATGTGGCCATCGGGGTCGAGGCCACGGATCGAGCCGTTGGCCTCCTGGAGGATCTTGCCGCCCTCTTCGATCAAGGGGCGCACATCCTTGACGAGCTGTTCTTCATCAAGCTCCTCCTTGGGCTGACGCTCAGCAGCCTCGATTTTCTGCAATGGCGAGATGGTTAGCGGATATTCATGTAGTCATGTATCGAAAACTCAAAACATACCTGGGTGATCATGTCACAGACTGGCTTGACCTTGTCCAGGCAACCCTGAATGGCGTATGCCATTCTCTTGGCGAGCTCCTTGTCGTTCTCGGCCAGCTCGCGCTTCTTCTTCTCCTCTTCCGTCTCGGTCGGCTCCTCCTCCTTAATCTCAGACATGAGAGAGACGTGGCCGATGGTGTTGCCCTTCTGGTCGATGACGTCTCCATCATCGTCGATCTCCTTGCCGATGCAGATACTCAAGTCTCCGGTGGTCAACTTGCCGATGAGGTTACCGTCCTCGTCGACGACGTTGCCCTCATTGTTGACACGGCGGCCAGACATGGGGTTCTTCTTCTTCTCGACCTCGGGCTCCTCCCAACGCTCGGCCTTTCCAATAGAGTTGCCGTTCTTGTCGAGAATGTCGCCGTCGTCATCAACAGGGCGACCCTTCAGCGCCTTGGGGTCACCGCTGACAAGGCGGCCAACGACATCGCCGCCAGGCGTGACGACCTTGCCGTCCTGACCGACGGTGCAGCCCTCGAGCTCGGCGAAGGGGCCCTCCTTGAAGCCCTCGCGGTCGCCCTCGGGGATGACCTCGGCGCGACCGATGATGTCGCCGCTCTCGCTGAGGACGTTTCCGTCCTTGTTGCACATGCGGCCGGTCAGGCGCTTGATGTCGCCCTCGACGACGCGGCCAAAGATCTGGCCGTTGCTGTCGACGACGTTGCCGGCCTTGTTGACGCGCTTGCCGGCGAGGATCGAGTTGTCCTTCTCGGGCTCGGCCTCGGGCTCCTCCTCCTCCCAGCGCTCGGCCTTGCCGATGACGTTGCCGTTCTTGTCGAGGATGTCGCCGTCCGGGTCGACCTTGTTGCCGCGCAGCTTCTTGATGTCGCCCTCGACGACCTTGCCGATGACCTCGTCGTTGAAGACGACGTCGCCTTTGGCGTTGACGAGGGCGTCGGGGAAGGCGGCGAAGGGGCCGGCCTCCTTGTCCATGTCCTCGAGCTCGTCGGCGGGGATGGGCTCGGCGCGGCCGATGACCTTGCCGTTGTCGTTCCAGATGGCGCCCTCCTCGTCGACCTTCTTGTTGACGAGGTGGGCGAGGACGCCCTCCTTGACGCGGCCGACGACCTTGCCGTCGAGCATGACGTTGCCGCCCTTGTTGACGGTGCCGCCCTTGAGGACGGTGAAGTCGATAGGTTCTTCAGCCTCGGCGACCTCACCTTCAGCACCCTCGACTCCCTCCTTGGCGGCTTCCTCTCCTTCTTTGGCAACATCCTCGCCCTCTTTAGCGGCTTCCTCACCTTCCTTGGTGACTTCTTCACCTTCTTCCTTGGCAGTCTCCTCGCCCTCCTTGGCGGTCTCCTCACCTTGCTCCTTGGCTTCCTCGCCAGCATCCTCGATGCCAGACTTGGCAGAGTCAACCTTGGTCAGAGCCTCGCCCGTGGCCTCGTCGGCTTTCGAGCCGGCATCCTCCTGGGCCTCATCGGCCTTGGAGCCAGCTTCTTCCTGGGTCTCCTCGACCTTGGAACCGGCCTGCTCCTGCGTCTCGTCGACCTTGGACCCGGCCTCCTCCTGCACCTCGTCGGCCTTGGAGGTCGCGTCCTGAGCCTCCTCGGGGATCTCGTCCTCGGGCACCTGCTCGTTGATGCGGGACACCGAGTCCTCGGGCTGGATGTCGTCAGGCATCTCGAGGCCGCCGCTCTCGCCCTCCTGGCCCTGCCGGAGACCCTCCTGGAGCTCCGCGAGCGCGGCTTGGCCCTGCTCGTCGGCATCGTCGTCGGCGCCCTCGTCGGCGCCCTCCTCGAACTCCTCCTCGACGTCCTCGCCGGCCTCCTGGCCCGTCATGGGCGTGGGCTCGTTCAGGGCCTCCGAGGTCGTCTCGCCGGACGCCTCCTGGACGTCGCTCATGGCGCCCTTGGCCTTGGAGCCGGTCTCGCTCGCCGCACCCTTGGCCTTGGAACCGGTCTCGCTCGCCGCGCCCTTGGCCTTGGAGCCGGCGGTGCTGGCGGTGCCCTTGGCCTTGGAGCCGGCGTCGCTCGGCGCGGCGCCCTTGGCTTTGCTCTTGGCCTGGCCGGCGGCGCCCGTGGCGGTCGACTTTGCGCCGCCGCCCGCGGCGCTCTTGGCCGCCTTGCTCGGGGCGTTGGTCGTCGTCGCCTTGCTCTGGGCGTCGTTGTCCTTCATCTTGATGGGCTGCTGCTTGGAGGAGGAGCTGGTGGTCGACTTCTGGGTCTGGCTCTTGTTGGTGTCGCTGCCGCCGCCGCCGCCGCCGCCGCCACCCTCCTTGGACTTCTTGCCGTTTTTGTCGTCGCCGTCGTCAAAGTACTCCTGGCGCGTCTCCTTGCCCTTGCTCCAGGGCCAGGCGCCGGCAGGGGGGGTCTTCTGGACGTCGGTCATGGCGGGAGGTGAAGCTATTGGAGGATGATTGGCGTATAGGTGGCTATACTACGTGTCTGTCTGTGTGTGTGTGTTTGCGTGTGATATTTGTTCTGGGTGGTGATCGTAACAGCTCGGGTTTCAGGTATCTTGTAGGTATAGGTCCGTGATGTTATGATAATATAGTATACAATGGTTTGGGGTTTTGTTGTTTCAAGAGAAGGGGTATCGTTGGGTGAAGATGTGTGGCTGGTGAGATGACTATGCCCAAAAAGACGTGGTATTGGAGGTGACCAACCGCCTTTTATCACAAACGCCCATGATTTACGATCCCCCCGTCGCGTCGCGAACGAACAAGTGGGAAGGGAGGGCAGCTTCGACAAGGCAGCAGAGCTGTAGCAAAACAGCTATGATGGAGACACTCGCACACTTGAACGTCATCAAGGCCTAGATCGACGTCACGTATGTGCCATTCATCTCGATGGACAGAGCTTCTATTACGCAGGTCAGGAAAGCTTATTAGATGGGTAAGCTGGGCAAATCAGGCTGGAAGTGGCTGGTGTCTGCCTGTTGGCCTGCTTTTCCCGCGCCTTCGAAGCTCGATAGGGCTGGGCGTATCCCGGCTGGGATGACTTCATCACTGTGGTCCCGTCTCCTCAGTTTGTGCCACACCAAGTCTAGGCGTTCGTTTACGAGAGAACGGGGAAGAGGAGGAGAATGAAAGGGTTCTGATATTAACAAAGTGCAAGTGGTGCCGTGCTTGCATAGTTACCCCACGAGGGGGCGTTAGATAATAGGCGGTGGTGGTCCGGGATGACGAGCCACAGTTCTCCCATTGGCTCGGCCTGCTCCAGCCAACCTTGTCCGAGAGACGGTCGAGGTCATGGAGCAGAGCCATCGGAGGATAAAAACCGGTTCTGGATGGCCTCTGTGGCTTGTTTGGCCCGTTGGCCTGTGAGCTTGTCTCCATCACCCCCGTTTCCACTCCCCTCCACCACCCCGGTCCTTGATGTGTGGCGAATGACTTACACCACATTGCACTAAGTGGCTGCAGGTGTACACTCCTTGGCCCCCGGCAACCCTTTCGTAATGATCTACTGTAGGCCGTTTCACACAGTCCTCCTCCCTCCTCCCTCCCTTCCTTTCGTGATATTGCTCGTACTGTGGTTTAGTTCTTTGATGCTGTTTTTACGTCATCTCGCTCCTATTCTTGCCTTTCTACACATCAGCTAGAGCGAGGTCAAGAGGCGGGCCAAAAAAAACCGGTTTACTATATTCCTGCCCGCCTTAGCTTTGGACTACCCTCCCTTTCAACCACCGATCACTGCGTCTTCTTTGCATCGTGCACAGATCGGGAGCGTCTTGACAGCTCTCCCCTGATGATTGCTCTCTTTTCTCTCATTTCTACTGCAATCGTGGTATCTCTTGAGATGTACACTAATTTGAACCGTCCCCCTTTTACGAGGAGACTACCGTCGCCCGCCAGAGCAAAAACGCCGTCTGACCTGCCATATGCGGATATCACTCGTGTTTCACCAGTAATCCCCCCCAACTCCACCCGATAAAAAAAACAACGCCGTGGCCGATTATGATGATGCTAATCATGAGAATGAGACCCGGGGCTGGGTCCCGCCGGCGAACACCGTCGGGATCCGGATCGTCAGCTGGATGCCTTCCGTGGTCGACTTGACGTCGAGGAAGATATCGGACGGGCTGTCCTCCTTCCTGTGGCTCTGGGCATTCTCCCTCTGCTGTCCAGAGGAGGGAGGCCCCTGGGACGAGCCCGACGGCTTGTTCTGCCCGTCGCCGGACGATGAATTCTTCCCGGGTTCCTCCTTCTTCTCCTTGGGCGGCATCCGCAGGTTGTCGTGGAAGCTACCGACTATATTCCCGCTGTCATCGAGTATGTTCCCGTCTCCGTCGACCCGGAACGCGCCTTTCTGCCGGCCCATGAACTCGTCCATGCTCTCCGTCTCGGACGCATCTTTGCCCGCTCCCACCTTGTACCCTTCCACCTCTGCGACATACCCCAGGAGCTCGCCGTCCTCGTCGTGCACGTCGCCGCGCTCATTAGCGACCGTTCTCCCGACCATCGAGGGTAGATCACCCTCGACCCGGCCGAGGACTGTTCCGTCCTCGTCCGTGTCCACCACATCGCCGTACTCGTCAATCTTCTTGCCCACGAGCTTGGTCATGACATCTTTAGGTATAAAAGGCCGCCCGGCGGACGAGATGGTCGGGTCGTGCGGAGAAGGCTTCTCTACGGGTGGGATCTTGCCAATCTTGGGGATGGGCGCGACGTACGCCGGGCTCTTCTCTCTCTCCTGCGAGTTTCCCGGCGCATCTTTCCTGCCATTATTGCTGCTCTTGTTGGTGTGGTTCTTCTGTCGTGAACGTGAACTGTCCGCCTCGTCGTCTATAATCTCCTCCTCAGGAGGGTCGTCGTAGATGATACTGTCCGGCCGAGATTCCTTGGTCTGGTCGTTGTGCGTCGCGTTGGGAGTGCTGGACACGTCCTTTGCGCCATCTGCCTCGGACATCGTAGGCCGCGGCACCACGCGCTCGAGCGTCTTCTGGATGTTCTTGGGCGCCGCCAGCGCTGCAGGTCCAACGCCAAGTAAGCCTTATGACAGTGACTGCGCCTCTCTAGATCGTAGGAGCTCTGGCGAGAGCACTCAAACTGAGGGACAGCGTCTTTCTCGCAAAAGTCCGCACAGAGCAGTGAGGCACGGAAGCCCACTACGTCAGGTTCTGCAAGGCAAGCGAGGTGCGATGTGGGCAGAAGAGGGTGGGCAGCCCAGGCTCCGCTGTGGCTAGGTCAATCTCTCCTCGGCAGAATGCTGATCTGTGCAGGTCTCTCTTGCCAGAAAGCTGAGACAGGCGTGCGCGTTCTAGACCTCTAACGGCAACCGGTAAAGGGTAGCGAGAGATGGGGCAAGCAATATGGGGTGCGTGTATCAGGAAGTTTCGAATGCAGGCCGGGCAAGGAGCCATGCAGCAGCCGGTGTTTGCTTGTTGCGTGCGTGCGCGTGTGTGCGGTACAGAAATGACAGGTTTGGGAGAAGGATGGCATGAGGCAATTAGGGATGGGATCTGCCTCCTCAGCGGCTGGGCAAGGAAGCTGTCTGGGCAGAGGAGACAGCTCCAGCCACACAGAGGCGGTCAGAGCCTGGACCGTGAGCGAATCCATGACATCACGTCGTCTGTGGCATGAAGCAGAGGAGCCCCCTTGTCAGTATTACGAGCATCTCATTCGGCAGAATGTCGACAAAAAACCTGTCCAGGCTGCAGAAATAGGACCGGGGTTGTAGAGGTGGCCGCAACGTGTGGCTGACGTGTAGCTTTCTCCGCAAATGTCCACCGTTGACACCATTGTGGCTCTCTCCTCTGGCCTCCACCGCCGATCGATCGAGAGCTGCTCGATGTGATGTGATGGAAAGTAGCAGCAATGGAATGCGGTACCATGCCTGAACACCTAGTTATGTAGAGAAAGAAATCTTGGAAACCTCCAGGTCCAAGAGGGCAGTCTGGCCGGGCGATTCTTGCTCTTGTGTACCAACCTGTATACTCTAGCTTCGGCATTCCGCGAAGCATACGCCCACCAGCAGTGAAAAGAGGGAAGATACCTGTTCCAACGGCTCCCAGTAGCATCGGAGCTAAGAGGGAGTCGAAACACTCATGCCTGCGCTAAATACGGCGCACTCAACCGAACTGGGGGCCAAGTTTAGCTCGTCCGTCGGATGGGTTGGATGGAGAAAGTGAGCTGGAGAAGGACGGGCCACATGGACCGGGCCCAAACCGTTAGCGGCAGGTCGTTCTGGGCGAGGGAAACGGCTGCTCCCTTTGTGGTTAGCCGTGCGAGATGGTTGTGGCTAATGCGGCTAATAAGAGAAGCTGGTGCAGTTGGGGAGGAGGGTGAAACGGAGCAATTCCGAAGAGCTCCACCCAGCGTATCAACAGGTGAGGAATGCCCGACGGTTCTGCAACGAAGATGGCGTTGGATGCCTTGTGAAGACAGATGGATGGAAGTTCAGCAGCCTGGAGCCCCTTGTTTCTCGAGTCCGCTCCCTTCGGACGTGTGTGTGCTTTGTGCGCTGGAGCATCGGTGGTCGTCAGGCCCCCAGCCAGTCAGCACGGCCTGCTGCATGTTGACAGCGGCTGCAGCAACGCCACTGATTCACGTCGTGCTTGTAGGACTAGGTACGGAGTACATGCGACAGTCCTCGTCCCCCTCCCCTGGTGTACGATTGGATCGCTGGGTTGCACCCGTTAATCCCGCCCGCGCAGATCACACTCCAGGACATAAAAAAAACGCAATCGACGTAACACTGGCGATACTGCACACCGTTTTCTGCGGGGGTGAATTGAAATTAAAACCAGTAAAGGAGGGTGTGGCTTGAGCTGGCTTCGTTCACAGAGTTTGCGCCTAAAAGATACGGGGTAAAACGCGAGGAGAACCGAGAAGACGGTTTTGAAATGCTCGCTCGGGCGACCCGCGCGCAACTCTCCATTCTGCCTGTAACCATGGCCAGGACCAGGGCAGAGGGTGAGCATGTGGCCCTCCCGAAGAGTCGCATCGTTTCCGGTGGCACCAGGCGGGTAGCCGCACTATCGGGCAAGCTTAATTCTCTTGCGCCTCGACTCGCGCAGCATTGCATCGGTTCCCGCGATGGCAATAGCGGGGCTCACGAGTATACTTCGTATGCTTTGCTTCTTTTCTCGTCAAAGCACCCAAGGGCTCTCTGTGTAGCCCAACTCAACCTGTTCCTTTGGGCCTTGGATACCGTAGCTTGCCTTTTTTTTTTCCTTCTTCTTGTTTTGCTCCCAGCCAGACCAAATGATCATGCACATGATGCATTTCGGCCGCTGGAGGAGAAGGCAAGGGATTTCCATCGGAAGCTCTTGGGGTCGTAGACCTCTGCTGGCGCCAAGTTGATTCCTGGTACCCTAATGCAACACCGCTCGGGTCGGACGACTTTTTACATTTCTCCTGGGAAAGGGTAAGCATGCGAAGCTTGACTCGCCTGCCTAACTTTCCAAAAACCAAGGCAGTCGAGCCGGAGCACATACACGCGCGAGCATGCCACGTTTCTTCCCAACTCCAGCCTTCTGCTCATGATTTCCCCACGTCAGTAAGGTGCTACTTCTGGCACACTGTCACGCTCGAACTGTGCCGAGGAACCTGCGCCAACTGAGACATTGACCCTCTCGCTTGGTAAGTTTGGGGCCCAACGGAGGCCACATGGATGGCCCGTGGCGCACCCTCCAGCGCCCAGAAAATACCGGGGGATGGTAGGCAACCCCAGTACCGACCACAGGATCACTCACAGTGGTAGCACAGCGTCCTGCAGTGCTTCCCCCGCGCTGCTGGGAATAAAACGTACTCTAGCTGTCATGAAAAAGAAAGAAAAAAAAACGGCGCGTGTCGCACAAGAATCAACGGCAAATCGGCGAATACCTGTCAAAGGGGGCACTTCGGACTTTTGAAGAGGGGAGGGAACTCGAACGCTTGCGACTAAGATCACCGAGTATGTCCACAGGGCGTAGACAATGCAATTGGAGCGTGTGATGTACCCGGGTCGCTCGGCAGTTGTGTGTGTTGGGCTGCTGAGATGTGACGAGACAAGGAATGCAAGCCAATGGCCGCCAGAGGTGCGCTGGAGTTCGGTGATCACACTGACGCATGCAGAGGGAGTCACTCTGACGCCAACATCCAACTTTTTCCCTTGCCTTTCCCATGATATCCCAAAGTGTGGCTGGTGACCCTGTCCTCCCACCCGCGGAAATTGCAATTCCATCATAGCTTTTCTAAACAGAATCCTTAGCCCCTGTGTGTGAGTGGGGAGGGGGGGAGGAAAGGTGAAGTACGCCGCTAAGAAGGAAAGAAGGGCCGTCACGGACGGCGCCTGCGGGGACCACCCTCTCCTTCCTAGCGTCGACATGAAACCGGATGTCAGATGGACTTGGTTTGCCTAACGACATGTCTACTAGCTACCTACCTAGGTACTGAGTATCTGGGCTTACGAATGTATACGCAGTCTCTGTGGGTTTTCGACCTCTGCTGCCTTGGCGCCCTGGAGCGTTCGTCCTCCAGACTTGGTCTCGTTGACGATGGCTTGCATTCCAAACCGCACACAGCTACCAAGGACATCATACACACACGAGACAACAGCAGGATATTCAGTAAATGGTTCACAAAGGAAACCCATTGTTTAGATTCTTTGCTAGTCATACAAAGTAATTGTAGTCAGACTCAAACATACATGATCGCAATCGCTTCCTTCTAGGTTGGAGGTATGAAATAATAACAGGACTAAACCAAATTCCAAAGTTTCATCATCGTGATTCCAAGAGCAAAAAGCTCCCGAGAAGGAAATCCCCATCCGTCCAGTCACGATAAAACGCGGGTTTCCATAATCGCCGAAGCCCCAAGACCAAAATGCGGAAGACAATAAAAGCCACGAAAGCTTACCGGCAGCAAGCCAGAAACAGATCCTTTTTGAAGGGTGATATTATGTTGTGGGAAATGAAGAAGAAGCCCCGTGATTAAGGGAGAATGGAGGGGGGGGGGAAGAATCAGTTCCTAGAGAGCTTCCGGTTAGCCTGTGTTCCGCAGAGTCTGTGGTGCAGCTGCGCTTGTGTGCTCCTCGCTGGCGTGACGGAAAAAGGAAAGCTCTTTTTCCAATTGCATCTCCTGCGTCACACAAGAGTGACAGCGGGAAGGAAAGCAAAAGAAAAAAAGAGGGCCCTTTTTGGTCTTGCTTAAGTTTCTCTGCAGGCCTGGTTAACGACTAACCGGCTTATTCAAGGCACACACACATGACGAGGTTGGAGGGGGGTGGGAGCAGACAAATACGAGAGGACATGGAGGGGGCCAGGGGCCACGGTGTACGAGGCGGAAGAATGGGGGGAGGGGGATGAGAAAGAATGTATACGTACAGGAGCGCCAGCTCAAGATCGCCGTGGATCTTGGCCTTGAGCGTGATCTCGACGTCGAGGTTGAGGTCGAGGCGCAGGCGGAGGGTGTCGCTCTTGCCCTTGCCGCCGCCCTCGGACGCCTGGTTGCCCGCGACGCCGCCGAGGGCGCCCGTCGCGCCCTTGACCAGCCCGCCGGCCGTGTCGGTCACGCCGCCGAGGCCCACGCCGTCGAGGGGCCCGCCGCCGCTCTGCTGCTGCTGCTGCTGCGTCTGCTGCGTCTGCTGGCGCGGCCGCCGGCGCTGCATCTGGCGGTTCTGCTGGGGCTGGGGCTGGTACTGCTCGTCCGAGGACGCGTCCTCGGCGTCAGACTCGTAGGTCTGCGCTGGCCTCTTCTCCTGGGAGCTGTTGCGGGAAGACATTTTTGGACAGCGGCGTGTTTCCTGTGGTGGTAGACTGGTTCGATGGAAACGGGAACAGACGAGTTGTGCTGGATATGTGTGTGTGTGTGTCTTTTGGTCTAGACTCTTGTTGAGAGTTATGATTGAATATCTTTTTGCACAAAGACTTCTCTCGATGAAGGAAGTTCGCAAAGGAAACCCCTTTTCTATATCAATCGACTCGACTCCGATCCCATCTCGGCACTAGCGTCCAAAACAGGATTCCGCTTCGTGATCATCAAAGGGGTCCTGCGCGAGCGAAGAGCTATGATGTCGATGAAATCATACCTACCCTCCCTGTGATGAAAGTGATGAAATCGTCCAAGCCTTCGAGTCTAGACCTTCGGTCATAACCAGGGTTACATTCCGCCTCCAGTACTTGTAAGGCACCCCCCGGTCCGACGAGCAGGGGTGTGGTCAGAAGACAGCGGGAGCGCGATGTGATGTCGATGAGAGAGCCACAGAGCCAAGAGCGAGAGGTAGTGGGTACTTGATACATTCTCCAATATTAGACGGATACGACTCGACTAACAAACCCACGGACCCATCCTTCGCCGCCCCTCTTGTCTCCGTGCAGATCGATCCAATTGTTTGACGCCCTCGGCATGCAGAGCGAAAGGCAAGCCACAACACCAAAGGAACGCCAATGGGGAGTGGCACTCCTTCCGCCCCGCCCATTAACAGCCATCTTATCCACAGAATTTCCCTGTTTTCCTTGACCATTTCTGCTCCGTAAACGCCGTCCTGGTGACTCGACCGTCACCCCCTACTACCACCCCCCGTTTCACCCATTCACCCTCATTTCCTTTCGTGTGCCAGATAGAGAGCAGGCGAGCGTCATCTCTTCTCGTCCGGCCGGACGTATCTGCTCTCCATCCCCAGCGCCATCTTGCGCCGTAATTTGATCGGTATCCTCAGCCCACGTCCACCACCCTCCCCGTCGTCTGTGACGCGTCGCTGCCCTCCGTTATGTTGATCTCGATCGAGGAAGACGCACCACTTCCCTGTTTCCTCGTCCTCGGCCGCCACAAACCCGCCGTCCCTCCCCTCGAGCGTCAGCCACGTCTCGTCATCGCTCCAGCCCCAGGGCCCAATGAGGTGCTCCAGCGTATCCTTGCGCCCGCCGTGCCGTAACGCGCCCGTCTCCCTGTCGACGAAGAGCCAGTTGAGCATGGGCGGGTCGTCCGCGATCGTGCTCACCAGCCCCAGGTGCTTCTCCTCGCTCGGGTACGTGAAGTAGTACCCCGCGAATCTGTGGCCCGGCGCCGGAGCGTCTGGGTGATCTACCCACAACTACCGTTTTGATTGTCAGCCCACTTTCTCACTCTCTTCTCTTCATTTCATGCCTTATTCCGTAACGTCATGCTCCCATAACACATCTCCCCCAAACGGTCAAGATGTGGCTGGTATGACGTTTTGGAACGTAAACAAAAAACCAGGGGGCCGGGTCTCCCTTACCTTCCCGTCTGCCAGAACGCAGAAGCACTCCACTGCTGGGCCGCCGTCGAGTGAGAGATCCGTGGTCATGGAGAATTTGGCTTTCTCCTTAGCTGCCGCGTTCTGCTTCTTCTGCGCACTGAGTGCCTCGCATACCCCAATCGTCGTGGGGATCCCCGCGATGACCAGGAGACCCAGTACCATCTTGTGTGCGTATTTGTAGCTTCGCGTAGGTCGAGCCAGTATATTCGATGATGTTCAGACTTGCTGTCCCAGGAGAGTCTGCGTGAGCTCGATGGTTCTAATAGGATGCAGTCGTCGGTTCTTCTGCGCACTACTCGCGTGCTTCTGCTGTGCGCCGTCGTTGGATAAGGTTTGTGCTGCGTCTGGAACTTTGGCAAACCCCACGATGCCCCAATAATTTTCATATATGGCCCTTGTCCGATCTTTCCACCGCGCATCTCGATATGCACTTTTCGGTGTCCCATTAACTGGTACCGTTATTACCATCCATGCCTCCATGACATAACTCATGATGGGACTGCAGGGGCATGCTAATGCACCACTACGGGGGCGGATCACCACACCCACCCTCAGCTCCACTCCTTGCAGGGGGTCAAAGTCCCAGGTACATCCAGCCCTCTGAGCTGTGGCTGATGTATCAACATCATTCGTAGGGATCACGACGTCATCCAGCCCTTACCCATCCACAACACTTGTGCGTAGAGGAAGAGATGTTCGCGTGTTGTGTGATCGAATGCGTCAGGCCAATAACTGGGTCTCTGTGGCTTCATGCGACCCTGCAGCTTGTGTCGGTCGGTGACGTCGAAGCCTTTCCCCAGCCCAGGGTTGCAAAATCATGTTTCCGTCCCAATTGCGTAAGGGTTGAGGTCTGTAACAGAGTCCACAAAACAAGACGAACCCCTTCGAGAGAAAGGACTTAAACGGTCAAGTCGTATCATCCCCTTTTGGCGCAGCACATCCCACATCCAAACTTTGATGATCAAGTAATCCTTTCCCACACCAGACCAGACCAGTCTCAGACAACGACATAGACACTCAACAACATGGCACCTGTAAGTCCCAAATGTGTTGAGCTGCCCGGACAAGATACTGATGTATTCACAACAGCAGGATAAGGCCAAGCAGCCCAAGGAGGCTGCCCAGAAGGAAGAGACCTCCCAAGAGCAGCAGCCTCAGCAGCAAGAAGTGCAACAAGACACGGCCAAGCAGTCCAAGGAGGCACCTCAGAAGAAACAAGAACAAGCCAACGAGCCCGAGCCCCAACAGACAGCTGAGGCGGACAACCAGCCAGAAGCCGAGGCCGAGGATGCTCAGGCTGAAGACCAGACCGAGGAGCATGCCGAAGCACACGAGCCCGAGGCGGAAGAAGCCGAAGAGGAAGAACCTCCACAGGAGGGCGAAGAAGCTCAGGAGTACGAGCAAGAGCCCGAGGGTGAGGGGGAAGAGCAGTACGAGGACGACGACGGTAAACAACAAGCTGAGGCTGAGGAAGTCGATGACCAAGAACAGCCCGCCGAGGACCAAGAGGAGCAGTATGACGACGAGGGGCAAGAGCAGCAGGAAGAGTATGCCGATGACGATCAGCAAGAGGAAGGTGTGGAAGGTGAGGAAGAAGCAGTCCAAGACGAGCCCGAACAAGACCAAGAAGAACAGTACGAGCCTGAGGGAGAGCAAGAGGAGGAGTACGAGCCTGAGCCGGAGATGCAGCGAGAGGAGCAGCCTCAACAGGACGAGGCCTCGACGCCCGCATCCTCGCAACCTCCCACTCCCAAGGACGAGGAGCAGCCGTACTACATGAAGGACCAGGAGCAAGAGACCAAGAACCGCCAAATGCAGAAGCGCCAACCCCGGCGCCAGAGGGATATGCAGATGCAGCAGCAAAGCCAGCAGCAGATGCAACAGTACCAGCAGCAGCAGATGCAGCCACAGCCTCAGGGGGGCGGCGGCGGCGGCGGCAAGAACCCGCTCAGGCTGCGGCTAGATCTGAACCTCGAGGTGGAGATTGAGCTGAAGGCGCGGATCCATGGTGATCTGACTCTCGCTTTGCTGTAAGTGACGTGGCCCTGTTTCTTTTAATCACCCCAGCCTCGTACCCTACCTGCTCCCGGTCTCCTTGAGTGTTACTGGCACCCAAGCAACGGCTGACATTCTGCCAAGGGAAACTTAACTAACGCGTTGACCTTTTTCGAAGGGAGGGCTTGTGATTCTGCGATATCAACACTTGTTGAGTATGCTTTTGGAATGTCGAATCGTCAGATATGGTTATCGAAACAGCGTTTGCTTTCATGCTTGTCGTACAGCTCCATCGTGCGAGCGTGCCGGGTATATTTCCTTTGTTTCGGTCCTTGACTTTTTCCCTCTTGAGTCGTTGGCTGCGCGGGACAACCTGCGTGGACGCGCAAAAACGATGTATGACTATTATTTAATCCACGATCAACATAGACTGCGTGTAATACCAGATTGTATGATTACGCTTCGATGCTCGTGACATGATGGCTCATGGATTGTGTGTGTTGTAGCGTTGGCATGCTTGGCGGAGACGAGGTCACCAGCTGCTCGAGAATCGTGCATTACCGTCCGTGTCAGACTCCCAGAGACATCGTGTGAAGAATCCCTATGGAGACTTCATGTATCGTCTTGGTTGGTAGGATGCTAGAGAGGATGCTAGAGAGGAAGGCTATCCCGAAGAGCTTCGACGTCTGGTGTGGGATTTTTTTGGGTGTTTCTGTCCCAGTCCAATCGATGACATGGTTGACAGGCTACAGCACAGAACCTCTTTTATCGCCTCTCCCATTGGCTGTTCGGGAGGTTTCAACCCCGCAGTTTCAGTGGTCAACACTGCGTAAAACAGGGGAAGCTCTGGAGGCGCATCCACGTGCAGCCGGTCCTCGGCGGACCCTGGGATTTTCTCAATGACCAGCAACCGGCGTGCATTGATGCTTAATTCCAAACCCCAGATCGAGAAAAGCGGCAGAACACACACACCGCAGACCGTGACTCACGTTTATTCCCGGGCAGGTCAGAGCTGAGGAACATCAAATCGGAAAATTGATCCGCCCTCTCGCTACAATTGAGTTCATTGTCTCTCCGCACTGCTGCTTGTGTTGCCTCCTCTACTCCCAAATTCCCCGACCTGAAAAGGTTAAATCAAGTCGTCATCTCTCTAGACTGTAATTGATCGAGGCCTCGGCCATTAAAGAGGCGCGTTCCAGCCAGAGATCTGAGAAGCGGTCGGACGAAGGCGAGGCCCTCAATTGGCCAGCCCCAAGCCGATATCGCCACGCATCTGCAGGAGGAATATCGATTTTGTGGGCTTTGGTCTCTGGGGGCCGCTGTGATTCGCCGCAAGTGCCTGGCGTGCCCACTAAACAGACCGCTAAGTGCACCGTGCGTGGGCGGGTGCCACCCTCCTGGCAACCCCACAATCGCCCAAAAAAATTGAGAGAGCGAAGACTCATCCGACACCAGACCACAGCTCGTGTGCAGGCATTGTACCTCGCCCAATTCGGCCAGCATTTTCTCTTGGTGTTGGAAAACACTCCATCTTACATCCTCCAGGATCACCACATCGCCAGCCTCAAACACTCCAGGCACGAACTCGAGGCGATTGTCTGTCTGTACTGCGGCTCGAGAGCCCTGCAAGGCGGTGTTACACTGCCATTGTCAACCCAATTTCTTTCCGCTTTGTTGCTTCCCTCCCCGCTCCTCCAAGATGCTCCGATCCGCTCAGGCCAGCAGGGCCGTCAAGAAGGCCCTGTCCCAGGTCCAATCGACTTCACCCCGAACTCTCAACTCCTACACTGGCGTTTCCGTCATCTCAGCCTCAAGGAAAGCCGTCTACGGCTCAAGGAATCAGACAACTTCGGCCAAGACCCAGACCGCGTATGTTCCGCCACCTCGAGTTCTGTCGACTTCCCGTTCTTGTGACTCACGTCTGGATTGGTGATATTGGCTTGCTAACATCGACATGCCTTCATGATAGGGACGCGCGCGCAACCCCGAGCCCCAGCTTCAATGCAAAGGAGCGCAGCCATGTCCAGCCTCTCGTCAACCCCCGCCAGGCCGAGATGGACGAGTCGTATGTGTCACCGCCTGCCCTGCTGTCAGACCGCCCGATTGACCAATTCTTGGATACAGTTTCATTGGCAAGACTGGAGGCGAGATCTTCCACGAGATGATGCTGAGGCATAACGTCAAGCACGTCTGTATGTTACCGCGTCCTCTTGTACAAACTCCTGCAAACGAACAGTGTTGCTAATGCGTGACTCACAGTCGGCTACCCTGGCGGTGCCATTCTTCCCGTGTTCGATGCCATCTACAACTCGCCACACTTCGACTTCATCCTGCCTCGCCACGAACAAGGCGCCGGACACATGGCTGAGGGCTATGCCCGTGCATCTGGCAAGCCTGGTGTCGTCCTTGTCACTTCCGGTCCCGGCGCGACCAATGTCATCACCCCTATGGCCGACGCCCTTGCCGATGGTACGCCCATGGTCGTCTTCACTGGTCAGGTCGTGACGAGTGCCATCGGTAGCGACGCCTTCCAGGAGGCTGATGTTGTCGGCATCTCCCGCCCTTGCACCAAGTGGAATGTTCTCGTCAAGAGCGTCGCCGAGCTGCCCCGGAGAATCAACGAGGCCTTCGCTATCGCCACCAGCGGCCGCCCCGGCCCCGTCCTTGTCGACCTTCCCAAGGATATCACCGCTGGCGTCCTTCGCCGAGCTATTCCCACCGAGTCGGCCATCCCTAACATGCCTAGTGCCGCTTCTCGTGCTGCCCAGGAGCTCGGAAGGAGGCAGATGGACCAGTGCCTGCGCCGTGTTGCCGACCTGATCAACGTCGCCAAGAAGCCTGTCATCTACGCCGGCCAGGGTGTCATCCAATCCGAGGGCGGCGTTGCCTTGCTCAAGGAGTTTGCTGACAAGGCCTCGATCCCCGTCACCACCACCCTGCAGGGCCTCGGAGCCTTCGACGAGCTGGACGAGAAGTCCCTGCACATGTTGGGCATGCACGGTTCGGCCTATGCCAACATGACGATGCAGGAGGCTGATCTGATCGTTGCTCTTGGTGCTCGCTTTGACGACCGTGTCACCCTCAACATTCCCAAGTTTGCTCCCGCTGCCAAGCAGGCGGCTGCCGAGGGTCGTGGCGGTATCGTCCACTTTGAGGTTATGCCCAAGAACATTAACAAGGTTGTGCAGGCCACCGAGGCCGTCGAGGGTGATGTTGCCACCAACCTGCGAAACGTCCTCCCCATGGTCAACTCCAAGACCATGGCTGAGCGCAAGGAGTGGTTCGACCAGATCAACGGCTGGAAGGCCAAGTGGCCCCTGAACGCTTACGAGAAGGCCGAAAGGAGCGGCAAGATCAAGCCCCAGTCCCTGATTGAGGAGCTTAGCAACCTGACCGCCAACCGCAAGACTGAGACTCTCATCACGACGGGTGTTGGCCAGCACCAGATGTGGACTGCCCAGCACTTCCGCTGGCGCCACCCCCGGACCATGATCACCTCTGGTGGCCTCGGAACCATGGGCTACGGTCTGCCCGCCGCCATCGGAGCCAAGGTTGCTCGGCCTGACGCTCTCGTCGTCGATATCGATGGCGATGCTTCCTTCAACATGACCCTGACCGAGCTTTCGACCGCCGCGCAGTTCAACATCGGCGTCAAGGTGATCGTGCTCAACAACGAGGAGCAGGGTATGGTCACCCAGTGGCAAAACCTGTTCTACGAAGATCGATACTGCCATACCCACCAGACCAACCCCGACTTCCTGAAGCTTGCGGACGCCATGCACATTCAGAACCGCCGCGTGTCCAAGCCGGAGGAGGTTACTGATGCCCTGAAGTGGCTTATCGACACCGAAGGCCCTGCCCTTCTCGAGGTCATCACGGACAAGAAGGTGCCCGTGTTGCCTATGGTGCCGACTGGATCAGGACTGCACGAGTTCATCACTTGGGATGCTGGTACGTGCTCTTTTACCAATTTATCTATGCATCAAATCTCAGGAGCTAACAATCACTTTAGAAAAGGACAAGGCGCGCAGGGAGCTCATGCGTGAGCGCACCTCTGGTCTCCACGGTTAAGCTTGATGGTGTTTCCGCTTGCTAGTCTTTACCAGGGTGCCTTGTGTTACTATTTTCTCGGCGAAACAAAAGTCGACCCATCGTTTCGTTCGCCATTTATCATTGGATTGGCACTCCTACAATGCCTTCGAATCCTTGATGATCTGTTCCTGCTTACCTGGGGAAAGGGTCTCAAATAGTAGTCGGATGCCTACCCATTTGCATCCGTCAGAGCCTGGATTGTGTCTCATGGGTATGGGACCTTTCCATAGCTGCGTCAAGTCATGGGATGGCTTGTCGTTTGGGAGGGATTTCAGTCCCTCTTGAAACATGGAGTGGACTTGCTTTTTTTTTATTTTTTTAGCATTTTGCCGTGATGCATCTGGCAAATTCATAGTCTTGTTTGAACTTTGGAATCAAAAAGCAAAGGATTTGCACGCTACACAATACCAGTTTATTTTGGATTACTATCAGTTTTGACAATGGCGTGATGTCCACCGTGAGCCTCCTCCTTACCAGGACCTAAGATTCGAAGAGATGACCAGCCGCAGCCTTCAAAGCTTCTGCCGCCGCGAAATACAGCTGCGGTCCCACGCTCACCCTAGCGATGCCTATCTCCGCCAGGTCCTTGGCTGACAACTCTGGCGCCGGCTTGCCGGGACCGGGAAGCGCCAGCGAGACGTTGACCCTCCCCTCCAGGCCCCTGACCATCGCCTCCACCTCCTCTCGCGTGCACGGCCGGGCCTGGGGCCCGAAGATGAAGACGGTCGTGGCGCCGGCCTCGAGGTACGCCCTGCCCCGGCGGATCGCCTCCTCCAGCGTCCCGCCCTCCATGAAGGTGTCGGAGCGCGCGTTGATGACGAAGTCGGGCAGGCCGGCCTCGCGCGCGGCCCGCGCGGCGGTCCTGATCCTGTCCACGGCCGTCGCCTCGTCGGCCACGGCGGCCGAGTCACCGCCGGGCTCGCGCAGCGTGTCCTCGAGGTTGATGCCCACGGCGCCGAGGTCGATGACCGCGCGCACGGCGGACGCGAGCTGCGCGCCGTACCCGTCCTGCAGGTCGACGGTCAGGGGCTTGCCCAGCGCGGCGGCGACGGGCGCCACGGCGCGCACGGCGGCGAGCTGCGTCGGCAGGTCGAGCTCGTCGTCGGTCGCGCCGGCGGCCAGGGCGACGGAGTAGCTCGCCGTCGCGAGGGCGGCGCACCGCGGCAGCGCGCCGACGACGCGCGCCGACGTGGCGTCGTGGATGTTGGCTAGCAGGAGGGGCCTGCCTGGGACGTGGAGGGCCTTGAAGGATTGGGCCTGGGCGTTGGAGGCTTTCATTGTGGCGGCGAGGGGTTTGCTGGGATGGGGATTGTTTTGTTTGTGCTAGGGTCGTTGAGGATGGGGAGTTGGTGACGATCGTGTGCTTGATGAGAGATGGCCAACCTTATGAGTCAAAGGATGGGGCGCCGAGGCAAGCCTTTGTCACCCGTTGTAAGCCGCTTGTCCGTGGACATGGAGCGTGCAGGTTTGCTATCAGGCGAAACGGCTGTTTTCAAGTATTCTGGGGATGATAACAGGGACTTTTGTTAAAATTGATCGGTCATGTGGCATGCGATGCGATGTACAAGGGTTGCTTGTTCGTACTTCTGATGATAGTCGTTGGCGATGCTTTACATGCGTATAAGTGGAGGTGGTCGACGAGGAACTTGCATCCACGGAAATCAACCAAGATGCCTTATATACCAGGCTTCACAACATTTCCATCAATATGGCCTCCATAATAGCTAAAGATCGAATTGTGAAAGACTTAATGGATGAGCTGCTACTTCATGCGGGCTGTACGCAACCGATCCCTAGAAAGATGCCCCTTTCTCGTGCCTGTTGGGCAGTACTACTTCATCCCACCAAATTGGGTCTGCTCGAGCGCTAAATTTTGTGAAAAATTATATCCTTGGAACTTTGCAACGTGTCTATTCGAATAAGTTAGTTCTCGATCTACATATTAGGTACGAGTCGAGCTACGCCGTAAACTTGGCGCAGTCAAAGAGATACAATCAACACAATGCCCGTGTTCCAGACACACTATAACCGTTCCCAGGATATGGATGCAATTACTATTGTGAATAGACCAACCACTCCCATGATCGCAAGGACCTTCAAGCCTGGAATCGGTTCCGGACTCTTGACCTCTCGGCCATAGTTCAGCCAGTCCCCGATGAGTCGCTCATCCAGACATCTGTGTGCGCGAGTTTGCAAAGGCTGGATGCGCGAGATATCTACTCTACACCAGACACAATCTGTAAAGCCAGCTTGACGGGAAGATTCATGCTCAGGGCCAGCAAACATATGCCTGTTTTTCCAGTCACTGATGTGACGCAGTCGTGTTTGGTAAAGAGTCAAAATTCACTTCTAATGACTCTTCGGCAGCCATATTGCGCAATTCTTTACCTCTTATCAAGCAATATTTATTCCCTTCAACTTCTTCTCCTCTTCCAGCACACTTGCAACATTCGACGCGCTAGTCACACTCAACCTACCACCATGACGCAAACTCCCAGAGCATGGGATCCCAAAGTGGTGCTTGAAGGAGACTCCATCAAGATTGATGACTTGAAGGTTTCATTTCATCGTACTATCCGTGACCACAAGGATTATTACGATAATGCAATCCCAAAATCAATGCCGGGTGCAAACCAGGAGACAGAGATGTCTGAATCGTCAGCCTGCTCACTCCCAGCATCAATGGGCCGCTTCCCGTTGGCAAGATGCGATGACTATCGTCAGGGTCTGCCTGACGGCATGGAAAACGAGGGAGGCATCTTTTTCCCAATGTATCGTAAGTCTGTTCCCATGCTCTTCTTCGAGTCGCCTACACTCATCAATCTCCTGGACTCAGAACGCGAAGCTATGTGGATTAGTTTCGTATCAGATAACACCTACGCCATAAAAGTCTTTGCGGGCAACGTCAATGCCATTTCTGGCAAGCCAGATACCGCAAGTCACGAAGAGAATCAGGCGACAAGGAAGGACTTAACCCTTCAAGACTTTGTCGTCACTCCTCATCAACATTGGCTGGATGGCGTCGCTACCGAGGCCGGCAGAGTACAGTTCGTGGCGATGCCAATGGGCTCGGGTCATTCCACCGGGGCACCAGTGACCGGGCAGGACTCCGTTGGTAGACTGAGCTTCGAGGTGACTCGACTTGACCGGATGCCTTGGGAGGCCTGCCGAATGGACAACATTGACATCGTTGTCAGGCAGAACCCCAGAGTGAATATTTCTTGTTGCCTTCCTCGAGATTCGTTTGTCATGCAGTTGAAGGAGATGATTGAAGCGAAGGGGGGGGGAGTGTATTATATTTATTTTCGGGGCAAATTCCTGGATGGTAAATGATTTGTTGCCTTCTGGTAGGATCAGGCCTACGATACCGATACGGTCGCTTACACTCCATCCTCCAGACCACCGCAGACTCCACGAGTATGGCATTAAGGAGGTAATGAGATTTGCTTGCTTCCAGCTTTTAGAGGGATATTTCTGACATGTCTCTAACCCTAGGGATCGCAGGTTTGCTTGAATGTTCGACGCTACCCAGCGCCCTGGGCGCACGTCGCTTACTACAAAGCGCCTGCTGTGACCAGAGGTTACATCAGGCAGAAGATCGCGAGGATTCCCTTCCACAATTACCGAAAGACAACCTCCGTCGCCTTTAGCGTACGGATTCTCGACAGCCGTCTTTACGAGCAAGCCACTGGTCGGGCCCCTCCTGCCAGTCCCATCACTCCGGAGCTGTACGCCGAGCAAAGACTTCCTTTCCTCGAGCTCTACGAAGAACTGCCGGCTGCCCCCACCGATGGAATTGTTGGCGTCAAGGCCGTTGCAACCATCGAAGGAACCCTGGACGAGTCTCTCCCCAATGACATACTCAAACGCGATGCGGTTACTGGTGCCGCTCTGCCCGGCTGGCACTGCAAGGGCTGTGGACAGCATATCCACCCTGCTTACACGCGGTGCCACACTTGTCAGAAGGCACAAGTTGCTGAGAGCAGTGACGGGTTCAAAGGTGTGAGTCCAGTCGGTATCCTCAACCCGACGAGACCCAAGACACTTCTGCGGCTCCCTTGGGAGGTTGATGAGGGTACTCATGGGGATATCTAGTACGAGTCCGGGAGACTGGAGCTGGAAGCAACTTCTTTGGACTTCGCGGACCTGTTGGGCTCGAAGAGCTCTGAGAATTCAATCTTTCTTGGAGCTCTCTTTTTCACTTCTGATATCATCAAGATGGACTGAGCTCAGTTGGACGGATTTTGCACTTTGAACACAATTGCTTTGCTGGGCTTTGAAATGCGGGTTGTGTTTTGTATTCTAGATAGTTCAACTAAAATGAAGATGAAGTTCTGTCAAAACTCCAATTTTAGGATAAAGGGTGATTTGATGAATATGACTTACCAGATGTTGATCACTTGACACTCGCACGATCAATACGAGATATCAGACCGGGGAATGAACGTAAAGAACTGTTTCTCAACTTGCTTAACTCAGATGTATGCAATTGAACATTGAAGCTGATCCTTGAGACGGAAGGTGTACCCGAGATTCGTCCAGTGGGGCAATGGCCGTTCCAGCTTTATCGCCGGTGCGTGGCCACATGCAGCACTTGAGGCCCACCAAAGAAATCGGAATACGGAGCAGCTTTCCTCCCTAGTCTGAAATTCTTCTGACAGTTCAATTGATTGACACTCCATCAACCCATCGTTAATTGCTGCAATTGGGAACTACCGGAGCTTCCCACCCCTCGGTCGATACGCAAGGGCCTGTCTCAGTACTCCTCGAGTGGCTCTGACCAGACATCACTGCCGCCGCACGCACACAGTGCTGCTTCACCGCACCACTCGCCCCTTACGCACCTACTGAGAAGGGTCCAGCAACCGACAATCGCACGCGACTCCCAAGCCTCACACCGGGAGGAGCACGGTCGACATCGACGAGGATTCCAACCCCTCTCGCTGAATCGACAGTCTCGAACAACCTTCATCATGGCCTCCCTCCCCGCCCTCCGCGGCCTGGCGGCCAGGTCCTCCTCGCAAGCCTCCTCCATCCTCCAGACCTGCATCAGGCCACTCGCCTCAACGACATCCCCCCCGACCGCCGCCGCACAAACGACCTCGCCGCCCGCGTCGGCGGCCCGACCCCTGCACACCACCGCGCCTCTGCAGGCCCGCAAGCCCAGCTCCTCGCACCACCAGCAGGCCGACCCCAAGATCGTCAACCTGTCCAAGGGCCTGCGCCTGACGAGCTACATGCCGCCGCCCCTGCGCATGGCGCGCAACCGGCACCTGCGCCACTGGACCATCCACCGCGCCTGGCTGCTCTTCCGCCGCCGGCAGCGCGAGGCCCGCGAGCGCGACCTCATGCGGCAGTACCAGAGCATGCACAACGCCTGCGAGGAGCTGCGCCGCACGGCCGGCCCGGGCACCCGGGAGACGGGGTACCTGTACCGCGTGGCCATGGAGAAGAAGGGCGTGTTCGGCCACCACGGCGTGCCGATCGAGTACGCGCGCCCGCAGACCGAGACGCCGGCCCGGGAGCCCTGGAACCACGACTGGAAGCGGTAGATAGGGGGGGCGTGTGAGGACAGCAGGAAAGGAGGAGCGGTGGGCCTGGTGGGAGAGAAACGGGTGCTGTGTGGTGTAAAAACTTTATGTCTTGATAAAAATGACGTCTTCACTATGTCCCTTTTTTTTTTTGAAAGACCACTTTTGTACAATATTACTGTAGTATGCATATGACATAGGCATCGCGTCTTCAATGGAGACAGTCGAGGAGCGGGCTGAATAAGAAGCAAAAAAGATACGCTTGTATTAGCCATTTGGTCAAGATTTCTTGTGGTGGTGCATTATATGCCATCTCTCCCCTTCCCCATATTTTGCAAGACTTCGAGACATGAGACAGTCTGCCTATGCGTTCCATGTCCCCCTGAGATCACGGGCTGGTGTCTCCATGCTTTGTGCTCTCAGAATGACCCATTCGCTTCTTCTGGGCCAGTTGCAGCCTGCTTTCGATTCGGAAGCCCAACCGCGTCCTCCAGAGGAGACTCTATAGCGTTATTAATACAATTCGTATGTCGTCAAGTGTGTGTGTGTGTGTGTGTGTGTATGTGTGTATCTGCCGGCCAGCCTTTCCTCTGTCGTTCTGCTGACGCTATAGGACTGCTCCCAGATCCTCCGTCTCGGTGCGGCCCTTTTGTTCCACTTCATCTCCCAATATAACGAGCGGTCCCGTGTGCGATTTTCGGTCATCTTTCGTGTATCGTTGCTTGGTATCGCTTGCAACGCATTCGTCAAAAAGTTTTCTCGGGGCTGAGCTTTGGCGGTTGTTGCTCATAATATGACGCAGCAACCACCGCCTTCACCCCTCTCGAAAGTAAGCAGCGCCGCTCTCGTGGCTGCCTCAAACACGTCGTCGACGCCCTCGCCCGAGAGACTGGAGCACTCGAGGTATTTCCGTGCGCCAATTTCCCGCGCGGCCACCTCGCCGTCGTGCTGTGTGACGAAGCGGAGACTCTTCTTGCGCATCTCCTCAATCGCAACCGGGTCTTCGCGGAGATCCTTCTTCAAGCCGACCAGGATGATTGGTACGCCGGGGCATCGTTCGGTCGCTTCCTCGATCCACTAATGACGCACCTTCGGTCAGTCCATGTACGACGTTGGCAAGATGGCGAGTGGCTCCTGGCTGTCTTGGAAGCAAGATATGGGAGATTGCCAAGTCGTACGGAGAGCAAGCACCGCAACGACGGCGTGGGGGCGAATTCTCAGTCCACATAAGGACGGAATCAGGGGGTTGGAAACTGAGCCGACAAAGAGAGAGGCTCACCTTGTGCTTAACGTTGTCGAGTGAGTCGGGGGTGTCGACCGAGAAGCCTATCAGCAAGACATGCGCCTTGGAATATGCCAACGGTCGTAGTCGTTCGTAGTCCTCCTGTCCTGCCGTATCCCATAGTGCTAGTTGCACGGACTTGCCGTCCACTCTGCAGTCGGTCACATAGTTCTCAAACACCGTGGGAACCTGTCGTCGTACGTCTTCGCATTAGCCAACGTCTGAGACCGGTGGGACGAAGCAAGCTAGACATTGCGGTGGTCCAGATGGATAGAAGCGGTGAAGAGCTCGGGTCGCACGAGAGAGAAAATGCCATGACCGACTTACATAGTGCTGTTGAGAGAAGAGAGAAGAAGAATGGTTAGCTGTCTGGCGAGGCACGCGGGGGAGAGCGGCAGCGGGAATCCCAACTTACTGTGGGGAAGTAGCCCAATGTGAAGACACTGAGCAAACTTGTCTTGCCGCAAGCTCCGTCTCCTATGATGACGAGCTTCCTGGAGAGACGGGAGCAATATGTCAGCTACCAATTGACAGGGAATCAATTGAAGGGAGCTAGGAGACTCTGGTCGGCCCATGGGCTGGGGGTTTGCGGTCGGGCGCGCCGTACCTTCGGATAACGTTCTGAGCGTTGCCTGCAGCTGCCATCGCGGGCGACCGAGTCGACTCTGATCGGGGGGGTGGTCCTTGACCTCGGCTTGCCAGATACGCCCAGAACAGTTCGCGGGATGGGACGGTCGAGAATGTCGGGTCGGTTGGATCGCAGGGCAATTGCCGGACTGGAGGGAGGCGCGGGAGCGACGGGGGCGTTTATGAATGATTTCCAAAGGGGAAAAAATAGGGGATGAGGCAGATCAACAGACAGCGGCGGGCAGCTTGACGGCGGAGCGTCGTAATTATGGAGACAAGCACAGCACAGCACCGCACCGTACACAGACAGGCAGGTTGAGTGACTCTCCCGGCATTCGCCTGTGACAGGGGAGGGGGGGGGGGGGTCCAGTTCAAGATTTTCGGCAAGGAGCCCTGGAACATTACTGCGCTGTGCGTGGGTCGACTTTGTTACAGCGCTTACCTAACAGTGCCAATAGCCGCGCCCAAGATGCGTAGGCGATCTACAGTTGAGCTGGAGCCTTGGAAATGGATCCCGACAGGCAGCCCTGGAGGTCCTGGAGCGTCGGTCCAAGGCGTCGGTCAACAAATGACAGGGAATTGGCAATTCTTTTCGATTCAAAGTCGAGATCACTTCCCCTGGATTGACATGGGAACTGACCACTGCTCCACCTCTGAAGTTTTGGGTGAGTGCCTGCGAGGTGAAGAAGTCCTACGAAGTCCTGCCGGCTACATGTACGGAGTACCTAAGGTAGGTAGTTAAGGTAGGTTCATGTAGGTAATGCAGGAGGGAGTAACTCCGATCAGTTCAGTTGTACCGATTGTCAGGTTGAAGCAGGACCAGATCGAGCTTCAGACCTGCGTTCCAACATATTTTCGCTCAGCTCCCCCCCTTACACAGCTTCTTCTCTTTATGTCTACATACGTCTGTTGGCCCTTCACGACTGGCTGGTAAACGATTTGTGCTGGCAGCACAGGGGGTGTTTTGCTCTTGGCTGACAGCGGCCCCAGCCTACAACTTGTGAAGTAAAGTAACGTTCAGCATCCGTACGTGAAAGAAGCGGCCTCCACACATCCAACGTCGCTGACAATTAGCCAGAAGAAGCAATTGGGGACTATGAATAGCTACACTAGCCCCCTTGAGGCGTCCCATAGCGTGGGAGGCAGCCCCAGCTGAACGCCGTAGTACGTGTAGGTCCGTCTTGTAAGGGTCTATTTGACGCCCGTACAGAGAAGCCAGAAAAGTGTCAAGAGAGAGAGGCAGCCCCGACGGCGCGCATTAGCATGTCAGACCTCAACTTCTGCATTTTCTGGTCTGCAACGTTTCAGAGAAAGACTCAGCCCGCTGCAGACCGCTTGTCATTACCCAGTACGATCGATGTGATTGACATCATGAACACAATGATGGAATATGGAGTTCCGCCCCGCAGCAGAGCCACATCGCCTGTGTTGGCACTGGTTGGTCAGCTTTTTGTAGTATTTATGCTCACCACCACTGGTACCCGACAGGGAGATTATGGGACCCTGTCAATTGTCAATGGTGCGAAGGCAATACCGGGGGTAAGGCCTGGGGTCTTTCTCCAGGCGAGACTTCACGGGCCCTAGTAGAGATGCAATGCAACATTGTCTATGCGACTAGTCGAGCGACACGCACATCATCCAGCGCCTACAAAGGAGGCAACATCTCCCGACGACCTGTCAGATGTCCGGGGAAGACGGTTGGCCTGGCCGTTTTGTCCACGGCTGTATGTGTGTACCGCCCTCCGCAGAGCCCGTGCGCGACACCGCGCGAGCCGGAGATCAACTCGTTTTCGGAGCTGCCGCCTGTGGACAAGGGGGAGAGATACGGTGTGGGCGCATGCGGTTAGTAACTTGGGATCCATCAGGACCGTCAAACGGTCAGCGAGCCGTCTGGAGCACACAGACTTTCCTAAATAGAACTCTATCAACTTGGATTGATGTCATAGATTTGTTGAATACGAAGAACACAATGGAATAGAGTTGTGCCTTTGAAATATAGGAAGCGAAGAGCGCGGAGCTCTGGGGCTGATCCTGGGCAGCTGCATCTTGTTCTGGAGAGACTGGGCTTCAGACTCATTCAGTGGGCGCTAGACGGGCCAGGCGGATGGAAACCCGTGATTGCATTGTTGCAAGAGAGAGCTACCTTATGACACGGCCCTTCAGCGTTCGTTGGGTTTGGGTCTTCCACCTCTCGCCCAAATCCCATGGGCTGTTGCTATGGCTGCTTTGTGGATGAGTCTGAATTCTGAAAACTGTAAACTGAAAGCGGGTGCTTGTTAACTGGAAACAGAATCTACGCAAATCCGATGGGGGTGTTGGGCACGGTATATGAATGCAAAGTCTGCACCCTCCAGACAGTCTTCTCAATTGATTCTCTGTACTCAATACCTAGGCACGCTTTATGAGAAATGCTGCTTGAAGAACTGAAGCATACCTATCTTACCTAGGTAGGTAGTATCAAAGATCTTTTGAAGCCCACCTGCAGGCTTGAAAAGGACGACGCAGCTACAAACCCTGCTGGGAGCTTCCAGTAAAACACCCTAAGTAAGGTACCTCCTACCTTCTCCAAGTCCGTCCTAGGACTGAGCTAGGCAGGGCTGACAAAATCGAAACAAGCTGCTCCCCGCTAGGGTCGACATTTCGATCGCCTATTCGTTGCCTCAACAAGGCTGCCCATGATCTGGCCGCAGGTCATGTGACCCCGCACCCGTCTGAATCCACCAAGGTCTTTGGCTGGTACACGCAGCACTGCCACGTGCGCAGGCAGGTACCCGCAAGGAACTTATCGGGCTCGCATCGTCCCAGCACCCAGCATCGGGGAAAGCCTGAACATCGCCCGCCGCTTTTCCAGTCCTGACTTTTGGTCTTGTCGTGCAAAGGGATTGGCACCTGCAAAAGACCACACCCCCACAACCTTCGATATCGAGTTCGCCAAACGACGCTTCCCTCGACCGCCCCGCGCAGCACCGAGAGATCTTGCTGCCTCACCCTGCTCTCACCCTGCGCTCACCCTGCCCTCATCCCGCCCGGTCCCCTCGGTTCACCATCTCTTTACCTCTGAGCTGTGAGTCCCAAGCCCTGCCCCACCTCTGCCAATCTCTCGTCACCCTGTGACAGCCCGTTTGCCTACCCGGGCCTTCCAGACACACACGAGCGACCACCTTTTCGCCTCTCTCGACTCCCAGCTCCCCCACCGCCTCCCTGCCTCTCACGCGCCACAGCTTTATCTTCGCATGCTGGCTGCGAGCCGGGGACACATTGCTTACAGCAGTCTAGATTCGAAAGCGGCAATCGAACCATCTGTATCCAGGGCCTGGAGAGCCGAGACCTCATTCATGACCTGGAGATTTGCCCGCCTTTGAGGACCGAGTTGAAGCGACCAGGACCGACGCACAATGAAGGGGAACCGACGCGGTCAGCCCCCAGCGGCGTCGCAACCACCCCCAGCATCGCCGACCACCAAGGGTACCGCTAAGTACACCAATAAGGATGGTTCCAAATTCATTACCGTACCCAAGATCGCGCCTACCCCCGAGCCCCAGCCTTCTCCGACAGTCGCCTCTGCCAGCGCGGGTGGTGCGAAGTCCTCGAATGGGTCACAGGAGAGCGCAGCGGGCGCGAATCCTGCCCCTGTGAATCGCAAGAAAGCCAAGCGACGGGCAAAGGCCGCAGCCAAGGCGGCCGCCGAGCAGGCCGCCCAGGGCCACACTAACGGTGTCCCTGGCTCTCACACCTCACACGAGCACGCATCTGCAGAAGTGGACGATAGCGACGACGACGGCGCGGAGGAGAGCTCGGCGCGAAATACGTCCGAAACTGCTGGCGGCGAAGGGCAGACGGCCGGTGCCAAGTCCAAGAAGTCCAAGAAAAAGAAGAAAAAGGCAAACGAGGAATCTCAACTTGCCAGCCAACAACAGGATTCCCCGTCTCTGGCACAGGCGCAGACTCGCACTGGAGGGCTTTCTAGGGAGAAGATATGGAATACGAGCTCCCAGGAGGAGCGCGAGCGCATCAAAGAGTTCTGGCTTGGCCTCGGCGAGGACGAGCGCAAGTCTCTGGTCAAGGTGGAGAAAGACGCGGTCCTTAAGAAGATGAAGGAGCAGCAGAAGCATACATGCAGCTGCACCGTCTGCGGCCGCAAGCGCACTGCCATTGAGGAGGAACTGGAAGGGCTGTATGACGCCTATTACCACGAGCTCGAACAATATGCGCACGATCCCCATCGCTCCGAACAAGGTCCTCCACTGCTGGGTTCTTCACGACGACAATACGCTTCTGTGAGGGGCAACTCGCACTCCCAGCCCTCTCAAGGCTACACGCAACATGGCTCCGAAGGCGAGGACGACCTCGAGGGAGAAGAGGAATACAGCGATGAAGACGATCTTGACGATGAAGCCGTGTATAGCGAGGTCGAAGAGGAGGAAGAGGAGGAACTGTCCTCCGAAGAGCTCCACCACCAAGATTATGCGACCGACTTCTTCAATTTTGGAAAGTCTCTCACCGTCCAGGGTAAGGCATTTTGCTTGACAAGTAGAAAGCTCTTTCATTCGCATTTGGCATCCCTCGTCTGCGAGTCTTCCCGCCAATGCTAATTCTATCTAGGAGGCATCCTGACGGTAGCGGACGACTTGCTGAAGAACGACGGCAAGAAGTTCATCGAGATGATGGAACAATTGGCCGAGCGACGTATGGCCCGCGAGGAGGATGCGAAAGACCAGTATCGAAGCCCTGAGTATGGCCACGGCACGAACGGAAACTATCCTGATCCCCACGACCACCCTCCCACCGAAGAAGACGACTATGAGGTCGACGACGAAGAGGAGGATGAAGAGTACGACAGCCAAGAGGAATATGAGGACGAGGTACCACCCTCTTTTCTACCGTCAAAGTGCCCAATCCACCACCCACATCATGATTATGCATTATTAGAAAAACACAACCTTGCAGACACTGTCAAAGACGTTGAGGAAGCTAAAACCCAGGCTCCACAGCAGGACACAATGACGGATGCCCAACGTATGGAGGAAGGCCGAAGGATGTTCCAGATCTTCGCCGCCCGCATGTTTGAGCAGAGGGTGCTCACTGCCTACCGTGAGAAGGTCGCTAAGGAACGCCAAGACAAACTGCTCGAAGAGCTCGACGAAGAGAGTCGCCAAGACTCTCAACGGAAGGCCAAGAAGGCAAAGGATGCGCAGAGGAAGAAGGAGAAGGCGCAGCAGAAGAAGCAGGCCCTGGCGGAGGAGAAAGCTCGTAAGGAGGCCGAGAAAGCTGCCGACGAAGAGCGCCGCTTGGCAGAAGAGGCGCGCAGGGCGGAAGAGCAGCGACTCAGAGCCGAAGAGAAACGTAAGAAGAAGGAGGCCCAGCGCAAAGCCGACGAGGAGGAACGCCTTCGCAAGGAAGCCGAGCGCCAGCGTCGCATCCACGAGCAAAAGGAGCGTCAGGCGGAGCAAGAACGTAAGGCGCGAGAGGCGAAGGATCGAGAGAAGAAGGCCCGCGAAGAGGCAAAGCTGAAGGAACAGGAGGCTCGTGAGCGCAGAGAGCGGGAAGCCCGGGAGCGCAAGGATAACGCAGCGAAGGCCAAGGCGACGAATGAGGCGGCACAGAAGCCCAGGCCTCAGCCCAAGGCGGCCCCAAAGCCGGCCGGGCTGCCAAACCCAGCTGCTTCAATTGTTTTGCCCAAGCGACCCTCGCAGCAGGCAAATACTGTTCCGGCACTACCGCAACAGCCTCCAGCAACCGCGTTCGCCTCGCCTCAAATTCCTGTAGCTACGCCCGCCATCCCGAAGGCGCCGACACCAATCCGGCCGCGGCAGTCATCGCAACAAGATGTAAGCACCGCCGGATCAACGGTAGCGTCTCAATCCGGATCGGGCCCTAGTCAGAACCCCTCACCGAACCCGACGACACCAGCTCAGAGCAGCCCTGGTCCGGCTGGTCTCCTACCTCATCTAGCCCCGGGTGGCCTAGCTTCTCTGTCTCATATCTCAACAGCGTCTCCGACGCAGGCGCAGAGCAATCCCGCCAATCACCCATCGGGGCCTTATCAGCAACTGCCACCGATGGCCGGACTGCCCTTCCCGATGCACTTGCCAACGGTGCAGCCGCCGCCCGGCTTTTTCAACCCGATCGGCGGTGGTGGGTACAGGGCACCTGGGCCGCCGACTATGGGAATGGCGATGCCTCCAGGTATCCATTCGCCGGCGGGGCGAACTTTCTCTCCTCATATGCAAGGACCCCCGCCTGGATTCTCACAACCGCAGCATGGTGATCTCCATGGCATGAATCCGTTCGCGCCTTCGCCGAAGGATTCGCTCAGCGGTGTGCCTTCACCACAGTCGCGGAAACAGTCCACCAGCTTCGATACGGTGCATTCTCAATCCCGACCGACGCCGATTGGCCGCCCCGGAAGTGTCGTCCACGGATTCCGACAAGCGTCCACGCCGCCCTCGAGTATGGCCATGCCAGACGACTTGCAAGACCCTAACAGTGTCCACCTTGGTTCCAAGGCGTTGCTCGATGACAGCGTCGATGAGCCTACCGATAGGTACATGACGCAGGGAATCCGCCCTGCCTACCCAACAGGCCCGGGCAGCTTCAATGACCAGTCTCCGTTTGTGCAAGCCGCGCCCATCTGGGGTCACTCGCCGTCTCAACAGGGCGGACCGGGAGGCCCCTTTGGTCACTCATCGAACATGGGCTTTAATAGTGCCGTTGCGCCACCGTCGTGGGGTCCAGTTAATAGCGTGGCTGCTCCCTTTGGTGGTGTGCAAGTTGGTCTGGGACGAAACAGCTCCTCGCGCACTACACGGGTGAGGCAGATGCTCTGCCAGGTTTGCAAGGAGCTGTCGCCAGCAGAGAACGGCGCCGAAGACGGCGATGGTTTTGTACCCCTGGACCGGATCAAGAACCGCATGGACCTGATGTTTGTAGCCACGGGCGAGAACTTTGTGGTGTCCGAGGACGAGCTGCTGGATATGTGCGATACCGAGGGCAATGCTATGAACGGGGGAGGCAACTTTGACGTGCGCCACTCGGCATACCCCAAACTGGTCCGCTGGAATCCGGCGATGTCGTTGGACATGCACCCGCCGCCGCGAAGCCGAGCGCCGGGAGAGATCGGCAGCCCGCTCGTGGGCAGCGTGGGTGAACACAGCAGCATCTGGGGTGGTTCTTCGGCTGCTCATCGCTAGGCGCCACCAACAACGCCCGGGACACTGCTTCCACGCGACCAAGCAGGGACGAGGTCCTCCGCGTCGTCATCCAGCGACTACAAGAGCTCCAAAAAGGGGTGGATCTACCACCTTCACCGCCCCTGGTGAACAACATGGGCGTGCATTTTCTGTCGCAGCGTCTTTCTATCTCTCATCATAAGCGAATTGTATCTTTATGGTTCTGCCCCCTTGCCCCTCCCCATCCGCAAGATGAGAGGGAATGCAGAGCAGAGCAGATGAGCCCGTGGGGTGTGGATGGATGGATAGTGGGAACGGATCGGTCGACAGTGCTTGCACCAGCGACAAGCAGATAGCTTTGTGCCTGCTTTTTTCTCCGCAGCGAAGAAGCAGCAATTGAACATGAGAGAATTACTGTATCATTAAAACCATGATGGCTCCCTGGTGTATCGTGCATGTACCCTCCTGATCTGTGTCTCCCCCTAACGTGAGCCGAGCTAGCCTTTTGCGTCATGGAACTTGCAGCCCTATAGTCGATCGGGTCATCCCTCTAGATTTTTTGCTATAACTAGTTTAAGAAGTGTGGTGTCACACACAGACAGTGATCGGGCCATCATCTGCACGTCGTCGGTTCGTGCAGGGCTGAAGTGTGTCCCAATGGGCTGCCCTGTTGATGATGACAGCTCAACGGTGCCGTTTTCTTTGCACTCACTTGGCCTTGACAGGGCACTGCGCCACCACTCTGCCTACATCTCACTCATGAGGGAGATGATGTGTCTACCTCAAGCTGGGTAGAAGCGTGCAATGTATGCCGCTGCTGCTGGGTTCCAAGACGCTGGAGAAGAATGCATGCATCAAGGATACCTATCACGCCGCAAGGGCCTGCAGCAATACCGACAAGGATTCACGGGATTTAAGCATGCCTTAGTGCAAATACTAGAGCACCAGGGCGTTGAAGGATCTCGATATGCCCGGCATGTAGTCAGGCGCATGAATGTTTACACAAGATTTCACCTAAATAGGAAAGACTTGGAGCCTCCTGCTACCGTGACATCGTGATGACGGCGGAGAGAGATCCCAAGCCAACGGTACCACTGCGTCCAACATTTTAAACATTTTGCTCCCACCAGAGTGCTAATTTAAGTAACAAGGACAGGGGATCCTTTGCGTGATTCGTCTGATCAATAAGAAAGCAAGCTCTCCCCTCTCCTCCCCCCACCAGGATGGCGGTTCAAAGGCCAGGCTCAAAAGCTAAGCCTCTCCAGCTGGTCCAGCTAATCCCCCCCCCCCCCCTGAAACACAGGCGACCGGAGGGTTCGGGCAGAGGCGCAGCCGCAGTTTAGGTTTAGTGCAGGGTCCATCAGTGGGGTTTCCAAGACTTTTTAGAGGGGAAAAAATGGCAGTGGAGGTTTGCTTGCACACAGACGGACGGAAAGCCATTTGCTCTCTCTCTCAGGGTGTTGCTTGTCGCTGGGATACTCGAGCTCGATGAGGAGAACTGGGGCTCAGGCAGATACATTCATTGTCTAGGTAGCTACCTGCATGAAGCTTTGTCTGGGAGGCCAGGCCAACGGTCACTGACATGCATTGCATCCAATGCATGCCGTTTGTGACCAAGAACCTACCGCCGCTGGTGACCAAAGCGCTAAGCGTCCTGATAAAGCTGTTGACAGGCGGTCCTTGCGTTACCTCGTGCGTCCCACGTCCAAGGGAGATCAAGGGTCAGTGAGGATATGTTGGTATGCGGTTGGCAAGTGAAGCGGGAGAGACAAGGAAGAAGGGATGGAGAGTGGAAGGATCGCGACAAACACCACCTCCGATCCCATCACATCACATCCCATCCCCATGCCATTGCCATCCGCGGATGGCCCCAGCTCTGTCGCGGCACAGCCCAGAAGTTCAGAACATCCCATCCCATGTGGTCCCCCCGTTTGGTCCAACAGCGAGGAACCACCAGCCCATCACTCGCCCGTCAGGCTCAAAAGCGTCTAGCTTGTGCAGTTCAGCCCCAGTCCGGTCCTTTGATGGCGCCCGCCCGGCTTGGTCCCAACTTGACCCTGTGCAATTTCTTTTCTGAGCTCAGCAAGCAGGCTGCAAGTCCTAGCTACAAGTAGGTAGCTAGGCCTTCTCAGCTGGAGTGGGGAGTTTCGTTTGTCGTTTTTATTGTTGGCCATTTCCTTCTTATCCGTTCTCCCTCCCCTTCCCTGCCGAGCTTTCCTTTCCTCGTTGTCTGGAGATGGTAACTCTCGCCCAAGGGATTGCACGTCTCTAAGCTGTACGACGCAGTATTGGACGCGATCGATCTGTCTAGTACGCCTGCCTCTGGCGCGCGTCTCGTATCGCCTGTTGATCATTCTGGCAGGGCAGATCCCCCACACCATCCGTCTCGCGGTGTTTCCAGGGTTCAGGTTCGAGGTCCACCTACTTGGGCGCCAGTGAATACGAGCTTCTGGCACACTACAATGCGGTCGTCTTATACACGGCCCTCGGGCCTCTCCATGAGGACTACCGCCGCCGCCGCCCTCTTCGGCACGTGGTTTTTAGCCGCCTCGGTCTCCGGAACGAGCACGTCTGAGTGCCTACAGAGGGATGCCGGCCGGCTCGCTGCCGCTGCCGCATGCGGTGATGCCGGCAGCATCAAGTACTGCCTCTCGGAACTGGCGGGGCTCCTGGAAGGCACCACACCGACGGCATGCTACCAAAATGCGGGCTGCACGGCCGAGGAGGCCGCCATCGAGGCCGACTGGGCCATGAGGCACTGCGAGGTGGCTGTGACACCGTCTACGGAACCGAGCGACCTCCGCCGGAGGCAAAAGAACAGCGACGATGATGACGACAACAGCAACGACGACGACAACAAGAAGAAGACGACGTCGGAAAAGCCCACCAGCACCAAGAAGGAGACCAAGACGACCGGCAAGTCGAGCTCGGAGCAGAAGCCCACCAAGGAGAGCACGACCAAGCAAGACAAGACATCGTCGACCAAGAAGGAGAGCTCCACGGCCACCAAGACGACGGCATCCACCTCTGACTCTACCACCACGACGAGCAGCACCACAGACTCCGCCTCCTCGACCACGACGTCCTCCTCCAGCACCGGCACCTCCCTCCAGTGCTACGTCACCTCGGACGTGTCGACCAGCCACTGCCCGACCCAGTCCACGGGCAAGGCCGCGGGCAAGACCCTCTCGTGCTTCCCGACCTCGTACCCGACCGCCTCGTGCGCGCCGGGCCTCGTGTGCGGCGGCTCCCCGGACAGCAGCAACCCGACCTGCTTCCGGCGCCAGGACGGCCTGACGCCCGGCGGCGTCGTCGTGGCCGTCGCCTTCTCGGCCGCCATCGCCGTGTCGGCCGTCACCGTGTGCTTCTTCTGCCTGCGCGAGCGGCGCGAGCACCGCCGCCTGCGCCGAGCGGCCGAGGCGGCGGCCCTGGCCAAGGGCGGCGCTGCTGCCGACAGTAACGGCAAGAAGAGGCCGAGCGTCGGCGTGAGGAGCGTCGGCGGCGCGTCGGCGGCGGCGGACGAGCAGCCGCTCATGGGCGCGCAGTACCCGCAGCAGGTGCAGGGCGGAGGGTACTACCAGCCCCCTCCTCTCCCGGGGCCAGCTGGCGTCCCTGCTGAGCCGGTGCCGCCGGTGCCGCAGATCGATGTCGCGTATTACCAGGGCGGGTACGAGGGTGGCGGCGGTGTCGTCCAGCAGCAGCAGCAGCAGCCGCAGGTGTACAGCCAGCAACCGGATCCGTTCTCGGACCGGCACCAGATGAGGTAGTTCGCGGAGGGGGTTTGGCTTGCTTGGCAGGAGGGCACTTGTTCAAGACGATGGAGGAAGAAGAGGGGAAGCGGGATTCAGGAGAGGAAAATGGACGAAGATATCATGATACCTCTTTTGTGTTTTCATTACTTGTGACAGATATTCCAGGCGTTTTTGGAGAACGCTCAATGAGCATTGGCGTACCAAGTTACAACCGATACAAGCCCCGAGTCTCTTGTTCCCGTCCCTTTATTACGAGATGTGCTCTCCAATCTTTTTCCAGAATCCGCCCTCAAGCCAACATGATGTCTCATGGCTGAGCCCATAATCCTATCCGACTGCCCCGGGCCCAGGGTCTTCAATCCAGACAACGCAGTAGCAAACAGACGAAACAGCAAAACAATAGCGAATGCAGAGGAAGAGAAATGCAGTATGCCATGTGAAGAAGTAGAATGATACACTCAACAATCGAGTGACCTTCAAAGAATAATCGCAAACCAGTGATGATCCATCTCAAAAAATACCCGCAACGCCCATTGATCCCATCCATGCTCCCCTACATGATACAATCTCCAAGCTTAGGAAAGCTCTTCCTCGATGGTCCTAGGAGCCCATTCATCCCCTAGCTCTCCGGCTCTTCCGTCCCTTGCGGCGATTGTTGCGGTTGTTGTTGTTGTTGTTGTTGGCCGGAGGAGTGTTCTCGTCATTGACACTCTCGCCGCTGCCGCTCTCGCTCTGGCGACGCTCCTCCCGGAGCGCCCGCTCAGTGCTGTCCTTGCACTGGGCGCACTCCGAGCGGATGGAGTGGTAGCAGTCATGCACCTTGCAGTGGATAAGGTGCTCAAGAGTAGCGCAGCGCGGGCCGGCAATCTTCTTGCAGACAGGGCTGTGGATGTGATATCAACGTTAGCTAGGTTGCCCTGGGTGATGTATGAATGGGATGGATGTGCTTGAGGTTTGGGGTTGAAGGCGGCCTGGCCGGCAGAGACAGAGGACGGGATCGTGAAAAGAAGGCTCCGAGGTGAGGCTTACCAGTGATGTTGCTTTCTTTTGATAGCCATCTTGCCGAGGCGAAGGACTTCTGGAGACGCTTCAAGTAGTAGTAGGGACAGTCGTGAGTTGCAAATGCTTGAGCAAGAAAAGACGCGATCGACAAGATGATGTACAGTAAGGGGAGATGTCAGACGATGTTGGACTTTTGATCTCCTTGAAGATGATGTGGGGGAGAAAAGGGGAGAATTTTGGAGGTTCAGGAGAAGACAGGACCCCCTTTTGTAGTCGAAGGGATTCTGATAAACAGCCTAGTGTGCCATTCACTTCTTCGTCAAGCTGAAAATTTCACTGTGAGGTGACGTTCAACGCCAGGGCACGTTATCAGTCTGTCATGCAGCAACCCGCAGCCCTAATCTCTGTGTTTGCAAACCCTTCTGGTGGATGAAGTGGCTACCTCAGGCTGCCCAGGCGCGTCAGGAGAAGATTTGTTTGCTATTCTGAGCCAGAGATGATGAGACGCCCTCGCCTGGGCGAATCTTGGCGTTGAAATACTGCTTGAAACGGAGGTCCAAGTGAGAGCGTTCTGGCAGGCTCGCGTAGGCTGCCGGCACGGCTATGTGAACAAAGTATGACTGCACCGAGTTGACTCATTTCTTTTGAATCCAGGCTCAAATTTCACTTGGAGTGCTATTCAATGTCTAATGTAGAGGCTTCTTCCAAGTCTATGATACGGCTCTGGTGTCATACAGGGCACGCCGCTTTGGCTTCAGTGATATTCTTCACCAGTGGACATGTGCATTCATTGAGATCTTATATCCAAGAAAGGAGACACAAAGATTCAAAGACTAGAATAGAATTTAGAGCCCAATGGAGAGTGTCTCCTTTATAAGACGGAAGATGGGCCCGTATATGGCCCATATATGGCAATAATCTGTGACGTAGCAGTATGTGGCACAACATGGATAGCAACTCTCACACATAGCCACGACGATCACATATCAAAACATTGACTCATCCAGACAGAAATAATTGCACATATATGAATCGATATCCTTGTGTTCTGTTGAAACTTTATCCTGCGAATGAGCACCTGGTCTTACCAAGCATTGTTGGGGAACCCGCCTAGCGACGATCCTACGCCCTGCTTCATATACGCATACGAGCTCCTCCGCGCCGCTGTGTGATCGGAGCTATTCGCGATGATAATCCCCTGCTGCGGGTTCGACGAGTTCGTGCGCGAGATGGAGAAGTCCTTGAGGGCGTATTTCGACTGCCCGGTGAGTGCCATATCGGCCAGGGCCTTGCCCAAGAGCGGCACAAACTTCATGGCCCAGCCGGCCGTGAAGACGGCAATGCTATCCTTGGGGCCGCCCTTCAGATATGCCTCTGGTATGAAATCTAGTACAAACATGTTGTCTATCGCCTTGTCAGTCAAGGTTCCCGTCCGTCGTCACTAGCGACTCGTGTAGACATACCAAAGACGTTGGTCTGCAGGCAGGAAACGGTCGACGCCGGCACGGTGAAGTCGACACCGACTACATTGTCTCGCACAAAGTCCTGAGTATCTTGAATGTCGTCGGGGCTGAATATGTTTGTCGCCCGCTCATTTGGGTCCTTGATCCTGCGGCTCGCCGCGTCGACAGCGATGCGCACGACGTTGGGCGGTCCCCAAGGGACGGTGGGGAAGCCGTAAAACAGCTGCGATCTCCCGTTCTTGTCTGGTGCGAATTGGAACCACATACCTAGGTACAGAGTCAGTCAATATTGCGATCTGTCGGTGTGGGAGATATCGGCATGAGGGAGAGCTTACTCGGAAACAGGGTGCCGTTTGGCCCAGCGTTTGCGTTGAAGTAGGTCGCTACCATCTCCCAGATGTCGAGGTCGAGGCTGATTCCAAAGCTGGGGTTGAGCACGTGGTTGACATAGGCTCCAGACGCAATGATGATCTTCTTGGTCGCGAACGTCACAGCGCCTTTCTCCCGATCGACAGCATGGACGATCCACGTGTCGTTGCTGTCCTTTGAAGGCGTGATAGACTTGACCTCTGTGTGTTGCTTTGCCTGCGCTCCGTACTCTCGTGCTAGCCTCATCAAGGTCCGAAGGAGGAGCTGCACGTTGATGACACCGTTGTCTGGCGCGAAGAGCCCGACCCAGTCGGACGGCAGGTTTTTGAATGGATATCGTTGTTCGATCTCTTGCGCGGTCACTGCTTGTGGGATCAGACGAGAGCGGATTCACTTGATCCTGACAATACTTACGCTCCTTATAGGTCATGTTGAGCCTCTTGAGGTTGGGAATTGGGCCGAGTAGCGTTCCTTCAAGCGCGGTTAGTCTCGGTGACTCGTCTCATTGCGTTTGCAGACTTCACTATACCTTCTGGGGTCCCGCCTCCCAGATCCTTGTCACCGAAATTCAGAAGACCACTCATCCACCGGAGGGAGGTCCCGGCATCATGTTCCAAATAGTCCCAATACTCCAACGCGTCCTTGGCAAGGTCGGCCATGAAGTCTTCGGTATACCTGTGGAATACAATTATAAGCAACACCGGCCTCTCTGTCTACCAAACCCCGCGGCGGCATCGGCTCAACTTGCATAGTCCTAAACATCCTGGCCAGGTCGCCAGAACTCCCCGCCTGGTTGAAAAAGTTGTTCTGCTCGAGCACGACGACATTGGCGCCGGCCTTGGCCGATTGGTACGTAGCAGCCAGGCCGACGGGCCCGCCGCCGATCACGACAACGTCGTACAATGCGAGGGACATGGTCTCTGGGGTTAGGGCTGGAAAATACGGCGCGTGCGCTCGACTCGGGATACGGATATTTCTGTCATGACACTTTATCCTTCTCTACGGGCAGGCCTGTTGGTATTTATCGACCGAGACACTGTCAAAACCTTCTTTGGGGAGCTACCCGGACCGTGGAATGCTTCCTCCGCTTAGCCCAAAATGGATCGAGTCAGGCAGTCCCATTTCGAGTCCTCGTGCCGTCCGGATTTGAGGCTTGCGTCCAGGAATGCAGCTGGTCATTAACGGTAGCTTGGGCTTGGTTCTCGAGTGGTATTGACAAGCTGAGGAAGAAGGACAGCCAGCCACGATACCTGGGGTATTGGGAACCGACCAATCACCAAGTGCGGCTCCATGTTGTATTACCACAAGCGGGCACTCCGAGGTTGAGCTGACACTTTTCATCCACGCTGTGTTGCAGTAGCAGTCAGATGTGGACTGTCTTACCTCAGAAGTCGGCAAATGCGAGGGGCAACATGAAGTCACATAATTCAGTTTCAAAGATGCTGTACAGCATAAATAGGGCGGATGTTGGAGGATTCCGGCAGAGCAACTACTGAGTCCAGACACTACTCCTCTTCTCAACTGAGTAAGATATCGCGCGCGAATCATCATCATGACTACAAGATACACCTGCAAGGCCCACTGGGCTCGCCATCTCGTCCGCGAGAAGCTCTACCAAGAGATCAACGCTCTCAGATCCAGACATGTGGGCTACGCACCTGGACTGCCCATGCCGGTCCTTGGGGGTCCGCCTTGCACCCACGACGACCTGCCTCCTGATGACCAGCTCCCGGGTGATGGACAAGAAGCCATGACGCTCCAGTCCGCAGAGGCAAAGACTCGGGCAATCCCAGAGCGCCGTGTCTGCATCGTCGGCGCCGGCATTGCCGGGCTCTACATCTCCATGATTCTCGACGACCTCAACATACCCGGTCTCACCTACGACATTCTCGAAGCAAACTCCCGGGTTGGCGGCCGCGTCTACACGCACCACTTCAGCAAGATGCCGCACGATTACTACGACATTGGAGCCATGCGATACCCCGACATCCCGTCCATGCACCGCACGTTCGATCTGTTCAAGAGGACGAAGATGCCTCTGATCCCCTATTACCTCGATGGTGGGGATGCGTGCCCTAGCCTGTTCAACGACAGGCTCCTTGTCCGCGGAGTCAAGGATCCCTACCACGTCAGCGTACAGAACGGCGGATCAGTGCCCGACGATGTTGTCGACAATGTCACCGAGCTTCTCGAAGGGGCCTTTGGGCCGTACAAGAAAGCTCTCGCGGCAAACTTCGAAAAGGGCTTTCGCATGCTCGAGACTGTGGACGACTTCAGCACTCGGGAGTACCTGAAGCGAGGAGGCCCGGATGGAAAAGAGCCGCACTATGACTTCTTCAGCATCCAGTGGATGGAGACTCAGAACACCTCGAGCGGGCTGTTCGACCAGGCCTTCTCCGAGAGCGTCATCGACTCGTTTGACTTTGACAATCCCGTCGGGGACGTGAACTGGTTCTGCATCGAAGGCGGCACTTCGCTGCTGGTAGGTGCCATCCTGAAGCAGATGAAGGGAAAGGTGCAGATCAACAAGCGCGTCGAGGCCATCACGATCGACAAGCACGCACAAACCGAGGGCAACGTGGCCGTCAAGTGTGCCGGCGAGCCGTCCCCTCGCGGCGGGTACAGCACCGTCTTCAGCACCACCTCGCTGGGCTGCCTCGCGCGCGTGGACCTGCGCTCGCTGGAGCTCCACCCGTCCCAGAAGGACGCCATCCGCAGCCTTCACTACGACGACTCGGCCAAGGTGGCGCTCAAGTTCAAGTACCCGTGGTGGATCGTCGACAGCAAGATCACGCAGGGCGGCGTGGCGTCGACCGACCTGCCGATCCGCACCTGCGTCTACCCGTCGTACAACCTCCACGACGGCAGGGACAAGGAGGCCGTCCTCCTCGCCTCGTACACCTGGGCACAGGACGCGACGCGCATCGGCTCTCTGGTCGGCGGCGCCCAGAACGCCCCTTCCGAGGCTGAGCTCGTGGAACTCATCCTGCAGGACCTCGCCCGTCTGCACGCCGGCTCCGGCATGACGTACGACAAGATCAAGAGCGCGTACACCGGGGTGCACCACGCCTTCTCGTGGACGCACGACCCCTTCACCTCGGGCGCCTTCGCGCTCTTCGGACCGGGCCAGTTCAGCAACCTGTACCCTTACCTGTCTCGGCCGGCCGCGCAGGCCAAGTTCCACATCGTGGGCGAGGCGTCGAGCGCGCACCACGCGTGGATCGTGGGGTCGCTGGACAGCGCGTGCGCGGCGGTCTACCGGTTCCTCCGGCGGTTCGAGCTCTGGGAGTACATGGCCCTGCTCGAGGAGAGATGGGGCCTACCCGGTGAGGTGGAGAAGGGCAGAAACGGGACGGTCCATCTGCAGAATGCGCTGGGCATGCTCCAGAAGGGCGAGCATGTCCAGGTCTGAGCACTGTGACTTGCGAACGGGTGTAGAGCTCAGTTAGCTTAGGTGCAAGTACAATCGAGATGAATTTGTTAGCCAGTCCATTACGTATCATCAAGCGCAAGCTCGAGCAGAAAATCTCTTGCAAAGGCCAGAGAGATGGCGACGATTGTGGTTGTAGTGAAGTATTAATAGTACGAAGTAATACCACCAGCACCCGTGCACGGGCCACATTTGCTGCCTAGTCACTCTGTCGTCCTGTGGTGGGGCAGCAGAGCTCTGTCGGCCAGGGCTAGTCAAGCAAAGTCGGTCAGTGACGGCAAATTTTCCAGATCCTCGCCCAAAGCTAACCTGGAGGCACGCGCAACGGAATTCATCCACCGAGAGGACACAACGCCGACGACGAAAACCCAAATTACACGCATCTCTCTCCCCGGCTCGCCATTCTCTCTTCCTCACAACCGATCGCCGGTCCAGACGCCATGAGTTTCGTCCCTGTCAACCCGCGGCCCATGCTGCAGGACCTCGTCAACAAGCCCGTCTCGGTGCGCCTCAAGTGGAACGACACCGACTACCGGGGCCGCCTCGTCTCCGTCGACAGCTACATGAACCTGCAGCTCGCGGGCGCCGAGGAGTACATCGACAACAAGCAGACCGGCTCCCTGGGCTCCATCCTGATCAGGTGCGTCGTCGATTCCTGCTCGCGCGGGCGCCGTTCCCTCCCCCACCGAGTACAGAAGATGATGGTGATTGCTGACTCGATGAGGTAGATGTAACAATGTCCTCTGGATCCGGGGTATAGACGAAGACAAGGAGATGAAAATGGAGTAACAGGGCACGGAAGGGAGAGGTCAAGATGCGACACGTTTGCGGAAGCACATCAGGATAGGACGGCTGCTGTAACGCGATGATACCAAACTCGAGGGCTGCACAGGCAGCACGGATCGATACCAACGGACGAAGTTATGCAGTGGTCGCCATTCGATCTGGTTTACGACGAAGTGGAAGGGAATCGTCACTGTCATGATTTGACTGGGATTACAGGAGTCGGCTAGGAGCCCGGCAAGACAGCGAGCACCGGGATGGGCTCCCAGTTTGGAGTTCTGGCAATGCTATAGAGGGCACAATGCTATCACATCAATCGCAATCAATTTTCAACAGGTCACGGGCGGCCATTCTTTTCTCGACGGACTGTCATTCTTTTGAGTCCGAGATTCATTAGGCATCGGACGCCAGAAGCGCTGTACTAACACAGGCTAACTAGGCCGATGGGTCTCACGGGTTGCGCGCAGCTCATACAGGTTGGAGGAACATATCATTCGCGAAACGACACACAGCTTCTTTATGTAACCTTTACAATTGCCTTGACCATCGCACCCTGTGTATTGCCACACATTCCTCCATTCCGTCTAAGCCGCCTTAGGACAGAATCCTGTCGAAGAGAGCGATGCGTTTGACGCTCGCGGCGTCGTCGGTGACCGCCTTGCTGTGAGGGACGGTCATCGGTCTGTGCTAGGAAAGCCAGTTCAGTGAAACCGTTCGACCAAGCCACATCTTCATCAGATCACACACAGCCCAACTTACTCGGAACTTAGGAGCCGCATGTGCAGTTGCTTCCGCACTTGCAGTCGGATCCGCACTGGCATCCACCCATGTTGATAGGATTTGTTTGTTGGGTTTGTGGGAGAGAGGTAGAATTGAGAGAATTGTTCTTGTAAACCTGGAAGTCCTTGAGCTTAATGGACAAATTGTCTTGTGTGTGTTTTCCGGAACTTTGAAGAGTCAAACTCGAGGCGGCGGGGAAGGGTAGATGGAGGGGTCCTTTATAGGCAGGCAGGCACCTTACTTGGCTGCAGTGTGGGCGAGCCAATCCACAGCTTGGTAAAGCGCTCGAAGCGAACAATTTATTCGCCCGACAAGTGTGTGTGTGTGTGCGTGTATGTGTGTGTACATACATATGATCCATGCATGTACGTACATGCGTGCGTGCGTGCATAACGCTTACGGGACTCTGAGGGTTACCTGGGTGCGGGTCTCAAGTCCTACTGGCGGATCCGTGGCCTGCAGCAAGCTGGGCACCCAATGGCCATCCCCAGCGACGACATTCGGGTGAGCAAGTTTCTGCCTCTGTTGAAGCGAAGTTGGCAAAGGCATCCGGCCGAGACGCGAGGGTGGTAGAGAGTGGGCTGGAGGGTGGCATGACAGCACTCGGGGATCCGGCATCTCCTCTCCTCGCCTTGTGCTTGGTTCTCCCTCCCCGGAGATACGTGTGCTTGGATGGGTATCCAGTCCGGGTCCCCACTCGAGACTCTTGGATCGGGGATCTGGGAAGATGTACCTGCTCGCGGAGTAGGTAGAATGGAGTTACAAGGAGGACTGAAACAAATAGCTTGTTACGCAACCCAGTTAGTCTGACATGTCGCGTGTGTGGCAGGGAACAAGTTGAAGTCAATATCGCACAACGCACACCGGGATCGCGGCACTCAAGTTGATTAATAATAACCTGTCTCGTTACATGGAGATCTTACTCCTCTCTTGCGAGGCTGCGATCTCAGTGTGTCTTCTCTGTCATCATCTCTGACGTGGACACCAAATTTTCCCTCCAAAAAGAAAAAAAGGCCAAATCTGCCTCCAGTCTCATCCTCGTCGACGACGAGTCAACTCCCATAATTCCACTACAGGGCGGGGCTTCAGCTCCCTCAGAGCCTCGTCGACAAGCGTCTTGGCCCAGTCTCGAGTAGCTCGTTGCAAGGTTGGGACGGGCAGCTCGAGGACTGCCGTCGAGAAGTTGTTCTGGAACTGGTCGTGTCTGAAGTAGATGCTGAGGAACTCTCTGAGCGCCCAATGACTTGTAGTATACTTTGTGTACGAGGTGGGTACCTTCTTCCACCGTAGGACTTTGTCGAGAGACTCGACATTCTGAGGGTGCGGGCCGGGCAACCGGGCGAGCTCGACGAGGCCGAGCAGGTGTGTGAGGTTCGTGACGTTCTGGAGGCTCGGCAGGACGTCGATCCTCCACGTGCCGGGCCTATCCTCGTGCAGAGAGTATCTTGTTCCACTGTTGCCGCTGTGGTGGACGTAAAGATCGCAGATGAGGAGCTCGTCAACGTAGTCATTGTTGAGCAGAGCGTCTCGGTTGGTACTGCCGAAGGATGCGCTCGGGAGGCTGATCATCAGGTAGACTGCGCCATCTCGGAGCGCTGTACTGCCTTGTTGAGCCATGGTGTCCTGCTGAGTGATTTGTCTTTGACTGTGTATATCGACCTGGGTCAAGGCCCCGATTTGAAGAAGAAGCAGCAAAAGACAGGCTTCTTATAGTCGTGGACAAACTTGGCCAAGCTCGTGGCTGTATCACAGCCGTGTGCGACGATGGTGACTTCAACATTTGATAGATAGCCCACATCGTTGTGAGTTGCCTACCTGATCGTGAAAGAGAATGAGGGATGTTTTTGTATATTGCTGCCCACGTAGACCTCAGATGGGTGTCGTATCCAGCGTCACATCTTAGCCTTTGCGCTTCACGGCTCTTCAGCCTTCGCACAGCCTTTGGTGACTCGCCTGATCGCGAGGAAGACGTCACTTACGTCGTGGTGAATGGCATGAACTCTTCAAGTTGACCTCTGTCATTCAATAAAAAATTAAATACCATCTTAACTATGCTATGCTCAAACATGCGTTTGAGGTATGGTAGTGAAGTTTGCAGTATTACTTAAGTGCAATGGCCATGAGCAGACTGACTGATATCTAGGCCTTTGAGAAGAAGCGCCTAGAGTCTTTACAACATTCAACACATTAAATTTAAAGACAGGTCTTGTGTTTGCGCCGCTTCATTTCGTTGACTTGAGTCCCGTCAACTTACCAGAAATATACGCATGCTCTACCTAGGTAGTGATTACAGGTCTAGACTAGTCAAAGCTGTCCAGCGAGGCTCTGCCAACTCTGAGCGATCTGATAGTAGATGCGGAAGTCGCTAGCTAAATTAGAGCTGGTCGCTAAGCATTCTTGTTCGTTGAGACGTCGTTCGCTTGTCGCTCCAAAGACCAGCCGAGTCGGAGCATACCGAGTCGCAAAAGATGATGTCGGGCGCCCCACCAGACAGCCAAGCGGGACCGCCGCAGAATCACCAGCTCTCGAGTCCCTCCGACGGATACACCGAGACAGGAAGGTCGGATGTGCCCGCCAAGCTGTGGCAACCTTGTGCCTTTATGTCTCCTGATCCAAGTCTTGAAGAGAACAGAGGTCCGCTGCTTCGCTCCCTCCAGCTCCCAGACGGAATCTAGACAGAAGACATATTCCTTCTCGAACTGACGTACGGGTATCTTCTTTGTAACGTTTCGGGCAGTGCGGGGCAGCAGGGTCCAGGGAAGAACGAACACCACTGCGGGGCATCACCAAAGCTTGTGAGAGACAGCTCGTGTGCACGCGCACGAATAACAGCCCAGGACATTTTGTGGCTCTGTTCGATCGAGGTCGCTCATACCCTCCCCTCGTGAGGGCCTGACCAGCCCTCCTCCTCCTGTTCCTGTGCCCACGGCCTTCCCCCAATTCCGATAATTACTCCCTCTTCACTTACAACCAGCCGCAGCCATGTCCGGCACCGTCCCCTTCGCGACGTCCCTCAGGGACATCTACCCGGACGCCGCCGTCGACGCCCAGACGACCCGATGGCGCAGCCTGCTGTCCAAGTTTGAGCAGCGCTACGGCCACGCCGCCGACTTTGTCGCGCGCTCTCCGGGCCGCGTCAACATCATCGGCGAGCACATCGACTACTCACTCTACTCGGTCCTGCCCATGGCCATCACGGCCGACTGCCTCATCGCCGTGTCCACCGATCACGACGGCGACGACGACGAGAACAGTGCCACCGCCGGCAACAACACCTACAAGATCCAGATCGCCAACGTCCAGGACGACAAGTTCCCGGCGCACGAGTTCGACATCCCCTACGACGCCGTCGAGATCGACGCCACCGTGCACGAGTGGACGAACTACTTCAAGAGCGGCCTGCGCGGCGCCCTCGAGCTGCTGCGCAGGAAGCGCGGCGCCGACGGCGTCAGGCCCCGGAGCATGCGCGTGCTCATGGACGGCACCGTGCCCTCGGGCGGCGGCCTCAGCTCCTCGGCCGCCTTTACCAGCACGAGCGCCCTGGCCGTCATGATCGCCAACGGCGAGAAGGAGGTCAGCAAGATGGAGCTGACCGAGCTGGCCATTGTCAGCGAGCGCGCCGTCGGCGTCAACTCTGGAGGGTGAGTTCTCCAACCCCCAAACCCCAAGTAGCCTCCTCATCTTGGCTGACTGCTTCCCTCAAAAAAAAACAGCATGGACCAGTCCGCCTCGGTCTTCTCCGAGCGCGGCTCCGCCCTCTTCGTCTCCTTCTCCCCCAAGCTCTCCGCCCGCCCCGTCTCCTTCCCCGCCACCAACCCGGAGCTCTGCTTCCTCATCGCCCAGTCCTTCGTCGCCGCCGACAAGCAGGTCACGGGCCCCATCCACTACAACCTGCGCGTCGTCGAGTGCACCCTGGCGGCGTGCTACCTCAACGCCGTGCTCAACCCGCCCGGCACGCAGCTCCCCGGCGACGCGGGACCCCTGGGCGTGTCCCTGCACGGCTTCCACGAGACCTTCTACGCCTGCCTGCAGCACCAGGGCCACCCCTTGCCGCGCTCGACGCAGGAGGAGCTCGCGCAGCTCCTCGAGCTCGCGGGCCTGACCCTGACCAAAGAGGAGGGCTACACGCGCGCCGAGATCGCCGCCGTGCTCGACGTGCCGGTCGCCGAGCTCGACGCGCGCTACACGAGCGCCTTCCCCGTGCGCGCCGAGCGCTTCAAGCTGCGCCAGCGCGCCATGCACGTCTTCGCCGAGGCCCTGCGCGTCCTGCGCTTCATGGAGCTGCTCGAGGCCGGGCCCGGGCCGGAGACCGCGGGCGACGCGGGAGGCGGCGACACGACGGCCTACAACACAGCGCTCGGCGAGCTGCTCAACGAGACGCAGGCCTCGTGCCGCGACGTCTACGAGTGCTCGTGCCCCGAGATCGACGAGCTGTGCGCCATCGCCCGCCGCGCCGGCAGCTACGGCAGCCGCGTCACGGGCGCCGGGTGGGGCGGGTGCAGCGTCCACCTCGTCCCCGCCGACCGGGTCGCCGCCGTGCAGGAGGCCTGGGACCGCGAGTACTACAGCAAGCTGCAGCTGACGCCCGAGCAGCGCGAGGCCGCCTACGTGCTCAGCCGGCCCGGCAGCGGGAGCGCCGTCTTCACCGTCGAGGGCGGGAGCTTGTAGTGAGAATCGGAGTCGAGCGAAGAACGAATAGGCCAATGGGAAGGAAAGATGAATGTTTTTTTTTTTTGGTGTGTGGCATCATAAAAAGTCGCTTTCTGCTCTTGTCACGTAGTTAATGTACAGCTGGAGGTCCATAGGCGACCTCCCATAAACAATGTCTCTAATGGTATCATCGTCTCGTAACCTGAGATCTAGACACATGCCCACGCCGGAAACCCAATCCATTAATGACCAAGCGCTCAGGGACCAGACCATGTACGTAATCAAGCGCCTCTCCACCAGAATCCCTCTGATCGCACCTCAAGCCGTTGCGCCACGAGTACCATTATCTCTCCGTCTAGTGACGTTCTTGATCTTGCGGTGTGTGCGGACCTGGACTCTCCTGTACTTGGTATACAGGTTGACCAGGTCCTTCACCACAACAAACAGACATCCGCCCACAAGGCTCCGTCCCCACCGCTGCTGGAGCAGGCCCGTCGGCCTCCGGTTCCAAGGGCTCGTCGTCCAGCTATAAGGCAAGGCGTACCGCAGCACCTGGCCGATCCCGGCCGAGACGACGGGGAATAGGAGAGCGGAGGCAGACGCGTTGAACAGATCGGCAAAGGTGGAGCGGTTCTCGTCGCCGGGTTGGAGCTCGCCGGCGACCGCGGCGGGATCGTTAAGCTCCTGGTTCTCGGCACCAGCCGCCTGTGGGACATCGGGAGCCGGAGCCGCATCACCCTGTCGAGCGGCCGGGAGCTCACGTTGCCCTGCTTGAGGATCATCTTCGTCGACTGCAATCTGCAGCTGGTTAGCCGCGGCTTCCAGCTCATCGGCAACGGCCTCAAGCTGGCCGGCAGCAGCCTGGAGTCCCGCAGCATCAATCGCCGCCTGGTTAGGGGCGGGAGCGGGAGCTGGAGCGGGAGCGGCGTCATCACCACCGCCGATTCTAGCGTCAACCTCAATCACAAGCTCCTCCTCTCCAAACAGACCGAGGACAGCATTACCGAGCCTCCAAACGGCTCCAAAGACGCCAACGTCAGCGTCATCATCGTCAGGAGCAGGGACAGCGTTGGCATTGCCGCCTTCAGCTGCATCGCCGGGCTGAGCTGCTTCTTCATGCGCAGGACGGCCGCGCAGGACCCGGTTCAGCCTCCTATTAAGGGGCCCGAATATCTCATACCAAAGGTTATTGTAGGTGAGGCTGACAAAGGGCATCAGAATAATCACCCACTGGGGGGATGGAGGCCATTCCGGCATTCTATTCTGCATGACCAGATATCCCCCGTAGAGGGTGGTGTTGGGGATCATCAGCATGCTGGCCAAGCTTGGGAGAGCACGGTTGATAAGCAGACCCGGCGCGATCAGGTTGAGGAGGAATATCTTTGACGCCATGAGGGTCCGGCGCGCCAAGGTGAAGGACCCATCGGAGGGGATATCGGGGACGAGCCACCGGACGGTGCGGTGCTGTCCCGCAAACACGGACATGACCCAGAAGCCATACGACGCCGAGCCCACAACGCTAGCAGCGCTGACAATGGATGCGAGGGCGGTAGGCGAGAACCTGCTGTAGGCCCTATGCAGGCGGTCGCGGAACTTGAGGAACGCGTCAGAAGGTTCGATAACCTGGATGCGGCCGTTGCAGGCCGGGCATCGCAGCTTCTTCTTGCCCTGGGAGGCTTCGCTCTCGGCCGCCCATCGCAGCAGGCAATCCTCGTGTGCTTCGAGGGTGCAGGGGCAAGGGTTGACCCATATTGAGTCCGGCGTCTCCTTCGAGTTCAAGAGGCAGATGAAGCACGTGTGCACGCTGGGGTCGTTGATGGTGAGCTGTCGTTCGAGCGAAGGGGGCGAGAAGCTCTTGTCGCCAGGCCGTTCTCCATTTGCGGACGAGGGCTCGACCTTCGTCTCGGGGGCTTGAGGGGTGGTGGTGGTCTGCTCGTCGTTGGCAGCGCCAGCTGGAGCTGGGCTGGGTGAGTCGGCCATGACAGCCTCGCGCGGGCGCAAAGGACCAGATCGCAGACGCTTGGATAACTAGGTATGGTTATGACCCAACGTAACGAGTACAAGTGCACCGAATAGATGAGCAGATGAGATATTGAGAGAGCGGTCGGCCTGAGCAAGTATCAAGCTCGAGAGCGGCCCCAAAGATGAGGGAAGGGGTGGTAAGCGACGTTGGATCAACGGAAAACCAAAGGTCAATCAGATCAGCTCGGGCGCCGGGGAGAGAGTCTGGATGACGATTGAAGATCCATCTGGTCCGCTAACAAATTGCCTAGAGCTACGCCCCCAGCTAGGCGCAAATGCCTGGGCATCAGACGCTGGGCTTTCTCGAGCTTTGCGTTTTTGGCAGGACAAACCGTCCAATTAGCGGAGGGGCATGCCTGTAGTTGCTGCTTCCCTCGGGCCCCACTCGCACTGCCAACGGCACCTGGGCAGGGCAAGCAGGGCTACTCGACCTTCTAGACCCCTCTATCGGATTCTGCCCAAACTGGCCGCTAATCGCCCCCAATCGGACTCGAGAATCAACATCGTCGCCTCCAGCTTGTTCTCCTGCACCCTCTTTGACAAGCCAGATTTCCCCCTTGCAACTGCATTTGCTCGTTTGTAGACTTTCACGCACAAGTCAGCCCTACCAAGATGGTAAGCATCCTGTCCCTCCAAATTACTCTGCCGTGCATCCCACGTCTGCTTCAGTGTCCATGTTCCCCGCCTTGTCAATTCCGGCACCTCTGACCGTATATAGGCTACAAGCTCCAAGCAGCGCCTCGCGCTGGCTATCTGCGACTTCCTGAACGCCTCTGTCAAGGACGGCACCCTTTCTGCCGACGATGCCGACTCGATCGATGTCGCCGTCAACTGCATCAGCGAGTCCTTCAAGGTGGACCCCTCGGACAAGGCCGCTGTCGCCGACGCCGTCGGGGACCAGAACCTGCTCAAAATCTATGGCGTCTACGAGAAGATGAAGGGCGCCTCCAAGCCCGCCGCCGCCCCGAGCGCCGCCAAGCCTGCGGGTCCCGTGTCCGAGGAGAAGAAGAAGGAGGCCGAGGCCCTCAAGTCCAAGGGCAACGCCGCCATGGCGCAAAAGGACTACCCCACCGCCATCGACCTGTACACGCAGGCGCTCGCCCTGCACCCGGGCAACGCCATCTTCCTGTCCAACCGGGCCGCCGCCTACAGCGCGGCCAAGGACCACGAGAGCGCGCGCGCCGACGCCGAGGCCGCGGTCGAGGTCGACCCCAAGTACACCAAGGCCTGGAGCCGGCTGGGCCTCGCCCGGTTCGCGCTCGGCGACGCCAAGGGCTCCATGGAGGCGTACAAGAAGGGCATCGAGTACGAGGGCAACGGCGGCAGCGACGCCATGAAGAAGGGCTACGAGACGGCCAAAAGGCGCGCCGAGGAGCTGGCCGCCGACGAGGCGCAGGCCACCGCCGCCGCGCGCGACGCCGGCGTCAGCGGCACGCCCAGCCTGAGCGATCTCGCGGGCATGTTTGGCGGCGGCGGTGCTGGCGGCGGCGGCGGCGCTGGCGGTGCCGGCGGCATGCCCGACTTTGGCTCCATCATGAGCAACCCCATGTTTGCGTCCATGGCCCAGAACCTGATGAACAACCCGGACCTCATGTCCAACCTCATGAGCAACCCCCGGCTCCGCGAGATGGCGAACCAGTTTGGCAGCGGCGGCGGCATGCCCGACATGTCGGCTCTGATGTCGGATCCCAACATCGCTGAGATGTGAGTAGTGCTATCCACACCTTTGCCTATCCTGTCCTGTACCAGGGCCTCAAACAAGTCTGCGATACTGACATTCACTCTTTTCAAGGGCACGGAACATGATGGGAGGCGGCGGCGGCGCGGGTCGAGGCAGCGGGCAGGGTGGTCAGGGCGGCGCGGGCCAGTAGATTAAGATTGATCATTTGAGCCGCGTGTCGCGCGATGCATATGGTCTAGGTGTCACCTTTGAATTTATTCGTTGAGTTAGACTACAAGTAGAGCATGATATGGAACGAGGACCAGGGTTTGGTCATAGGGCAGAATAAGCATATGTACCTAGCGAAGGGGCTTTTGTGGTGGAATAAAACAAAATGATTGACGACACGTCACTGTCTCCGTTGTCGCAAATGGTGTCAAAGCTCGTTTCAACATTCTCGAGGAGCGCATAGATCGCCTGCCAAGCCCGAGATAAGTCATCGCTGGGGCTCGGTGTGTGTCAGCCATGAACGGGTTGGAGGGCTCGTATATAGAGCATATGGAAGTTCACATTCTTCCTGGCCCTCAGCATTGCATCTCGAGAAAAATGCCCGGGAATTTCAAACTTTGAGTTGACAATCTTGGTGGCTGACGGCAGTGCTTATCGGGGATAAAGTAGCAATGCCATTACTCAGGAAGCTGGCGACCTCGAGATAAGTACTCGAGCGAATCCGGAAGCGCTTGACTTGTTTCATCCCGGCCAAGACTCCTTCATTTTTTGCCTTTTCTCCCCACCCTCACCGTTCTCCAACTCACTCATTGCCCCGCCCCGTCCCGTTTACTGGTTACCGTTTACAATTTGGAGCAGCACCACACCACTGTCAACAGGATATCGCCTCCGCTGGTCAAAGCAATGCCTCTGTCGTTCTCGGAGCGCCTCAGGCGGCTTCAGCAGAAAGGCCAGAAAGGCGATCGGTATCCGGATATCGGATCGTTCAAGTCCGGCGCCCATAGCCAGGCGCAATCTCCCTTCTTCCGCCTGCCTCGCGAGGTTCGCGATGTCGTCTACTTGGAATTGTGGAGATCCAAAGGCCTTGAACAGCACGTGTTCTCCGAAAACGGCCGGTACAGACACACGCCCTGCATCACAAGTTACAGCAACCTGGGCCAGTGTGAGGTCAAGCTCGACCAGCTTTCCGACCAGGATTGGCAGTTGCCAGCAAGCGATCCCTCCATAGACATGGAATGGGTCAATCGTCATGTGTCCAAGTTCAATGGGCACTGGCGATGCGAGGACAGGTACAATGAGACTATGGCCGGCGTAGAACCATGTCTGTTCATGTCATGTCTTCTGACGTGCAAGACGCTGTAAGTCACTTCATCACCCCCCGTCTTTGCTGTGCTGCCCGAGCTGAACAAGTCGAACTAGCTACCTCGAATGCCGCGAGTCGATATATGGGAACGTGGACTTCATCTTCACCTCAATAGGGGAAGCCCACAACTTCCTTCTTGTCCGCAAGAGTCCCATAGTGAAGGAACTCGAGATGCTCAGCTTTTCTCTCCGGCTCAGTCGCCTACATTCCGAGGACAGTGATTCCGAGCCGAGCACCCGCCGGTGGATGGAGGACGGCGCACAATGGCAGCGGGTGCGGAAATCTCTGGCCGATCTGCCCAAGCTTCGTAAAATCACCATCTGGCTAGAAGTCGCCGGGGCTTTACGAAGTGTCGACACTCGGGTCAACCTGGACCCCCTGACGTTTGAGCCAGAGGTCGCTTCGCTGGTCACACTTGACACGGTGTTTCTGAAAAGCATAGACTGGAAGGATATATTTGGGGTCGACTATGACAGCCGGTAGACTGTATCACGAAGTCTGGTTTGATTCTGGAACAGAATGAGTAAGTTTACCCTCCTTGGGTCCCCTGCGGTAGGATAACCTTGATGAACCACTGCTGATATTCCTGATGCACCAGCATGACAATTCAACTTCCAGTGAACGCCGCTCGACAGATAGATTGCTCTATATTCCCCCCATTTTTGACCAAAGAGCAGTCGCTTTGGATCAAAGCGTTGGACTGTGCTTGTTGGAGCAAGGATGCGGACTGCTATTGGCTAGTGTGGGATTACATAAATCCACAACCTGGAAGATGGAAGAATACATTTCAAACGTGCGCCTTTCATCCATCAAAGGGACCAACGGAACGCACCCTCTTCCATGTACCAGCACACCATCGCAGAAGGGAGGGCATTACGACGTATATGTCGGCTGGCTTAGCTCGGTGCGAAGCAGCCATGCCCAAGACCAACCAATCGTGGAATGCTCCATCAAGCACCGCGATCGATGAAGAGATTAACGAGAAGATACCACGGTCAGCAGCGGGCTGGGATGGGCAGCACTGCTTTGAATAGCGCTGAGCAGCCTAAAAAGAAGGAGACCTAGACCTATTTTGATTTCGTGCCAGAGTCCGATGTGGATGTCGAACGTATCGCAAAGCACATGACGTGTAGCAAATTTCGCGACTCAATGGCGTTGTGTGGTGAAACCCATCCCTTCAAAATTTCCTTTGATGAGGATTGTATAAGAAGTGGACTGAAGCAGAAGAAACGTTGGCGATATCTGCTCCAAGTCCATGAGCTACGAGAAACAACAGGTGGTCAAGTTGCTCTGCAAGAGCTGGGAGTCGCCTTACCCAGTCAAGCAACAAGACTGCAAAGGACCGGAGCCCTTTCACAACGGTGCAATCCAGTATGACGAGGATATTGTGGGTTGGATGTACATGCCGCTGGGCAACTATTTGTACAAGTACGCGATGTTGACGAGGTGCGATTGGTATGAGCAGCATGTAATATAGAACTCGGACAGCCCCAGCCCAGAATTGCGACATTAGCATCACTGTCCCATTCCCGTCATGATTACGTCTCCGTTTGGCGTGTCCGAAACTCCGGCAGGTGTGGATCGAATCCAGGTGACGGCATTCATCCCCGCCCGGCGTTGCTGTGCTCGAAGGTGTCGGCAGCAGTTTCGACGAGACTTGGTATTTGTCTGTTGCACTGGCATGTGCGACGTTGGCTGGGAGCTTGCTCACGGAGTGGCGCTCTGGGAAGACGAAGAATGCCTAGATGTCGACTAGCAAGTTCTCAGTAGGGAGTTCTGTGGAATCTTGATGCATCAGCTGCTTCAGTAGAATTTCTAAAGTGGAAGCTACTATCAAATCAGACAGGTTCTATGGCACTAAGTGACAATGGTGTCATTAATCTTTATAAAGAGTCTACAAGAATCAGGTCAAGCGTCCAGCGAGCTTCGCCCGGGCCTGCTTTACTTCGAGATCGAGGTCATAATGCCAAATCTTATGAAATAGCCGGGTGATCTCCCTTGCAAACCTGTCGTGGTCAGCCCCTCTGTCATCTTTCTGCCATTGAAAAAGTGCTACAGCGTCTCGAGTTGCTCCGATAAGCCATTGCGTGCGCTCATACCGCACATCGCTGTATACTCGCAGCGCCTCTGAGGCCAACTCGTTCTTCCTTGTTCCCAGCTCTCCTTTCCCTTCGGGTCCATCCGCCTTCACGCCATCCGCAGCCTGTGCGATCAACGTTGCCAAGAACACGGCATCCTCGATGCCGAAGCCTGCCCCGGCACCCAGGTGAGGCCCCGCCGCGTGGGCCGCATCTCCCGCAAGGCATGTAGTTCCTCGGGCGTACGACCCCGCCGGATGGTCGAGCATGTCAAAGACCGCCCATTTCTCAATGTCGCCCGTCGGCAAGAGTCCAGCGATAGCCCTTGCTGTCGGATGCCAGCCCTCGAGAGCGGACAGTGCTCCTTCGCGGGAGCCTTTGCCGGTGTGCGTGACGTTGCGACCGCCGGTACTAATAGTGGTGATGTTGTTTCCGCTATTCTCGGCATTACTTTCGCCCTCGGAATTAGGATGCCAAGGGTTCGTGTCGGTGACAAAGACCACAATGTTGAGCACGGAACCCTCGGCCACAGGATACGTGATGATGTGGGCGTCGGGGCCGTTGTACATGAAGCGCGTGCTGGCGCGGTACGGACCGATGGCCTTGAGCGCCTCGTCCATGGGCGCCAAGGAACGGAAGCAGTACTTGTGTGTATAGCCGGCGTGCGAGGCGGGATCCTGCTCGCCGAGCAGCAGCTGCCGGACGCGGGACCGGATGCCATCGCAGCCGACGACTATCTGGAGCTTAGCAATACAGTCACACGGACGAGAACTCAAATTCATAGCTATAAACGTCCTTACCAATATCTGCCCGGGCATCAGTCCCGTCCTTGAAGACCAATGTAGTCCGCCCATCCGGGGAGTCTTCCTCTATCGACCTGAGCTCCTTTCCCCACTTCACTGTGCCCTCTGGCAGCACCTTAATGAGCTCCTCGAGGAAGTCTGAGCGCCGGCAGCCACGGAACCCGTTGTCTCCTACGTGAAGCCTGAAGATGAGCCTGTCGGTGTTGAAGCCGTCGACCCACTGGAAGTAGTCCTCGCCGTTGGGCATCGCGACCTTCTCGAACGCCTCGCGGACGGACGGGGCCACGGCCGTCATGGCGCGCTCGGCGTTCTCGCTGAGGCCGATGCCCGCGCCCACCTCCCGGAAGCTCCTGGCTCGCTCGTAGACCGCGAAGGGGACGTTCCGTGCCTGCAGGCCGATTGCGAGTGATATCCCGGTGATGCCCGCCCCGACAATTGCCACCTTGAAAGGCGCTTCTCCTTCCGGGTCGATCGTCATTTCAAGACTTCTCTCTAGCCAGAATAGCTTTGGTATCAGCAGAAAAAGTGACGTTGATGTTTTTTCACGGAGGATCTACCGGACGTCGCGTCGTGGACAAGATGTGCAACCACATTTCCCCGCACGGGTCCTGAGTGTATATCTGACCGAGGAGGGATGTGCTTATTCAAGAGCCAATCGGGCTATTGTCGCGGGTCGTTAGAAGAGACGGTTACCCAGTTGTGCAACGAACTTTTCGGTCCCCTTTGGGGGTAACCCGTGGTTCGCCACGGACTCCCGACAAAGACACTGCATATGCACTACCCGCTTCAGAGGCTGTCCGGGAAAATCCCGAAACTGTACATGTGGGTATTCTTTCTTATAATATAAGTCAGCTCAGACATGGAAATCCCCGACTGGAGAGAGGTCGACGGCTTGTCCAGCGACTTAGCAATTCTCGACTTTAAGATCTTCGAAATGGGTAGCCAGATTCCATCTCAAGGCGGTAAAGTGCTTTTGACTGGTCAGCATGGACACTTTCTCATAGCCTGGTTGATTGATTCACTGACATGACCCAGGTGGAAGTGGCTTCATCGCCTCTCATGTTCTGGATACTCTTCTTGACCACGGGTGAGACCAAGCCAAAAGTTTTTCGTCGACGGCCGGCCTGACGTTTTTGGATCCAGATTTAAGGTCGTGGTGACTGTAAGATCCGAGGAAAAGGGCCGTAAGCTCCTGGAGTCTCTCGAGGGTCCCCTCAAACAGGCCGTCTCGTTCGCCGTTGTTCCAGACATAGCGGTGGAGCATGCGTTTGACCAGGTAGGTTCACTACCTATGCCAAGAGACTGAGTACTCTGGACTGAGGGTGTGTGATGGAGGCCATACAATCGGACCCTCCCTTCGACTTCGTCGTCCATACGGCCTCGCCCTGCCACAACAACGTCCAGGATCCGTACCGGGACATGCTAGATCCCGCAATCAGAGGCACGTCCGGCATGCTCATGTCCATCAAAGAGTACTCCCCGACGGTGAAGCGGGTGGTCATCACCTCTTCCGCAGCGGCCATCCTGAACCCGCCGAACCACGCCAAGCTGTACGACGAGACGATGTGGCCAGACATCGATCTGAACCGGCCGAATCCGGCCCCGGACATGTTTTACAAAGCTAGCAAGGTCGGTCAATGCCAAAACTTCCCAAATATCGCGGGAAGAAGCTTACTTGCGAGACCACAGGTTCTCGCGGAACGCGCGGCGTGGGATTTCGTGCAGAACGAGAAGCCCAACTTCGACCTGGTCACCATCAACGGCACCTTCACGTTTGGCCCGGTGCAGAGGCAGCTTCGCAGCTCGGCCGGGATCAACCTCTCGAACCGGCCCATCGTCGATATGGTCCTGGGCCGCATGAAGGACAAGATTGCACCAACAGCCCCGGTCTACACATACGTGGATGTTGAAGACGTGGCCCTGGCGCATGTGCGGTCTCTTATCGTCCCCGAAGCTGGCAACAACCGCTTCTATATCGTCGGCGGGCACTGGTCGACAAAGAGAGTGGCGGACATCATCCGGGAGTCTCACCCGGAGCTGAAGGAGATGCTGCCACCGGATGACTCTGCGGATGATCTCCCTGACGATGTCTACCAGTTCGACAACACCAAATCTCGTAAGATTCTTGGACTAGAATACAAGGGTCTCAAGGAGAGTGTAGTTCCCACTGTGGAGTCGATTCTCAGGTTGCAAAAGCTGGAGGCATCCGAGGCAGCTTAGTCTGCGGTCGCGACGGGGAGGGAGGAGTGAAAAGTTGGGTGTCGAGAAATTAGAAAGATAGGCATGAGAGAGTGTGTTGTTCACGTATTGAATTGTGCTATGTACCGCTCATTATGTGCTTCAGACACACTGCTTGTCACATCCTTATAATTACAAAATCGCTTGGCTTGGCTTTACCGCCGCACCATATCCTAATCCCGTCACAATTAATATCCTTTCTCCGAAGAACAGGGTTATCCAATCCAAGAGCACGCCTAGAGCATGGCGGCAACAGCGAGGGCACCACCCAGAAGACCACCGGCAGCGGCGGTGTTCTTGGGCGCCCAGGCCTTGGAGCTCGAGGAGGAAGGGTTGTTGGCGCCCGAGGCGGCAGTGTTGCTGGTGCTGGCGCCCGTCTGCTGGGCGCCGCCGGAGCTGGTGCGCGAGGTGGTGCCGGCCGAGTTGGTGGCCGGGGTGCCGGTGGTCTTGCCGGACGAGGAGGAGCCGCCGGACTGGGAGGCGGTGCAGCTCACGGCGGTGGGGACGGTGACGCCCTGGGCGTCACAGATGGTCGAGGCGAAGGCGACGGCCGAGGACTGATCCTTCTCGTTGCAGCCGCCGGGCTTGGCGAGGCAGCAGGCGATGTCGCCGAGGAAGCTCTTGTTGGAGCAGATACACTTTGCGTCGGAGCCGCAGTTGCCGATGCCGCCCGAGAAGAACTGACTGGCGCAGTCTTGCTGTGGAAAGGGCAAAGAAGCGAAAGTCAGTGCCACAGGATCGCAATGGCGGTACTTGAAGAACGCGGGAGAGTGGGAGAAGGAGGTCACGGCAGGCGCAAACTCACAGCACACTGAGGCAGGCCCTGGAACTGCGCGGCGGAGAGGCCGGCAAGGGCGAGAGAAGACAGAACAGCAATGGACTTCATCTTGACGCGGAAGAAGCGAGAGAAATGCGCAACAAATTGCTTGGAGGTGAATAGTTGGGGGTTTTGGAGAAAATTGAACTTTTAAAGGCCAAGTTTTGTATGCGACGGGGCGGAGAAAGCAGGTACAAAGGGAGGTCTGGGAGAGTGACGACGGGTGAGGTCAAGTCATTCAGGTACTTGGATCATTCCCCAGAATTAGGTATGCTCGGGGGCCCAATAGGCGATGGTCCCCGCTGCGATTTGCGCTAAGGAGTGCCCACCTGGCAACCCACGCGCTATCGGTGCTACCCATACCCACTGTAAGCCACAATTGTGTCTTGGTAGGGCTGCCATTTCAGGCAAGGTGCCCCCCTTCGGAGCTCTCTGCTTCCAGTCATCCCACCCTTTTCGATCGCGGCAGTACGAGTACGTACTAGGTAGGGAGACACTGGGACGGACTAACTTCTGGTAGGATTGGCATCCACCACCACGCTTGCGACGACTCTGGTGGACCACTGGTGCGCGAGAAGAGCACCAGTGGGCGAGAGTCGAGCTCCGCGAACGCTGATATGCTGGAACATGCCGTTGAGAGACACATCTATGGATGGATAGAAGTAGCACTCGGCGCTGACGGGTAGGACTGGGTCCTCGAGATGCTGGGTCAACAGCCCTATCCGAGCATCCTGGATGGCTCCTCCGACCAGCTTGAATGATCGTCCCGCTGAAACGACACTGGTCGAGTTTCTTGTTCACGGTCGGGTAGTTTCCTAGCCCATCTCAGCTGGGAGAGTCGATATCCCGTGCCTCCCAAACATCCGTGAGCTTGATGATCTTGGCGATCGGTTGGATTGGAAGAAGCACGAACGACTGACTGCTGGTTCGTAGCTATGGCATCGCATGAAGGGTCCAGGTCCTAGGTAGAACTATCGTCGACAAACAGACAAGGGGCCAGGGAGGATCCTCACTTGTGAAATTGCTCAACTGCCGACTGGCACCCTATCCTAGCGCTGGGCGAAAGTTAAACAGCAGATCATCCCCTTCAATGCGACCAAGATCCCGGAGTGCGAGCTTGCGAGACGAGGACTCAACAGAAAGAGACTCAGAAAGTCGAATGGTCATGGTGGATCTCCAAGGATGTTTGACATTGCAATTGTGTAAATGACGGGGGCCGCTAAGAACCCGACCCTGAGCAAATCGGGACCCTCCAGGGCTGCCGTAGCTGCCCTTTTGCGGCCGTTCTGCTCTCCAGTGGTGAGCGGCGCCACCTGGGGCTCTTGGAATGCGCCCGTACCAAGAGAGTGGAGGGCCATCTCTCGCATTTCTTCCACGCTCCTCGCACGCACACACATCCCGACCTCGCAGATCAAACCCGTGGTAGATGCCGCGCCGTTTGGCGACAATGTTTCAGTAATTCGACACTTCAGACAACAGCAAGCTACTCAGTCGAGACACATCTAAATCTGCATCATGGGCCTCGGTATCCTGGAGGATCGGGTCATGGACCATGTGCCTGGTAAGCCGTCCGCCCCTCCAGAGCCGCAAGACGTTCAACGGCTGACAAACGATCTCTGTCCCAAGGCACAACCCGGTACTTTGACGATCCCGAGAGACCTCAGTACAGCCGTGATGGAGTTACGGGACTCAAATGCGACACCAGCGGTCCGCAACCCATCGTCCTGGTACGCTCAGGGATTCCCGAGATCTTGCCATGGGAGGACACGGGACTAACATGGGCCGCTCATCCAGGTGCCGCAACCCTCCGACGACCCTAACGACCCTCTGAACTGGCCGCTCTGGAGACGCGATCTCATCACCTTCGTCTTGTCCGTCACGGCCATCTTCGCGACGGCCCTCGGCCCCATCCTCGCTGCCAACACCCTCTCGCTCTCCCTCTTCTTCCGGGTCGACATTGGACGGGTTGCGCTGCTGACAGGCTACTTCCTGCTCGGCGTCGGCTTTGCCGGATGCTTCTTCGTCCCCTCGAGTCGCATCTGGGGCAAGCGGCATGCTTTCGTCATCGGCGTCTTGATACTCGTCGCGAGCAGTGCTTGGGGTGGCGCCTGCGCGCACCCCAAGAACTACACCAGCTTCCTCTGGTCCCGCATCATCCAGGGCGTTGGCACTGCGCCCTACGAGGCGCTCGTCAATGCCGCTGTGGGCGATCTCTACTTTGTCCATGTATGTCGGCGTCTCGTCCCCCCCGCACATCTCCATCAACCTCATGTGGCTGACTCTGACACCGTGCAATAGGAACGTGGTAAGCGCATGGCCTTCACCAATCTCGCCGTCTTCGGTGGTGCCTTCTTCACCCCTATTGTCGTCGGCAAGATCACCGAAGAGCTTGGGTGGTGGTGGTCGTTCAACTTTGTCGCCATCTTCTGCGCCGCCTGTGTTCCCGCTGTCATCCTTTTCTGTCCCGAGACCGCGTACAGACGTGATGCTTCCCTCAACACCGATATGCTGGCTACAGAGGGGAACGTAGCCTCTGACAAGACTCCTTCATACTCGGTCACGGCAGGACCGTCAGACGGCACCGAGCTCAGGGACCAGAGCGGTTCAGACACCGTCGCTCCAGTAACCCCTGAAGGCGCTAACGGAACTCAAGCCGGTGATCCTCAACGCGTTGACGGCCAGAAAGTCCACGTACCTGGCAAGACATCGTGGGTCAAATCATTGAGCCTATTCAATGGGCGAAAGACGGATGAGAACTTTTTCAAGCTGTTCCTGCGGCCCTTCCCCCTGTTCTTGCAGCCCGCCTTCCTCTGGGCAGCACTGATCCAGGGTACCATGATCGGGTGGACCGTCTTTATCGGTGTGATTCTGGGGACCAGCTTCCAGACATATCCCCTGTGGTGGAACGAGGCCAAGGCTGGGTATACGTACACCGGTGCCTTCCTCGGCGCCATTTTGGGATTCCTCATCAGCGGTCTGCTCTCCGATTGGAGCGCTCGCAAGTTGACAAGGATGAACAAGGGTATCTACGAGCCAGAGTTCCGCATCTGGCTCGTCATCCCCCAGTTCATCTTTGGTGTCATGGGTCTGTTCGGCTGGGGCATCACCGTCGATGGCATGTTGAAGAAGGAGTACCACTGGTCCGTGCCCTTGGTCTTCTTCGGCTTCGAGGTCTGCGGCATGGTCGTGGGAGCGGTGGCTAGTAGTCTGTACATCGTTGACGCATACCGTAAGTCTTGACCAACCACCGACTTCTGACACTTGGTCTCTTTGTTGAGATATGTGCTGACATCTGTCGACCAGGTGATCTCGCTATCGAAGGCTTCACGTGCCTCATCATCTTCAAGAACTTCTTCAGCTTTGCCCTGACCTGGCGGGCGTACGCCTGGCTCATCGAGAACCACACTCACTCGAAGCCTCTTTTCAACGCAATAGGCAGCGTTCAGATTGCCGTTTGCCTGCTGAGCGTACCCATGTGTAAGTCGCCTCGGGCGCGTTAGTTTATATGGCCGAGCTGATGCGGAATCTAGACATCTTTGGCAAGCGGAATCGCAGCTTCTTTTATCGACACGATCTCCTCAAGATGTTTGGTCTTGGACATGAGAATCCGCACTAAGTCCTCCCTCCATCAAAGGGAACACCGCCCCGCAATAACATACTTTTTGAGAATGCGAACATGGAATCATACCACAGCACGGTTCTGGATCGACGCATGATGCTATTTGCCTTGGTTAGTCATGGTTGGCATTTGCCTGATAGATCATTCAGCGGGTTTGATATCGCGATACTAGGGAAAGCAATGTTTGAGCATAGCATTACTAATAATAATAATGGCCCTTTTCGTCTTGGAGAAATCTTCGGTGGCATACTGTGATTACAACTTGATTGATAGTATTTTGACTAGCTTCGTTAAACTCGTGGTATCCAACTCGCCGGTCCCAAGCCTCATCGCTGGACTAGCATCTCAAGCCTTTCTTTCATCCTTCTCACCCTTTAGGCATGGCCAGCCTCGGCGGCCTTGCCCCGAGCAGCAACGCTCTTCTTGACGAGCCGCAGCCCGCCGACGAGCATCACAAGCGCCTCGATACCCAGAATCACGGCCAGCGTCACGAGCGCGCCGATGACACCCGCAACAGGGCGCGACATACCTTCGCCGTCACTGCCCGAGGCCGAGGCCGAGCCCGCGCCGCTGCCGCTGCCACCCGCGGCAGCAGCCGCCGCGCACACGCCCGTGGTGTTGCCGCAGGCCTTGCACCAGTCGAGCGTGTCGCCGACGGCGAACTTGGACATCTCGTCGGCAAAGGTCTTCCACGGCAGCAGGGTCTCGCGCCGGCCGAAGAGCGGGTAGGCGACGGGCTCGTGGCCGGCGGAGGCGGAGCCGTTGCTGAAGAGGAAGCGCACGGAGACGTCGGCCGGGTCGACGGGAGAGGCAGCATCGGTGGTGGCGGTCGTGGCGTTGGTGACGAGCTCAAAGACCATGGACGAGGCGTAGCCGCAGACGCCCGTGAAGTCGTCGCTGACGGCGGGGAGCTGCGCGAGGCCGAAGAAGGCCATGAAGGTGCCGTAGGCGCCGAACTGGATGCCCATGCGCGTCGTCGCGGCCCTGGTGGCCGGGGCCTGCAGGGTCGCGTTGAGGGTCTGGAGGACCTGCGCCGCGAGGACGGAGCCCGCGATGGCGCGGACGGGCTCGGACGCGTTGAAGGCCAGCCCCCACTCGTGCTGGTCGGCGCGGGTGGCGAGCTGGTGGAAGACGTCGTCGGTCACGAGGTCGGCCGACTGGATCGTGCTGTTGTGGATGCGGGCGACGTTGATCAGGTCGAAGACTGTGGGATTCAGGGTTAGACGATCAGATAAGGGTGCTGTCACAGGGTAGCGCTCTCACTGGTATAGCCGTTCTTGAAGCTGAGCTGGCTCTCGGAGAAGGTCCGGTTGACGACGGGCAGGAGGCGCCTGTAGAAGTCGGCCGTGCCGGCCAGGGTGTCGAGATACTGCCGGCTGGCGAAGTAGGCGTTGGAGCTCACGACGGCGTTGCCGCACCCCGACCCGCCCTGCAGCCACTCCGAGTCCTCCGAGGAGGCCGAGCTGGCGGCCGTCGCGATGCCGTTGACGGGCACGTACTGGTACCCGCCGAGCGGCGCCTCGGCGACGGTGCCGTCGGCCAGCGTCTGGCGCGCGGCGTCGCCGGCGGGCGGGTAGAGCCCCTGCGCGAAGACCGAGGCCGAGTTCTGCAGCACGCTGTCGACGGGCGCCGTGACGGCCAGCTGCGAGAGGACGGCGACGTCGGGGCTCAGGGCCTGGATGCGCGAGGTCGCGTTGGCGGCGACGTACCGGCCCCGGTAGTAGGCGCCCGAGGCGTGGACCTGCTCGGCGCCGAGGGCGGTCAGGTAGGTGGGCGGGGTCGACTTGGCGGTGCGGTCGCCGTGGCGGTGGAAGATGTAGACGCCCAGCACCGTCTCGGCCGAGGCGGCGAGCGGCAGGGCCGCGAGGGCGAGCGCGAGGGCGGCGGCGGCGGCGACCATTGTTTCTTTCTTCTTTCCGTGTGGGAGGGAGCACGAGCACGAGCACGAGCACGAGTCTGATTGCTCAACCAACACTGGATGTTGAAGCTTGCAGGTCAAGAAAGCTTCGTCCGTTCAAGCTCCGGGGATAGCTAGGCAGCTTGCTCCGGCCTCGGAAGCAGGTCACTCGCCTTGGAACGAGTCACACGCAGACAAAGTACAGTGGAGTTGGGGGGAAAGCAGGTGAAGCTTTTCCTTTGGACATTTGGCGATGGAGACATGGCATGGGCTATCTAATCCATTATATAATAGCACCGATAGGAAGTGCAGCTTCCCAACGGATCGTCCATGGGAGGAGAGATAGCTAACCCCACGACCACGACCAATTGACCCCGCCGCCGCCAAAAGGCCTCTTTTTCTACCTGATAGGGTTCGCGAGGGTGGAGTGTCTATCCGGTCGTGCTCTAGCTCGACGACAGCGGGAATGGTCCGACTGCAGGTCCCCAGTCAGGTCGCCGTTGCTGCTGGGTTTGCACATCTCCGTGGAGCCTGTCGCCCAACCACGACCGATTATCGCTTGGATCGGATAGCTTCCCTGCTGTATCTCGGGTGGGCTTCTGAGCCCTTCCGTGGGCTGACACTTAACAAGCTAAGACATCCGGGAGGGTGCCATCGTGCCCTGGTACTAACGTCGACCGGGCATCTATCTACCTATAAAACCTTTCGGTTTCCCTCTGCTTCTGATCAGTAAGCGCAGTGGTTTCTGCTGCTTGACGTGCAGATATGTATCATCTCCATCACCCCGGCCAGTGCCACTGTCACTGCCAAGCAGCCAGTGTTTGTCGGGGAATGGCTGCTCTTTACCCTTGCCGGCCCAGAAAAGCCCGCGCAATCACGGAGGTTCAGGGTGGGGGGTTTGCTGTGGAGATTTTCTCGGGCTTGGGGTTCTCGGGGTTGTATCCCGACCATGTAAATGCATTCGTCTAGGCAAGTTTTGTCGAGAGCTGATGCAGCTTGTCTCCGTACATCCAAGCATAGGAAGTATACCAGAAGCTCACAGGACAATTTTTGAGTGTCTCAATGTTCATAACTTCTTCCTGCTGAAGGATGAAAGACTCATCACCAATGGCTGTTCAACATGTGAAGAGAATCCCATGGAATGGGTGAAACTAAAAGTGAACGCTGTATGGCTACTAATGACAAGACATCTCGTTCCGCTGCGTCTCTACAGCTTGCCCTTCTCCTTCCTGCCGCTCTTCACGTTGGCAGAGAACACGCCGTCGATGAGGAAGTTTGGGTATTCCATGCCGGGATCCAAACCGACAGAGTTCCCGCCCTGCCGCCGCCACGCCGCCCCATCCACGATCAAGGCATGGCCGTTGACGTAGCTGCCAGCGTCGCTGAAGAGGTAGACCGTCGCATCGGCAATGTCCCTCACACGGCCCATACGGCCGCTGGGGAAGCTCTTGGCCAGCAGCTTGGAGTCGACCGCCTTGCTTCCGAGGCGCTCCATGCCCTCGGTGCCCTCGATGGCGCCGGGCGCGATGACGTTGGAGCTGATCCCGAGGGGGCCGTACTCGAGGGCGACAGAGGCCATGATGGCGTCTACGCCGGCCTTTGCCGCGGCGACGTGGGCCTGCAGCGGCAGGCCCGTGTAGTGGAAGGTGGCTGAGACGTAGAGGATGCGGCCGCCGGTCAGCCCCGTCTCGGCAGAGTCCTTGTTGCGGCTCGCTGACTGGACGAGGTGGTCGATCGTAGCCTTGACCGTGTTGTACGTGCCGATGGTGTCGATGTCGATGACTGTCTTGAAGCCGTTGGGGGTCAGCGCCGATAGGGGCGCGATGAAGTTGCCGGCCGCGCCGGCACTGGGACTTGTCAGCATGGACGAGACCGGTATGTCTCGATGTGGATGTTGACCACCACCCCGTAGGCTGGTTGCAACTTACATGACGAAATCAATCGCACCCAGCTCGGCAACACAGCGGTCGGCCGCGGCCTTGAGGCTCTCAAACTAGCCCAGGAGATTAGCGACGGGGCCCTACAGTCCTTGTTTGCTCTAGAATCGCGACCAACCTTTCTGACATCGACGTTGCCGATGCCAATGACCTTGGCGCCACTTCGAACCTTGGCGATCTCTTTGGCAGCAGCCTCGGTCTTTGTAGGGTTGCGGCCGATGATGCAGGCGTTGGCACCGAGATGGACGAGCGCCCGGGTCTGAGCACTGCAGATATCGCCAGCACCGCCAGTGACAAAGACAACTCGGTCGGCTTCCAGAGAGTCAGCATCTGTCCCCTCTCGAAAAAATTTGTCTATGGGGGTCACCTACCAAAGATGCCGTCCTTCCAGACTGGACTGAGGTATTTTGACTTGGGCATAGCCATCTTTGTGATTCAAGTCTTTTGAGTGTTGATGGGGGTCTCACTTCAGCGTGAGGGCGACGTTGGAGATGATGCAATGACGTTGCGCACGCAATGAACAGATACTCAGACAACCAACCGTGTATGCGCTAGGAAACACAAATATTCCTTGAGTGAGATGCAACATGCACGGTTATATAGTACAGAGGCTCGTTGTTCTGTCTTGGATCAAATGTAATATGCTCCCAGATGCTGATGTGGGTGTGAGCTTCGTGTTCATTAATCGTTATGTCTCTGCCTCGGCACGAATCCTCTTTACCCCATTTCTTCCCCATGCTCTCCAAGGAACAGCACTGGATCCGAGTGCGAGGTCCAGGTGGTGGAGGCTGCTGAAGTCAGCCTTCAGCGTTATCGATAGCGACCGCCCCCCGCTGGAAACACCCGCTAACTCCGCCTGAAGAAGGACAGGCTCGCCAGCCGAGGCCCTAAGAACTCCAGTAGGCTACTGGTACAAGTACATGTACAAGTACTTATCAATAAAGTGCCTGGCCAATCACAGTCCTGTCGCATTCCTTTTGTCGATCCTGGGATCCTGGCTGCCAAAAGTACCCCACCATGAATTATTTCTACGGCAACATCGCGTGAACTCATACCTAGCCCTGTCGCGCGCAATTCGGCCACCACGCGTAAAGTGCAAGATTGTGCATCACCGGCTTTGAACCTCCACAACTCAGAATGCTTGAATAGCGACAGCAAAGGCTGCCCTCAATCGCCTCTTCCTCCACCTGCAAGACAATCACCTGTGACACGGCCCTTCAAGGTGGCTACATTTGCACCATGGGCGATCTCAGCCCACCGTCAGATCCGGCTCAGACAGCCTCCCCGCCAAAGAAGAGAAAACCGCTTCTCTTCAAACGCCAGGCTGTCCATCGTAGTCGTCCCGCCAATCTGGTTCAAGATCTCACTTCACAAGACACTGAAGACCAAGACGATACGAGCAACGCCCTGGCTTTGTTCCAGAGATCCAAGGACTTCTTCCCGATCGCATCTGCGGAAGAGGAGGCTGGACAGGCAGGAGCTCAATCCAAGAACCCCACAGAATCGCACTCGGCCAAGCGCAGAAAGGTCTCGGAAATGGATGAAGAGGACATCTATGACGTGTCTGATCGGGAGATGAGGCGAAGGGCGTCCCTGCGTGCTTCGTATGTCCATCCCCCCAGGCGTCCGCCTTCCACAAAACTCTAGTCACTCACATCTTCTGAAGCAGGTCTAGCAAGTCTAGCGAGCCTGCTACGCCGCCAGCGAGCCGTCATTCCGATCATGCTACGCCTTCGTCTGGCCTCTCTCACCGAAAGAACAAGGTGGCCAAGGGCAAAGGCTTGGCTTCCCCGTATAGTCTAGCAACTCCCATCAAGCAGCAACCTCAGTCCTCCCCCTTCGCACCCCCTGCCTCTATCACTATATCGGACGATGATGAGGACAATGTGGGTATCCATCCCGCATACCGCACCCGCTCCACCCCAAGGAGACCCCGAGCCGAACAGCGGACACCTCCCACCACCGTGGTTGCCGATTTGGACGAGGTGCCCGATGATGACCAGCTGATGGACGAGGATGATCTACAAGAGACCGTCAACCCCGAGTTCGCCGAGTACATTATCCGTGCCCAAGCCCGCAATGCAGCGGCACAAGCGCAGGAGACGGTCGAGCGCAGCGCTCACCACTACCACGGCCCGCCAGACCCATCGTCGCCCACCGGCGGCGGCACACCGGAGAACGACGCGATCATCCAGATCTTTGTCACGTCGCGGCTCCCCGACGGCGAGGACATTCCCCCGCTCATCATGAAGCGCAGGCTGTCGCAGAACATGAAGCTCGTCAAGACCTGCTACGCGCACCACCTGCGCGCCAAGGGCTACCCCCTGCCGGAGGCGGGCGAGGACGGCGGCATCTTTTTGACGTGGAAGGGCAACAAGATCTACAGCACGACGTCGGGCCGCTCGCTCGGGCTCGCCGCTGACGAGCGCGGCCGGGTGAAGAAGGCCAGCGGCGCGTCGATCGGGCCCCTCGAGCCCGGCTTCCGCAACGGCAAGCTGCACTTCGAGGCGTGGAACGAGGCCTCGTACCAGGCCTACCTGGACGACCGGGAGAAGGAGAAGGCCAAGAGCCTGGCCCGTCTGAACGAGGACAATGAAGACGAGGACGACGATGTGTACAATGGTGCCGGCGAGCTGGACAATGTCGAGGAGACAAAGGTCAAGGTCCGCCTGACACTCAAGTCCAAGGACTACGAGCCGGTCAAGCTGACGGCGCACCACGACACCTCGGTCGAGATCATGCTCGGCATCTTCAGGATGCAGAACCGGATCCCCCACGACCGAGACGTGTCGCTCTGGTGGGACGGCGAGAAGCTCGATGCCAAGATGACTGTGGAGGAGTCGGAGATGGAGGACATGGACACTGTAGAGGTGCATGTCAACTAATGGTTCTGGGACGTGATTTACAGGTACTACAAGGACGGGGCAAGTGTAGCGATGGACTTGGTGGGCGCATCTGTTCGGGATGGACAGATGGATGAACTCTTTTGATACCCAGGTGGATGTTTCGTCCACAACTCTAGTTTTATGAATCGGTAATGGTAGAGAAAAATAGGTGATGACCCTTCGAAAGTGAATTTGTTCATTCATGCTTTTTGAGTGACATTGGTGGTATACCGAGAGAAAGACACGTCCTTGATGAAAGAAAAACCGAAATGGTCTAGAAACGCCAATACGCCATGATCCATGCCATTCAACCCAACCGACATCCCCCGCTTTTTAGAACCTCTCCTTCATCCTCGCGCTGATGGTCCGCAGGTTGTCGTACACGCGGCCGGGGGTCTTGCCGAGGATCAGGCTGACGACGCTCTCCCTGGCCATGCCGATGTTCTTGAAGCCGCCGAGGATGTGGACCTTGCTGTCGGCCAGGACTATCCTCGTGCGCGTCGTGTTCTCGATGGCGAACTTTGTGCGGCCGTCCTTGCCGGCGATGCGGCCGATGGCGCGGGCGAGGTGGTCGCCCTCGAGGGTCTTGACGTCCTTGATCTCGAAGCTCTGGATGTAGAGGTCGTCGAGGCGCAGCAGGGCGATGGCGTCGTCGACGTCGAAGCCGAGGGAGAAGGCGCGGATGAAGTCCTCGCCCTTTTGCAGCGCGCCCGGGTCGGTCGTGTGCCTCGACGTGCGCAGCTCGACGGCCTTGGACTTGACGTTCATTCGCCTGGAATAGAAATGTCAGAATCTCTTTGAGTTTCCCTAATCCTATTCATTTGGTGTAGGCGTGACGTGTTGTCAAAGACTTACACTTGCAGCTTCAGGTGGGTGACCAGGGGGTCGCAGATCTTCATCCACGAGGTCCGCAGGGGGCTCATGCGGTGCGGAGGGATGGGGACCTTGCGCTGCTCGCGGCGGGTGGCCGTCTCGACGTCCTTGGAGGCCGGGAACTTGGGGCGGGCCTCCTCGTCGAGGACCATCTCGGTGTCGGCGTCCGCGGCAGGCTCGAGGGCGGCGGGTTGTGAGAAGTCGGCGTCGGTGGCGTCCAGAAGGACCTCTTCGACCCGGTCTATAGGAGAGAGTGATTGTTGGTCAGTGCATCTCGACGGGAAGAGGGTCTGCCATGACATACCAGCTTCGGGGAGGGGGATGTCCTGCGCCAGGGCAGGCTCCTCCTTCTTGAGGAGCGCAGTGGGAGCAGGCATGTTTGCTGTGTGGCTGGTCTGTGATTGTATCGACTCGCTTTGTCGTTCTTCCAAGGAAGAAGTACCGGTTGATGACCAGACTGGGAACCTATGGGAGTTGCGTTGGGTTGGTCGTATCGTGTCTTGTCCAGTCCTTTCTCTTTCTCTCACCGTCCTGGCGGGCAAAGCGGCAGAATCGACAGCATACACCCACCCACATCAACTTTTTTTCTTGGTGGGACGCAACCCGCGCCCGCAAAAATTTGTGGCACCCCGCTTGTATGGCCGACAATCAGCGGCAGCTTATCGATAAAGCAGTGAGAAGAGATCATTAAACTCGAGCGAAAAAAAGGGGGATCCACTTACATCCGTCCAGGCCCAGCCATTCGATCAATCCTTGCTCGCATGGTTGGCGCGTCATTGAAAACCGAGAGGAGGTTTCAAGCATCCAAGCATCTGGGATCATCACCCCAGCCAGCTGCTCCTACCGCCAGCCCAAAGGTTTATTAGATCAGGGATCGCAGTCACACCACGCTTTCCCCTCCCTGCTCGTAACTATCTCAAGGGCCAGCTCAATCATGTCTCATTGACCATTTGTCCCCCAAGCAAAGCTCTTCTCTTCAACAGAATGAGCTGCGGTCATGCCATCTAGCACTGCACAGACCCAGCTGGGTCGCCAGTTCTGGGCCTCGATCCGGGAAACAGTCGACGCCGCCCTATGGAACCTGCCCTCGAGCCGCAAGCGCCTGAACCACATCGGCTTCGGCCAAGCCAGGTTCTGGGCCTCGAGGCCTAGCGCCGGGAGGTTCTTTACCTCGTCGAGGCACCTGCCGTCGCCGCAGTCGGCAAAGTTTTCATCAACCAGTGTCCGGCGGAGCTGCACCTCGGGCGGCCTGCTGCTCCTGGGCCTTGGGAACCCGACCAGCTCGACGCAGAATGTCGTGACGACATGCGCCGCCGCCGCCGATTCCGCCATCGTAGCCGGCGCGGCGTCCAAGACAAACGTCAGCCGCCTGGCCAGGCAAGCATGGCAGCGCGGCCAGCATACGGGTGCGCTGGGCAAGGGGAGGACACCGGCCCGTAGGTACAAGAGCTCCAAGGCCGGCGAGGAGGAAGTCAAGAAGTCTGCCGTGCCACCAAAGGCGGAAAATGCCCAAAAGCCGACGACGACACCCCCGAAGGGCCAGCCCGAACACCACGACCCCGAGTCCATTACCGAATCCATGTCCAAGTACCTCTCCGATCACCTGCCACACCTCCCAAAGATGCCTCATAGGCCGACGAAAGAAGAACTGTTGGCTGCCGCGACTGGATTCTGGCAGAGGATGAAGGTCCGGTTCAAGTGGTTCTCCATCAGGAGCATGCGGCCCTGGAATGCGGATGAATGGGGGGCGTTTGTCTCCTGGTTTGTGTTCGGACATATCGTTTGGATTCTGCTTGGGACCACGACATTCTTTTCCTTGGTCATCCTGACGGTCAACACTGTATTTGCGCAAGGTGCGTGCCTTCTTCTCCTGGATCGTCCGTGGGGATTCGGTTTGCTGACATGTCTTGAATGCAGAGGAGCTTGCGAAGTGGGTAGGCGACTACCTAACCCAGTCGGCTGGTGTGACTGTCGTCTTCGAGTCTGCTATTGTCCCCAGATGGAAGGACGGCGTTATCACGTTCCGAAATGTGTTCGTGTCGCGGAGACCCGGCCAGCTGAAATCGTCGGTCAAGAAGGGCTCTTCGACGAGCGCTGCCGCCATGGCAGCTGCCAAAGCGGGCCACTCCGAATCGGCAACCGAAGCAGACGACGGCAACTATACCCAGTTCGACGTCACTATCAACACCGTCAATGTGACGCTCTCCTTTATCAAGTGGTGGAACGGCAAGGGGTTCTTGAAAGACGTCGAGGTCAAGGGTGTCAGAGGCGTGGTTGACAGGACGCACGTCGTCTGGCCCGACGAGCCTGCCGACCCCTTGTCATACCGACACGAACACCAGCCCGGCGACTTCGAGATTGAGCACTTCAAGCTCGAAGACCTGCTCGTGACCATCCACCAGCCTGACAATTTCAGGCCGTTCTCCATGAGCATCTACTCGTGCGAGCTGCCCCAGCTGCGAAAACAGTGGCTGTTCTACGACTTCCTGTCTGCGACGCACATGTCTGGCTCGTTTGATGGCTCTCTGTTCACGATCCACCCACGCCAGATTCATGGAGTCCCGGCCGGAGACGACCACGGCATCATAGCAGTGGACCAAGTTGGCGATGCATCTGCGTGGAAGAAGTTCTCACGACTCAGAATCGATGGCCTCAAGATCGACCATCTGAACAGGGGAGTCGAAGGCCCCTTTGGGTGGATCTACGAGGGGAACCTCGACATAGTCGCCGACATCATGTTCCCAGCTGACGTCGATGAAGGCATCGGCAAGGTCGTCAGCGACTTTTACGACAAGATGGAAGAGGCCGTGACATCCAACCGATACCTGAGAATCCTGGACAATCAGGACCAGGAGGGGCCCGCCAACGACGCACAGTACGCCCTTGACAGCGGTCCAGAGCAGCAGGGCCACCTCTCCAGGGACACAGCCTCCATACTGCACAGCGAACCCCAAGACACCTCCACCATCACCACAACCCGAGAACAAACCGCCGAAGCCTCCCTCTCGACCGTCCCAGAAGCGGCGCCGCACGCGAGCCCCATCGACGAGATCCCGCGGTACCTCGTCATGGACCTGCGGCTGCACCTCAACGACGTGCGCGCCCAGGTGCCCTACTTCTCGGCGTCCAAGGACCTGGGCCACAGCTACATCAACGCGGCGCTCATCCGGCCCATCGTCGCCTACATCAACTCGAAGCGCACCTACATCCCCATCAACTGCCGCGTCGTCAAGCGCGCGCCCGATTTCGACGGCTCGTGGTCCATCTTCGACTGCGGCCTCATGGACGACATGTCGGCCGAGGTCTACTCGGCTTTCGCGCGCGACGTCGAGGACCAGCAGTCGCGCGTGCGCCGGCTCAAGAAGGTCGGCTTCTGGACGCTCAGCATGGTCGTGCACGCGCTGCTGGCGGGCGTGGCGGGGGATTACATGTGAGAATGAGGCAAACAGGGTGGTAGGTGGCTGGAGAGGGTGTGTGTTGTAGATGCCAATATTTATACAGGCAGGCAGACAGACAGACAGACCCATTTCGTGTAGTATACGTAGAGGGATGTAGGTCCAGGTGTGTGTTCTTTCTTGTTTTTTTTTGGCATCCAGTGGCGGGATTTGCTGTCCTGTACACATCATACATGTAGCGACATTTGGCGTTGATCTTGTATTTCAGCACGAAGAATAGGGGGAGGGGGGAAGGGACACTCACAACTGCTTCGATTTACACGGCGATACTAGGCGTTGGGGGTTAGGCCTGCTTGCTTGTAATGTACCCAAGTCAAGGACGACTGAATAGAAACATCTACGTCAACACTGAATCTGCCGTGGCATGAGGTAAAAACAGCCTGTTGTCTGTAATTGCATCGAAAGCACAGCTCTCTCTAACAGAATCTAATGCATTCAACTCCACGTCTTCTTCCCCCCAGTCCGCTCGATCAGCTCAATGCCATGCAACGCTATCTTATCTCTATGTATGCATGTAAATGCATCGCTGATGGGAAAAGGCGAAGTAGTACCAGCAATCATGGAAAACAAAAGGTGACGACTTTTTATCCCACTGACCACACGTTCTCCGTACATCATCTCCCAAACTCATCACACCTTCGTCATTAAATGGCCATCCTCGTCCTTGTTGTATGTATAAAAAATGCTGCAAAGACTCCTGCCGACGTTCTCTCCCATCTCTCTCTCTCTCCCCTCCTCCACAACCAGCCCCGGGCCTCGGAAGGTCGGGACGGCTCGACTGAGGACATTTGCCGCCATGATCCCAGCGGCAATAGTGTGCATCGAATTTGCCAGTGTCGGGCACACGCAGGAGCCCTCCCATTTCCCCCTTCTTCGGTCGAGGGCGACGCGATCCATCCACTTGTTGCAGCGCAAAGGACGGACCAAGCGTGGCGTCGTACGAAACGACGGTTGGAAGATCGTAGAGAAAGCCTTTCACATAAAATCATCACTGTTTTGCCGAATCTTGTCAGTGAACTGATGCCATCACAGGCAGACATAGACCCAAAGGGCTTAGCATAGGAGGCTTGATGAGAACTTACTCTCCGAACGCGTCGTCGTCGTACGCAGAGGTGTCGGCGACGTTGGGGCGGCCGACGGCAAGAGAGGTCTTGGTCTTGGCGGCCTTGGTCTTCTTGCCGCCCTTGTCGGCGGCCTTCTCCTCCTTCATCTTCTCGTTGCTCAGGGTGGTCAGGGTGCTGGCGACCTTCTTGATCTGGTCGCTGGGCAGCTCCTTGGCCAGCTGCTTGGCGAACTCCTGGAGGAAGAGGGTGTAGTGCGGCTTCTTGGCGTTGGCGATGAGCAGGGGCGCCAGGACCTGGCGCAGCTGCTCGAACTGGGTCTTGGTGGTCGGGCTGAAGATGGGCAGGGTGGCGATGTCGACGGTGCTGGTCGGGTCGCTGGGGTCGACGGTGATGACGGTGGCGCCGGCGACGGCCTTGCGGCCCGAGGGCACGCCGATGTCGCCGAACAGGTCCTCGGCGTGGCGGAGGTCGGCCTCCTTCTCGGTGCGGCGCAGGCGCTCGCGCTTCTGCTCCTCGGTCTCGTCGTCGTCGCTGAAGTCGCCAGCCTCGGCCAGCTGGCGGGCGCGCTCGGCCTGGTGCTCGGCGATGCGCTGCTTCTTGGACTTCTTGTTGGCGGCCTCCTCGGCGGCGGCCTTGGCCTTGGCCTCCTCAGCCTTCTTGGCCTTCTCGCGCTCGACCTCCGAGTCCTCGGCGGCGTCCCACGAGTCTAGGACCTGGCGACGGGATCATGGTTAGGACCGGGTGTTTCGGAAGGAGTTGGCGGAGTGAAGGTCGAGGGCGAGGGGGGGGCGTGGTGATGACGGCACCCCCCCGGCAGTGGAAGAACGTGTCGATCGAGCGAGCAAACTTACATCACTGTCTCCGGCCTCCTCATCGTCAAACTTGTTGTTGCGGCGCACGGCCCCGAACTGAGGCGAGGCTGCGGACTCGGCGGAGCTGGACTCCTCATCGTCTGCAGGGCAAAGAGCGGTCAGCCGGATTCAGTAAGAACAGAGGCCACAAAGCGACAGGGTATAGACGGTCGGTCGCCGTAGGGCGCGGAAGGACGTGTGACAGCCCATCCTGCCCCACAGAGGTCGATATCCATCTGCATGGAAACGAGTCCTTGACGTCTTCCAAATGAATTCCTTCATTTCGGGGTTGTGCGCCATGGTGCTGCCGCTTGTAGGGCCGTCCTCTCTCTGCGCGGTTGCTGAGCCCGAAATACGTGGCATTTTCGCGTAGCGATGAGGGGGGGTAAAATAAATCATCGTCACTCACCCCACTGCTTTCCAGGCATGATGTCGAATTTCTTGCGAGGTCTGTTGATTCTACGTTTTGTCTGGCGATCGGTCGGCGTGAAGTCTGCTTGTGAGGCTCTTTTGTGAATCCTGGGATTTTACGGTGGAAAAGGAAGTTGGATGGCGGTTTGGTCAGAGGGAGAGAGGGAGGAAATAAAGGAGGTAGGCTACGACTGGGTCCAGCTTCGGTTGGGCAGAAAAAGCGCAGGGCGCAATAATGAATTTGAGGGCTGATGGAACTTGTTTGGGACAATCTTCCCTTTTTTTTTTTTTTTTTTTTTTCTCCTTCTGCCCTGGCTAACAGTTCAGATAAGATCCTCAAGTATTTCCCCCAAAAATCGAATTCCAGGCGGCCCTAGCAGCCGCCCCGCGCCTTGTTTCTAGGGGTCTGGAATTCAATTTGTGTGCGTCACTGACTCTGAGTCGCTGGTGGTTTTTTTTTTCCCCTGGAAAAAACCGGCTCAGTGGTTGTTTGCACGCCTCTCCTCTCCTCTTTGTGCCCAACCATGCAAAGTTGGGGCCGTCCACGACAGGAACGGGTTTAGCCGCAGCCAGTCCGGCGTCTGCACTGTACATGTATGTGGTGGTCCCTATCATTTTCACACCATACTTCCCAGTCGCTGCAATCTTGGCCGTGAATCCATGTGTCGCTTGCATTGATCCTTGCGACGACGATACCGGAGGCTGAAAGAGTCATATGGCTGATCTTGGCTTGAAGCCAGCTCTGCCAAGCCCCTGCATGCTCTACAAGCGACACGAGTAGGATCTGCCCAAGGGTCAGGTCAGACTGCCCCTACCCACTGATTCGTCACGGCACATCCAGAATGTCTACAAAGTACATGCCATGATACCAGTTGGGAAGTCGTCGACCATGTGAGGCCAGCCCCGCATATGTGCTGTCTGATATCGATTTAACCTTTGGGAGGTATCCCCCCCTGCAAACATCTACCACCTGTGACCGCAGAAGTACATGATTGTCACTATGACATGTGTAGAGATCATTCAGGTGTGGCTGGAGAGGAGGGCAAGCCATACCGTCTAGGTTCTCGGGCGTGTATGTCACCAAAAGTAGTTTCCAGTTTTGTTTATCAGACATCTGACATGATGAGCAGTATTGCTTGGCCTCAATCCTCTGACCTTATTCGGTCCCTTTCCACTTCTTCTACAGCCGGATCTGCCCGGGTGGGTAGCTGTCAGACCAGACCAGAGGAGCGAGCAAACACCGAGAGCCTCTGCAGACCAGCAACAGGCTCCAGAATACTTGCGCAGAGGAACCCTGGAGTCGTGAAGCTACGTGAAGCTAAGGCAGGCATTTTCTGCCTCAAAGGCTGTGGGAATGTCGAGCTTGCCTGCTGATCGCAGCCACCTTACCCTACTGGCAAGATCAACCATCGATCGAATCCAGCTTTGATCTCAGCTATCAATACCTAGTTGCACGCCGAACAACAAGATCTCTCAAATACAATTTCAACCTTCGTTTTCCGAAAACGGAAATGCGACGCTCGCCCCAGATGACTAACCAGCGAAAATGCTACGGATGGCGCTGGAGAGGGCCACCAAAGCCCACCCCGGAAGGACCCGACGGCCACTCAGGGCAAGCCAAATGCCAATTTCCACCTGGCCACCTGACACGCCCGCCCCGACCGTCGCCCCGGCTTTCTCCTGCAACACTGACAGCTTCACCTCCATCAAGTCGCCGAAGGGCCCCGGCCATTCGGAGAACCCGCCACACCCGATGCCACGGCGAGCAGGCGGGACGCCAAGCCTATTCCACTGCGAGGCCCTTCGGGGAACACTTTGGATTTCAGATCCCACGCGCCTCATACGAGACGAGACAGGTACCGACAAATTCGCTAGTCTTGCCATAGTTTCGCGGCGTAGCCATCGGAGCGCCTCCTCCACAGCCTTTGTGTAAATCAAGACCCCGATAGGCAGTTCGTATTTGCCCTGCTTTTTCCTATTCGGTTTGACTTGGCCCCCTCAACTTGCTCATGATCTGATTAGTTTGTGGCCCATTTGCTCCCAAAGAGGTTGCTATGTCTCAGTGGTGCCAAGTAAGCACTATGACTCGCCCGTCATATAAATATCATGAGGCTCCCAGGCCACCCTCCCGCCCACGCCCCTCGACTCCTTCTGATAGCCCCAGACCTTGTCAATAAACAAACAGTACCAACATCAGATCCCCCCCCCAAGAGTTGGATCCCATCCCTCTTCTCCAAGTCGTTGTGACCACCGAACCTCCTCTTCACAATGCTGTCCACCCGAGTGAGCCCCAAGCTGTGCTCTCCCCAGCACGTTGCCAAGCTCGGCCGCTCCGTCGCGCCTCTTGCTCACGGCCAGTGCCTGCTCGTCTACCCGGCGAGCGGCCGCCTGTCGTGCACTGCCCAGTGGCAGGCACACCACCGGCAGGCACAGACCCCGCGGTCGTTCTCGACCACGAGCGCCAACCAGCTCCGGGACTTCTTCCCGATCAAGGAGACCAAGCATATCCGAGAGACCCCCCCGGCATGGCCTCACCACGGCTACACCGAGGAGGAGATGCTGGCCGTCGTCCCCGGCCACCGCCCGCCTGAGACGCTAGGAGACCAGTTCGTCTGGAAGTTCATGCGGTTCTGCAGGTCAGTTTTTTTGCGTCCCCAAGACAGGGGTATTGCATCTTCGCGGCCGAAAACTAGGTTTTGCTGACTGCGCACCACGAAAAAAAAAAACAGATGGGGCATGGACCTGGCCACGGGCCTGTCGAGCGAGCAAAAGTCGGACAAGAAGAACCCGACGACGGCGGTGGCGGCCGTCAAGCCGCTGACCGAGGCGCAGTGGCTCACGCGCTTCATCTTCCTCGAGTCGATCGCGGGCGTGCCCGGCATGGTGGCCGGCATGCTGCGGCACCTGCACTCGCTGCGGCGGCTGCGGCGCGACAACGGCTGGATCGAGAGCCTGCTCGAGGAGTCGTTCAACGAGCGCATGCACCTGCTCACCTTCCTCAAGATGTGCGAGCCGGGCTGGTTCATGAAGGTCATGCTGCTGGGCGCCCAGGGCGTCTACTTCAACCTGCTCTTCGTCACCTACCTCATCTCGCCCAAGCTCACGCACCGCTTCGTCGGCTACCTCGAGGAGGAGGCCGTGCACACGTACACGCGCTGCATCAAGGAGATCGAGCAGGGCTGCACGCCCAAGTGGTCCGACCCCGACTTCCAGATCCCCGACATCGCCGTCAAGTACTGGCGCATGCCCGAGGGCAAGCGCACGATGCGCGACCTCATCCTCTACATCCGCGCCGACGAGGCCGGCCACCGCGGCGTCAACCACACGCTCAGCAACCTGAACCAGAAGGAGGACCCGAACCCCTTTGTCAGCGCCTACAAGTCCGGCGCGCACCCGCCCAACGCCATGGCCAAGCCCGCCGGCTATGAGCGCGAGGAGGTCATGTAGTGAAGACGAAAGGGTGTGCTCTTTCCCGCAACAAGGGGCTTTCGCGGCTTCGTGAACCCCGTCTCTGTTTTTTCAACACCTCAAGACTTGGGGGAGTTTCCCTATGTTCAACATCATGGCTTCACGGCCTCACCGGCGTTTTTCGGTTTTTTTATTATTATTATTCGGCAAAAAGTTTGTGTATAGATATACCCCCCGAGACCACTCATCTCCATGGCTTTGGCGTTTTTAGTTTCCCTTTTTTTTTTTTTTTGTTCTACATTCTTGCGTCTGTACACTCGGGGGCATGTTCATCGAGCGGCTATTCAGATTAGAGGCTGCGGTATCATTAGATAATTACATACCTAGACGCTATAAGCTCACATCCGTCCACGACAACGGCTGTTCTCTTGCACCAACGTCAAGCCTGAAATAAATCCAGTGCATGTCACGCGATAATGAATGGTCGTCGCTGTACGACCACACGAGAAATCCTTCCACTGCAAAGAGGCATGTTCCAAGAAAGGTCACCAACAAGCGGGATGATCAAGCCAAGCCACCCGTGGGCGCCACAACCGGCTCTTCCCTTCGCGCTAGAACGAGCCAAACACACATACACTCTCTCTCTCTCGATGAAGGGGCCCGGCAGTGTACGCAGAGGAGCATGGCGGCGCTTAGCAGTTCTTCGGGCTTGATTGGCCCTCTCTGTGCCCTTTGGAAAAGTTGATGCGCAGCAGTTCTGAACCGGGTGATCCAGGCACAGGAAACGGAGTCAGCTTATTAGCTAAAAGTCGGCGATCTCAGGACGGCGATGATGGTCAGGGATAAAAGGGGGCGCGGTCCGCCCTTTTTTCGTGTGTCACGGGCCGGTGAGAAATTAGAGAGAGAAAGCAAAGCGCTGTGGTTACCTGACACGACAGACACATGGCTGGTGAGCATGAGAAGAGCCCGCTGCGGGCAGCATAGCATGACGCTGTCCCCCTGCGGAGAGAGATAACAGGAATCTGCCCAGAATGCTGGGTTATGCTCGTTCTGAAAAGCAACGGTCATGTTGGGTTGGCCAACAAGCGGGCTTGCATGGCATGTGCCGGCCCGTCTACATACCTAGTTACAACGGATGATGGGTGCACTGCTTAAATCCTTCCCAGGCAAGGGACATGCTGGCTGTCCGACTCTAAAAATAGAGGGAGCTTTTCCCGCTTGGTGGAAGACGGCCGGCCGGCCGTCCGGTTGCTGGCGCAGGCGGATGTCGGGTCTGTCGCCCAGTTTCTTCAATTCCAGCGGGACGAGGTAGCAGGGAGCAATTTCGGGGAGCGACAAAGAGCGGAGCGATCTCTGGAGCAAATGGAAAACCTCATGATTTGAATTTAGCGAGCATGGGGATGCTGATCTCCCTCTCCAACACACAGAATGCATGGATGGCACAGGCACGTTTACGACGAGCAATTCCGTTTCCCGCGCCGTCGGGTGGGGAGACGGGACGTGCCAGAGGGGACAGGGAAATTGCATGAGGGATCCCCCGCTAGATGTGCCTTGTATCAAACTGAATGTTACACAAGATGTGATCCCTCGAGTAAAGTGCGGTACCTACTTTACATGTAGGTAGCTGTGGCGAACCATAATGGAACGTCTGGCGGTGGGAGAGCGGAAGTGAGCAGAGAGCACCTGCGCATGACTCTATTCCTTCATCGATGCCAGGACAATTGATTCATCGCGAACCAGGCCGAGGTATCCTTGGGTCAACGAGACGGCATGCAGTACTGCACAGGAGTGCGACACATAATACTAGGTAGAGACTGATAATATGCAATCAGTAACTTCATGGCCTGCCTGGATGGACAAGACGTCAATCAAAGGCCCTTCTTCATCAAAGACAAGCCTGCCAAGGCGATGGATTTGGAATTGGGGGTTTCCAGTGCTCCAGATAATCTAATCTCGCCGTCAGACAAGCATACAAGCATGTCAACTTTCATCTTGATCGTTTCATTCTTGTGAACGGGTCGTAAAACGGACCACTGACACGACTACACCTGCCACTCCGTCCCAATTGAAACGTCCCAGGAGCCTGCGTCCGATTCGTTGGCACGCGCCAGCGGCTAGTGTCAGGACACTGTCAGGTTTTAGCGGGCAAAATACAGTGCCACTACAACGACAACTCACTGTCTTCCCTAGAGCAATGCGAGCACCTCCACTTGGCTCAACTCGCACTCGCAAAGCTCACCAGTCAATAGTGGAGTGTCGGAGCCGACAACACTGCAAGCCCGACATGTGAATGCTGTACTGCTCCGGGCGACAACGCTAGAGGCGAGTACCTGTAAGGCGATCGCCCTATGGACACAGTGCGAGGGCCCTAAGGTCAGTGGTCGCCTTGGGGCCGGCCTTACTCTGACCTGCCAAGAGCTTCCGTCACCAGCGCCAAAGTCATGAAGCGGGGACCGTTCATTTGCGACCAGCCAAAGTTGGCCGCCCACGCCTCGAGCGTCGCCCAGGTCATGTCAGGTCAAGCAAGCTTCTGACCGACTCCAACAAGCACCGTGGATCACCCTGCCTGGCTGCTGGTCCCTCTGTGTGTCTTGTGTCTTGTGTGTCTCCATCCCCTCCCCCCAATCTCCAATCTCGCTGCCTTTTGCGACACATCAGACCCGACCTTTTGTCACCTTTCCCAAACCCCTCGACCTGAGATCGCGACGAAACCTACAGCATCGGTGTCGCCGTCGGATCTAGAGCGACTTTATCGAGCGTACCACGATCGCCGCTCATTTCTACGGCGCCCCTATCCCCGAGCGCGCATTTGAGGCCCGACGCCCGCCCATCGCAAACCCGCTCGTCGCTCGCCCGCCCGCCCGCAAGCTTGCTCCTGCCCAAATTCTTAAGGTGCTGACGCCAAAAACTCGCTCTCAACTCTCTGCCCTGGTCAGCACCAACGCCCGCCCTAATCAACCCTGCCACCCGAGAAAAAAGTCATCGCGACCGCAAATCCTCTTTACAAAATTCGCTGGTTGGATCATTGGAAGATTTCTGGCTGTCGCGCGCGCAGTCTCGCAACTCGGCACCTTTGCGACTGGGGGGAAGCTTATTCGATAGGCTAGAGGCCCACGCACGCTACACGCCTCGGGCAACCACACTGCTTGCTGCAAGCGCAGCGCCAGAAAAGAGAAGACAGGAGTCGGTCATCCTGGGACAGCCCCGACGAGAATACCCAGAAGATCATCTTCAGAGCGCTGAGCCCCAATCTCAAAAAGAGTTGCGGCTCTCCTCTCGCTCCCGGTCCCGTCACACGACTTGCTTAAGAGTGCACACCCGATTCAGGGTCGACCGCGGTGGCCATCACTCCCGTCGTCAGACCAGTCAAGGAGGGGAACGAAAAGGGCGGCTGCCATTTGATCGCAGGGGAGGACTCAAAGCCAGAGAGCCCCACTCACAGCGACAAACCACCCAGCAGACACACGCCAGACGGGATCTCAGTAGTCTTCGGGACCACGGCACTGCGCACTGCGTGACGCCAACATCAGCATTCCGGGGGAGCTACGACAGGGAGACAGATTGACGATTCTCAAATCCCCCAGCACCCAGCACCCCTGCTGGCGCATTTCTTACAATTCCCATTTTAAGCGGCCCGATCGAGCAGTGTCTCATCTTGTGTGCCGTCGCGGCTCCTGATAGGCGGCTCTTGCGCTGGAGCATTGTAAGCTCGCTAGTGCACAGCCCCGACAGGTACTCGGCACTGCCACCCTCGAGGAAGGCTGACTTAGCTGCTTTCTGCCTCGTCTTGATCTAAAGACAGCAACACACGTATCATAACACGCAGCGCTGGACTGCCCTACCAGAGCAGCGAGCGTCCGGTCTTGCCCTGTCTTGTCTATCCTACCTTATCCAGCACGCACAGGATAGCACAGCACTTACGCACGCGCATACGACATAGAGAGAGAGAGAGAGAGAGAGAGAGAGAGAGAGGTACAGGGTTGCCCCGACCCAGTCCCCAACCCACCACACCCACCACACAACCCTTCCACCGCCATGGATCAACACCAGCGCGGCAGGTCGCCGTCTGGCGCTGCCGACTCGCAGCATCATATAAATCAAAGTCACTCGCCATCTCCGGCCCGCCCCTTCGACCCCAACAATGTAGCCGCATCTAGCATGGGACTGGGATTAGGAATCGACCCATCCTCCCAGCAACAGCAATTCTCTGGCACTTCACAGCCCGACTTCTCCACATATAACAACGGCTTCCTGACCCCATCCGCCCTCGGCCAGGATCCAGCATTTGACATCAATCAGTCCTTTGGAGACCAGCTCAAGGCCGACTCATCATCCCAGTTCGGCCAGAACTTCCTGACGCCACAAGCCAACTTCACTGACGACTTCACCATCTTCCCGACATCGTCGGCAGACCAGTCCAACGCGCCGCTCTTTGTCGACAACCAGCAGCTCGGCACTCCCGACATGAACGCCATGGCCGCCTCCCAGGCGCACCACAGCCCTACCCCTCCGCATCTCCTCAGGCCGGAGCCGCACCAGCCCGGCTCTGCCCACCAGTCGCCTTCCTTCAACCAGCACCAGTTCTCTTCCCCGCCCGGCAGCCACTCCCGGAACGTCTCGCTAGGACCCGAGGCTGCCCTCCTCCCTCAGTTCCAGGGCCACAGGAGAACGCCCTCGGCCTCTGAGTACTCGGACGTCTCGTCCGTGACCCATTCTCCCAACCTGGTCGGCCAGGACAGCTTCGATGGCCTCGAGCACTCTCCCATGCAGCGACCGCAGGATGGCGCGCTCTACTCTGAACTGCACGGCATTGGTACGTTTAGTATCTCGGACCACTCCAGCCCCAACCAGGGCCTGGGTCGCAGTCCGTCACACAGCCCGGCCATCTCGCCTCGGATATTGCCTCAATCGATGCCCGAGCTCGGCCAAGCCGGTCTCATGCTGCAAGGCCAGAACGGCATGGGCCAGGGCTACGGCATGCCGATGGGAGAGGCCTTCCCTGCTCTGCCTCAGATGAGCGTCACAGATATGGCCCAGGATCCGTCGCAGCAGATGCCCCAGATGGCTGCGCCGACCATCGAGATTGACTACGCCCCGACGGCTCAGCGAAGCGTTTTTGACGGCAACAAGCCCTCACTCGACACAGATGCGTTGACTCCCCCCGAGCGAGGTAGGTTCCAGTCTCGTCGCATTGGGTCAATGTGGACCAATGATGCTAACTTTACGATGACAGGTCGGCCCAGGTCGCGTCCCCGAGCGCATACTGACCCGTTCAACAATGGCGGTGCAGTCATGGGACGCCCATCCCCAAGCAGCAGCTTGTCGCCCAATCCGGGATCTGAGTCTTCTCGGTCTCTGTCACCCTTTGACCGCACAGGCACCTCGCCCAACAGGAGGAGGCAGTCGACGTCGGCCGTGCCGAATAACGTCATGGCGCTCCGCCTCGCGGACCCAGAATTCGCGGCCACTGTAGCTGGGGATGCGGGTGGGTCCGCGGCCGGTGGGCCCAAGCGCGTCCAGAAGCACCCTGCCACCTTCCAGTGCACATTGTGCCCCAAGCGGTTCACTCGGGCGTACAACTTGCGGTCACACCTGCGCACGCACACGGACGAGAGGCCATTTGTCTGCACGGTCTGCGGCAAGGCTTTCGCGCGGCAGCACGACCGAAAGAGGCACGAGGGCCTGCACTCGGGAGAGAAGAAGTTTGTCTGCAAGGGCGACCTCAAGGCAGGCGGCCAATGGGGGTGCGGCAGGAGGTTCGCCCGCGCCGACGCCTTGGGCAGGCATTTCCGCTCCGAGGCGGGCCGCATCTGCATCAAGCCGCTGCTCGACGAGGAGATGATGGAGAGGCAGCGGGCCTGGCACGAGCAGAACATGCAGGCGCAGGCGCAGCAGAACATGATGATGGCGCCGCAGATCGACCCCAGCACCGGGTTCGCGATCGACGCGTCGGGCCAGTATGCACTGCCCGCAGCCTTGCTGGCGCAGTACCCCGCCCTCGCGCAGATGAACTGGGCTGCGGCCGACATGTCGGGCGGGGGCGGGGGCGGAGGCGGCGGCTCGGGATTGGAGGACGACCTCAGCGGCCGGAGCAGCTTCGACGCCAGCGACTACGACGAGAACGACGACGGCGGCTACGTCTCTGGGCCCGGCACCGGCTTTGGGCAGGGCGGCATGGGCGAAGGGTTCGGCGAGATGGGCTATGCTTCTGACTATGGCGGTCGCTAGGTGAGGCTTGAGCAACACTCTTTTCGCTCGCCTGCCCGCCATTGGCTTTGATAATCAATCGAAGCCAACCAAGATCTTTTTGTTCATTTTGGCTGGATTGCAAATGGAGCAGCGGCTGTCCCCGACCTATTGTGGTAGATATGCAATCTCGGAACGGTGTCTTGGTTGACTGTTTTTATCTGGGGATGTTTTTTGACAGTGCTTCTTCTGTTCTTTCGACTACACTTTGTTGGGGTTTATCGTTTTCTGAGGCTATTTTTCGGATGGCTGCCTGTGTTTTGTTCTCTTTTGCTTCTGATACACACTCTTTGGTTGGGCTTCAAAGGTTGGCGAGGCGGTCGCTTCTGCCCAACGAAAGGTGGTTTGTTAAAGCGCGCCTTTTTTTTATTTATTGTTTACCGGGTTGGGTATGTCATGTGTTCGATTTTCTTCTGCTGTTATAGATACCACCATCTTGAGACTGGAGTTTGGTGCTGTTCAATAGACACAATCCATGAGCCTTTTCATTGCAACTGGGCCTTGTAGGCATGGGAAGATGTGTGTGCATATCTCGGTGGTAGAGGCGTTGCCGCATGTAGAGAACACGAAGACTGCCCTTTGGTGGAACACTCTTCCGAGAACAGTCATTTCGAAGATTGCACCCTGATGCTTCTTGCAAGTTGTTTGCAATCTTCTGTACTCGTTTATTTTTCCCTTGACAGAACCTACATAAACAAGTCCACTTCTACACAGGATATTCTTTTGGCAGTGGAGTCTCCACCACGGAATGCCGTGGGACTAACATTTGTCAGCACGTTGAGCAACTCTACTTTGGATATCAGGCCGGTTCTTGCATGCCTCTGACACAGATCGAGTCTGCCGCTCTTTTCACCAATTAGCTGCCGCTAAACATCGGCCGCCGCCGTAGCAGCCGCGGCGGAGAAGATGAGGGTGGTGGTAGATTTACAAGTACAGATTAGTGATTGTCGAAAGCTCAAGAGCCGTGAAATGGATCACGCCAACTTCCTCTTTGGTCCGTGGAGCCCGCTTCTCAAGACAAGATAGGGTCATCGAGGGATCGAAGGAAGAAAAACGCATGCTGTTGCAAGGGTTGCTGCTCCAACACATGCTCCGCCGATGAGACTTTGCCAGCGGGCATTGGCTTTTTCGGCGGCTCGAGTCGCAACAAAATCTTTGTCCCATTTGTCATCCAAGACGATGTCTGATCCCTTCCTTGAAAGCCAAGCACGCAAGTACAACGGCGGCGACTAACTCCACGAGCTAGAGAGCTTGTGGAGCTTAACGCCGATGATGGACGTGCCACGACTCGGGTTGGCATCGACGAACCTCGGTATGCTGAAGTGATGATAAATGCTCGACGGCCTGGCTCTTGCTGTCATTGAAAAGCGAAGCCCCCCCCCTTCCTGGCAGAGCAGCTTCAGTCCTCCCCGCCCAAGACACACCCGCACACAGACATCACCACCCTCTCCCCCCTTACACCTCCAGACACCACACACACACACACACACAGCAGCACCAGCGGACAGCGCCAAGATGACCGTCCCGCCCACCACAAAGGCCATCGTCATCAAGAGCCCCGGCCACGCCGCCATCGAGGAGGTGCCCACGCCCAGGCCGCGCGAGGGGTACATGCTCGTGCGCACGCTCGCCGTGGCCGTCAACCCGACCGACTGGAAGCACGTGGACCTCGACCTGCCGGGCGTCAGCTTCGCGGGCGCCCACTCGGGCTGCGACTACGTCGGCATCGTCGAGGAGGTGGGGCCCGACGCGGACGGGGACCTGCGGCCGGGCGACCGGGTCGCCGGGTTCGCGCACGGCGGCAACGCGAGCTGCCACGAGGACGGCGCGTTCGCGCACTACATCGTCGCCAAGGCCGGGTGCGCCACGCGCTTGCCCGACGGCGTGAGCACGCCCGAGGCCGCGACGCTGGGCGTCGGCGTCGTGACCGTCGGCCAGGGCCTGTTCCAGGCCATCGGCCTGCCGCTGCCGGACCCGGCGACGGCCGAGATCCGGCCCGCGCGGCCCGCCGAGGACCCGACGATCCTCATCTGGGGCGGGTCGACGGCCACGGGCATCCTGGGCGTGCAGTTCGCCAAGCTGGCCGGCTACCGCGTCCTCGCGACCTGCAGCCCGCGCAACTTTGACTACGTGCGGTCCCTCGGCGCCGACGCCGTGTTCGACTACGGCAGCCCGGACGTGGCGCGGGAGATCCGCGAGGCGGCCGCCGCCGACGGGGGCAGCCGGGTGAGCGCGGCGTGGGACACGGTCGTCAGCGCCGACAGCCCGCGCCTGTGCGCCGAGATCCTGGGCGCCGAGGGCGGCAGCTACGGGTGCCTGCTGCCCGTGCCGGACGCGGGCAAGGTGTTCGCCGTCGAGGGCGCCCGGCAGCCCATCAAGGTGACGCACACGCTGGGCTACACGGGCATCGGGGAGCACTTTGTCAAGTGGGCCGACTTCCCCGCCAGCAAGGAGGACTACGACTTTGCGCGCCGCTTCTGGGCCCTGGCGCGGGAGCTGCTGGCGGCGGGCAAGGTCAAGGCGGCGAGGCCGATCGTCGACCGCGACGGCAAGTCCGGGCTCGAGGGCGTGATGGCGGGCATGCAGGAGCTCAAGGCCGGGAGGGTGAGCGGGGGCAAGCTGGTGTACACCATGGCTTGATTCGTGTTCTCGAGAAGAAGGGAACGACTTTTCGTAAGCAAGGGGAAAAGGAAGAGAAAAAAAAAAAGAATACAGAGTTACGATTTATGAGAGAAAGAGAAAAATCAAGATGGACGTCGTTGTTGCCTGTGGAGTAGGCTTTTGCCGAGAGACCGGGACGTGTAAGCGCTTACATGTGCTGCCCTGCCAATCCTTTGAAGAATTCTGGCACTACATAAATGCACAGATCATTGTCCGTGGCAAAGCAAGGCATGAACAAAACATGTTGTATTGAACCAGACTCAGACGTTGGCAAGGGGTGGAAACCCGTATAAAAATGTACATGTCTAAATGGTAGAGAACCGCTCGCGGACTCGGGGGGTATCGTGTATCTTCTTTTCTGACTTGCAACCAACTCCGGGAACTCGTTTGTTTGCAACAAACGCATGCACGATCGCCATAACATGCACCCCGGCCGGGACCAAAAAAAAAGTCATGACCATCCTCCAACCACACACAAGTATCATATCGTCGTCATGAGGACACTATGGGGTTGCTGTGAAACGCCCTGTCCTCCTGGAAGCTCTGGCTCAGCCTGCGCTGCCGCAGCAGCTCGGCCTGGCTCTCGGCGCTCCGCTGCGCCACGCCCTCGATGACCTTGCGCAGGATCTCCCTGTGCCCGGCCTCGAAGCTCTTGGTGACAAACGGCTTCACGAGCGGGCTGCACTCGACCCTGGCCTCCTCGACCAGCTCCCAGCCGGCGGCCATGCCGACCGCCGTGGTCTTGGCCGGCCCCACCGAGTCGCTGTCGGACCCCGTGCCGGCGGCGTCCCTGTCCCTGCGGTCGCGCGAGGGCCGCTGCTCCTGCAGGCGCAGGGTCCAGGTGCTCCAGACCTTGACGCCGGCCTGGGCGAGGCTGCGGCAGCGCACGCCGCCGTCGAAGCTCTGCATGACGCAGGGGATGGTGACGGACTTGTGGGCGAGGCCGGGCACGAGGGGCACGCGGTCGCGCACCTCGTAGGCGACCAGCTGGCGGCCGTCGTCGCGGAAGAAGGGGTCGCTGACGATCTCGTCGATCTGGACGGGCCGCCGCGCGAAGGAGACGAGGTACGGGTTGGGCGTGATGAGGGGCTCGTACGAGTGCAGGGCCGCGAGGACGTCGTCCGGCGAGACCCACGGCGGCAGGGGGTGGGCGATCTGGAAGGTGAGCTTGGAAGGCATGGTGTGTGTGTGTGTGTGTGTGTGGTATGGTTGTATCCCGTGGAGGCAAGGTAGCGGTCGCCGACAATGTGTATCGTTCGCGATCCCGATGCTGTGGCTCGCTTATGCCGGGTAGTGCAGAGACACACACCGCACAACCGGTACACACGCCCAACACGGCGGAGGAACTCTCCGATATTCGAGAAAGTATGTATTGGTCAACTCTGCGCCGAAGGATGGCTGGCTGATCCTGAATGGCTTCGCTTTCCCTGCAGGCGATCGCGTGGTCCCCGTGTCGCGCAATGACGCAATTCTGTGTGTCCAGATGAAATGCCGTTGGTGGTGAAGCACAAACGCACGCTGCATGCAAGATCGTCCAAAAGAAAAGGAATCAGACTGAAAGAACAAATCCCGAAAGTAAGTAGACAAAGACAAACAGAGACTACTCTCTCTGTGCAGGATTGGGGAGGACAAACAGGCCTCTCTATACTAATTCTTTACGCGAGCTCCAGCCCAGCAATAGAAGGCAAGAAAAGGCGGGAACGGTGGCAGTGAGACCAGATTCGGCGTGGACGAAGAAAGCCATGACCAGACCACTGAGTTGGGCCTAAAAAGAAGCGCCGGGAGGTGGGCAAGCCGAGGGAAGGTCGAGAATAGCCAATCCAAACCCTCCACAGCCCTACCCGCGCCATCCAAAAAAGCTTACTCGTCTCCTGCGTGTGTCGGGAATTTCCCGTCTCATCGTGGATCGCCGGTTCCTCCTTTGGGGTGTCGAGTCTCAGGGGGTGACCAAGCGATCCGTCGATCGTCGTCACCTTGCCTGTCGCTGGCCACGACGAAAAGGGGTGATGACTTGGATGGACACGCCCATGGTTTCAGACAAGGCGTCGGAGCAGTACGAGAGCGCGTTCCTGCGTGGTGATTCCTTCGAGAAGAGAGTTCACAGGGAGAGGTTGAAACATTGAGTGCTTCTAAATTTGGGTCTGGGCGCTGAGCGGCGGCATCTTAGGCGGCCCCCGACTGCGCCCCGTGGCTGATGCTCCACAAATTTAGTTTCTGCAATGGAGGTAAGATGGCAGACGGGCAGGGCATCGTGAATGCTTCAACCTCAACACCATCCGTTCATTCCCTTGCTTCCCACTATGATGGGACATCGAGGTGCATGCCTGGCGCGGAACCACAGGTTTGTTGTGAGACTCTACCTGAGAATTTCTAGAGAATTTCCAGAGCCTGCTCATGCTTGCTTGCGCATGAATTGCTGCTCTCTAACAGGGGATGCCGTCTTCACCTTGGAGGGTCACTGACTCTTCTTGACCTCTCCAAACATGTGAAGCCTGTATGATCTGGGTCCAAGCACATCAGAAAAGTCTCCACGAGCCCCAGATTATTGTTCCACCCTCCTATGTCAAAGAGAGATCGCGAGAGGGAGACTGCAACTTAATCTCCAAATACAGAAATCTGGTGGTTTCTTCAGGGTTGTACTTTACTGAGCAGCTGAGAATGCGAACACCAGCTACGGCAGAAAATCTCAGAGGGAGCCGTAGATCTCTTCGAGGAGGCCATAGCAGGCCTCGTCAACAGGACTCTCCGTGCCTTGCCTCTTTTCGTCCAACATCTTGTTGACCCGAGACCTAGCACTCCTCATGAGTTACCAGATTCAAACGTTCCATAAATCCATGGACCTTCTTCTCTTTCAGTGATACATGTCTGGAAGCAAATGAAAGACCAGTCAACTTGTGGCCTTCTAGACATAGCGCGATCGTGTTCAGAGCAGCCGAGGCCAAATTCGTCTTGGTATGGCATATGAGATGCCGGTGGACGTTTGGAGGGAGTTTCTACGGGAAGCTCGTCACTTGTTCTTCCAAGTCCTCTGTCCAAAGGCCGAGAACAGGACGTAAGGTCTGGTATGGCTTAGCAGGCATACGCTTCGCCTCCTCGAAACGGTAGGAGACATCAGTGCTTCAAGAATATTGAGGACCTGGTGGCATTCAATTGGGGGACCAGCGGCGTTTGTAGAGCTGTCGGAACAACTCAGACTGAGCCGAGGTGCTATTGGATTGATTCCATCTCCTATGGACTTTCAACCCTGTTACTGACTTCAGCTTCTCAGCGCCGCCAATCGTCACACAGTGGGAGCACTGGGTCGTGTTCAGGCGCACAAATAACTTTGCTGTCTCTCACCAACAAACCTCGGCACAGTCCCAGGAGCAAAGTGGCAGGGTTCTCAACACTGGAACGATCTATCCGCAATGATTTCTCAGCTATGAGCTACGCTTGTTACCAATATGTTGTTCTTGGTGCGACTGGTCTTGTGTCTCCGTGGCTTCACAGGTCAACAAGATACGCACAACGGGCTAGTCGAGGAAAGGACTCGGCGTCCAAGCCACCGGGGTCAAGAACCATTTGGCCTTCAGCTCGATTCCAAGCTTGCAGATGGCTTCTGATATCGTGGCTACGACCAAAAGGTTGGCTGGTAGCATGCGGGCCGGCGTTGGTTTCCTGCGTCATGTTTGCACAGAGCTCGACTCGGAGGCCAGCTTCTGCCAAGTAGCCAATGTACCACGATATGAGCATGACAGGTTTCGGCAGCTTACCTTATAGCTACAAGGCTTGACAGGGTTCAACTTCACTAGGGAAATTATGAAGTGTGTGTGAAGAGCAGAGCCTCAGAGCATGGCGCATCCAGATGCCCGGACATCTTGACTTGACTGCGTCCTGCCCGGAGTTTACCCTGTAATAAAATTATAATAAAAAGACTACAATTGACACTTGAACCAAGATAGCTATGGTATTTACTGCATTCCTAAGCAACTCGAAGAAAAGGCAATTACGCAGCAAGAAGAAGCCACCGCGTTTGGGGCCGGATGTCACCAATCTGTCAAAGAATGATACAGACTTACCTCGAGGACGGCCATCATGCTCGACCAGAGCAATTAACAGAGTGATGACTCCTCCGGGATTGACCGCTTGCAATGAACCGACGAACCAGAGGCAAAGCTTTATTAAAACCTCTCAGCCGAAATACGGCCCTCGGCGACGCGCCCGACAACTCGGCGGGTCAAAAGGGAGTCGTCATCCCTCAGCTCCCTCCACAGATGGATGCCCTATGGGCGGAGATATCATCACGGGCAGTGTTTACGCATCACGTCAGACATTGCTCCTTTCCTCCTCCCTTGCTGGCCCCGTCCAGCAAGTTGCATACGCGCCCCCATCTCTTGCGGGCCATCAGGCACCCATCCAGATCGGATGGAAGTAAACAGAAGCTCAGAGTTTTCGCGCAAGAGACAGCGGGACCCCGTCGAGCTGCCGACGCCGATGCGACTGTCCACTTTTTGCCTGCGACGGGATGCTTCGCATGAAGGGGCCAGCACGCAAATAGGTCTGTCGTTGGAAGTTGGAAGAAGTCGAAGCAGCGGTGAGCGATGGAGCCATTCCTGTTTGGGGAGCCAGCCAGGATGAAAACTGGGCTGGAGGGCGTGAATGGGATGGTGCAGTCGATCCCGCTACCCGCATTGGTGACAGCGCTGCTCCACTGTCTTCATGCTTAAGAGACCATGGTTAGGCAGTAGATCCCGAGGCCAGCCGGTAAGGCTTCCAATTGCGTTGATCGCATCGGGAGGGAAACAGAAGAAAGAGGAGTCGATTGGAGGCTGAGCAGGCGAGAGGACGAAGATCAGATTTTGAGCGGTGAGTCCCAAGGGAGAGGGACCGAGATATCTCGAAACTCGAGGTCCAGGGAGAACCCAGAGCCGGGATCCAAGATGCTGGCCTTCGCCCGGCTACACCCGCAATGGCAGGATGTCTCAAACTTACCGTTCCCATCAACTTCCAGGCTAAAACACGCGACGGCGCGGACCCTAGCATGCCTGGTAACTGGAGGAGAGGGAGAGAAAAAGGGAGACTTACGGAGTAGCTAGCGGCCAAGCAAGCAGGCCAGCCGGCGGGCTGCAGCAAGAGGTGCATCTCGCAGCGCGCACATGGGGTCGTCCAGCGCGTTCTCGAACCCAGTCCGGGTCCATCGCGTGTACCTTGGACCTGGACTAGAGGCGCATGGCTGCCCAGCGCAGTGTGTATTGTTACAGGCCGTGTTACCTCGAGTGTTGCTCCGGGCTGCCATTCGCCAGACACTCGCCAAACGCTTAGTTACTTGTCGACACGGTCGGACAGATCCATGTCCTTTGTACAAGTAGACAGAACAGTCTGCAGGCGTGCATGCATCTGTGAGCTAATGTATGACGGCCTGGAAGTGGGTAGATGGAGAAGAGATTTTGCCATGATGGCTAGATTCGCGGCGTTACAGAGCATGTCGGTGCTTGCTCGTCATCGTCGCGTGCCTGGTCCCGCGTCCCCTTCGGCCCGCCGCACTTTCTTGGACGCTGGACCAGAGAGGCCACGAAGATTCAGACCCAATTGGGACGCTTTCTCCCTCTGACTGTTCCGTGGACGCAAATGACATTTAATCAGAAGCACGGACAGTGTCGGATAAGGGCAGGTATGCAGGGGTGCATGATACACAGAAGCCACAGACACATACTTGTAAAAAAAGTTACCAGTTGATGGTGACAGGGGTTTCAGAGAGAGGGGGAGCCAGAAAAAAAAAAAAGGGAGGGGCAACGATTACCGTTTCAGATGATGCGTGCTTGCAAGTAGGCAGCCAAAATCAGACAGGAGATATGGTCTCATACCACAGCAAGTCAGTGGGACTTGGGTGACTGGAATAGCCTTTCGATAGTGCAACAAGCCAGGAATGTCAAATCGAGGCGAGGGATGGGATGGATAGGTGCAGCTCGGGAAATGCGGGACTCAGGCATGGACAAAGGACATTGTCAATGATGGATGATGTGTGAAGGGTCCGCGAGCTCGGGAACTATCCCATCTCGGTCGGTCCTTGTTTGGCTCTGGAGTCTGCCGTGGGTGGGCGTGTGTGCATGCATGATGGATTGGAAAAAGGATCCACCTGCCACATTTCCTTGCTGCATTGTGTTGCCCTCGGTACATGTAACCTGAAGCTGAGGAAATGAGCCGAGCGGAGGAGAGTCGAGGAGGCACTGGAGGCAAAGAGGAGGAGGCGAGGGCGGCGATACGCAATGCGGCGCAGCGAGAGGAGCGATACGCAGGCCAGATCGTTAATGGTGCGCATCACATACTGGTAGTCTACCGCGTGCGATGGTGGTGTAGCGAATCTTGTTCACGCGGTCTGGGCATCATGGGATGTTTGGATGTGGAGGGCGACTCAGAAGACGACTCAGAAGATGGTGGGCGGGCAGCACAAGCCGTCTGCCTGTGTGTCGCTTCCTATTTCGTCTGTCACATTGCTTTCTCCCCCGTGGCCCCATATCGCCTTCGTCGCAGTGTCTTGAGTAAGTAATGTACTTGTACCTTCCCTCGCTTCCCTCCCAGTCTCCACGAAAAGAACCGCAAGGGAGGAAGGAAGGGCCCGTCCGTCCTGTCGCTGTCGCTGGCCCAATCGGTGGGCCATTTGGAGCTGCTGGCCCGTGGTGGGTTGGTGTTGACAGGGGTCCGGCTATAGCGACCCTTTTAGCACGTCCATCACCCTCCCGCCGGGCCAATGACGCTGTTCCCCAGCCATCCTCCAAAGAAATTTGTACCTCGACCGCGCGACCTATCACTCGCCTTTTTCCCACTGCGCTTCACCGTCTTGGCCAGTTCTAGGATTTCTCTCTCCCTTCTCTTACTTTCCGAAGCAAAATAATCCCTTCGACTACGACATCTTCCCTCTGTCGCGGCGAGGAGGCTGACCGACCGACCGAACGAACAAGCGCGAGCGAGTGCACCCTGTCGATCGACGTTGCTGGGGTAGGGAAGCGTTGCGCCTCGAATTTCGGGTGCGTCCGCCTCACTGTACAACTGCTGTAGATTGATCCGCTCGCCGAAGAACCACTTTCGTAACGACCGACCACGAAGACTCTTGTGTTTTTGCTCTTTCTTGACTCGTCTGCAGCGATCCTCTCTGTACCAACCGTGTTTCTGGCAGTTCTTTGAGGTAAGTTATTGGTTGTCTAATTCAATTCGACTTCATGCAGCGCATTGTGTTGTCTTACATCTCTCCCTGTGTACTTCTCTCCATCGTCTTCCAATGCCTGCCCGTTCCAGAGCTCTGGAGTGCTCGCTGAATTTCCTATTTGCTCCTTGTCTGGCCTATGGTCTTCTACATTGTGTCCCGATTTGGTCATTTCGCTTCTCTCCTTGTGCCTATGGGGAGCATGCTTGCAGTGTGCAGCAGGAGGAGCGTGTGTCGCACTGCAGCTGATCACACCAATCCGGTCGTCCGCATTGTCTTTGCTCGAGATCTCCCAGCATAATTGGTCCCTATATTCAGCCATTCTCACACCTACTTTTTTCTAGATAGGAGGACTCGCGCGCACAAGTAATTTTGCACGGAAAAGAAAGGGGCAGTCGGGGGCGATTTCCATTCCATATAACCGTCACAAATCTGCCCGGACAGATTGTTTGCGCGCTTCGACCTGATCCAAGTCGACGGACACAAGACTTTCGCACCAAGGCAGTTTCACGATTGATATTGCCGGTCTTGTTTTCTCCTCTCTCTTTTTCTACGACCACATTCGACATCTTCTCGAACTTCGCGACAACCTCCCGCGCAGAGCAGTAGCGTCCATGATTCTGACTCCCGCTTGCACGTACACCACCGCCTTCCCACAAAGACAGGATGGCTGCAGCCGATGTTCTATCAAGCCCTTCCGGAAGCTCGGGCGCAAACGCTACATATGGCTGGTCAACGGCCCAGCTTGGGACGAGGACGACTGGATTGGATGAGATCGCGTGGAGCCAGGAGGACGTGAGACTGAGGCTGGGCCTCATTTCGCAAGCGTGGATTGAATACCGATCACAACAGGTATGTGATTGCTGCCACACTTTCATTTTGAGACCACGAGGGCTGCCACGCTCGTCATTTGGCAACCCTGTCTGGCACACGCGGCATACTCGTTTTGCCGGCCTCGGACCCGGACTGTTTGACTTGCGGGTTTTGTGGGACCAAGGGACGGTCCCGTCCGGATGGCTCAAGCAACCGGTCGTTGTTCCTAGCCAGGCGCGCGCTAGATCCCGAAACTTTAATTACTTGGACAGACATGACTGATTCGGGTCTCTCTAGTTGCAGAAATTGTCCTGCCTCACCCATGTCGCAGGTACCATCATATCCGGGCGGCTCCTTGTCCCTGAATTGATACCCCGATGGAGCCGCAAGTTCCCAGTGTGCCCGTCATATGATGACGAGGAATTCCAAGCTGCTGCTTCATGCCCAGCAGTTGCAGACGAACGTGCACGCCGGCGTAGCCCCCAGCAGTCTGAGCTGGACAGCTCATCGACCTTGAATGCTCGGGGTTCTGAGCGGAGACGCCAGACGGATGACATCCTGCACGCTCCCAGCAGGGAACAGCCCATCGATTTCACATCGGAGGAAGGGTTCATTCAAGCCGCCAAGAAGAAGAAGAAGGCGACGCAGACTTTCAACTGGGACGACAACGAGAAGAAGGACGACAACGCTGGCGAGGAGAAGAAAGAAGGCGACGGCGATCTCGGAGGTGGTGGTGGTGATGCGGGCAACGGCAACGGTGGGGATGACAACAAGGACAACAACGCCGAGCCCAATCCAGACGACGAATGGGGTGACTTCACCTCCGTCTCCAAGAAGAAGAAGGGCAAGAAAGGTGCCGCTGCCGCTGTAGAAGAGAAGAAAGACGATCCTCCAGCAGGCACTGGTTCTGGTTTTGATGCCTTTCACGAGATCAAGTTAGACGACACGGGACCTTCTCTAGAACTCAATTTTGGATCCACGCCAGCTGCAGACACCAAAACGACATCCTTCGGCGCCTGGGGGACCTCTTGGAGTACAGGCTCGGGCTGGGACTTTTCGGCAACCAAGGACGCGGACAAGACTGAAGAGAAGCCCAAGGAAGAAGAGTCGAATCCTTGGAGCATCAACCGTCCCAAGCCAAAGAAGAAGAACAAGACTACCTTCTCCTTTGGCGCCTTCGACGAGGCTGAGGAGAATCCTGAGGAGCCCTCGATGGGTGATGTTGCCGCCAAGAAGGACGAAGACGACGGTTTCGGCTTCACTGTCTCCAGCAAAAAGGACAAGAAGAAAAAGAAGACCAACCTCTGGGATCCTGAGCCCGAAGAAGAAAAGAAGGAGGAGCCCGTCGAGGACACCTGGGGCGGTTGGGGCACGGCGACCAGCAAGAAGAAGAAGGGCAAGGTCGCCGAGCCCGAGCCCGAGCCCGAGCCCGAGCCTGAGAAGGCAGCCGACCCTCCGCCAGAGGATGACTGGTTTACCCCTGCCACCAAGAAGGACAAGAAGAAGAAGAAAGGTGCCATCGAGGAGCCAGTGGTCGAGGAACCTCCGCCGAAAGAGCCGGAGCCCGCGGCCGACGATTTTTGGGGCACCGTCAGCACCAAGAAGAAGAAGAAGGGCAAGAACGCCGTCCTCGAACCGGATCCGCCCAAGGAGCCCGAACCCGAGCCAGAACCCGAGCCAGAACCTGAACCCGAAAAGAAAGAGGAAGAGGATCTCTGGGGAGGCTGGGGCACTACGACCAAGAAGAAGAAGAAGAAGGGCGCGGTCGTAGAAGAGCCCAAGGTCGAAGAGCCTCCACCTCCGCCCAAGGAACCCGAACCGGAACCCGTCGATGACTTCTGGGGCACGGTCTCCAAGAAAGACAAGAAGAAGAAAGGTAAGAACGCCATCGTAGAGGAACCGCCCAAGGAACCCGATCCGATACCAGAGCCCGAGCCCGAGCCGGAACCAGAACCGGAAAGGAAAGCCGAAGACGACTGGTGGGCTCCGGTTTCGAAGAAGGACAAGAAGAAGAAGAAGGGAGCCGCAGCCGAGCCCGAACCCCCTCCACCTCCGCCAGTCGAGGAGAAGCCCGCTGTCGATGACGACTGGGGCGTCTTCGGTACTAAGAAGGACAAGAAGAAGAAAAAGGGCGCTATTGAAGAGGTTGTCGAACCCCCTCCTGTCGAGGAGAAGCACGAGGAGAAGGCCGACGATTTCGACTTTGGCTGGGGCACTACCACTTCGAAGAAGAAAAAGAAGGGAAAGAATGCCGAACCCGAACCTCCTCCCCCGGAGCCCGAGCCTGAACCTGAGCCAGTCAAAGAAGAGAAGGCAGAGGACGACTGGCTCGGTTGGGGTACGAGCAAGAAGGACAAGAAGAAAAAGGGCAAAGCAGCCGACCCCGAGCCAATTCCCGAACCGGAGCCGGAGCCGGAGCCCATCAAGGAAGACAACAGCTGGGATGTCTGGGGAAGTGCTTCTAAGAAGGACAAGAAGAAGAAAGGCAAGAACGCCATCCCTGAACCAGAACCCGAGCCTGTCAAGGAGCCTGAACCCGAGCCGGAACCGGAACCAGTCAAGGAAGACAATTCCTGGGATGTCTGGGGCACGTCGACTTCTAAGAAAGATAAGAAGAAGAAAGGCAAGAACGCCGTCCCTGAACCAGAACCCGAGCCCATTAAGGAGCCTGAGCCCGAGCCCGAACCCGAGAAGAAAGAAGACGACGACTTCTGGGGCAGTTTCGGCACGAAAAAGGACAAGAAAAAGAAGAAGGGCAAGGATGTCGAACCCGAACCCGTTAAGGAGCCTGAACCTGAGCCTGAGCCCGAGAAGAAAGAGGAAGACGACCTCTGGGGCTTTTCTACTTCCAAGAAAGACAAGAAGAAGAAAAAGGGTAAGGACCCTGAGCCCGAACCCGTCAAGGAGCCTGAACCGGAACCCGAGCCTGAGAAGAAGGATGACGACGACTTCTGGGGCAGCTTTGGCACTAAGAAGGACAAGAAAAAGAAGGGCAAGAACGCCGAGCTGGAGCCTGTGGTCGAGGAGCCTCCCAAGGAACCCGAGCCGGAACCCGTAGACGACTTCTGGGCATCCGCCACGTCCAAAAAGGACAAGAAAAAGAAGAAGGGCGTCATCGAGGAGATCAAGGAAGAGCCCGTGCCAGACCCACCCGTCGTGGAAGAGTCCAACCCATGGGATGCATGGGGCAGCACCAAGAAGGACAAAAAGAAAAAGGGCAAGGATGATGCTTCTACCAATGGCGACACCAAGATTTCTACCGAGGCTGCGGATGACGACTGGGCAAACTGGGGTCAAGCTTCCAGCAAGAAGAAGAAGGGCAAGAAAGACGTCGAGCCTGAGCCCGAACCCGAACCGGAGCCGGAACCTGAGAAGAAGGCTGATGAGGACGACTTCTGGAGCACCTTTGGAACAGGTAAGAAGGACAAGAAGAAGAAGAACGAGGAAGTGGTGCCTGTCGTTGAAGAACCGCCACCCGCCGATGACATCTGGGGCGTTTCCACGTCGAAAAAGAAGAAGAAGAAGGGTGCTATTGCGGAGCCTGAGCCGCCTCCGCCACCTCCCGTTGAAGAGAAGGCTGCCGAGGAAGACGACTGGGGCATTTGGGGCACATCCTCGAAAAAGAAGAAGAAGGGCAAGGATGCCATCCCCGACCCCGAGCCGGAACCCGTGAAGGAGCCGGAGCCTGAGCATGAGCCTGAGACCAACGTATGGGGCGAGCCCGAGAAATCCAAAGACGACAAGAAGAAGAAAGAGAAGGAGCCCAAGCTGAGCAAGAAGGAGCTTGAGAAGCTCGAGAAGGAGAAGAAGAAGGCTGAAAAGGAGAAGGCCAAGAAGGAGGCTCAGGAAGCCAAGGAGGCAGAAGAGAAGGCTGCGCGCGAAGCAGAGGAGCAAGCTGCTCGCGAAGCTGAAGAGGCCGCTCAGCGCGAGGCCGAAGAAGCTGCAGCCAAGGAGGCCGAAGAAGCCGCCGCAAAGGAGGCCGAGGCAGCCAAGGTCGTCGAAGAAGAGGAGCAACTTGCTGCGCTTCAGGCAAAGAAGGATCGAGGCCGCAAACTCACCAAGAAAGAGCAGCGCGAGTTCGACACGCTTACCGAGAATGCAGACCTGCGCGCCGCAGAGACTGCTGCTCGTGAAGCTGAGGAGCAAGCCGCTCGCGAGGCCGAGGAGCAGGCTGCGCGCGAGGCTGAGGAGGCTGCGGAGCGGGAGCGGGAAGAAGCCGAGGCCAAGAAGAAGGGCAAGTCCTCGTCGAAAGACAAGGACAAGTCATCCAAGTCCTCCAAGTCTAAGGACAAGAAAGACAAGGATAAGAGCAAGGATGACGATAAGGATGGCGACCTGCTCGACCTTACCAACGAAGATGTGGAGGATATCTTATCGCCGAAATCCACCACGGACGCTTTCAGTTTCTGGGGTGCAGCTAAGAAACCCGCCAAGGCTAAATCGGGTGCAGCCGAGATTAGGTCGGCTGAGTCATCCAGGGTTCTCGAAGCTACGATCAGTAGCGCCGACGCCGACGCGTGGAAGGACACGCCATCCTCATTCAGAGATGCGACGGCCTCCATGAAGACCAAGAAGGCTGTCGGAGGCAAGATTGCTGACAGGCTCAAGGCCTTTGAGTCAATCCACGACGCCCCGGAGCCTCCCGCAGACCCCATCCCGCCACCGCCTCCTCCTCCTGCACCTAGCGATAAGAAGAAGAGCTCCAAGTCCAAGAAGGACAGATCCTACGACTTTGTCGACATTGTTGAGGAGCCGCCGATCGCCGAGTCGACCAAGAGAAGCAAGAAATCCACCTTCCCCGGCAGCTTCCCCATCGACGAGGATGACGACGAGATAGTCGAAATCGTCGACATGGCCCCTGAAAAGAAGTCCAAGAAGAGCAAGTCCAAGTCCAAGGGCAGCGATGCGATCCCTATACCTCCGGCCGTGCCCATGGCGCCGCCCGCGGTTCCCGACGCGCCCCTGACCTCGCCTCCCGAACCCAAGTCGAGCAAGAAGGACAGGCCCAAGATCAACCGCGAAGGCTCCTCGTGGGGCATGTGGACAGCCGGCGGCAGCAGCGCGCCAAAGGACAAAGACAAGGAGCGCAAATCGTCCAAGTCCAAGTCGGACGACAGGAAGGAGAGCAGCCACAGGAAGCGATCGGGCGACAAGGAGGAGAAGTCGTCGTCCAAGGGCTCGTCGTCGGACAAAGCCGAGCGCGTTAAGGAGACGCCTGCCGCCAAATCGGCCGCGCGCATGACGAGCATCTTCGCGAGCACCCCTCCTCTGTCGCGATCCATGTCGTCCCGCGAGAAGCGCGGCAGCGTGAGCAAGAGCTCGCGACGGCACTCTGTTGACATGGCGCACGGCATCGCGTCACCTCCACCGGAGGAGGTGCCCGAGATGTCTGCCAAGGCGGCCAAGATCCTGGGCGTCGGGAAGTCTAGCAGCAAGAAGAGCAAGCGAGGTGAGTTTGACCCCTGCCCGGGCACGAGCGTGGTGTTGTGCGATGCTAATAGTATGCCAGCTCCTGTCGACACGGACGATGACATCGTCATGGTCGGTGCCGGAGATGCCCAGTCCAGTCCGGACAAGACTGGGCGCCGTCGATCGAAGGTATGAATGACATTTTTGAAATGCGATAGAAGGAAGACCTAACAGTTTGTCGCAACAGCACCACAAGCAGGACGAGGACATCATCATGGTCGAAACCCCCGAACCAGTCCGACCACAACTCAAACGATCCGACTCGAGCGCTAGGAAATCTGGCCTCGGCGGTCTCTTCAGCAGCCTGCGCACACCAAAGACCGAGCCGCGACCGGAACCTCCTCGACGGCGCAGCACCTTTGCCACAACTGATGACGAAGCAAGGAGGACGTCTGATGCGGCCGCCACAGATGTGGAACAAGAAGCTCGGCGGGCCGCAAGGCGCGCCCGCCGCGCGGAGAAGGAGGCTGCCGAGAAGGCTGCCGATGAGGCAAGGCGTCACAAGGACGAAGCCCGCCGCGAACGACGCAAGAAACACGAAGAAGAGTCCGAGGCTCGTCGGCAGGAGGAGAAGGATGCTCGGCGAGCGGAGAGGCGCGCCGCGCGTGCCCGCGAAGAAGCCGATCGGAGAGCCGTGGAAGAGAAGGAGGCCGAGCGTGTAGAGCGCCGCCGCCAGCGCAAAGAGCACGAGCGCGAGGCGGGCAACGATGCTGATGCCGAGGCCCGTCGAGCCGCAAGACACGAACGCCGTCGCTCTCACCAGCCCGACAGCGAGCGCGAGGACGACGAGGAGCGTCGCCAAAGACATGAGGCCAGGCGTGCTGCGCGCGAGGCGGAGGGCAAGACTTCGCGCCGCCACTCGACGCAAGACGGGTACGTCTACCCGCATAGCGGCAGGAGACACGATGACCGCAAGAAGCCCACGTGGCCGCATTCGGGCACGTCATCGTGGGTAAAGGAGCACTCGGATGCGCCGCCGCCGCCCGATGATGGTGGCTACACTACCGGCGCGGCCGATGCGGAGGACGGCCGGCGCGAGGAGCGCAGGCGACGTAGGAGAAGCAAGTACGAGGATGCCGGGGCGGCGACGGGAACCGACGCCGATGACGAGCAGCGCCGGCGCCGTGCGCGGAGAGAAGAGAGGGAGCGCGAGCGGGGGCAGAGGGACTCGCGCAAGGCCGAGTCGGAGGGGAGCGACGAGCGGAGGGGCAGCCAGCGCAACTCGGTATTTATGGACACCACGCCGCGCAGCAGCTGGTGGAAGAAGATTACTGGCAACTGATATGTACGAGACGGACGGGGGAACGGATGAAATCACCTCTGTACTGGTCGACGTTGGGTTTTTTTTTTTTTTTTTTGGGATTCAGCAAGCAAGCGAAACATCATGTCTGGCCCTGTTATTTGTTTAGCATATCACGAAACACAGATACCCCCCCTTGGCTTTCGGTTCTTGCTTGTTGTTCCGGTTGGTTGCTGTTCATCATCATCGCCATCACCACCTGGACTGTTATTTAAGGCGCTTCCTCTGCTTGGATTTTAATGTCAAGAGAAGGCTTTCTCGTCAAATCATATGAGCACATTTTGATAGCGGGAATAGCGAGCGAGCGAACTGGTTTCTTGATAGTCATACTGGGCTTGTTTCCCGTGTTCTGCTGCCTAAGTGGTTACGTTCGGCGCAGCTGAGCTGGTCTGCGTTCCCTGGAAATAGGAATTGGCACATTTCTTGCAGCGCTCTCCGACCTTGGCCATTCGCCCATTCGTGCATGTCGTTCCCGATCTCGATCGTCATCATGCTGACTGGGCGCCAGGCCCGAGGCCTACGAGCGGATGCCACGAACCCCCTGAAGGCCCCGTAATGGCTGATGCAGGACGGTTCCAAATGAGCACTTCAGTGCATGCGTGGCTGGGCTTCTTTGGTGGACCGGTTGGGCGTCAATGGTTCAGGGGCTTCCAAGAGCGAGTCAAAAGCACGACTTGCACCCAGCTGAGTGTCTCTTCTGATGTTCGAACCTACTCTTCCACTCCCTGCACTACCTGGCCACTGCATTACCGTTGCATCCTGCTCGCCTGGGGCAAACAGATATCAGAATACGTCCCGGCGTCGCGTGCTCTTAGGACCTCGCCATCTCTTTTTCCCACCATTACGACGGAACAACTCGAGCAAGATCAAAATCACCACTCCACTTCCCACTCAGTCCTCCAAGATGGGCCTCTTTAGCAGTCTGCGGGTGTTTGCCTTTATCCACTGCGCCGTGCTGCTGGTCGTGGTTCTCGAGATGGCCGATCGCATGGTGGCTTACTGACTGGGGGGCATGCATGTGTGAGAAAGCGGAGGAGTTGGGTTTCAGTTCATGTTTTCTATCCTTGCCATCTTTTGCAAGATCAAAAGTTTTGTTTGTTTTTGTGTTTCCCTGTTTCTCTCCGGCCTTTTTTTTTCTTCCTTTCCCCCTTTCACATCTGAGATTGTTTTGCTTGTCATCAACGCTTGCCACTTCCAGGAAAGCCGACAAGAGAGATGGACAACTGCTGGCAAGCTCTCGAACCACTACAACTGGCTGGAAATTGCGGTGCGTGTTGGCTGTAAAATGCCCATGCACTGCTGCTAGAAAGTGGACTTGATTGGTCTGAGAGCAGGAAGATGGGGTCGCTCTGAAGGGACGACGGCATGGTGGGGTGTAATCCAGATTGAAGAGATTCAGACTCTGGAATGAGCTTCACTGGAAGCCTGAGAATCCCTGCCTGACTGTGGAAAGTCGGCAGCTGGTATGGTCGTTCGTGTATCTTAAGAGTTCTCTGCTTTTGTTTGGTTCAGGGACTTCACCATTGGAAGATATGGTGGATGGAAGTGGCTGTTGGATGGCATGATTCGAATTAGGATGTGCTCAATAACAATACAGTCTGTTGTGGCAAAAGATATCTTTCTCTGATGCAAAGGATTACGTTTTGTGAATTGTTCACCTTGAAAGGCGCTTCAAGCGGCTCAGAATGGTAGAGATGCAGCCTAACGCAGCATTCACGCGGATTGTCATACGGGTGAGGAAGACATGCGGCACATTTTTTGAAAACACTGATGCCTCTGAATATCAAGAGGTGGCATTTCAGCTTTCTGCACCTGTGGACAGGCCCTCGTTGGCTGCTGCTGCAGGTATCCGTAATTCAGGGTTAAAGCCTCACTACACAACAATGTGAATCACAATCAGGTAGCACAGACCCACCTATGCAGTCAGTAAGGGATGATGGCAAACACTTGCTGGATTGGAGCAAAATAAGACAAACTTGTCAGGGCTCCAGACGGGAAACTCCCTCAGACTGGTGCTCGGTTGTCAGACCGAGACCGATCAATGTCTTGATCGGATACTGCCAAGGACAAACTAGTACAACCTCTGATGAGCACAGTTTTATGGAGCGCGGTGCTGATCTTCCTCTCTACTGTTTAAATATACACATGGAGTTCAAGGTGCACCAAGCCTGTGGTGATTATGCACAACCAGCCTTACGGGACCCAACTTTGGGATTGGATAGTCTGCTCAGAGTATCCCATATCAGATATTCAAATTAGATATTAGCAGAGGAATCAACTTACATTCCTCCTAGTCGTGGTTCATGACGCAGGTCAGCCATTAGGAAGGCTGTTGTCGGTACCCAGTATGATATCCAGAAAGGGATATATGAGACTGGATATACTCAAGATAGCATCTGGGATTGCTCGGGCCGGGGATACTGCCCTCATCATCGTCTATGGATAATGGTTTTGGAATCCGGGATGTGATAAACGCGAAACTGAGGCCTGTGAGTTTGCTTCTTTTGAAGACGCGTCCAATGTGACGTGTCGGGAGCAAACTTGCCTGGCAACCGCAGACTCTCTCAGCCAGGGCTGCACTAGCAAGGGGAAGATGGCCCTTGCGGTGTTTGAAAGGAAGCAGGCCATAATGCAAATAGCCACCGACGTAATTCAACAATCAGAGAGATGGTTCAGCGGCGTTGTTAGAGAAGTGGTTTAACTCGCTGCCCTCCCATTAACGATCCCATTCGGGGACAGGCAGAGACGTAAGTGATAGCTCACCACACCCTCATCCTGGCCCGATTCGGTATACTGACAAGCAGATAGACGGGTTCGAACCCCGTGCAGCGCAACTTCCTTCTTTCGCAATTCTTTTTTTGCTTTCCTTTTTGCGCCTCCCGGCTGCCCACGTCGCATATAGGGAAGCCATCACAAGACTGTTCAAGGCAAGGCACTCTGTAGCACAAAAGAATCTAAAAATAGCTCTTCCTTCATTTTTCCCCTTTTCACGGATGGACAAATTGCGCCAATCTTTCTGCTGCCCATCCTCTCTTCGGTTCCTATCTGCGCACGCGTTTGCTTCGCGTCCACCAAGACTGCAAACACACATCGACACCCGTGATGATTCGCTTTATGACTGCAGATTTGTCAGTGGCTAGCGGATATGGATACACATCATGAATTAAAGCTCTAACTGTGCACGTTTTAGTGATGTGTTTTTTGGTTGAGCTATTGACACCGATTTCCTCACTCAGTATATTCATGTCTTCATCTGCCACAAACACTGTCTCAGATGAACCAAGTTTTGGAGAATCTCCGTAGGCAACCCCCACCTAGACCTCACTTTAACTCAAATAGACAAGTATAGTGATTTATGGCTATGAAATCTATGTCCAGGGTTGGTGCGCAAAGCCACACCAATTCAAAGCATCAGTCCAGGGCCATTATACTCTTGTCTCAGTTCACAACATTTTTGTTAGGCAAAACCCGCTCAGTGATAGTTATTGTAGCTGCTAGTGTCTGACACAGGGTTTTGCTTCTTGTTGCTGATATTATATACATGGAATTTAACATGCAGCGCGCACCGACTGATCACTCAGTTGTTTTTTTGTGTACCGTCACTGAATCTGTCTCGCTGCAACGGGAACTCGTCATTCTCTGTAGAGTATAACTGTTGATGCACCAGCTTCATCTGGACCACAGAACTTACACGTGCTAGTAGGGGAATTCGGTTAGGTTCTCTTTGCAAGCTGTCTTAATCCATCCGTTTACACTCTAGCTGCATTTATGAGATAGCACTTGATACCACACATACCCTCCGGCTTGATAAAAGCTTTGCAATTATCCGGATCGGCCCAGGAAGTCATCCATAGAGAGAAAAGCACCAGGGACCATTGTTCAAATATTAGTATTCCGTTCTCATGACAAGAACTCATCAGCATTGGTTATGCCCTTCCAACACCTAACACCGCTTCTCTGGTAATTCAGCAACAGCTTGTCGCATCGCGACTTTGACACGGTGTAGGTATCGCATGCCATTACCTCTGCGACTGCCTCCGCTTCTATCTCTGTTTTGTGAGCACCATTCACTGGGCCGCCAAGTCTTGTGAAGATCATCCTAGTTTGGTAGATTTGTCAGCTAGGATGGCTGCCATTGATCTCGGCGACAATTATGTGACCCACTTTCGTCGCCAGGAGTTCAGATGACGGAAGCTAGCCTCAAGAGTCCGCCTCGGCGAGTTTACTAAATCGTTACTATACCTGTGTACTAGATCCTCGATTCAGGGTGCTTTACAGAGGCCAGAAAGAGCAGGCTCACTAATGGATATGGAAGGATCCTGATCCTTAGCAACTAGCGAAGGCTTGAACGTAATGGAGTTCAGGAGTAGACACAGCGGCAGTTAGTGTTAGTATACAGCTGGGCCTAATTTGCTTAGAAGAGAGAAAACCTAGACATTTCACTTGATATACACTTGTCTCCTGTACTGTTCTTGAATCTCATTGACTCCGATCGACAGGAAGAGTAGCTGCTGCATGGCACGCTGTACTTTTCTCAAGGCGCCATACGCAAAGATCTCACCGCCGGCCTGCCAGGAGTCAAGAATCCTACTGGGGAGGAAGGTGGCACTTGTTCCTCGTGGTCCTGGAGGGGTCAGCGAGACGATCGGGCAACGTTTCCTCCGGTACCGCTACTGAAGTCCCCACTGGCGCCCTCCGTGTCGACAGTTTGACAACGGCAGCGGAGATGTTGTCGAAGCAAGCGGCCGAGAAACAGCACCCGGCAAAGCTCAGTGATTCCGATTCCCGATGGGCTGTGACAAGCGACTCGAATGTCATTACCCTCTTGGCCAAGCTTGTCACATTTAGCTTCATTACCGACATGCTTATCACTTGTACAGTCAAGTTTACCGAGTCCGAACCTCGATTCTAGCTGGGAGCACCGTACAGACCAAGTGTGGTCTTTCTTCGAAGTCGACACTAGATGCCCTGTTCTTCCGCTCGGGTGTTGAGCAAGCAGACACACGAAGCCCACAATATGATTCAAGAGGACCTTGGACCGTGTCAGCACTCTGTTGGCCAGCTAATAGTTAGCTCTTAGTCAAGGTGACAAGACAAGCTGTTTAGTAGCATCAGCACTCGGTCGTATTGGCCCACCCGGTGTACGCTCTCTCCAAGGTAGAGGAGCCGGAACACCGGGTTTGCGTCTCATTGGTAACACGACTACTCTGAATCATATGAAGATCATGTTTCTTTTGTTCATCTTGGGTTCATCCGTGGAGAGGGTTGGAATCGTGCTTGCGTAACGAGAGACATCTACCCCTATTGACACAGCTACGCTTCACCAAGAGTGTGGCTTGTTGCGTGGTACTGGCGGATTGCGTCCAAGAATATTTTATTCTCGTCAGAGAGCTTTCTGCGTCTCAAGCAGCGGGGTTTCCATTATATCGGCGGACTTAAGTGACTTGGGACGGGGAGGGCTGGCATCGGAGGAAGAACCGAACAGTTGGGACGAAAAAAAGTCCCAGTAGCTTGGAGTCAGGGTGGTCTATTTGCACGAGATGCCAAGAATCAAAAGAGACTGAGACCACATTTTATTGCCTTTCTGAGCGCTGACAGTTGACCGTAAAATCTCACCCCCATATAATGAACTGTCTAGGAGCCTATCCACCAAGAAAAAAAAAAGAACCACGTTATGGGCTATTACAGGGGTTATCTGGACAAACGCTGGGTCGGTTTCTTGGGTCAAGGTTCCCTGGAGTGAGATTTTACGGTATTGAGTTTTCATTCTAGCTAACAAGGTTTTCGTCCGATATCCTCGAGCGACCTCGATAGTCTGGAGAGAGGTGGGTATTAGTAGAAGCCAAACTACGAAGCAAGTGTTGCTCCGGTCCGACTCTAGAGCTAGAACGTGGACTCGAGATTGGGAGCTCGTCTTAGATTAGTCCTGACTGCTCGGTACACCGGACACCACATCAGCACGGTGCCAGAGCGTTACGTCGCGGGTGGCTTGGCTGTGCAACACTGGCGACACGTTTCATGCATGCCGGATGAGCCAGGGGCGGTTCTGCATCGCCATGGATGTACATGAGTGAGTGAGAGAGAGGGTGTCTGCACCCAGATGAGCTGCTCAGGCTCTACCGACCGCACACGCAGGACATTGGTTCACACGGACGATCGGGGCTGCTCGTACAGCGCGCAGTCGGGGCACGGCGTAATGCCACCGAGTGAAGCAGTCGAGTTATGTGCAAAAAAAACATGCTTCTTAGCGTCGAAATAGGCGGAAAATGATGAGTCAAGGGCGCGGCGGATTTCAAATGACGGAGCAACTTCACTGCGATAAAACCGGGGCGCAGCGCAGGTGCCAGAGCACAGCGCGCCAATCTACTCCGCCGTGGTCTCGGCGGAGGACCCGATCTGACAAAGATTCCAGTTTTGATCTGCCTGGTGTCTGGGTGTCCAGGGGGAGGAGGAGGAGCAGTGAGCGAGGCGTAGGGCTGACTGCTTCACACACTTGGTAACTAAACGACTTGCTGTTATGTCCCCCGATTAGTCCCCTTACGCCATACGAAGCCGTGGCCCCCACTGTACAAGATATTATAGCACGTAAGGTAACTAACTAGTAGGATTCCCATCCACCACCACCCACTCACTCCCTTGTGTGGCCCCCCATTCCCATGCATTCCCATTCCCATTCTCCTGCCCAGTCTGATTCATCATGATAACGCGCCAGGTTGAGCCGCTAGTGTGTGTCCGGCCGGCAGAGAGAGAGAGAAAAAATAAGTTTACCGTGTCCCACAATCCCACACCAGAGAGACTTCAAGCCCTGCTTACGGAGCTAAGCCTAACGTCCATGCCCTACTGCCGGCTTCCCTTGTCTCGACTCAGACTCAGACACGTAAACTTCGAAATGTCTCCGATTGGCCCTGGCCATCACTGCGCTGCCTCTTTTTGGCAGTTTCTGCGGTCTCCACACACTCCAGGCATCCCGGCCGGGTCGATTGCACACCCCTTCTCTGACTGTTTGACCGAGAGATGGCTGGCCCCAAGGCCCCGGGCGGCCGGGCTTGTCACCTCTCTTACCCCCGGCCTGCCCATCTCCTCCACCGCGTCAAGCATGGGCTATCCGTGTCACTGGTGACGCTTAGAATGTTAGTCTGCCTCGATGAGCACACTCTGATCCCTTCCATCGTGCCCTGGCTTGGTCATCTTGTCATCCAAGCATGCGTGTTAGCGCGTCCACTCCGACAGCCTACGGAGTTAAAGGGACTTTTGGATTACAAACGGAGGTAGCTAAGGTAGGTATTGACGTGCTTGACGGGCAGCCTTGCGGACACTTTCTCTCTCTTGCCTGGCCCCCCGCCCATGGAGATGGTTATCTCTAAATCTCATCTCATCTCGGTTATCTATATAATGACCCTTGCCTTCCAAGGGTCCGCATCTTCCCTTGCTGTTTTGTTCTCCATCAAGTATAGCATTTATACCAGGGGCTCAAAGAAGCCTTGGAGTATTCCTTTGAGGGTCTCATCGCTTTGACTTGTCCCTCTATCCATCTCCCTGGTCTTACCTTATCTTCAGTTGAATGTTACAGGCTCAGCAGACAGTTAGCTTGACCCACGATACCCCCAGCACCATGACTTCCACCCGAAGTAGCGTCGTCTTCAGCGGCGACGAGACTACTCGTGCACCGACCCCCAACACGCTCGACGAGGCTCGCCTGGAAAAGCTCGAGTCTCCTCGAGCTTCGCCTCGCGCCTCATCTCCCGTGGGACCAGCTGCCGACCTGAAGAAGGAATCCGACGGCAACAGCAGCGATGGCGAGGGCGACACGGCCCGCCAGCAGACCGAGGAGGAGTATCCTCAGGGCATCCGCCTGGCATTCATCATCGTGGCCCTCGTTCTCAGCATCTTCCTCATCGCTCTGGATATGGTAAGTTTCTCTGTCCATCCAAGACGCGCCTTCGCGCGCGCCGATGAGGCCATCCACTAACACACGAGTCAAAACGCTAGACCATCGTCGCGACCGCCATCCCCAAGATCACCGACGAGTTCCACGGCCTGGACCTGGTCTCGTGGTACGGCTCCGCCTTCTTCATGTGCGTCGGCGGCTTCCAGTCCACCTGGGGCAAGGCGTACAAGTACTTCAACCTCAAGGCCTCCTTCCTGCTGGCCATCGCCATCTTCGAGCTCGGCTCCCTGATCTGCGCCGTGGCGCCCAACTCGACCGCCTTCATCGTCGGCCGCGCCATCGCCGGCGTCGGCGCCGCCGGCGTCGGCTCCGGGTGCTACACCATCATCGGCTTCGCCGCCACGCCGCAGAAGCGGCCCATGTTCACGGGCATCGTGGGCGCCGCCTACGGCATCGCCGCCGTCATCGGCCCGCTCGTCGGCGGCGCCTTCACCGACAAGGTCTCGTGGCGCTGGTGCTTCTACATCAACCTGCCCATCGGCGGCGTCTCCATCGCCATCCTCGTCTTCTTCTTCTCGTCCCCGCCCGCGGCCCGGCCCGTCGAGGCGCCCCTCGCCGAGAAGATCCTGCAGATGGACCTCGTCGGCACCGCCCTCGTCATGGGCGCCATCATCTCCTACCTCCTGGCCCTGCAGTGGGGCGGCCAGACCAAGCCCTGGGGCAGCGCCGAGGTCGTCGGCACCCTCGTCGGCTTCGTCGCCATCCTCGCCGCCTTCGCCGCCTGGGAGTGGTGGCAGGGCGAGCGCGCCATGATGGCGCCCCGCCTCGTCCGCCAGCGCACCGTCATCGTCTCGTCGCTGTTCGCCATGCTCTTCGCGGGCTCCTACTTCGCCGTCATCTACTACCTGCCCATCTACTTCCAGAGCATCGACGACGTGAGCCCCATCATGTCCGGCGTCCGCAACCTGCCCCTGATCCTGGCCGTCTCCGTCGCTACCGTCTCCTCGGGCGCGCTCATCTCCAAGACGGGTCTCGCCGTGCCCTTCCTCGCCGGAGGCAGCGCCCTGGCCACCATCGGCACCGGCCTCATCTACACCCTCGACATCGGCACGGGCACCGGCAAGTGGATCGGCTACCAGATCCTCGCGGGCTTCGGCTTCGGCTTCGCCTTCCAGATCCCCATCATCATCATCCAGGCTACTACTACCCCTGTCGACATGGCCGAGGTGACGGCTATCCTGCTGTGTAAGTTCTTGTCTCCCCAAACAGAATCTTAACCCAGACCAATGACTAACATTCATTCCTCCCCCTCCCCACAGTCTTCCAAACCGTCGGCGGTGCCTTCTTCGTGTCGGCCGCCCAGTCCGCCTTCCTCAACACCCTCCTCAAGAGCGTCGTCAAGTACGCCCCCGAGGTCGACCCCTCGACCGTCGTGCTGACCGGCGCCACCGAGATCCGCCACGTCTTCCCCGCCTCCTCCCTGCAGGGCATCCTGCTGGCCTACATGGACGGCCTCAAGGTCACCTTTGCCCTCGTCCTCGCCGGCACCGGCCTGGCCTTCGTCATCGGCCTCGCCTCCCGCTGGAAGCGGCTCAACACCGAGGCCCTCCAGGGTGCCGGTGGCGCTGCCTAAATGGTGGTGGTGGTCTATTTTCTTTTTCTCTCTTTAAAAGATTTCCCTTTTACTACTACTTTCCCAGTAGAGAACTGTCTTTGGTGGTGATAGAAAGGAAAGGGGGGTTTCATGATTGTACGAGATGGGAATCGCATTAGAAGGAATGTTAGAAAGTGGGATGAGATCTTCATATGATCATGGGAAAGGAAACATTGGGCGGTGTTTAGGAGTTTTGTCTTTTCTCTCTTGCACTCTTTTATCATCAGAGCTTAAAGCGCATCAACTTGGTCACAGGAGACCGTAAATAATAAAAGTAATACCAAGATCACTTCTCTTGAGAGCTTGACCAGACGAAACTCGAAGTGAAAATGATACGGCTTGGTACCACTGGCTCTGGATGAGAGAGGCCCTGTATTTCAGCAAGACTCTCGCTCAGCCTGACTGCCTGGTACAAAATATTCAGCCCGGCCATCTCACCCGATTGACTCTTTCCCAACAAAGGCCTTCCGGGTAAACCATACAGCACACCTTTTGGCCAGTATGGGATCGATGCCAGAATCCCCCGATACAGCAACTCAACGCTCAAACCAACCGACGCTCCATCCTATAAGAGCCTCTTGCCAACAGCATGCAAATGAGCGCCTACTCCGATTCAGTCACCACCAGATTATACCCGCCAGCTACCGTTTGCGGTGGACGAACGCGAGATACACGCAACGAGACAAGATTTCAGATCTCGATTGTCACTGGAGAAGGGTGAGTATTCAGCTCAACTACCATAACAGGGAACCCAGCTTACATGTCGTAGACTACAGCTTCGTCGAGGGCAGCGCACAGATTGCAGACCTTGAGTACGACTTAAAGCCATCAATACACACACACACATCCAAGCAGGCCGTAATTATAGTTCAACACACTTGCAGTTCTGTGATCCGCACCCTCCCGGCCTGCCCTCGCCAACAATCCTTCATTCACGACCACGAGCCAAACAGACCAGGTCTGTTGGACGAGAGTCGATCTGAGCTGGATTCTCCCTATCCTATGTTCGAGATAACCATATCGACGACAAAGCTAGGATCCTTTTGCTAGCTTCGACCACCAACGTCTGGAGAAGTCGTTGCTTCTGACTGGTATCCCGAGTGCGAAACTGGCTTAGATGAAGACACAACCCTCACAGCTCGACTAGAGCGTCGCCGAGAAGTCCCACGGGCAGTTATCAGAGACTATACACAGCACGCCATGGATCCGACTTCACAAACCCACGCACTATTCGGTATCGATTCCTTTTGGGTGCTGACTTGACCGTTTCGAGGCCAGACTAGTCGACCAAACCCTTCATGTCGCCTTCTGCCATCCACGAACCGAGGAGAAAAGAGGCAACGATGCTTTTCGAGACACCTAAACCATTCAAGACGAAATCTGATATTGTTAGATAGTATTTGGCTAAATGGATGGGCCAAACTGCTTGTTTCTACGATAGATCCAGTTCAGAAAGCCATCTTACATCATAAAGCTGCTTCAAGGGATTTCTTTTTGATACAGTCAGGACTCTAACGCCTTCGTGACTCACTGTCACCCTCTGGTCAACCATCGAGATCAACCCGGGTATCGTCTGCGCCTGCATGAGGGCCCTCCGCAGCATCCTGACCTACTTCTTCCTCGGCCTCACGGGCGCCTCGGCGCTGGCGAGGCACCGCAACATTGGGGGCCGCTGTGCCAGAGCTCCGACTCGTCGAGGTCGTCGAAGGCAAGGAGTAAGGACGGCAGCGGGAAAGCGCAAGAAGAGTGCCTTCCAGCATAGTGTTTCGACGCCACAACAAGAGCAAGTAGAGGGAGCAACAACAGAGCAAAGGAAAGAAGAAGGATAGGATAATTCATTGGCACAACTTTACCCCGAAGGAACAGCACTGGGTCAAGAACCCGCCTCTTGCCAACGACACGGTTATCGAATACAACGACGAGTCTCAACGCGCACGTCTGCGATCACTGCAGTCTGTAGATGAGATGGTGGGACAGCACCCCAGAGTGTTCGCCTTGCAAGATCCATCTGGTCATGCATGGATACACTATAGAGCCGCAAGAGAAGTAGTCGTTATCTACGAGAAGGTCATGATCTAGTACAACCACCGGAGCAAGAAGTGGTGTATTCCCGTGTATTCATTTTCAGCTATGGACCGATGTGAGAACGAAAGGCAATATGGAGTGGATGTTTCTCGAATATCAACTCATGCTAGCTCTGGCGCCGTGGAACTCCGAATGGTCAAATCTTCCCTCTGACAGTTTCCGTCTTGGTAAAAGCAGGGACTGTAGCAAAGCCCAACTTGCGTGCACTTGTCAACAGACACACAGTGGACTCTTCTCCAGTGAAAAGGCGCGTATGTATAGATCAAGCGATGACGAAGGTCTCGCTCTGGAAGACCCGGACGGCACCGTCACCCCAGATGCCCACAACAGCCATCAAGAAACCGAGACCGGTCATGGCAGTCTGCACGACCTGCCTCTTCAAGAAGCCCTCCACCTCGCCGCGCACATCCTCGCCGTTCATGCGGACCTCCTCTTCCACCTCGTTGGTGTCCTCGGAGCCCGCACCCTCGCTGTGCGAGTCTCCGAGGACCTCGTAGCTGGCCTCCATGCGGGCCGCGCGCGCGGCCGCCCGGTCCTGCCTGGCCTGTTGTCTCCTAGCAGCAGCGGCCGAGGGCGACGAGTGCGTCTCGGGGGTTCTCGGCGCGAGGAAGAGGTAGGGCGCGACGAAGTCGCTGGTCACGAGCCGGGAGCCGATGACGAGCAGGGAGGTGTAGAGGAGGTACGGGTGGCGGTAGGCGCGGGGCGACCGGATGTAGGCCAGCATGAAGGCGCCGGCCGAGACGGAGGCCAGGGCCCGGAGATGCCTCTTGGCGGTATCGGCGAGGTTGCGGAAGGCGCGGGATGCCGTATCGGCGGAAGGCAGGGTGAGGAGGGTCGGGACGGTGAGGGTCGAGAGGGTGTAGGAGAGGCCCTGGGAGATGGGATGGGGGTGATCAGTTCTCTTTCTTTCCCAAAACACTCCTGTCAAAGCAACTCCTTCCACATCGCCGCCTTTGAATCCCCCAAGCCCACGAGCTGCCCCTGCAACTCCTTGAGCCTAGACCACGCCACCTACCCTCCCAGACCCAGCCTGGGACTTCCTTAGTTGGGTGTTTGTTTCTCACGATGCCACCACGGCAGGCACGGCCGGCGTGTCTCTTGTTTCGCCCTCAAGCTTCAAGCCTGACCACCACACAGCTTCATCAACAAAACAAGCCGCTGCAAAGAGCACGCAAGCCCTATCGTGGAACGCTGCATCGTCGGCGGGCGACACTGGCCGCCGCGGCCCACATGACATGAGGTCATCCAGGCTGGGCCGCGTTTGCGGGGAACCGGCCTTTTACCAGCTCAGCTCCCCCCACCAGAGTTCCCTCTCCAGGCGCAAGCAACGCCCGGCGCACGCAAGGTGAAAGCAACAGGAAAAGGAGGCAACTTACCGTCAGCAGCCCAAGAGACACGGTGCCGACCAGCTTGAGCACGGAGATCTTACGCGACGCCATCGTGAGAGCTGATGGAAGCGGGATGCGCAAAGATGCGTGACGTGGTGCGAGGGTGGTGTGGGAAAGAGCAGGAGGGATGGCACCGCACAACAGAGAGAGAGCGGCTTACCTCTCTGTTGGTCCAGTCTTTATGGGCCCCGTGGTTGGCTAGCAGCATGCGTGCGCTTGTCCGGGCCAAGCAGGGGCAATCACGCAGTTCACTCGACCCGCATTCGGACAGCACAGCGGACGGAACGACAGGGCCCTACCTAGCACACCCTTGCAGGTACCGGCGTGGACCTGGGGCGGCTGCAACCAATCATACCGGCTCTGAACATCATCGTCACTCATTGTACTTGCACTCAAGACTACCTAGGTACTCCGTACATTGACTCTTTACACCACATTTCACGGCAACTACAAGATGATCCAGTCAGCTCTCCAAGCGAGGAGATGGAACAACCCTCAGCAGCATGGCAGACTTTGGCTGGTGTGCCACATCAATGTGTCTTGGCGCGACCACTTTCAACCTCGAAGCTTCAGTCATCGGACTTAAGGGACTCAACAACTAAATGAGCCCACGGAGCCGTCGTGCACCGTGCACTTACTTGGTCCGCCCCGGCTCTCACGCTTCCGAGCCGAGCCGGAGGGTTCTATACGGCAACCTCAATGAGGTAGGTTCTATGACCTTGACGAGTACATTATTATTCTTCTCTTGCTATTTTTCCTCTCTCTGTTCCTTCTGTGCCCTTTGCCTAGTGCCAAAGTCAATTTATTACCACAATGAGCCCAAGTGGGCAATGCCAAAGCGCAACAATAGCCTTGCCCCCTATTCAGACCAAACCCCCCCGCTAGTGGCAAGTCGTGCACAGCACAATAGCCTCAAGCTATTCAGTCTTCACACTGCACAATCTGCATCTGATAATTGCATTATCCTTATTACTTGATATTCGTGTTTTGAAGATGTTTGCTCGGTGTGCCTGCCGACACCATTATAGCCAATCCCGCCGCTGCATTCGACAAGAGCAATGGGAGAATAGGGGCGCACGCATTCTATTTACAACTATCCCATACACAAAATGCCAGCTATTGGCCCTGTGTCATTGTAGGCCATTGGAATCTAGACCTCTAATCGAGTACAGCCTCGCGACAATGCGGACTGTCCCATACTACATTCTACAATTGCACCTGGCGGCATTCAGGTTGCCTTCGAGACTCAGATCCTCTTGCCCAGAAGTCTATAAAAGGGTCCTTTCCTTCCCACATCTTCAAGACTTTTTCTCTTCTTCTTTTCTTCAACAACATCCTTCTCATCTTTGAGGTCTTCGATCTTTTCAAACTTCAAAGTTCTCTCGTATCACACACATCCTTTAAGCTTGTAGCTTCAACCACAACCTCCACGGCCAAGCGATCTTCAACTGCCAAGGCATCTGGAGTCGACATCATGTCTGCCAAAGACATCAACGGTATGAAGCCTTCTACACTTCTTCTCCATTGGCACAAGCTAACTCAGGAAAGACCTCGCCCTTATACAGGGCGACCATGACGCTCAGTCCTCCGTTGCGACCGATGCCATTCAGCACACCGTCTGCAACGGTACCGGCGTTGACAACCCGGGTGATGGCGGCGCCGCCGCCGGAACTCCACCTGACACTAACCATAGCACGGACACCCACGTCCCTATGCTGGATGTCAAGGGCGTTGTAAGTCTTCAGCCCGACCTTGCTATGCAAGGATTCGTCTCTAACAAATGACTTAGCCCGTTACTGCGGACACCCCTCGCGAGGACTTCGTGAGCCCGGCTGCCTACCTTGCTTATTGTCTGCAGAGGTAAGTTTCTCAACCAGATCCCCAACCTGGACCTCACTGGCCTTCATCAGCTCACCTTTCTTCGCCAGCCCCACCGTCCAGGTCCGCGTTGGCAAGTCCACCGCGGGCGACCTGGTTGGCCCGGTCAACATCGAGGTGCCCAAGAAGCTTCTCACGGATGCTTCTCTGCCCTTCAAGTCCATGCTGACCAGCCCCGTTTGGACGGAGGAGCGTACTGACGGCGTTGACATTGCTGAGGAATTCGACTTGAAGTCGGTCCTTTGTCTCATCTCCACCCTGCAGGATGGAGATGCAGACGCCTCTTTTTGCACGCTTATCGGTGCGTACGCCATGGCTCATACGTACGCATTCGACGAGAGCGTGCAGTCCATCTCGGACAAAATCAAGCAGGCTCATGACCTGCTCCAGTTGCGCTGGCTTGCCGACGCTCGCGCTGTTGCGATGCACGCAGAGCGCACCGGCACGCTGCCTTCGGCGGACTACAACGCCCGTCAGAAGCGCCGTATCGTCGACATTTCCGAGGCTTGGGTTCGTGTCTCCGAGATGGAGTATGGCATTCGCCCTGTTAAGGGTGATGTCTTCGTCCAGCTCACCCTGGACCACTGCCCTCGCCCGGTCTTGCGCGAGGCGTTCCCAGACCTCGACAGCGACTTCAAGGATGCCCTATGCCTTGCCGCCCTTCATCGCCTTCCTCAGTAAGCCGATGAACAAAAACCAATCTCCCTCTCGACTTCCCCCCTGCTGCTAACCGTGGACCGCGCCTCGACCACCGGAAACCCGGACGACTTGATGCGCAGTCTGCTTGCCTGTTTGTCTTTTTCTTCTCTTGATGCTAACCTGGAGGACTCCTAGTGATTTTACGTCTGCTGTTCTTTGGCTTGTTGTTCTTTCTTGCAAGGGTATCCAGTTCATTCTCGGCATGCTCGGCATTCAGTTCAACCCCCACAGCTGTCTTTTGCGTCTTCTGGATCGCCTGCCGTTGAAGGTGGACTGATCATCACGCACGACCTGATTCCCGTTGCTTGACCTTGACTGTTTGCCTTTTCTCGATTCCCATGGTTGCTTGTTCTTTCGCGAGGAGGAAACAGGATGGACTCGGATGAGATTGTGGCTTACGGTCGGCCGCTTCGGTCGATGACGACTCGGGCTTTTGTTTTGTTTTTGTTCTGTTCTGTTCTGTTCTGTTCTGTTTTGCCTGCTGCTTGGTATGCCTTGTTTGAACTTTTTTGACGCGGAAGGGAAGTACGGAGGACAGGGACCGGTCTCATGTCCCTGAGAAGGGAAGGGCTTGGGTGGAGGAACAAAGGGGGATAGGTATCATCGGTCTTGCGGAGGGGATTTGCATTTTTGTTGCGCGGAATAAAACTGTTTGCATTTACTGATGTTGACCCCAAATGTGCCATGTGAATGCTATTGTGACTGTGCGTTGCCCTGAAGCGGCATAGAGCGTACATGTAGTTTGGTCGTGGTATTCTACGCAACTGGCTTGCCCATGTTGCAGCTATGCGACCCAAGTATGTACAGTAGTGGCTATGATCTGATCTCGAGGTTTCCTAGGCGCCACAGGGAAACCGTATACCGGGAGTGTATCAGGGAAGATGGTATGGTGCCCGGACCATACGAGAGCGAATGTCCCTCTCCCACGGACAGACTTCACGGCTGGTCTGCCTGACAGGTCCATCACCCTGCTACAACCACATACAACCCCCCCCTCAGTATTAGACCTTGGTTTCATCAATACAACAAGACCTCCCCCTTTAATCAATCGGCAGCTTCCACAACCCATCGCCCAGGTAATGCGCCTCCTCGATGACGGGCCCCTTGCCCTTCTCCTTGACCTCCTTGGTCCCCTCCACCAGCAGGCCGACGGCGCAGGCCTCCTCCTTGCCCTCGGCCATGACGACCACCGGCTCCCCCTTCTGCAGCTCCCTGCTCCAGTGGCCCTCCTCGTCGGCGGCCTGCTCGCCGTCGGGCATCTCCCGGGGCCGGGGCAGCCTGCCGCCGGGGCTCGTCAGCCCGGGGGCCATGAGCGTCGCGCCCGAGAGCACGAAGCGGATGGCGCCGCGGTCGATGCGGACCGTGGGGAACCCCCGCGGGAAGCGGTGGACGAGGCGCAGGTGCGGGATCAGGGGCTCGTCGCGGTGGATCTCGACGAAGAGGGGCTCGCCGTCGGCGACGTAGAGCGTCTGCCGGTCGGGCAGCTTGACCGACTCGAGCGACGACTTCTTGGGGAAGATCTCGTCGGCGTGCGGCGCGAGGAGGGGGTAGGTCGTCAGCAGGGACTGGCGCAGGGAGCGCTGGATGGACGACTTGAGCTTCTGCTTCGGCGCGGCTTGGATGCTGTTTTTTGTTGGACAGAGGAGGTGGTTAGTTTTCTTTGGCTATTTCGAGGATTCGGACTCGGATGGTCAAGGGCAATACTTACTCTTTTTTGAACATTTTGGGCGGATTCGATGCGGATAGACAGTGAGAGATTGGGTATCCAACTTCCAGGGACAGAATTGGGGCAATTGTGATCAATGATGTGTCAACATTGAAGTGTCTGGAGAGATCGTTTCGTCGGCACGGTTTATCGCGACGTTGACATCCAACGGGGAAAATATGCTGCCCCTCCAAAGTTGACCCTTTGGTTCGATAACGGGCATTTGGCGGGGTAAATTCTAGAACTCAGCGCTGAGCTTGCGCCAAGATCGACTGGCGGGAGGCTGGATCTTATCGCGACTAGCGCATCGATAGCAGTGATGTCAGCGCATATCACGCGGCACGCCGGCGGTAACCGGTTTGTTTTGCTGTTTCAGCAGGAATGATAGCTGGTTTCCGAGCAGGTTTAGCGGGCCAGGTGTTGGCGGAACCCTCCAGCTTCCACCTGAGAGTTCACTTGTGGTGGGGGATACGTCATCATCTACTCGGAGCACTTTAGGATAGAAGCAAAGCATCAAAAGTCTGCCTCTTCTCTCCCTCGAACACCATCGTCTTTTGAGATTTTGAATTCTTACACAACTCAGCAGCGATAGAACCTGCACTCGCATTGCTCTTGTGGAAACCTCGCCAAAAAACCAAGACCTACAAACACCCCTTCACCATGCCTCTCGTCGTCCCAGGTGTGACCACCAAATCCGGTGACAAGACCGAGGAGTGGTCCAACAAGCTGGTCGGAAAGAAGCTGTCCGACGGGGCGTCTGATGAGATCGTAAGCTATTCTGCCCCATTTGCAGCTTTTGAACAATTGCTGATGTAGTATCCGCCGCAGAACTTCTCCAAGCGAGACCTGCCCCAGCAAACCCGCGTCATCGAGCCGGGCCAGATGGTCACCAAGGACTTCCACCCCGACCGCCTCAACATCCACCTCAAGGAGGACGGCACCGTCTCGCATGTCAACCACGGCTGAGGAGATAAGAAGGTCGATGGGGGGACAGTAGCCGTGTGCAATGAATAGGACGAATGTGTAGGAATAGACTTGGGTTATGCTTTTACTCGGAGTGTGATGACCACTGTGTCTCTCAAGATGCTGAGCTCGCTCTGCCCCCGTTGAGCGACGTTACATTTGCCCCTTGGCCGTTGAACGCCCCCGGAAGCTTGCTAGATGTCCACGCAGACTACTCATCGGCATAGATACATCTTTTCATAGCTTGAAATCCGCATTGGTCTTCTCCCAACCCTTGTTCGTAGGCTCCATGTCGGCAAGCTTCTGAGCGAGGTCCATCTTGAGGGTCTTCGGGCGATCCGTGCAGAGCTCGTACACTGTCGTCAGATTGAACAGGAGCGTATGTGACGAGTACCCTGCCGCCACCAGCTCCTCGAGGACCTTCCTTCCCTGGACGCATTTGTCAGCCTGATGATGCCTCCCCATCCGCCAGCGATGGACGCCGGGGCCTTACCTCTTCTAGTCTCCCTACGTAGAGGAGACACACAGCCATGTTCACCCCGACCATCTCGTCGTCCACCTCCTCCTTGACTTCCTTCCACCCTTCGAGCGCGCTGGCATACTCGCCGTCGGCCATGTCGCAGAGGGCCGCGACTATCTTGCCATGCGCAGCCTCTCCTTCTCCCCCGGGCACGCACCGCCGCGCGGCCGCGACGTCGCCGAGGTGCAGCCACAGCAGCGCCCGCGCCATGGCCATGCGCCCGTCGCCGGCGTCCCGCAGCGACGCGAGGTGCGCCGCCGCGCCCGCCAGGTCGTCCATCTCCACGAGCGCGCCGGCGACCCGCACGCCGAGCTCGCCCAGGCGGCCGCGCCACAGCTCGCGGGCCGAGTTGTCGTGCCGCGCCGCGGCGGCGGCCAGCGACGCGCGCGCCTCGCGCGCGAGGTCGTAGTAGCCCATGACGGAGCGGCGCGGGTCCCCGAAGCCGATCGACTGCAGCCGCACGTGCAGCACGCGCAGCTCCCAGGGCGCCAGGTGCGCGCCCGTCACCTCGTCCGTGTAGTAGGCCGAGCCGAGGTCCTCGAGCGCGCGCGCCTCCTGCGCCGCCAGGGCCGTGGCGTCGACGAGCGTCAGGCACGCCAGCCGCGTGTAGAGCAGGCCCAAGATGCGGCCGTGGTCCGACGGGTCCGGCGGCGAGGCCGCCGCCGTGCCCGTGCCCGTGCCCGTGAGAGCGTGGGTCGCGGCGATGGCGGCGGCGCGGAAGTGGCCCCTCGCCAGGAGGTCCTCTATGGACGCATCGGGGCTCGGCTGGTGGGGGGAGTTGTGGAAGGCGGCGGGGACGGTCAGAGAGGTGAGCGGGTGGTAGACCTCCGGCCGCAACAGATAGGAGAAGTCCTTGGGCGGAGCGACGGCCGCACGTGGAGGGGCCGGCGATGCTGCCTGGGAACGCGGTAGCGGAGATGCCGGGCCGCGTCCTGCGCGGCTTGGTGATTGGGAAGGCGTCAGGCGTGCTGCTGACGAAGCAGACACCGGGGACATCAAGGGGTTGCTACAGTCGTGTGAGACAAGACGCAAAGGGCGAGAAGATAGGCAAGAGGTGTGCCACTCACTCGTCAACATCGAGAGGTCCTTTAGTAGAGGACCGTGGTCGTGTTGCTGTCTTGACGTCAGCACGTGCTGCCATGGTTCAGAATGGGTATATAATGCACTGCAGCATCGGGGTGTGAAAGCCAAATGGCCATCTAGGTACTCCGTAGGCATGAAACCAACGGATTGATGGAGGCGGTCAAACTGACCTTTTGTGGCGGATTTGTTCCGGCTATGGCCGCGTACCGGCAAGCCCTGCGACTGTTCCATAGTACGCACTATTATGCCAGCATTGTCTGAAGCATCCACGGAGAGAATCTGCTGATTCGAGATGACTAGCAGTCAAGGAGATGACCTGTCGAGCCCTGAGATGTTCAGAGGCCCACAAACAATAGCTCATGTGGAGCAAAGCGCATATATGGAAAGCTTGCCTGGCAGCTGAACACAGCTGGCGAGTGCTACATCACACCAATGTTATAGAAACAAACCCAACTCGAAATTTACACCTGTAAGTATGGTATGGCATGGCTAGAGACAGTAAAGCCGTTGCATCAAATGCTTGAATTGGATCTAGCTAGGATTTGGGAAGGTGTTATTGGTGGTATCGTGTTGTCACGGGGAAGCATCTCCGACCTAATGCAGGATGTCATGTTAGTCTCCTTCTCCTCAAGGCTTGATCGCCGAACATAACAGCTTCTCCATGTATATGGCGATAACTTCATTTCTTCCTCTCCATTCGCTCAAGATCCAATGGGTGAATCTAGAGCCGCACAGAAGTAGCCTGCCTTGCTGGTTCGCGAGTTGCGTCTCGAGAATACCCCGTAGCTGGCACACGAAGTTGATGGAAATAATAACGGTTTCCTCTGTTCGATACGAGGATACTCTCCTGCATAATCACAACCAAGAAAACGTGTTAACCAACAAGATGAGAAATCGAAAGAAGGCGATGCAGCTACAGAGAAACCCTGAAAGGATCCCAATTTTCAATGAGAGCACATAATCTACGGCCGTCAGCATCACTGCTGGCCACATCTCACAATTTCATACCCACATGCCCTGATTTAGCCTCGCCAACTGCGTTCGATCGCAAACGAAGCTAGAGAGGAGGAGATGGCGCGCACCCTAGAGCACTGGAAGTGTCGTGTTAGCTGCTGGCTGAATTAGCTCCCATGCTTTGAGGTGATCGGCGACATTGATGCCGGCATGCCAGGGCCGGACTCTTTCCCCGTGCACTGACGCGCTTCTTGTGCGGAGGGCAGGGAAAACGGCGGGTAACCTCTTCCTTGCTCCCGCACCCAAGCTTACCAGATTCGCCGCCCCACTACCCGCAACAACTTCCCCAGACCTGCCAGTCGCCTCTTCCGAGTCTGCGGGGATGGCATCCGACTTCCTCGTGCCTCTAAGAAGGCTGACTAAACGGGAATTAAGATGGCTCCCCTCGCCATGACTACGACAGAGACTGGTTATTTCCCCCGTTGAGGGCACCGACACGTCTCATCCGACCCCTCGTCACTCATCAACGAATCGACTGCTACCTGTGAATATTGAAAACTGCTCCAAACATTGCTCCCAGTATGACCCTGTCCGAGGCTGGCGATCCTCCACTGTCGCCGCCGACCTCAGATCCTATCTCTCAGGTCACATCCCGTGAGACAGAGATGGAGTCGCTGAGTCAGGAGAAGCCATCGTTGCCATCAAGACCTCGTAAATCATTCTCCAAGAACATCAACCCCGAGTCTAGCAGATCGGTGTTGTTCATGGCTGCCGACAAACTGGAGCGGAAGCGGAAGTTAGACAGGCACAATCAGCGGACAAGCAGGTAAGTCGTTCACGATATACCCAAAGCCGAACACGATGGGGATGGCTACTGATTTGAAGAGATCAAGGGCCAAGACGAGAGCTCGCGTCGAAGAACTGGAAAAGGAAAATGAGCATCTCAAATGCCAGCTTGATGCTGCTGAGCGGTCCAAAACCCGGATGCAGTCAACCCTGGAGCGCATGAAGAATTGCATCCGCTCATCCTATGCTGCCATGATGGACATGGACGAGCTCGGCGAAGTTCACTCATCTATAGAAAGCCCTGCCAGCTCTACAGGTACGAACTACCTCGCCCCTTATGGTCCTCTCAGATAGCACCGCTTACTCTCGCTGACTGAATCCACAGGGGCAGCCCGCTCGAGGAGCTTGACAAATCCTCAGGCTTTAGTATGGCCTAGCCACCAGACCAGTAAAAGACGGCACAGCAGCTCTGTGAGGCCACGCTATGTGCACGGAAGCCACGCAGACGGGCGTGGGCAGTCAAGTAGTGACGAAAACACGACAATGCAGTATCCGCTCGACGTTTTGAACAGCGGCCACGCAAACTCTAGCGACGCGCTGCCTCCCACCTGGTCCTTCACTGATGCGCTGGCGGGCTTCAAGTACGATGTGCCAGCAAGGCCGTCACCGCAGAACCAGCCGGTCTTAGATCTCGGCGCCCTGGACTTCACTTTTGGAGCCATCAACCAGGACATTGAGCCGAACCCCGATCCGTCTGTCGACGAGCCATGGTCCGGGAGCCTCGAGCAGGCCCTGCATCATGTACGACGGTCAAGCCGCTATTCTATCTCACCCCCCGACCTACCCATCTGGTCGATCCCAATCAAGCATCTACCGCCACAGAATCAGCTGGACCGCTTGATGCAGAGCATGGCGGACACCCTGGCAGCAAACTCACGTGGCATGTCCTCGTCCGGCATCCACACGCCGACCTTTCCCTCTGTCCAGTCACTGCTCAACCTCGACATCGAGGAAGGGGATGAAGACCAATCTCTTCCCGTGTCGACAGCATTATTCGAGCATGGCTCCTCCTGGACGGCCTTTCGAGGGTTCCCCGAGAAGATCGCCATCCTCCACTGCATCGGACGTCTTGTGCGCTGGCAGGTCCAGCCTAACCGTGCCAACTGGGACGCCCTGATGCCGGGCCTTCGTCCCACCGATGCGCAGCGCAGCGTCCCCCATCCCTGGTGGGTAGACACCCTCCAATGGGGCCGCGGGCGCGACCACATCATAGAGCAGAAGAACTGGGCCATATTCCACCAGCTCCGTGGGGTCTTCAATGCCAACTTCTCGATCAACTGGCCCCACAGCCCCCACGACATCCTGGTGCCCGGGGCCCAAGGCGAGATGGTGCCGAGCCCTGCCTTTCTGGAGCACATACGGGACACTCGCAACTGGACCATCGACGCCGAGTGGCCGGAAGAGCTTGCCTTTATGCGAGAGATTGCGCCAAAGCAGGTTGCGGAGTTGTGAACGGGGATGGGTTGGTTGGTGGGTGGCGAACTGAAGAGTGAGCTGAGGAAGTCTGAATTCATCTAGGGTTGTAAGACTGTTGGGTTTTAGCCGCACTGAGAATTGTATTGTATTGTAACAAGACGTTGATTTTGGGCGACACTGGTCCTGACAGGCTGACGTTCTACGAGGTTGAATGCTTGTCGCCCACCCAGCCAGAAACTTCCTTAATGGTTTTCTATAGCACCATATCGTACACAATCGTGTCAGTGCATAATGCTTCCCGGATGCCGTGGACTTTTTGATGCGCAGGGTGCGGCGCATAGGCCAGGACGTCCGCCTCTGTCTCCATGACGGTCATGAGACCCATATCAAAGCCTTGAGCCCGATGGGCGGTAGACGCCAACACGCCGCCCATCTGAAACGACCGCAATCCTATGTTTGGGCTTGGTCAGCTTTTGTAACATTCGCATATTATGGTAAGAAAATCTCACCTGGAATCTGCCCTACCATCTCCTGACCAGCTGTGCGTAGCTCAGCCAGTTGAGCCTCCGTGACACCCGGCTTGAGCTTGAAGAGTACTGCAGCCACAGGTAAGTATATTCTCAGGGGAGGTCGCTCGGAAGGACCTACCAATGTGATAGATGGGCATGTTGGCGGCCTTGGTTGTACGGATTGTTGAAACAAAAGAAACCAAGCTGCTGATGGAAACACGACTTTGGCTGTTTAAAGCTCGGTTCAGGTTGCCGAGTTTGATCCAGTGTTCAAGAGTCCTGGCGGATCAATGATCTTCTATGGGGAATGATAGGAAGGTGATTCCCCAATAAACCCCTCACTGGAATCGGCCCCAAATACCGAGTCGAATGGCATGCGGAGAACTTCGGTGACGAGTCCGACCTCGCGTTGAGTTAGTCTAAAGTCTTAATTAAGTACGGAGAGGTTGTGGGGTTGTGGGGAATAGTCTTGATTGAGGACCGATCTTTCATTGACAACCAACAATTATCGGCTGCCGTATCAGTCAGTGACTCGGAGAGACGTGCAAGACGAAGCCCCATCCTTACCGCAGCTATTCTTCCCCTCGCCGCGCTCTACGATTTGTAGTCAGAAAGTACCTACCATATTGGCAATACAATCTCGATTTACAAGTTTGACCGCCGCATCAGTCGGGCCAATCCGATGAGCAGAAGGCCGTGGCGCTGGGCAACTTGTCCGCGATTTACATTCATTACCTGTGGCAGAAGTTGGATGATCCTCGATTCTTGATCCCCATGACTTCTTCGGTAGCTTTTCCCGTCAGAATCATAGCAAGCGCATAGGTGCTCAAGGTAATGCTTACCAGGACGAGCCAAAAGCTGAGATAAGAGAGTCCGGAAACAGTCAATTCTTAGGTTGATTTTGGGAAGGGGCTGGGACGAAGGGCTTTATTTCCGGTTCCAATACTCATTTTGATGATTGGAATTCAGGAGAAGCAGATGCACAAACTCATTTATAAAAATGTATTTGGCTAATTTTTAGCATCAATAGAACCGCAGATGCAGATAGATGGGTCCATCAGATCATATTCCCTTGAACATAATGGAAAGACTGCCTGTCAAAGAAGCACCCGTGTATCGGAGAAATGCTGGCAACTTGTCATGATGTCAGTCTAGCCCAAGATCTAGGCAATTGGCTTGTCGTACCATTCCCTTAGCAGAGGCAAGTACGGCATCTTCCAGAGCAAGGATTGCACAAGCAGCAGCAAACAGCTCCTGCTTCAAGACCGAACTCTGCCTGCTCCGCCGGAGTGGCAGGCGAGAAAAGCGCTCTGGGGAGAGCAAACTTGGGAGGCTCGTCCAGGGCTGTGACCGCCACAGCAGCAGTGAAGAGGAAGGCGAGAGACAGCTTCATAGTGATGGAAGAGAAGGAGAATTCGATTCAGGCGCTTGCAGAGTATGAGACAATCGGTCGATATGATGAGGCAATCGTTGGCCAGACGGCAAAGTCACTAAGGGAAAGAATTGGCTTTAAATAGACTTCTGAAATCATCACCCTGTCACACACAACACTACCTGCGTGCGGATTAGACGTTCGGACTCTGCTTTGCGAGCTTGGCGCGGATGCAGGTGTTTAGACCAGCTTCCGCATTCGTATAAGTCGGTAGTAGACAAAGCTTGTATAAGATACTGAATTCGAATTTTGATGAGGCAAGCCAAGATATTGGTGCCCTAAGTCCTGCTCTGTGCCTCTTTCAAATGAGTTCCACCTGGCTCGAAAGGGTAGGTCGACGATGGATGTATGTGAAGGATCTCTGCCGTGTGTCCTTCCCCGCAGTTATTATGGAGGAGCATGCATTTAGGCATCTCTGGGAGGCATATAGGAGAGATGTCACACGGGGGTTGCAGGATCGAGATGCCCAATGTTGCTAGAGTGACATGGACTTGTCGCTAGTAGTGTGAGCAACCTGAAAGATAGCGTTCATCTGTTGCCAAAAGCGTCTGAGCGCTTTGACATCAAAGGCATATATCACTTCCCATTGGTCTCGCCTGTCCATCAATCACTGCCTGACTAGCGTTGAATGACATTGGATATGCCTACCCAACATGCAGTCGGCCCGCTATCGTTATTGAGCAGCATGCACAACATACACAGGAGGAATCATGAGGCTTATAAAAGCGATGAAGCATCCTCTAAAAATAAAAACTCCATCGTTGGGGAGTATGGAATTTGAAAATACCAGAGGGCAGGCTACAGCTAACAGGTGTCTATGATACCTAAATGGAGCGTGTAGCTCGCTGGATAAATCTAGATCGAGTAACATAGTATCTGCATTAATCTGGCCATCTTCGTTCCATACACTGCAATAAAATGAGTAGCATCCCAGGATCTCATATCTACCTTCCCCGATAGGTAGCATTTCGCCGAGATAGCGCTGACGACGCACGCTGTACGGCGGGTCAGCCGACATGCCTCATGTATCATCGTGGCGGCCGCCAAGCCCAGGGTCTCGAAGGAAATGAGAGGCAAACCCTCACAGAAGAAGACCCAGCGCCCCAGCAAAAGGCTTTGCGCAGTTCAAAAACAGAACCTCCACCATGTCACAGGAATTTGGCAGGATGAAGCGGCATGTTGAGAGAAAAGAGATGGACTACACCAAAATTGTACCCCTGAGAGAGTCTCAGTTATCAAGGATTTGAGGCGGCCAGCTTAAGATGAAGCCTCTGCTGTAAACTTGCCTCTCACGTTAAGACAGTGGTACAATTCCTCTGGAGGACTTGGGTCTATCTATCAAGGGGTCCAGGTTCCTATACTGCAACCTTTGTGGGTTTGTTGAATAGTATCTTCAAGGTTGAGCAACGCGGTAGACTTTTCCTATTAGGTCCTGGTAATTATCTCTCCACTTCAATATACGCAGTAAAGCTTTCAAAAACTAATACGAAAACTGACTTGTAAGCAAATTGTACACATCGTTTGCTGACTCGGTTCCAAAGGCCTCGTAGATCATGTTATCATTCATAATCGGCACGTCAGCGAACACATCCTGGGCAGGAAGTGCGACAGTGAGGGATTCCCATCCTGGCGAGTGGGCAAATGTCCTGCCAATGTCGTGGCCTGCTCCGGCCATTGGCTGCTGAATCAAAGGATCCGTACTGCTTCCTATTACGAAATCACCTCCGTGATAGTTGGCCGACACCTCGAGATGGTATTCCTCTCCGCTGGTCTTGCTTGCGGCCGAGGATGTGGTACTTGACATGACCGGCATCCTAGCGAGCATCTTCTCCAGCCCCTCCGCAATATGATGCAGGAGATGCCGATCAGAGGTGATGGAGCTCTTTAGCAAGATAATCATCCTCTTCAGAAGGTGGGACACATAGCCAATCTCTATGTTCAGCCCAATGATACGATTCCACTTTGTCGCCAGCTTCATCAAGAATACCGACGCAAATGCGATCATGGTGTGAACGTACAAGGGCGTGCCCACGAGTGCGCGCCGCAGGTCGGCTTCTTCCAACACAAAGGTCAAGATGCTCGCCGCAGCAGATATTGCCATGTTCGCAAACTCTTTACGTTCCGTCGAGAGTCGTCCATGGGATAAGCTGACACCCCTGACTGCCAGCGAGTTGAGCTGTAGTTTGGCAAAGTAGCTGTAGAGTATGATTCCTTTGGGTGGGAATGTGCCAATATATTTGTTACTGGCCTGGCGTGCGTGCCACTTCATCCGCCACTGGTCGATCTCTAGGTTGAAGTTCCGCAACTCGACAAAATCCTCCTCCGCGAGCATACCCATGCCCGCCCCATCTGCATGGGAAGAAAGCTTTCGCTCCGAGAAGCGGTCGTAGATACGGGTGAGGATCTGCATCAAGTTCACTTGAGAACATATCCTTTGATCGAGAGCATCGGCGAAGGGAGACGCTAGAAATGTCTCGTGCTCTCGAATTTGTTGCGACTCTGCGATCATAGGGGGTCGACCATAAGCAATGCTGAAGTGGTGGTCGCATACGTAAAGCATGTACCACAATCGCGCACGCAGGAAATGTTCTCGGTCACCTTCCAGGGCGCGGGCGAACGATTGGTGAATGTTTAGCTCTGCTGCAATCCGGATGGCATGGCCGGAGAGCTTCCAAGACACTTCAGACAACCAGAATGCAGCGATGCACAGCGCTCGGACATCGTCGATGGAATGATACCGTGAGAACATGGATGAAGAGATGAGCGTCAGAAATTCTTTGTAACATTTGTCGAACGTCTCCGCGCTTGTTGGTATGTGAAGTGCAGTGACGGTCAGAATTGTAGCCGTGAGTAATTCTGAAGACTTTCTAACAGACTCAAAACTTGGGTGTGTCTGCTCCAGTCCAACCCAGAGATAGTGATTGAGCGATGAGTGGAATCTAGAAGTATCAGAAAGGGAATATGAACATACATACGGACGTCAACTCACATCTTGTAGAGTTCTTCTGCTTCCATTTCGGATATGACTCCCCGTGAGATGAAGTCATCTAGCCCATCAACCATCTCTCGAGGTGGCCGGATCACCTTTGCTTTATTGCTGCGGATGTTTCGTAATCTCGTCACTTCGTACAGGCTTCCCATGGGTTCTTCGACGGTGACAGGACCATGGGTTGAGTCACCATTGTGCACGGGATCTAAAGAGTTTTCTCTCGTCATAGCCATGCGTGTATTGTCTTCTCGAGATGAGAGAGTTGTGGTCGCGGGACTCGTCGTGTTCTGTGGAGTCTCAATTCTTACACCATGGCGAGTGTTCAACCCTGGGGTCGTGCCATGTGGCGTGTAACCTTGCCTTACCAACAGCTCAATACTCTGCCTCATCTCCTGTATCTCGTGTTGCATTACATCCAGCTTTTTCCTGGTCCAAAACAGTAAGCTGGAGCTCTTTGGATTGGGTAGAAAAGGAGACACAACCTACTCGTAGGCCTCTTGAACATGTGGTAATTGTTCTGGGTCATCTCGTGAACCCTCAAAGGAAACTCCACGCTGGATCACGCAGATAATCTTGCGACGGAGGCAGTTGCGGCATTGATGATCGCCAGGCAACACCTCGCATTTCATCTTCTGTTTCTTGCATTCCGCGCCTTCGATGCGAGTCAGCACCCTGCCTCGTACTGAATTAGAGAGACATAATCACTTACAGGCTCGTGGCTTCCTCCCAGGGCCCGTCCTCCTGACTCCACCGGCTTGCAAGCGGCTCTTCGGGACATTAATATCCTTGGGGCTATGTTTGCTGCGAGAAGAGCTTCTGGAGATGACATCTCCAGCATCATGTCTGGCAACGTCGTCAGCCTCAACATCACCATCTGCAGCATCAAGATTGTGCTGCCGGGCATCGGCCGTAGGCGGGCTCTGTGTGGCTTCCATGTTCTATCTCCCAGTCAATTCAGCGACCTTACAAGAGGAGTCGACGCGGACGGAAATTCGGATATGGCACCCGATTTTGAGGCACACGAAGGTCCCGGGAAATGGGGTCAAAGGCCGAAATCCCGCCGCTTCGTCTCATCCGAATAGCGGGGAAAGGAAGGTAGTGCACCACTAGTGTTCATATGAGTCTGGGGCAAGCGGAGATCCTGTGGAGATTCAGACCAGGCCTCGTTGTGATAGCTTTATTTGTAAAGAGCTCTGCCACCAGTCGGGTCTTCCTGACTGTACACCCAGAACCGCAGAGCAAGTCAGTTGATCAGCCCAACCCGAGCCGGGAGATGTATCTTGGTGTTTTGCATTTTATGTTTGAAAGGCATCGGGATTCCAGAGTTAATTCAGCTATCTAGGTCAAACATGAGACGCATTCTAGCTGGTGGAATAGTTAGGATTACCGCCATAAAGCACTTTCAGACGTCATACCGCGCCTTGGCACCAGCATTAACACCTCCAAGTGGCCTACCGGCAGTAGGATGCTCATGGTGGATCTCGATTCCCTGGGCCTTGAGGCCTACTCCATCCTCCAGATTGTAGCCAGCACCCGCAATCTCATCTAGCTTTCTGTTGTCCTTACGCAAACTGATACTAAGGAAAAGTGAGCTTCCGATGGTTACTACAGTGAGTGCCAAATTCACAGACCACGCCGTCATGTACCGAGGTCCGTCTGAAGCCGGGTAAAGATAGGGGGTCCAGACGAGAGCCACATTGCCAATGGAGTTGTTCAAGGCGAGGGAGATAGCACGCTTTTTCTGCGGCCGGGCAGCGATGTTGGCCATCCATGCGTTAGAGATCTGAAAGCATCCGTAGGTCCCTGGAAGCATCAAGAACAATGCAAAGTAGCGAGCCGCAGTGTTGGTGGTAGACATGGTGATGATGATGCCGATGAGAGCCACGATGCTGGGGAAAATCATAGAGGGAGACCGTTTGCTGGTCCGGTCAGAGTACCACGTGTTGAAGAGACAGAAAGCTGCCGTGACAAGGTATGGAGGCGCTGTGAGGAGAAGAGTGTTGATGGTGCTGAATCCGAAGTTCTTGACCAGCGTGGGCAGGAAATTGGTTAGAGACGCAACGGCTTGAACACAAATCTGACCAATGATGCAAAGCCAGACACGGTAGTCCCTGGTGGCCATCTTCAGAGCATCAGTCACCTTGATCTCTTCCTCTTCCTCGCCAGCATCTTCAATGAGACGGACTACGCCGAGCGCCTTCTCCTCCTCGGACAGCCACTTTGTGGTTGCTGGCCAGTCGGGGAGAACGAATGCTGTGACCATCGCGAAGACGACCGTTGCGGCACCTTCGATGATGAAGAGCCACCTCCAGCTTGCAATTTTGTTGTTCTTAAAGGCAGCGGCGATTCCTGCAGCGAATAGACCACCGAAGGCCCCCGACAGCATGGCGGCGCAGAAGAAAATACCCAGTCGGAGCCCTAGTTCCTTTCGTGTGTACCATCCGGAGAACAAGAACGCGCATCCAGCAAAGAATGGAGCCTGTGTGTTGTGTTAGTTTGAGTTTGAAGTAGTGACTGCAGAGCATGGTTTGTCTTACTTCTGTGACGCCGAGGAAGAATCGGCAGGCTGCGAGACCCCCAAAGTTGTGAACAGCTCCCGAAGCGCCACTCACGACACCCCATGCAATCATGCAGGCTGCTAGATACCAACTTGGGCGTACCAGAGTGAGAATCATATTGCTGGGAACCTGCATCAAGATGTACCCGACGAAGGTGATACTCAACACCACGTTGTATTCGACACCCTGCAAGCCTAGATCCCCTTCTAATCCTTGGATGCGAGCCTGAGGGACGGCGCCACGGTCAATGTAGTTCATGATGTACATGATAATCTATGGAATCGAGCAGTCTGTGAGTCTGGTTGTGTCATTGGTGGATGATAGGGTGATGGGGAAGAACTTACGAGAATAGGGAGCAGTCGAAAGTCAACCTTCCTAAGGAACTTCTTCTCCTTGGCTGCTCGTTCTTCAGGTGTCCATGAAGAAACTATAGCAACATAGTCCACGGGAGTGGCATCCTGGGATGCGCCATGCTGTGTGACAGTCATCGCGAAGATCTGGATGCGAGACGGGTCGAGGAGGGAATTGAAGTGTCTGCAACAGACTGGTTGAGTTGATCTGAGGCTTGTCGGACGAGCAATCAAGAGAATTTGAAGATGCTCCACTGGGTTTACTGCATCATGTTAATCATCAAACTCTTATACACCCTTTTTCATGGCAGCCCTTCAGGAAGATCCGGTAAACCGGCTATCAGGATCCCGGGGCCCAGGCCGAAGTCTCTTGGGGTTTGGAAGACCCCCAAGACTTTCACAGAAGTGGAGTACTAGCCTAAGCGTAGTCGCCTACGTTTTGCGATAGTCATTTCCCGAATCCTTACTTTGGTATTCCGAGTCCGGGCCCCGCAAGACAGGCGGATTCCCTTGGCGAAACACCGGCTTTTCGCTTTTTGCTCCGATGGAGGCCGAGCAATACGCCAACAAGCCGGGTCACATACACGATGAGGAGTAAATACGGGTTCATCTTTCCATGTTCGAAAACGTATAAGGGAACTCAGCACTGGCCTCCAAAACCTAACATCCTCCACTGAATCAGTAGACCACCTTCCATCTTCACAGCTTCTTGCAGGTTCAGGACACCCTGGTCCCATTCTACTGCAATCGCTTCCATCCTCTCAACCGACGTGCTGATCCACCAACTACCATGACTAGTCTCTCTACCAAGCTCGCTGAGCTCGAAGCGGCAGGCAAGCCCATCCAGGTGGGCATCATCGGTGCTGGCAAGTTCGGCTCCATGTTCATCGCCCAATCACATAGGACAGTCGGCATGAGGTTAGCAGGCATAGCAGATCTATCTGCTGACCGCGCCCTTGCTTCTCTGAAGCGCACTGGCTTCCCCGAGGAGAAGTACGACGCCACGGCGTCGCTAACGATCGAGGAGGGCATCAAGGCAGGCAAGACCGCAATCACGACAGATTCTGCGAAGCTGATTGCGACCCCTGGTATTGACGTGATCCTCGAGGTTACTGGCAACCCCGCTGCTGGCGTCCGCCATGCTCTTCTGGTAAGCTCTACCAGATCTCAAGACTACCAGACAGGACTCAGCTGACTGTCAATATCCAGTGCTGCGAGCACAAGAAACACATCGTCATGATCAATGTAGAGGCAGATGTCCTAGCAGGACCCTTGTTGGCTCGGAAAGCTAACGAAGCCGGTATCATTTACTCCATGGCGTACGGTGACCAGCCTGCTCTAATCGCCGAGATGGTCGACTGGGCTAGAACGGCCGGGTTCGATGTGGTCTGCGCCGGCAAGGGCACCAAGCACCTGCCGCAGTACCACTACTCCACGCCAGACACGGTCTGGAACTACTATGGATTCACCAAGGAGCAGCTCGCCACGGGCGACTTCAACCCGCAGATGTTCAACTCCTTCCTGGACGGCACCAAGTCTGCGCTGGAGATGGCGGCTGTGTCAAATGGCTGCGACCTGTCTCCGCCCAGTGATGGTCTCCGCTTTCCCCCTTGCGGTGTCTGGGACCTGCCCGCCGTTCTCAAGCCCGAGTCAGAGGGCGGTCAGTGCGAGAAGAAGGGCACGGTCGAGGTTGTGTCTTGCATGGAGAAGGATGGACGCTGGGTCTTCAACGACCTGAGGTGGGGTGTGTACGTTGTCATCGAGGCCCCCGGCGAGTATCAGCGCGAATGCTTCAAGCAATACGGCTTAAAGACCGATCCATCTGGCCGCTACGCTGCGCAGTACAAACCCTATCACCTGATCGGTCTCGAGCTTGGTGTATCCATCGCAACTATCATGTGCCGTGGCGAGCCTACGGGTCAGACCAAGACCTGGGCAGGCGATGTCGTCGCCACGGCAAAGCGTGATCTGAAGGCCGGCGAAAAGCTGGACGGCGAGGGTGGTTTCATGGTCTACGGCAAATTGATGCCGGCAGAAGACTCCATTGCCATCGAGGGCCTTCCCATCGGCCTGGCACACGGCATCGTACTGAAACACGATGTCAAGAAGGATCAGCGGCTCAGCTGGGCTGATGTCGAGTACAGTGACAAGGCCCAGGCTGTAAGCGTACGAAAGGAGATGGAGGTCCTTTTCAGGAAAGAGTTCGTATCCAAGAAGGTCAATGGAGCCGATGGCGCAAACAGCACTCGTTAATTCGAGAATTAACCTGACCTGAGTCGGTGCAAGTCCGAGTCCATGCCAGATGACAACCAGTACACTTATTCCGACTCAGCTTATCAATCCGTGGGAGTGTTCCTGCGAGGGTGGGCATAGGCATGGTGAAGGGAAAGCAGTAATCATGGGTCATATCACATCAGAAACCTAATGCCGATGGGCATTTCAAGTACTGGAGTACATGTGAATCCGAAATCTCGCCTCCAATATTCTGTAGTCCTGCATCTTCCTGTGTTCCAAGGCCCTCTAGTCCATGTCCGCAAAGCCAACAGGACATAGCAATCCCTCGGTGAATCAAAGTGAATGATCCAACCAGCAGCTCATGAACGCCTGAATGAGGATATAGGCTTCTGTTCCTTTCCAGTGATATTATTCTCCGTATTGGAGTACATATCGTATTGTTGTCTTACTTTCTTTCGATTGTGATACCATTTTCGTTCCCAAGTGCTTTTCTCTATACCCTATACCCTTGAACATGACATTGTAAATAATTTTCGAGTTAAACAGTCTTAACGGCTTGAAAGCTACCTGGGCGGCTTTGTACCCGTTAATCCTGACAACTTAGAACTTCCAGATGAAAAAGGCGAGAACTCCGCCTATTGCAATCCATTGAGAACGCGACCACCTCATTACGGCTTGAAATGCAACGAAAGAGGCAACCAGATCGTAAAAGAGAGTGATTGCAAGCATTACAACGCATAGAAGACTGAAAAATGCCGACTCTTTAGAGACGGCGAAAACCTCTGCCCACTGCAACATGTTCAAAGCTCTTCTCCGTTCTTGCCTGCATCTAGCATAAAGCGAGGTGTCACAATTGACCAGGCAATCGTCACAGTAAAGTCCCCGAGCTGAAACAGGCGATATCTCGCTGATGACAGACAGAGCGTAAGTGCATACGCTCTGGAGGTAATACAGAATTGCCGAAAGAAAGGCGAGTAGTCTAGGCTGTGTTTGATCGGCATCCTTGCTGAGTTCGTTGATCCGTGTGGGTTGATATCCGGACTCGAGTACTCGACCATTCGCAGATCGGAGGATGAGAAGTGTTTCCTCGTCTGCCGAAGCAGTTACCGTGTCGTATCCCTTTTGTGCTATCCAGTGTAATCCTTGAATCACGGATGGTCGTGGATGGTGCGTCATGGAATAAGACTGAGCAATCTGTAATGCTGTTCTACCTGCGCCGTCTGCGTGATGAATCGCGATCCTGATCTTCAGCGTGGGATATTATCAGTTGAACACACTGCATCCGCCCAAGCTCAACAGCCAAGGTAAGCCATGTGTAGTTCTTTATTGTCTGGAAATGGTCTCTGTCCGTAGCGAACATTTCGTCAATCGTTGACAGCAAAGGCGGATTCCTGTCCAGTAAAGCCCTCAATACCCCAAACCGGTTGTAAGAAATAGCCCAGAAGATATAGCTTTGACATGGATATAGGTCATTGGAGCCATGGATCCTTGATGCAAGAAACAGTCTGCTGTTGATCAATATCTCTGGAGTGTTGGGTCGAATCTCTAGCGCTCTATAACATTCGAGAGTCGCAGTAAGTGGATCGGGAACATCGCAATCTCGAATTTGGCCTCCTTTAGTTTCCAATTGATCAACGAGCTTCGGGAAGAACGTTTTGAATGCCCTATCGTTCAATTTGGCCCACTTGCAAAGCCTTGGAATAGCTCTTGCAGTGCTCGCTCCAGCCTGAAGTAGCATATCAAAGACTTTCGGATCCGAATTCATCATGGCGGCGGTCGCCAAGTAGTTTTGGGGTCCGCCCCCTAGTTCCAGGTCTATACCAGCTTGCAGAAAAGGCGCAAGCATTTGTGGGGTGCCTTTGGCGGCCAGAGTCTGCATGAATATGCATTCTTCCTGTGAGTTTGCGGCTCGTACGTCGTTGATAATGTTGTCAAAGCAAAAATATGAGCATATCAAGGAGTCGAGAGAGCCAGGGGAGGTTGATCGGAACCGATGCACGTACGACAGCACAGCCTGGTGGAATGCTGGGTCTGTATGAAACAGTACTGCCATATACCAACGACATCTTCCTGAGATATCCTGCAGGGTCCAGAGTTGAGAGTGATGGAATAGACAATGGCTCAGTCCGTCGAATCCTAAGGGACCCTCCACGACGGCAGCAATGAGGGAACGACCAACGGGAGCGTCTGGCCACCCCAGCATGTCCAAATGGCCTGATGAGCACCAGGTAGTTAACAAAGAAGCATCGCACTCAAGGAGTGTCTGTAGATAAGAGTTTGCCAGCTGAGGGAGCTTTTGTGGTCGGTCGTAACTCCAAGACGAATTCATCTCCAAGAACAAAGCGACTACGCTCTCTGGTCTGTGAAAGGTGGTCTCAATATGCAAATCAGAGTTAACGGAGAACTGCACATAAACATACGACATTGTGACTCTTTGGCTTGCCATGAACGCAAGTATCTCAAGATGTTTTAATATAAAGTGACTGCAAGGTGTTATGTGCGGAAGGAAGTTTAAAAGTGCCTAGCTAGACGTTCAACATAGGAAATGGCTAAGGTTTAAGAGCTGGGATGGCTTACATCAAGGAGACTGAGTGGTTCATTTGTTGCGAAGTCCATAACCATGTCTGTTGGCCGAGCTTTGTTTTCCTTAAAGACTTGTATCAGTTTCGACGTATCCAAGCAGTGAAGTGCTTCTAGAAGCTCAGGGTTCTGGTTGACAACCATTGGCCGTAGACTGAGCATCGGTTCTAGTCGAGAAATGGCTGGTTGGCTGGCTAGGTGTATTTTGGCTAGTAAAGCTGTTTGCGACAACCAAAACGGAGCCAGGAAGGATATCCTCAGTTTTGTGTATTGTCTCCTCTGGGCTACAGAGTGTTCTCCTGGCAACTCTACTGTGGATAGCTGGTAAGAGAAACGGCCGAAACCGAAGTCGAATGCCCTCTTCTTCTGAAACTCCTCAACCGCAGCAAATGTCGAGAGTTTGCCATGTCTAGCTGTATAATTGTCTAGATAGTCAGGCATACCAAGTGTCCGAGAAAGATGACCCGAAGACTCAAAGAGTCTCCTCTGGTTGAACACCAGCTCGAACAGTGCTTTCGTCTGATCAAGTACTTGAGCTGTATCTTGACGTAGAGAATCGATCTTATCACTAAACTTGCCATATTAGAAGGTGAGCTTCGACGGCCAGACACCATGACTAACCCATATATGAGAGCCTGTACCATCCCCAAGTATCCAATGTGTGTCGCGATCCTGCCATGGAAGTCGGCAATTGTACTTTCGGCAAGGACTTGGCGGGCTTGTGCCTTGAATCTTTTCGCAGTCAGCGGACCTGGTTCGGTTGCCAGTTTTTCAACAATTTGTTGAAGCTCCAGTAAGTCCTTTTTCAGTTGTTCGACGAAGCTTTCGCATAGGGTACGCAGGGTTGGAGGATGGCCCGTGGCGTCCTGCTCGCAGAGTCGAGGCTGGATGGCTTCCATCAAAGAACGGAGATTCTGCAGATCATGCTGTAACTGTATGATCTTGCTCGATGCCTGCTTGAGTCTGTTCTGTAGTTGAACAAGCTTCTTCGAGATATGAATTGTGGCATCTATCAGCGTAATCAGGCTGGCGGTGAGACCAGTAAAGGCCAGGACGGCAGAAAGCGGATCCATCTGGCTCCTGAATGTCAAGAAATAATATCGTATGCTTGTGTGGGTTATTAAAGCAGCGAGCTTTAAGTTTAGACACTCTGCGAAGATCTAAGTGGCAAGGAGCGCGATGAAGAAAGAGCTCATGGAGAGCTCATGCAAGATAGTTAACATCAAGGGACATTGGAAAATCTGCCTTGCCGGTCTTCTTGAGCCATTCTGCTGAACCTATCTGCTGTCGTGGCATTGAACCAGCCAATAGGTAGGACTCAGGCCCTGGTGCCATTCTCCCCATTGGTCACTACATGCAGGGACATGCATCAAGCTCCCAAGTAGGGTGAACGTGGTCTGTGAAAGATAGAGGTAGGAGAGTAAGCCAATGATGTATCTTGCCCTGTTGTGCAGAAATGCGAAGGTCTTGTGATGCTCCATGCTCGACCATCTGGATGATTTTTAAGATTGCGACAGCTCAGTGGCAAGCCAGAGTCTAGCAATTCGTGAATTGACATTCTCGATTTGTCTCCTCTGACGAGTAGCATGGCCACTCGATTTTATCTCAAAGAGCATCCCCCAGGAGAGAAAACCAATGCTGGCGATGATTTCCCGGATGCCGAGAATATCTGGTCTGATCTGCAGCTCGCGTCGGCGGAGGGCAACATAGAGCGGGTTGTAGACCTGTTGTCGCGAGGTCACGACCCGAATGAACCACCAGTCGGATGGTATGGCAAGACAGCGCTTCAAGCGGCATCGTCGGCTGGCCACTTGGCCATTGTCGAGCACTTGCTAGCTGCCGGTGCGACCGTTGATGCGCCTGGCGGCAACAATGGTGGCCGAACTGCCCTAGCCCTGGCTGCAGAGAGTGGTCATCTAGGCATCGTTCTGCGGTTGATCGCCAACGGTGCGCAAGTGAATCGTCCTCCCCATCGATACATGGGCCGGACTGCCTTGCAGGGAGCTGCACAAGGGGGCCACATGGCTGTGGTTGAAGCTCTTCTGGAACGAGGTGCGGACATCAACGCGCCTCCTGCCCACAACAGCGGCAGGACAGCTTTGCAAGCCGCTGTTGAAGGCCAGCATATGGAGGTGACACGATTCCTTTTATCCAAGGGGGCTCTGGTCAACACGCCGTTGATGAAGTACAAGGGGTTGACGGCACTGCAGGCGGCCTCACTGAACGGAAACAGCCAAATAGTTGGCATTCTGCTGGAGGTTGGAGCTGACGTCAATGCTGCTGGGAGTTATTACAACGGCTACACGGCTTTGTATGCAGCCTCGGAGTCTGGTCATCTCGATATCGTGAAGACACTCCTGGCTGCTGGCGCGAATGCGAATCAACCTGCTGGGAACAAACATTGGACGCCGCTTCAGATTGCTTACTCAAGAGGACATACAGAGATCACGGAGTATTTGAAAGAGAATGGATAGACTCGAGAGAATATTAACATTTTGGCAAGGCATAGTCTCGATGCACATATTGTGCATTTGTGTGCGAACTTGGGCTGTTTACAGATTTAGTTCAGTGAGGTTTTCAGGTGTCCTCTCCAGTCATTCACACCATTTGGAGGTTGGCCCAGGCCACTCTAAGCAGTAACAATAGCGCTAATATTCCCACAGTCCACTAAAGAATCAGTACCGGTTTTCTAAACCCAAGATTGTCTGCGTCTCATTCTCCCCATCAGAATTCTATCAAGGGTTTGTGCGTGAAAAGCACATTCCAACACCAAACTGCTCCGCGTCAGCGTCAGCGTCAACACCAATGAAAGAAGCATCACCAATATGTCTCTCAGGCGGTCAATTAGACCAAGGCGTGCCCCAGCACGCGATCAGGGTATCGAGTTTGTAGTGTCAGACCTGCCGCAGCCTGGCGACGAAGACTCTGAAGATGCAGATTTTGAGGCTCCAAACGAAGCCGCGAAAGATCAAGACGATGAGGCAGGGGCTGCCTATGAGGGTTCTGGTAACCCTGATGATGACGCTCAGAAATCCAAGCCGTCTCGGGGGTCGCGCAAGCCGAAAACGGTCCCCAAAGCACCAGCAAAGCCTCCACGGCGGAAGAAGCGACTCGCAGCCACCCGCCCAGAAAACTTTCATACCATCCCTCCATATCCTATCGATGTGCGGGGGACCCGTATCTACGCCGGCCACCTGAAGCGCTGGGATAGGTTCAGGGTGCTCATCGATATCATGTACGGCCCTTCGATTCAAGGCATCGACCTCATGAACGCGATGCGCAACCGCTGGCTCAATCATCCGATCTTGCCCGCCAAGTCCAATGTAAGCGAAGGCGGTGTTCTGCCTTCGCCGTGGCTCCCAAATGGGTTTGAATCAGAGCAGGAAGCCAGGCTTCGCACTTGGTTTGAGAGGTATAGGTCAACGGGCCCTGGCGTGCAGACCTCAAGATCGCTCTCGTCGCAAGAAGCAGTCCACTATGTGCCACAGTCGCAACAGGGACTGGCTGTGTTCTCTGGACCGGCCGCTGCTCAGGAGGAGTTCCATCTTGCTCAAGGCAAAGGGCCTGTTTCCCTCGGTTCTTCTGGCATATCGTTGGGCCAATCAGATTCGCCAGGTGAGCATCCGGAGGTCTGGATGTTCGACATCGGCGGGCTGGTCATTTCCATGGAATGGGCTCCTTTGTCCGGACACACTGAACAACTCCTTGCTTTCGCCGTGATCCCCCACGCCGATCAAGCTGAGTCGAGTGGCCCTCGAAACATCCCCAAGGAGAAGAAGAAAAAAACAGCTGGAAGCATCCAGTTCTGGAAGGTCAAGTTCGAGCAAGACGCGGAAGGTGTCGCGCGCCTCGCACGACAGCCTCCAGAGTTCAGCCTCGCATTGTGTTTCGACTGGGGACGGCCTCGGCGTCTAGCGTGGTGTCCTATTGTCCTTCACTCCAGTTCTCTACATGGTCTTCTTGCAACCCTACACACGGATGGTAAAGTGAGGATTATTGAAGTGCCAAAGGTTGAGTCAGCTCGTTCTGGTAATGAACCTCTCAATCTGTATGATCTCCGAATTCAGTCCTATTCACTAACACAGATCTACATCCAGACTATCTCGAATCCCCAATTGCAACAATCGGAATCACTGACGAATACAATGTCGACGCCACCTGCATGAGCTGGTGTGGTGTCAATCGCATTGTCCTCGGTCACAGCGACGGCAGCATCAGTCTCTGGTCTATCCAGCCCACCATGATGCTCAACAGACTTCCTGTGCATCACAACACCATTCTGGACATTGCTTCCGCTTACCCGTCAAAGCCCTATATGATCTCCTCTAACCCTGTCGGCGGCAATTGCAAGATTATCGACCTCTCGCGTCCCAGCAGCGAACAGTCGTACATCACTGTGGCTATCACTCATTTCCAAACACACTTGCATACATGGAGCGACCATCTTCAGGGCTTCATTGCTGCATATCCTTCGGGTAACCCGGGGAACACGGCGCTAGCGTGCCTCCACGCAAGGTACTATCCGTCTCCCCGGACCGTCTTCACAGGCTACTCGCAACCGATCTGCTGTTCTATCGGCGCCAGTCACCCATACTTGCTCGTGGGTCATCCGGATGGATCCTTGTGGTCAAGCAATGCCATCCGGAAACTCCTCTACGATAGGGGCGAGCCAGTCTCCAAGGTGAAGCTCTTTGAGCACGAATTCAGTCCTGTACCACCTGGGACGGTGCAGGAGCCTGGGATCAATGGTGTCCGGGGGGCTGTTCGATTCCTTCAAGGATTCGAGCCGGAAGCCAATGAACACCCCCGCGCGGAGCGTATGCGCCAGATGATGAAGAACAAGCGCGCAAAGGAGACAAAACAGAAGAAGAAGCGGGCCAAGGGTGACGAGGACGAAGACGAAGACGAAGACTTGGATGATCTTGCGGCGGAGGAGGACGAGGGTCTGCAGGAAAAGACGCCGCGCAAAGCAGCGGAGGAACCTGACAAGAAGACGATCGCCGACCGATCCAAATACGTCATCCACGAGCCGTTGACGCGCGTCACGGATGTCTGCTGGAATCCGAACCTCGAATTTGGCTGGTGGGCCGCGGCCGCGATGGGGTCTGGCATCGTCCGGATCATGGATCTGGGAGTGGACACATGAGAGCCGAAACTGGATCTGTGCTTTGGTTCCGGCTCCGCCGTGTCGGCGATCTGCTCCGCAGTACCTACGGTTTGAAAGAGCTCTCGATAGGTCAGACCAAGTCGGTCTGATCAGATCGAACACCAGTCATACCGGTGTAGTGTCGTCTAGCTACATCTGAGGCTCGGCATTATATCTGTGAACATCGATTCATCCGGCCATGCCGTCCGCGCACTTACAGCCTACCATCAGATCGATGGTGCTTGCCAAGAGACAGTATTCATCTGACGGTGAGGGAGCGTGTGCTTGAGGTCAAGCGTGAAAGTCACGGAACGAGAAGGTCATGAGATGGTGGTCTGGAAAATCGACTTTGGCTCTCGTCATGTATTCTATTCAGTCGCCTAATTCAACACTTGGCCCCCATAGAGCTGTGATGGTAATCGAAGGCTTTGGCCTGGCCATACAGATGCGCAGCCGCAGCAAGGAGGACAAAGATGTGGAAGATCTGGTGCGAGCTGCCCCAGATATCGAATCGGCCTGGTGCGAGCTTTTCTGGCCACCGGATCTGAGGGACAATTAGCCATCAATTCTCTCGTGTAGAAGAATCACATCAAGAGAGTACTCACAGCATAGATGAAGGCTCCCAGAATATAAAGTGCCCCTTGAAGCAATACCCAACCCAGACCCATCCTCCTGTGCAGGACTTCGAAGCTTTCCACGAGGAGAGCTTGAACCACAGGTACCACCCCTGAGGTCCCTAAGGCTACAAACATCATTGCCCGGTAAGGCCGCCACTCGGGTGTTCTGAAGTGCTCAAACCAAGAGACGACAAGACATCCCGCACCGAGGGTACAGATCTATTCATCAGGTCAGCCACCTCCGCAAGTGATCAGCAGAGCCAAGGTGTCAACGAACCATGTAGAGATACAATGTCATCAGGGCCGGGTGGCAGAAGAACCCGTAGTACAACGTCGGGACATAGCTGCCCACGATCAGGAAGACGATGCCGGAGTAGTCGAGCTTGTTCCCCCACTTGGCCACGTCGGGCGAGTGGTTGGAGATGGCGTGGTACGTGGCGCTCATGCCCAGGCACAGGAACGCGCCGGCGAAGAAGCAGCTGAAGACGAGGACGTCGGCCCCCGACGCCGACTCGTACCGCGGCGCGACGAGGCCGTGCAGCAGGGCGCCTCCGACGGTGAAGGCGACGGCGCCGAGCAGGTGGGACCATATGTTGACCGTCTCGTTGTGGATGGAGGCCACGCTGGCGAGGGAGGCGCGGTAGCTGTTGCTCGTCGGGCGGTAGCCGCCGCGGATGTAGGCATTGTCGCGGCGCCAGTCCTCCAGCTCGTCCCAGACGAGGAGGAGGGCTCGCTCGACCTTGGCCTCGACCTCCTTGGCCGCGCCGACGAGCGTCTCCACCGCCGCAGCGGCGTTCGACTGTCGCCGCTGGCGCAGGCCTTGGCCGCTGGCACCGTGCTGGTCAGACATGGCGGTTGCGCTAAGTTGGTTGCGTCTCATACACGGGAGATATAATAGTTGTTGTAGAGTTGTTTCAGAGATACCTTACGATATGGATGTGGTTCGGTTGCTAGCCTTTGCAAGTCGAGGAAACCAGCCAAGTCAACAACAGCGAGTCCAGTCACTAACTAGATAACATCTCGTCCTTTAATACAAAACGTCTCACGCTTGCTTGCGTTTCGGTGGAGTCCTTCGCGATTTGCCCAACGATTAATATTTTCAAAATCGCCCTCGTCCAACACCTTGGTCTGCCGATTTTGTTGAGTGCACATGCTAAGCGCGCAGGCGTTCCGAGGCAGTGGAGTTTAGCGGGCCGCTGTGGATGCTGTCATCCGATGGCATATCAGACGGGGGCTTCGCCAGTAACGCTTCTCTTCTGGATCACAATGGCATGCTATCAACAGAAGATCCGATCAACTTCGGTCTATGGCAGTCTCTAAAGCATGTGAAGGTATAAGCGTGCAAGAGACATTCAGAAGTTCGTCTCAGTGCCGCTTCCTCCACATATCGGCCCTCCTCCAGTAACCCGTGAAGCCCGACGGCTCTTATATTGACGTGGGCACATCTACCGAGTCTTCCTTAGGAAGCCCCCCCGAGTACTCTGGGGTATGTGTTTATTCGTGGTCTATCATGCAGTGCGTGCTACCGGATCCCCGCGCCATACACCAAGACCATACGTGTCACTCTGTGTGTGGCATTTGATCGGATAGGATGGGTAATCGCCGTGCTCCTCCAGCTCCCAAATCGAGGACGCCGTTTATTTCTTGCCGCTCTTCTTGATGCCTTGCGCGCCGGTGTTCAGGGGGCCTTTTCCTCCAGCCTTGGAGGCCATCTCCTTGCGTGCCTTCTCATCTGTTGGAGGGAACGACGTCAGTACAAGAGTAGGTGCTCATAAAGGCGCGCACTGGGGCATACCGGCTTTCTTCCGCTCGAGGAAGGCCTTGTCATCGTCATCAAGCTCCTTCTTGTCCTTCTTGGCGGCCTTGAGAGGCTTGACCTTGCCACCTGCGAAAAGTGCGTGTCAGCCTGCGTGTGTTATTGGAGGCGGAGAGGGAGGGGCATTGGACAACTAACCTTCACGGTTTTGACCACCCATATTGCCAAAAGTCTGAGAATGGGAATTCTTTTGCTCTTTGTGTCCTTTGGCGCAAGCGAAGGTTTCTTGCAGAACTTGCGATCAAGATCAAGGGCGGCGCGTGAGAAGAATTTCCAGCAGGAAGAAAGATAAAGGGTCCAGGCTGATTTGCCCCGCCATTCAAAGGCCAGGGCTGTGGATACTGCCAAATGCGCCCTCCAATTAAAACTGTAGGCGGTGAGTGTCGCTCTGCTAGCCTTCCAAAGATTGCTAGCGCCAGGCAGATCTTCCGAACTTGACGCCTCGTGTCTGGTCTGGTGGGACCATTGTTCACTCAACCAGACCTCGCGTCATCCTGAAGCCTTTCCCTTTGCTAGATTTGTCTTCCATGACTTTGATTCTATCATCGGCACCGAAAACCATCGCAACAGATTATCCTCTTCTCATCCCACAGTCAGATACTCCGCTCAGACACCCAACAACCGACGTGTACCGAGTTCCGCTCTGTCGTTGTTTTACAAACCTGGGCTATGTCCTGAGCGCCGCGCAAGTTTGAGAGGATTGATCCGGTTGGCCTCTGCTCTTCCTAGACACCCTCCCCTTGCATTCAAGGCTGACACGGCATCTTCACACGGCCTTTCAAGTCAGGGATCTTCCTTGAGAAGCTAGCTACCATTGTTAGAAGCGGAGGGTTGGATCAGAATTGTGCTTCCATAGCTATGGCTTCTCCGACCAGCTCTGATGAAGGGGAGATCATCGAGAATGGTCGCGGGGACTTGAAGGCAACTACACTGCCAGATTTTGAAGGAAACGGTGTTGACCGTCGCGACAGAAACCGAGCTAGAACCCCCCGATCACCAGACTCGCACGATTCGCGCTCTCACCGAAGCCCTCGCCGAGACCTCTCGCCGAGAGGCTACAAACGCTCCCGCGATGATCCCGACTCTCGCCACCGTGGTGGCAGGGGGTTCGACGGTCGACAGTTCCGGGTGCATTATGAGGACTCATCGCGAGGGGACTCACGCCGGGCTCGGCCCTACGATGATCAAGATCGCCCCCCATCGAGAGGCGTCTCTGGTCGCTACGACGATCTAGATCGATCTACGTCCTATGGCGCAAATCGCCATCGTGACCATCGGTCTCAGCGCCCAAATGACACGGATCGTGACCGTGACCGCTACCCACAAAAGCGCCATCGAACTCGAAGCCGGTCCCCATACGCAGCAGACAGCCGCAACGGTGGACGACGGGATCGCGAGAGACGAGACTTTGACCGTTTCGACAGGCGTCCAAACGAGGAGCACCCTCGCCCCACCCAGTACAGTGCCCGTCACGAAAGCAACACACGAGATGGTCACTCGTCCAAGCGGACTGCGGTGACTAACATGGGCCTTAATGATGTTGCTAGGTCCAAAGGAGATGTTGCAGCTAAAGCGAAACCCGCAGCTCCGTCTCAAAAGCCACAAGAGTCAGTGTTGTCCGACCTCAATGCCATACCGCCCGTCCTAACCTCAAGCCTTAGGTCTTCGGCCGAGCACGCTTCACAACAGCCAGAGTTCGAACCTCAGCAGGATTGGGAAGAGGATAGACCCATCGATGTTGACGCCGAGATAGAGCGGCGTCGGCGCCGGCGGGAAGAGATCCTGAGAAAGTCTCGTGCTTCAACCCCCGTGCCTCATCTTTCGCTCCAAGGTGATAATGCGGCGGTATCGACACCTGGCGGATCAACTCAGGTCGGAACACCTGCAAGAAGCGAGGTCGATACGCCACGTTCTGGTATGTCTTTCATCCAAACGACTCAGCAAGCTCGCGCTCACCAAGATTTAGGCGGAACACCAGGCATGTCGCCTGTAGCAAACCAGACTGCTCCTTCTCCTGAACCTATCGATCTAGCTAATGACCAGGATCTGATCAATGTTCACGGACACGAGGAGAACGGAGCAGATGCTGATGACGACGGCCCCTCGGCCGCCAACTACGACCCAACTGCCGACATGCAGGAGGATGAACGCCGAGACGAGAGGCGGCAAACAGGTGTGGGTCTTCACGGCCAGGAACGCCGTGGTTCAATCATAGCAAGCGACGCCGACAAGCCAACTGAGGAGCAGCCACCTGTTTCGGAATCCAAGGATGAAGATGACGGTGATGACTTCGACATGTTCGCCGATGATTTTGACGAGTCGAAATACGCCGCGCCGAAAGCTACTACTCAGGCCAATGGCGATCTGGATAAGCAGGGTCTCCCGGCCCAGATTGCCCAAGGCAATGCCGGTGGAATTCTGGAAGGTGATGATAAGGATGGTTACTACAAGATTCGACCTGGCGAGATCCTCGATGGCCGCTATCAGATCCAGACAACGCTCGGAAAGGGTATGTTCTCTGGCGTTGCCCGCGCTGTCGACGTCACCACAAAGAACCTCGTCGCCATCAAAATGATGCGCAACAACGACGCTCTCAGAAAAGGTGGTTTCACTGAGATTGCCATCCTTGAGAAACTCAATGAAGCGGATCCCGAGAACAAAAGGCACATTGTCAAATTCGAACGCTGGTTCGAGTACAAGGGTCATCTCTGCATGGCTTTCGAGAACCTGTCGTTGAACTTGAGGGAGGTGCTGAAGAAGTTTGGCAACAATGTCGGAATCAATCTCAAGGGCGTGAGGGTCTACGCTTACCAGATCTTTGTTGCTCTGGCACACATGCGTAAATGCAGCATCGTCCACGCTGATCTGAAGCCCGACAACATTCTCGTAAGTCATTCACGCCCATCTGGTCGTCCCTCGTCGATGCTAACAAGCGAACAGGTCAACGAAGCCCGAAACGTTCTCAAGATTTGTGATCTAGGTACGGCCATCGATCGATCCGATGCTGCGACGGCGCACAACGAGATCACCCCGTATCTCGTTAGTCGATTTTACCGAGCGCCCGAGATTATTCTGGGCATGTCCTACGACTACGCAGTCGATATGTGGTCTATCGGATGCACACTGTACGAGCTGTACACCGGCAAGATCCTTTTCACAGGTGATAGCAACAACCAGATGCTCCGGGCCATCATGGAGATACGGGGTAAAATCAGTGCCAAGATGTACCGGCGCGGCCAGCTATGGCATTTACACTTCGATGATCTCGGCAACTTCGTTAGCCAAGAGCGAGACAAGGTCCTCGGCAAGGTACGTGAAAGCTCTGCTTATCTATCACCTGTAACCCACAATGTTTCAACGTCTCTGCATTACCAGCGGCCCACCTTCGAGTGTTGGAGGTTTGGGCTGCTTTTTATAGAATCACTGCGGCTGGTAAGCGCGCGGCGTGGTGCCGTCCCGCCCCTCCCCCAGTCCATGCATCCCGCAGATTCATCCGGAACTGCGGCCTGGTGATGCGACCAGTCAATCTTCTTGCGTTTGCGATTGTTTCATCTCGATTCTTTTTTTTTTCTCGAGATAAAGATATTCCTAGTCCGAGACTTATTGCTAACAACTATTTTTATTGTAGCCTGTCATGAAGATCTTGCCCCTTGTCAAGCCGACCCGGGATCTTCGTACGCGTCTGTTGGCCGCGTCGAGCGGAATGAGTGAGATGGAGCTGAAGGAGCTCAACCTGTTTCATGACCTGCTGCAGGCCTGCCTCACCCTTAACCCCGAAAAGAGGATCACTCCGATGGATGCTCTCAAGCATCCCTTCTTCACCTCTCGCATGCATTAGTCGAGGGAAAGCGAGCAGCTATTTATGGTAGTGCAGATCAGAATCCGAGGGATTAGTGGTCACATTGTGACCCATGATTACATGCATAATAAGCGTTGTGGGGGCGAAACGGCGTTTGCGAACTATAGTTCATCATGTAGGAGTTAGGGTTTGAAGACTTGAAACGGGCAACAGATGTTGGCCTCGTCAAGAATAGAAGAATGTGGTTAGATACATCCGGTATCATTCGTGGTACTACGCCAGACAGACATGAAGATGATTTGAGGTTAACCCAGTGCATACACCCCTGGGGTTGCGTGCTTCGCTGCATCCCAAAACAATCAGATCATGGTGATGATATTTCTCTTTTTGGTGAGCTGGAAACTTCGGCCAAGCAGGCAGCCTTGTCATTGACGGGCCGCATTCATGATGATGCGGTGGCTTTCACACAAGCTGTTAGCTAGCATCCCCAGTTAACCCCATTCTGTGACCAGACTTTGGTATCAAACTTATTGCTTCCGAGCACTCTGGTCACGATGGGCAAACGTGTGCTGATCACAACATACACAATCTCAGCCGCACGGCGACGTACCGGCACACAGAGAGGGCAAACTTGTGAAGCGCCGCCATCGTCCTCTCCTATCGGGAAGCCCTTACTCTCAGCTTGCAGTCACAGACTGGAGGTCTAGCCCCTCGGCCATCGACAGAGTCCATCGGTCGCCACTCGTCTCACGAGAGGCAAGACAGCTCATGCTGCAACCCCCCCCCTTCCCCCTTTCCGTTTCTAGCTTACTCATGACTTTTGAGCGACGTATAACTCTTACGAAAATGATATGTCGGAAAATCATACCGCATGATGATGTTGTGCCGCACACACACACACACACACATATGCACGCACGCACACCCGTTCGGCGTATGTCGGTAGCCGCCCTGCTGTAACGCGCTACGATCATGATGATGATGGTGATGGTGACGATGGGGCCAGCCGGCGTGGTGCCCGTCCTGTGATGCACTTCGCCGCCGCTCTACAGTGACCTCGCAGTAACAGGGGGTGGTTGGGAGTGAAGAACTCAGCTCGGGTGTCCGGTTGTACGCGGCAGTCGTGCGGGAATTTGGTTAGTCTGGGCGATACGATATCGGGAGAATCGGTCGACATCGCTGGTGTCATACTGGCACAGCATGGTAACGCGTGTGTGACGGTCTCGAGTGTTCATATGTGTAATGTCGAAAATCTAGAACATGCTGTGGAACTGAGCGGCCGGGAAAAACACCTCATTCTGAGATCAGGTTTTCATTCACGGCTGAGTATACCGTGGGTCGGGCTTGAGATGTGTGAACATGAGGTGGTCTATCGGTATTGTTGAGTTTCAGGGTTTGCTTCGGGAGATGTGTGCAGTTTCCCAAGGGAAAACGTCTCATCTGGATTGGATCTTGTATCTCAAGGGTAGCTGGGTGTTGCACCGAGAGGATACACATTGGCGTGTCTGGTGCATCGGAGCCGTGAAACCTCAGGTATACAAGAGTTGACATTAGATGATACATCTTCTTGCAGGCGCCAGCTTGGTTGGCAGGCGTGCCGACTATACACTTCCTTCATCGATGAACAGCAGGCTGTGTTCCTAGAATAAAGAGAGAAGTATTGGTCCTGATACAAGGTTTCCATAGCTAGCTAAACACTTCTCTTGGTCTTCACTCACTGAACCAAATATCGGCATGCGTGGGGCTCGTTTCACAATGGTAGTCCATTTGAAAGTCACACTCAAGGGACTTTTGTCAGACGTGATGCATGTTGGCCAGCCAAGTCTCGATGTCAAGCAATTTACAGCAAGGTGAGAATCACAAGTTCACTGCCAAGGCTGGGTAAACAAGACTGGTTACGAGTGTAAAGGTGACAAAACAACAGTCCATGCCACCACTGTGCTATTGTACTATACTCTAGCAAGTCAAGGCCATGTCACGAGAGAACCTGCAAACGAAGTGTATCCCCGGAAATGTGCTCCCCTGAAGTTGAAAGTTACAGCGTACTTGTATTCTCCATATTATGTCCCGCTGAGCAGTTGCCCCTGTGATCTTGTTTGTTTGAATACACTGAAACTGGAGAGCCGCTGTGCATACAATCCCTTGCCAACCTTGACGGCTGGTATTGGGTGTGAAGACGAGATTTCTGCCTTGTAACATGAACAAAGACGGACCGCGCCTATTCAATGCACTCCAGATCCCGAAGAGGCCTGGTGCTAGGCTTAATGTGGCTTCTATCTGTCGAGACTGACGCGTAACCAGATAGTTCAAGGAACTCGCACTTTCAGGGTCCTCGGTAAGACCGAAAGGTGTGCCCGGCAGCCAATCGAGAAGGCCCCCAAGCCACCGAAGACGAAGCCTCGTGCCGCAAGTGGGCGGGCGTTCAGAAACGTTCTCAAGTCTCCCCTGGGAAGGGGCAGATGCGGATTGGGTCCAATGCTTGGCCCGGTGGTGGTGGGTTTCTGGTCTGGAGCGTTCAAGCAACAAAAATGGGTGGTCCCGCTACTAGGGGCGCAGTTGTGGGTTGACATCATCCTGGCGGCTGTGCGTGGCATCTGCGTGCCTCAGCTAAAGGGCTACCATGAACGATGATTACTAAACTGTGCCCTTCGTGGTTCGGTAGAGGATTGAGGGATCCTCGGTGTGGTGTGTAAGGGAGTTACGCATTTAGATTGGACCAGGTATCGTGTAAGCTGGAATGAGTCTTTGGTTCGCCCGTAGGAAGGCGTGGGATCCGCGAGGCAATTTACATCATTGATGTCTAGGTACGTAAGAAGGGACTTTGGCCTTGCGATGATCACGAGAAACATATTTGATTGCCCGTCCATGACGACTGTGTGATATTGGTGTGACCCAATCCCAGGCGAGATCTTCGCTCGCATAACGAAGGGATTAACGAGGCTGCACAAGGACGTCAGCCCTGAGGGATGCGACAGGGCTGTCAATCCCTTACGGCAGTGATGGAGGGCTCGGTCATTGGTCGCAGACGGAGGGACGGCGTCCGAGCCTGGAGGGTGTTGGCCTGGCCACCTCTGACTTACGCGACCCGGGTCACTCGATCGCACCTGTGCTGTATTGTGCTTCGCCCGGCGACGATCTCTCTCGCCAATTGGAGGGCTTCATATCAAAGGTTGGGGGGGGGGGGTCTCTGAACACACGACGCCCACCTATCTATGCCCCCTGCAATACACGAGGTTGGAAGCTCGGCTCGGTGACTTGGGGCCAACTGAGAAAAGAAAGGGGGAGGCCCCGCGCAGGCATTGATCGCCGGTACGCAATGACGTTTGTCTCGGAGCGGTTGGCACGGGCGCTAACGGACGGGGCGGGCGGGCGACTTGACGGCATGCCAGGGGGGGCGGTTTGGCGGTCTCACAGTCCCTTCTCGGGACGCAGCAAATTCCGAGCTGCTGCTTGTGTTCCTTCTCCTCGGGTTGTGCTTCGCGTTCCTTTTGCTTTCTCGCCTCCCGTGGCGGTGACTATGACTATGCCAGGGGCGCACGAGCCCGTGTCGCGTTGGCCAGCTGCGTGAAAGGGCAAAGACTATTGTTTACAGTTGGTGGAGTTTATTACAGTGAATGCGAGGCGAAACCAAGGCGGACGCGGACGCCGTTGGGGCTGATGGGCTTCCTGACGTATTGACCGCAAGCAAGGGGGCGGCTAGCACGGCGTAGAGCATGAAAGAGGCGAAGAAAATCAAAATCCAGGGACCTTGAGTGGATCTACCTGGGTCTGGTCCAGCGACTCCAGGGCTGGGGAATCACAGTTGAAAGAAGAAAGTGTAAGTGTGGTCATGTGGGCATTCGCAACGTGCAGGAGACGCAAGGGATAGACAGACAAGCAGCCTTTTGACGCACGCACGACGCAAGGGATGGCGGATTTCACATGGCCCTCCCCACGCCAGTTAGGCTACCGCTTCGTGCTAAGAACAACAACAACAACAACAAAAGTGGGCGAAGCAACGAGCGCAGGGAGGAATCTCTCTGATGGAAGAATTCTTTTTTGTTCCTCCGCTGTGGGATCGGCAGGACGATCTGGCATCCTCCCATAGAACGCCGGCGTCATATGGCTAAAAAGGGCGCGGGCTCGTTTCGTCATAACAGGTGCCGGTATGAGACATGGCCTTACGAGATGCTCAGGGTCCTTTGCAGGCCGCTCCCGCCAGGTTTCGGGTCATCCCTCGCGTACTGCGTAGTTCAGGTCGGCCGGCGGTGATCCAGACCAGCGCCATGCCCGTCGGTCATCGTTGTTGTTTGTATTCGCGCATATACACAACGAAGCAATTCATTTCTTTTTTATTCTGTCGTATCACCAGCGCGTGAGTGGGGGACCTGTGATGCGGCTCCATTGAATTGCCTTGAAACACGATCCCCCCTTCGCCTGACACGGGCCCAAATTCTCGGCGGCTTCCCACTCTAATGTCGGTGCCGAGGCGATATGGGTTTGGGGACGGCGGCCCTGTGTGATTCGCTACGGTCACCGAGTTTCATAAGTGCTATATTGGCTTGCATACAGGTGCTTACGTTGATACCGTGCCGCCTGGTGGCATGCACAGCCGTCGACGAACCGCCGGCTGACGATGATCGCAAGGGTCTCTGAGCACGTCGCATCAATTTCTGGAATGCAAGGATTTGCATAAACAATTCGGTGCCTTGGATATCAAAGATATGCTGTATTGAGCGAAGATCGTTTGCCGTCATGGGCCTTTCGAAGAAAAAAGGCTTGGAAGTGTTTTGAATGTTGTTGCGGGAGTGGGCAGAGCGGTGACGGGAGATGGGACCACCTGGTAGTCCATGCTCGCCGCCGTCTCAGTGAAGCATCGCCCAGCCTTGGTGCCTGGCTGCCGAATACAAGGGCCAGTCGCACCAAAGATGTCTTTGAACATCATGCTCCAGGGGTTCTGTTTGGAAAAGCTTGTGATAAGAGCGCATTGATGATACCAAGGCACGACTGTGGGATGCAGGATCAGCCCATGCCGGGAGCTAGATGAGGATGCTATCTCC